CGGGGGGGGGGAACTACACAGTCAAACAGGGCTCTGCAGTTGACGATGACTTGCGTAGTGCATAAGAGGCGAGCGTCACACACCACGTTGTTGGCTCCAGTTTCCCAAGTATGTCAAGCGAGGCCGGCAAGGCGGTCCGTTTCTGCCAGCAAGTATTCTTGCCACGTCTAGTACTAAGTGGTAACTAGACAAAGAGATCTTGATCTTGGTATTGAAAGAGTATGTAATTCCTTTGTTGCGCAAGTGGACGATACATGGGCGCCCGGCTTACAGAGTGCTTGGATTCAGTCCGAGTTACCAGCCTGGCGGTATCCCCAAGAGGCGAGTCGATAGCGGGTGAGGGGGAAGATGGGGGATTATTGGAGTGGTTTGCGGCGGCATGAGGTTATTCCGGACGAACCGTAAGACATAAAGCATGATGATGCGGACAGGGTGCGCTCATTCCCAGAGTTGGAGAGAGGCGCCAGGGAGGCGCAAATAGGAGACTGTCAGACGGCGTCAGCTAGAGCCCAAAGGCCAACAGCGACGAGAGACGCGGAGGAGAAGTGAGTGGCAGTTTCGATAGAGTTTGCGGCTGTCCATACACGGCATATCACGTGGCATCCATGACGCCATCGCTATGTTGAGTCAGCGCCTGGCCCAGCTGACACAGCCGCATCACATGACAAGGTCAGGTGACACTCCAGGCGCCGAAACCCGTGATTTTCGCCGTTCTGGCGATTTTCACGATTGACCGGAATCTTCCAGCATCGCCATGTCCAGCCCGTATTATTAAAGGCGCCGTTTCGCTTCCGACAGAGTCAAGCGATTCCTACCAATCCCATCAGCTGCCATCTACTGCCTCTCGAAAAACCTCCCGCTGCTACTCACACGCGACACTTTCATCCCACCCAACCTGCGTCATTAGCCCGTCTATCAAGCCTCATTAGAACCAATGCAGTGCAAAGTCGAACAGTATAGATTGGATGGAACGCATATCTCATACCCAAAGAAACTTTTTTTTACTCCAGAAAACCCCAAACCGTGCCTTTTTCTCCGTCAGTTTTCAGTGGCGCCCAACGTTCGGACAAGTTGGAGGCATAACTAAAACCTGAGAGAGAAAATTTTTTTTACTGTGATCCTACTTGTAAACGCAGAGGAAATATTTCAAATGAATACCAACACTCAAGTTTTCGGCCTCAGCCAGGGGTGTGCTGCTCCTGCTCATTGACTCGGGCTGTTGCTGCCAGCCATGCGCTCCTCAAGCTGCCTGGGGGAAGCCCCTCTTGATCTAATACTATTCACTGTCCACAACACAACGTCACTTGTTGTTGCGCCTCCACATCCTCGCCCCTCTGTTTCTTCACACCTACATCCCCTCCTCTCTGTCAGTGTCCATCACTGACTGTCTTGTTCACCATCTGATAACCTGTCACTTGAACATCACTTTGCACTACGCCCTGCTGTTACGCTTCCCCTTGCTTGTGTGGGAGACCGAAATACCGCCGCGTCACATACACCAGTGCCTTAACATTGTCCTGCTGGTGATTGTTGCGTTTTTACTTCTGCTCCTTTTAAACCATTACTTGGGTTGCGCTCTTTGTAACAAGACACCACAACAACAAACATCTATGGCGCAACAAAAAGAGAAGAGGTCTTCGCCGGAGGAGCAGGCCCCAGTGGTTGCTCCTCCTTTCAGCTTCGCCAACTCGATCATCGCAAATTGTCTGATAGGCAATGCTTTTGAATCAGCTTTTGCGAATCGTGGCCCCGGCATCCTCACTGCCGCCTTCACGTCGCTCGTCGGGCTATCGGGCGGCATTGCTGCGAAGAGCGCACGATTCAATAACTCGTTTCATACAAAAATCGAGCATTCGAACCCGCTCCACGATGATATGCATTCCTATTCGAGCTTCACGTCCACTATCGCCTACTCAGATAATCTGTCGTCATCCGGCTTATCTACACCTTCCACCATGATGGGAGACTACTCTACCTCTTCGTCATATTTCTCCTCGTCTACCCAATACACGTCCCCATATACTCCCTCGTGCGATGCCGGGTCCTTCCGAGATCCAGCACCAGTCATGGGCGATATGGATGATTCTGGTGATGACTATGAAATTTATGGGGATTCTGACTGCGAATTCGCCGATGTTGAAAGCGATGAAGAGTCGGATGATGGATCGATCGGATGCGCCGATGATAGTGATGATGAAATGGAGTATCAAAACTCAGAAGATGGTGATTCAGTTAGTGGAGACGAAGAAGCTGAAGAAGATGGTATGTATCTGATCCCCAAGACTTGGCCAATATCGCTAATTTATACAGCGTGTCCAATCGAGGAGCAACTCTCCTTCATATCTTTTGAGCGCTCAGTCCATTTCTCTTGCGCGGAGGACGAGATTATTCCGTCAAGCGAGCCCGGAACACCACTTCCAGATGCCTTTCCCGAGATGACCTGCCATGAACGGATGCTTCTCGCGGAACATATGAAAAATCGACGAATTGGCAACTGGGAGAACGGAGGCGACTACGACCCCGAAGAACACTCCCCTGATTCCTTGCAGCTGGACAAGGATTTACTCTTTGCCTACGTCAATGGCCTCCGCACTCTAAATCAAAATTGCTGCATGATCGCCTTGAAATCGCGGACGCTGCATGCCTCAAAAGACGGTTCTATCAAGGTGGATACCCGCATCGGCAAGGACGTGAACGACTACCTCGACCGCATTGCCGACCTGCTTCGCGGCATTTTCCCCAACCTCTTTACCGCGGACGAGTACGCTGGGATTCTCAACCAAGCCCAGTCAGCCGTCTCGTTCGACGACTATGGCCAGCTGATCTACGAGGCGCAATCGGTGAATGTACAACACACGATTCGAGGCTTTCTGGCCGAACGACTTGGCTGCCACGACATGTTTCTCCAGGACGAGATGCTGGAGTGGTTTGCAGGAAATCTGATCGCGCCGCTGGGCCGCCAGGCTCTATCCCGGCACACGCAGACGAGCGAATGACTCTGGAGTGGCGGTGGTGCGTTTTGTGTCTTAGCGCAAAATTTGTTGCAATTTATCAACGGCTTTGAGGTATTTGCGTTGCTAGCATGTTTATTATGTCACGCCTCTGGTCTAGGTGCCATAGAAGGCAGAGCGAGTACAAAAATTAGGATGTTTTCTTATGGTCTTATAGTCAAATGCAATCGATGTCCACTGTCCTTACTTCCAATGCATCTGTTACCCTGGCCTCGTGTCTGGGAGTTCAGTCCGTATCTGTCTTTTACCGGATCCATGGCTCCCAGGCATGTATTATCTTGGTCTTGGTCTGGAAAGTCTGTTCATAGATGTTTCCTCTCAGATGAATCAGTCTCGAAGAGAGATGACAACGAAGAATGACAGCAGCGCTCAGCTAGCTACTGCCGTTCTCACTTGCCGAATGTCCAACCCAGCCTAATCCGGCCACAAGCCTTTTTTTTTTCTCCCCGTCCTTGCTTTTTAGCATCTAGATTCCCTACTCTCCCCCCTTCGCTCTCTCTCTCTCTCTTCTTTGGGCAACCGGATAGTCTTGGAAAAAGAGTCTCCCGTTTCGCGTTTCCCGTTCGTCTCATTTCCCGTTTCGCTTCTATCCCAGTTTTTAATATTATTACTACTGTGTTCTTATTGGACGACACAGGAGCACGTGATGATCATGTGACTGAGCGTCTATAATATTGCGTCTGGTCTTGCTCCTAATGAACGAGACATGGATACTTATAGATGAACATGCTATAACTGAGGCTACAGGAAAAACATATGAAAAACCCCTAGCAAATCTTCATCAGTCTGATAGACAAAGATAATGAAATCAGTACTGTAATTGAGAGAAGAAGATGATAAATCTATAATTCTTTAGTTTCTTCTTTAGAAATCTGATCATCTGACAAGTCATCTGACTTCTGCTCAACACACTTTCATAGCTTTGACAGCAGTGTAGGTGGCAAACTCTTCTCTATTAAATAATCAATATTCACAAGTCTCAATTGCTTAATAAATTTTTCAAATTTCTGTCTAGATAAGATCTTTGTTAAGTCATCTGCAGACATATTATCACTTTCAATTCAGATAATATTCAATTTCTTATTAGTAACTGCTTGTCATAATCAGTGATAATGAATATCAACATAACAGAGCTTAATAATTAGTTGTGAAGTTGCTGAAATCAGTAATCATATCATTTGTAAATTATCACATAAAATATTAAAATCTCTTTCTAATTTCAACATAATATTCTTAAATAAGCATTTCCACCACATGATCTCTTTTGCCATATAGAATAGTGCTAAAAGCTCAGCTTTCATTGAAGATGTTGTAATGATCTTTTATCTAAAGAATTTTCAATCAATTAAGTCTTCAAAGAGCTTAAATACAGAGCTCTGAAAGAAGTGTCTTGAGCTTAAATCATCTGCAAAAAAAGAATCACTGATGATTATTAAATGAGTGTTAATGATGTCAGTATTATTATTCTCTTTCTGAGTATTCAATCTATCATTGGCATGGAATTCAAGAGTGTAGTACTTTGTTGAAAAAGCATATGAGATAACTCTCTCAATTGCTGTATGATGTTCTGATTCTAAGTTAATCAAAGTCTCACTTAATTTTACAGTAGCAAACAAAATATCAGATCATGTTATAATAGCAGCATAGAGAGCTGAATCAATCTTCTGTTGATAGACATGTATTTGTTGCTTATTTTACATCTCCATATAGAGAGCTATATTCACAGTTACCATTGACATATGTGGTGGCTTTAATTTCATAAGATTGAACTTATTAGCAATCTTCTCAATATAACTATTCTGGCACAGCCAAAGCTTCTGAGTATTTCTATTGCATAAGACACAGATATCTAGAAATCACTCTAGCTCTTCAATCTCTCAAAGCTCATAACACACTCATAGATTCTTCAATAACTGCTCAAATGTTCCAACATTCTTTCTGTGATATAAAAATACTATGTCATTCATGTAAAAGAAGATAATAATATTCTTATCAACAAATAGACATGATTCTTCATAAATCTGACAGAATTTTAATTTTCAGAGTGTTGAAGTGAGATCTTCATATCAAAGTCATAAAGATTCAGAATGATCATATAAAATATGTAGAATCTTTCAAACATCTCTTTTCTTACTGTAATTCTCTGCCAGTCTGCAATAAACAAATTTATTAAATGAAGCATTAATGAACACATTAACAGTGTCAATCTGAAAGATCTTCATTTCAAAATAAGCTGTTATAGTCATTAAAAGGTGAAATATCCATGCAGCAAGAGTAGTGATGTAGATGTCATGTTTATTATTGATCTTCAGATCTCTGTGAAAAATGAGTCTTGTCTTATAATGTTTCAAAAAACCATTAACATCAAATTTGTACATATAAATTCATATTAAAGAGATTGAACATATTTCTTCTGAGCTCTCTACTTCTTCAAAGCATTTCTTCATTTGTAGCTTCTCCATTTTCACATCCATGGCAGTCTTAAATCTGCCAGCATGCAGATGTTGCAACATTGAAAAATAATGCTTTGAAGACTTTGAAAGATTCTCTCTGTAAAGTCTAGAATTTATAATTGTAAAAGCTGTTAAATAGCTTCTATAAAATGAATTCAATTGTACTGTTTACTGCAGAATCACTGTATAAGCTGTTCATCTGTCAATTTAATCTGCATTTTGATGTCTTATTCTAGCACTTCATTTAGAAGATGGAGATTGCTTATTCAAGCTCATTCTGACTGAGTCATTCATCACTTCTGTGGCAAAACAATTGACTATTGAAATTCTGTCATTAGTGCTCACCACTTCTGCAGCAGAATAATTGACTATTAATTGTCTGTCATTTATGCTCACCATTCTCATAGAACTAGTGGCAGAAAGTGTAGTAGATGTTATAATCTCAGACAGCTCAATTACAACACCACTCATCATCTTCATAGCTTTTACAGCAGAATGATTGACTGTCAATGAAAGTTGATTCAGCATCTCTATTTCAGTTGATGACATTGTTGGATCATTCAAAAGAAGTTGAATGTAGATGTCTGAAATCAATGACTTTAATATTGATTCTGATGTTGACAATGCACATATCTCTTCTAATTGATCAGTTACTGTCTTAGTCATTGTTTTCATCAATCTTATTGACTGATTAACAGTCTCATGACTTTTACATGATGTATTCTTCTCAGAGTCTTCATCTTCACTGTCATGCTTACTCAAGCTCATCTTATTAATATCACTTACTTCAACAAAAGATATTGTATCCAGCACAACAAAGCTCTTCTGTAATAAAAGCTCACTGCTAATCTTATTAAAATTAAATAGCATATCTTCATCAAATATAACATCTCTCATTAATATAACCTTTCATTGTACTGGAATTCAAATGCAAAAAATATTCATTGATTTGTATTTAATAAGATATTCAACTTTCACTCTAGAAGTCAGCTTCTGATTTCTTCTGTATTGTGCATTCTTAATTAAAGAATACACTCTACAGCCAAAAACTCTTATATGTCTAATTTCAGTTAAAGAAGTTGCAGTTCAAAGATATTTCTCTAAGAATCTGAGAGAAGTGTTTCAATCAAGATCTTTAACTGAAATTCTGTTTAAAATATATGCTGCAGTCTTGACACATTCTGGTCACAAATTCTCAGATAAGTTGACTTCAATTCACATTGTATGTGCTGCTGTCATTATTAAAGCTTCTGCATGTTTCACAGCTTCATTTTGAGCTGAAATGTAGAATGCTGAACATTGAACAACTATATCATATGTTCAAGTTAAAACTGTCAGTTCTGACTACATAGAGATTTCTTCATCAATTCAAATAGTCAAAATAGTCAATTGATATAAATTGAGAATTACTCTTATCATTTTTGCTGTGCACATCAAACTTTTGAATTTTCACTGCATCATTTCCACATAGTGCAGATGAATATAATCACAATATAAGTGAACCATTCATCTATCTCCATTATAATCTGAAGTAAACTGTATGAGATCAACAGACATCTTCATGAATAAATGTGTAGATCTTTTCAATGATGTTCTGCATATAATTTACTTTGCTTTTGAAAGAGTGCAAGATCTGCACTTCATCATTAGAGAACTCTGAGAGATCTTTGCAAATTTCACATTAATAGACATCTTTAGAAGATGAGTCAGAGACTCTCTTTCTAAATGATCAAGTCTCAAATGTTAAATATTCATTGTTTCTAGCAAACTGAAGATCAACATCATTAACAGTTTTTTAACTGAATCTCTGCTCAACAAGACAGTAAAAACACTTCTTATTATACTATCTGTTGCAATGTTAATAGATCTGTATTCAACAACCATTTTTCTCTTTTTAACAGTTAAATTGAACAAAATATCTCTTGTACTGATGTAGTAAATCATAAAAGACTCATTGTTCAAATAACAACTCTTCACATGCAGCAATCTGTGTGCTACTAAATTTGTATGAAAGTCAGAAATGTATAGAACATTCTTTAGTAATATCTTGTCAGCATCTGTCAGCATTTAAGTATAAACTTCAACATCATCATATCTGTGAATTTTACAATGAGTATTTCCAACAAGCACAATATTCAAAGAACCAGCATTTCAGTAGTTTTGAAATCTTGTAAAATCATTGCAAATATGTGCATCTGCACCCCCATCTAATATGAAGCTGTTCCATAATGAATAGAGTTCATATTTATCACTCATGTTAGTGGAGTTAAAAACCATTATGAAAGTGAAGATAGTTGAATTAGAAAATGTCTTGACAACAGCTTTATTAACATCATCATCTATCACATCATCTGAAGCACTAACTTCTTCAGTATTATTCAAATTCTTCAATTTCTTTCAATTTACAATCTTTTTCTTTAATTTTCTTTCATTCACTGAATTCTTCAATGCTTTCTTGATCTTATTATCAATTTTTGGATCTGATTTTCAGTCCATTGATTGAACAAGTAAATTAAAATATGAGCAGTATGCCCAATCATATTGCTTTCTGCAAAGACATGCAGAGTTTATATTTCCATTATTCTTCTCCAACAGCTTATTTTAAATAATTCTTTCAGTGGAATATGCTGACAGCTTATTACTTTGATCTGGCTCAGTATCTTTCTTTAACAACTGACAAAATATCTGAATATGTCTATAAACATTCAGCTCATGTTCTCAATTCAAATTCTCCTCAGTTAGAAGCTTAGATAGATATGTATAGAAGAACTCTCTATAATTTGAAGAGATAGCTCTCAGAAATTGTTTCAAGACAAAAGATTCATAGATATATTCACACATATTGTATATGATTGCTCAATTCAATGCTTCTTCATAGTTCAGTAAATATGCTTTGATTGCTTGATTTTTTGACTCTTCTTCAAGAGTTTTGAATTTCTCTACTAGTCTAGCTTTTAATTGAGAAGCATTCATCACATTTCTAGTATATAGAGCTTTCAGATGTTCTTTTGCAGTAGCTTCTACATCACTCAATTCATTTATTGTAAGAATTCTCAGAGACAGATCTATATAATCTTTTATTGTCTTCTATAGCTCTTGGATCACTAAGATTCTCTTCTCTTAAGTTCTGTATTGATTTCTTTACATATTTCTTGCATGTTTTATATCTGCAGGAGTTGCAGTTTCTTTAATTTTTTCAGAAGAAAGAAAATTCTCTATAATGAATTCTCAAAGTTCAGAATGCATTTCTTTTGTCAGATTAATATATGATCACAATTGATGAAGATTTGCTAAATGCTTGATATCTTCAATTTATTCTTCTCAATCATCAGAACTATTCAGCATAACAACTCTTCTAGACAATTTATTCATTTCTAATTAATTATTGAAGTGAGACATTAACTCTAGATTATGGTTTTTCATAGACTTAGATCAGTAAATATATAGATGTGTTAGATCTCTGCAAACTCCACAATTAAGATTTAAGCTTAAATAGAGAGTTCAATGTATGATCTCAAGATACTTAATAGTGATCTCTATTTATATGAATAACAAGAGTAAAATAAAGTATCTTGAATGTATCTTTAGATAACAATCAAATTCTTGAAAGAGTTCAGACTCATAACTATTGAATGATACAGAAGTACATGATGATCATGTGACTGAGCATCTATAATATTACATCTGATCTTGCTTCTAACAAACAAGACATGAATACTTATAGACAAACATGCTATAACTGAGGCTACAGAAAAAACATATGAAAAACCCCTAGCAAACCTCCACCAGTCTGATAGACAAAGATAATGAAATCAGTACTGTGGTCAAGAGAAGAAGGTGGCGAACCTACGGTTCTCCAGTTCCTCCTTCAGAGACCTGGTCACCTGACAAGTCACCTGACTCCTGCTCAACAGTTCTAAACGGGCCAAGCCTTTTCTTGTCCTCATACATTTTCCAGGCGCCGTGGTGGCAAACGCGGAAGAAAAAAAAAAAAAAAAAAAAGAGCCGAAACCAGAAGCAGAACGGCGCGTCTCCTTTACAGTAGCGGCAAACCCGACTGAGCCGCGAGTCTAGACCTCTCTCTCTCTCTCTTTCTCTTCTTCCCGTTTGATATTGGCGTTTGTCGGGAGGGTTTTTTTTTTTTTTTCCTGGTTTTGCCAAGGGGGAATCGGACAAATAGTTAATCTAATCAAGGTAGCTCGGTACGAAAGTCTTTTGGCGGGAGTCTAGTAGTTGTGCTTACATTGCCGACCAAGTTTTCTGGGTTGGAAATAATAAGCACAGAGCTGCGGGGGTAGCGGCTGGTTCAGCATAGTCCAGATTGAGAAATCTGTTGTTGGCAAAACGTAGTAGATGGGCAGCCTGTACTCCGTATTCGCAAGGTCACTTTAAGTGATTCCTACAAGATCTAGATGGACTCAAGGACGGGTTCGAAACGGGATTTTGCGTCAAGCGAGCTCGAATGCTGGAGTTGATCAGAAGCATTTCGGAGGAGTATCTATACCCTTGGAAGTTTATGGAAAAGTATCTTTTGGACCCGATGTATAAGAGGCCTAGACATAGTGAAAGAATAGCAGTTTCCGCGGCTTTTCATCAGCTATTGGTCAAATAAATCAATAGCATATTGCATTCAGTTCTTGATCTGAATGCTGTTCCCAGGATTGGCCGGCCATCTTTGATACTCAGGGCCAAAATGGAGATTATTCCACACAATCTCCACTTGAGCTGAGAAACATTTTCCTTCAACGCTTGAAAAAGAAAGAAAGAAGATTGACAAAAAAACATACAACAGCCGGGATTCGCTGGTGGTCACCCACCCAACTACTAGCCGGCCGGCAAGTGGCTTAAGTACGGCTGAGCGGACGGGAAGCCCTGTATTCCACTTCCTGTGGTCGTATGTGCTAGGAGAATAGTAATGACGGTATTTGTCTGCCATGGTTTGATCCGAGAAGTGCAAATTAGGGGTTCACCTCTCGGTATGAAAGCAGCCCGCTTACTGAGACCGCATACGGGAGTAAGCAAACTGCTCTGTATACGGAGTACCCGTAACTATCTCAGAGTGCAAAACATACATGCAACTCGCGCGCAACCTGAAGCAAGGGCCCTTCATCGGAGTCTGCATCCCCCCCCCGAGCACGGAGTAGTTTAACTACGTTACGGAGTGCTCCGTCGTCTGACGCGTGTTAGTTAGCAGTTACGAGCGCGCGAGCCCATCAGCCCCCCCCCCCCCCCCCCCCCAAAAAAAGCCTCGTTCTAAAGCTTCTCCTGCAGACCATCAGCGCCCCCCTCCCCCGCCAAGCCGTGTTCTACAGACATACAAAGTATGTAGATCAATAATCACGGGTTGGTCATCAGCGCGCGCAGGCGATCCGCAGAACAGCAGCGTTCGGGCGTGCCGGGTGGCACAAACGGGCCCGATCGGCACGAGACGCATCAGAAAGATCATCGGCGCACGGAACGATGTAGTTACATATGTCGTGCAAGAAGAAAACATGGGGGAAGAAATTGAAATGTGGCTGACGGGTGATCTCGTCGTATTCTGCTATGAGTGTTATTTGGACATCGATAATATTGATTATTAAACCCTGGATATACAAACGAAGCGACGACGTGAGACCGGGGCGTCTGGGCTCGCGAGACAAGACCGCTTCAGACAAACAACAGACAACGAGCTAGGCAGCGGGATTTCTGCTAAACCCTAAAAAAAAAAAACGCCGCCCGAAAAAAGAGAAAAAAGAAAAGAAGCGAAGGCTAGAGTGTTTAGGCCTCTGTTTCTTCATTATTGCTTTGGTTCCGAACAAGCCATCAAAAAATGCTAAAACCCCTCAGATGGCGCATCGCTTACTTGTCACTGGCTATTAGTCATGGAAGATCAATCCCCGGCCCCCCAGACAAGAAGCCCTAAAGCTTTAGCTCCTCCATCGAACCAGCAACCGCCACGGCCGCCGCCGCCACAGTCTCAGTCTCCTTATCCTCCGTCTCAGTGGCAGCCGCGTCCACGGCGGCGGTAGGCACCAGAGACACGAGACGAAAATTCAGGGGATTATTGGCGTGGAACTCGATCTCGCCGATGATCCAATTCTCATCGGCGTGGGTGACGCGGAACCAGATGTGGTGGGCGAACACGGCGGCGGCGGACAGCGGGGGCACGACGAAGTCGAGGGCGCGCAGGCCGGGCACGAACTCCGGGTAGGTCGGGCGCGGCGGCTGGTCGGAGGTGAACTGGTAGTTGAGCGAGGTGGCGAAGCGCGCGGCGAGGCCGGCGGCGGCGGAGACGCTGGCGCCGGTGGAGCGGGTCAGGCGGTCGGACAGCGCGGGCGGCACGCCGACGGGGGCGCGGTCGAGACGCGGCAGGTTGGCGAGCGAGTCGTTGCGGTGGGTGGCGGTGTTGTACCAGGCGGTGGCCATGCAGATGAGGCAGAAGGGGCGGTCGACGTTGTCGACGCTGTCGCGGTCGGTGGGGTCGAGGAAGGCCACGAACGGCAGCGCGATGAGGGCCTGCTCGATCTTGCTGAAGACGTCGCCGGGCGCGGGCAGGCGGCGCGGGTCGAGGTCGGGCAGCGGCGCGCGGAACGGGACGAAGTGCTTCTCGACCGCGAGCAAGGGCACGAGCGCGGCACCGGCGGCAACGGCGGCTGTGGGCTTGGCGAGCCCGCGGGCGGCGCGGAAGGTGTCAGCCAGGATGGGCAGCAGGCGGCCGCCCACGGAGCTGGTGGCGTGCGGCTCGACGCGCCAGACGGACACGTCGTCCCGGGCACCGGAGCCGCGGCTGTCCCACGCAGCGGGCTCGACGAACGCAGCGGCGGCGGACGCCAGGTCGGCGCGCAGGCACCACACCAGGTCGGTGCTGGGCGCGTCCCAGGCGCTGTGGGCGACGTCGCCGACGGCCACGTAGCCGGCGGGCGCGACGGGCCGCCACAGCGAGCCGGTGCGGCGCGCGCCGCTGTTCTCGTTGACCCAGAGGCGAGTGTAGCCGGTGGGCGCGACCACGGCGGGCGGCGCGGATGCAGACGCCGTGCTGGTGGCAGCCTGGCCGACGAGCAGCGACGCGCGCGTGCCGGACGGGTCGGCGTAGGCGCGGAACACCACGCTGCCCAGCGGCTTGAGCGCGCCGGCGGCCTGCGCCACAGGGTGCCAGAAGGCGCCCGGCGTGGAGCCGCCGCTGCCGCTGTCGTCCCAGCGCCAGGCGTAGCGGGTGGTCATGGTGACGAGCAGGTCGCCGTACACGCGGGCTTCGTTGTCGGCCATGACGGCGGCGTCTTTCGTGAGCGGGGAGGAGGAGGAGGAGGACGACGACGGGTTTTCTCTATTATGACTCCCTCCAAAATGATGGGAGGCCATGTCTGCGCGGCCATAGGGGGGGCGCGCGGGTCCTGCAGAGGGCTATATAGGGGCGGAAGGGGGGGTATCACGGCGGGAGCGGCCATCAGCAGGCCCGGCGGGGGGCATGCCGGGCGGCACAAGGGGTCAGCAGAGGCAGCGCGATAGAGACCTTGTCGTGCAGGACGTGTGCATGACAGCAGCAGCAGTGTCATCGGCATCGGCATCGCGGGCCATAATAATCGTAATAGTATATGTTTGCTGGGGCCGGAAAGGGGGGGGGAAGCGGCGGCTCACCACATCGTGCATCAAGCCAATGATTAATTAATTAACTAACTAACTAACTAACGAACGAACGGTGTTTGCTGAAACCGGGCGGGAGCGCCAGGAAGGCCAAGCGAGGGCGGTTTGAAACGACGGGCGGGCGGCGCGAGTCATCGGGACGCTGGGCCCACGAACGATAGCGGCCCCGGCGAGCGTGATCCTGGCGTGTTTCGCCCAGGCGCGAGGATGGCGCACGGCGGATGGACGGTCGCTGGGCGGGCGGGCATCGCGGACGAGGACGAGGACGAGCAGCAGTCGGTCGTGAGGAGGTTGGTGGTTGAGGACTAGGGAGTGCATGCAGGACTGACTGATTCTTCTTTTTATCCTTTTCTTCTTCCCTTCTTCTCTTCGCTCGCTCGCTCGCTCGCTCCCTCTCGCTGCTCTCGCCCTCTGCTCGCCGCCCCCTGGCCGATCGCCCCCCGTCGCGCCAGCTGGCGGCTTTTCGCCCCCCCCCCCCCCCCCCGCCGTGCCCTTCCTCTCTCTTCCACCTCCTCGCACTCTCTTATCATCCTATCATCCTCTCTCCCTCCCTCTCCCTCCCTCTCCCTCTCTCCCACCCTCCCCCCAACCCAATGCCGCGCTGCGACGACGCCCGCCGCGGCCGCAGCGCCAGCCTGTCCGCCGACCTGCGCCCGCCCCCGCGCGCCGCCCGCGCCAGCCTGTCATCCGCACCGCCGCTCGTCAACCCGCCGCCGCAGTTCGTCGCCGCTACGGCTGCCCGCCAGCTCATTGCCGCCGATGAGCGCCAGACCGCCCGTCCGCATCCCAGCCGCCGCTCGCTGCCCGCCGTCGACATCTCCGTGGCGGCCCTGGCCCTGCTCAATGGCTTCCTCGACAGCCTGCTCTTCAACGTCCTGCTGGCCGCCCGGTCCACCCGCCTGCGCGCCTTACGCCCGGCCGTCGCCGACGTGCTGAAGCCCCGTCTGGCTCGCGACGTCGTCGCCGCGGCTGACGACGAGCTCGCTGAGTATCTGGGCCTGGGGGACGACGACGACGACCTCGACGACAACTACGACTGCGACTACGACTACGATGACAACCGCCGCCCTGACGCCCGTGCCGCCGGCCACTTCGAGCTCGAGCGCTCGTGGAAGCTGACCCGTCTCAAGTGCATGGTGTACTCGCGCCTGGGTGACATGGAGGAGGAGGACGAGGACGACCACCTGCTGCGCGAGGGCCTGGACGAGACCGCCGTCACTGCCCACCGCCCCGGCCGCTTCGCCCGCTCCGTCGGTCACATCACGCCCGCCGCTGCCATCTTCCTCACCTCTATCCTGGAGTATCTCGCCGAGAACGCGCTGGTCATCATCGCCGACAACGCCCGCGCCCGCCTGGCCGTGCATGACAAAGACGACGACGATCTTGACCGTGAGGATGAAGACGACGACGAGGCCGTCCCGCCGCCGCCGCCGCTGATCATGGAGGACGTCGACGTCGAGAAGATCGGCCTCAATCCCACCCTGGGCCGGCTCTGGCGCACCTGGCGCAAGAACGCCCGTCCGCCCGCCATCGCCCGCACGCTGTCCCGCGAGTCGCTGCTGCGCTTCACCCGCAAGTCCACCAGCCGCCAGAGCAGCATCGCCACCGTCGAGACCCTCGACGAGATGCTGCAACCGCCGCCGCCGCCCCCCTTTTCGCTCTCGCGCCGCGTCATCTCGCACGCCCCTGTGTCCGAGGACGCCGAGCCCATCGACCCCGCCGACGTCCCACTACCGGGCTCGGACCGCGATGTCGAGGAGCTCGAGTCGCCGCGCGTGAAGGAGCAGGACGAGGAGGACGAGGATGCGGACGAGGCGCAGCCGCCCGCCGTGGCCACCACCGCCCGCTCGTTCCGCTCGCGCAGCCTGTTTCTGGGGAACCTGCTGGACGTCGTGCCCGCGTCGGCCGTGGTCGCGCCCGCGCCCCGGTCGGCCTCTGAGCTCGAGTTCCGCGCCGCCCATGCCCGCTCGCACTCGGTGCCCGTGACCATGTCGCGCGCCACCGCCGTCACCTTCAGCAAGGCCCCCGAGCCCATCGTCGTGCGCTCCAAGAAGGAGAAGGAGAAGGAGAAGGACAAGGACGGGGACCGCGAGCCGCTGGCGCCCATGCGCGAGGACATTGAGCTTGCAGAGCAGCAGCAGCAGCAGCCGCCGCCCCTGAGACGGACTGTTAGCGTTCGCCAGCCAGTGCTTGTGACCCGGCTGGACTCGCCCGAGCCAGGGCCGTATGTCGACGCGCGAGAAGAGCCCTCGAGCCCCGTGTCGTCGATCCACTCAGGCACCATTGGCGTGGCCCTGGGCCATCCGCACTCTCCGCTATCGCCTGTGTCGCGCCTGGACAGCCACCTGTCCGACGACAGCCTGGACGACCACCACCACGAGACCAACCCCCGAGCACCCGCCGACGTGTTCGACGCCGACCAGCTGATCCCTCTCAACAGCCAGCCCTCGGGCCTACTGGCGGTCGCGCCCGCCACCCACGGCCTGGCCGTCGGCATCTACCCACATGCGCCCGTCCCCATCCCCGAGCGCTCGCCGCAGCGGCTCTACAGCCAGGACCCGCCGTCGCCGCTGCTTGAAGACGACGAAGACGAAGAAGACGAGCCCGATACTATCGTTGAGACCGCGTTTGTATCGGCGAGACTCTCACAGCCGCCCGCGCTCACGCCGCTGCGCGAACTCGTAGCTTTCGCGGACGGCACGCCCAACAGCAGCCGGAGCAACATCAGCAATAGTAACACCAACAACAACAATAGCAACCCCTCGCCGTCTCGCGTGGTGTCGTCGCGCGCCGCCAGCAGCAGCCCGTTCGGCGTGGCCAAGCACCACTCGACGTCCGCCGAGACCGGCAAGCCCAACAACGTCTCCCCATCCAAGCGCACCGCGCACCACGTCGGCGGCTCGCTGCCGCAGCGCACGGGAAGCCTGCGCAGCGTGTCGCCGGGCGGCCGCGAGCGCGCGGGCGTGCAGCGCGTGTCTCCGCCGCCGCCGCCGCCGCCGCCATCGAACAAGTCGCCCAGCGGCACGCACCGGTCGCGGCGCTCGGAGAGCGGCAGCAGCAACAGCAACAGCAATAGCGGTGGCGGCGGCCACTACTACAGCTCCGAGGGTGGGCGCCGGCCGATCACGGCTAGTTCGGGCAGCTCGCAGGTTTCGAATAAATTGAAAGGCTTGGTGGTAGGACGGCCGACGATCGTGACCGCGGGAGCGGGGACGACGACGACGACCTCGACGTTTGTGCCGGAGAGTAGTAGTGGTAGTGGAAGTGCGCTGTTGAAGGGCGATGGTGGATCGGATCTGGATCAGTTGATTGAGAGTGATGAGACGCTGCATTATACGCTGACGCCGAAGACGATGAGGGAGATTGAGGTATGTTGTCCTTCTCCTTTTGAACTAGTTATGGCTTGCTTGTGAATAGGTACTGATCTTGGGCGGCTAGGACCCTGAGTCTCCGCGATGGGCGTCTGTTCGCAACGCCGCCATGGCTGAGGGAGATGCGGCGGGCAGCGGCGAGCCGACTGTGCGGTCGCCCACGCTCTCCAGCGATGCCAACGGCCTGCGAGTCTCGACGACGACGACACCCGTTTCGCGCTTCCCACCGCGACTCCCCGCCGTGCCGCAGGCCCGCGAAGCAAAGACGGACATGGACTCCGTGCGCGAGTTCGCTGACTTCATCAAGCACACCGGCCCCGAGCCCGGCCGCTCGTCGCCCTCGTCGAGATTGTACACACCCATTGTTACCACGCCCGCGCCCGCACCGCTGCTGCAGCACCCGCAGCCCCGGTTCGCGCAGAGCCTGGGCTCGATTGCGTCGTCGCCCGCGGGCTCGCGCGCCCAGAGCGCCATGTCCAGCCGGACGGCGGCGACGGCGTCCAAAGCCAACAACAACAATCGGCCGCGGCTCGAGGCCCGGTCGGCCGTCGCGCCCAAGGACAGCCAGACGTCGGACCTGATCGACTTCATCCGCGAGGGCCCGCCGCGCGCGGGCGGGCAGCACCGCATCCCGCGCACCGTCGCGCCGTTCCGCTCCACCATGGACTCGGACGAGTTCCACTGCCTGAGCCCGATCCGGGTGGACAAGGACGGCGGGTTTGCGCCCAGCGCGACCACCAGTGTCAGCATGCTCGACGCCGGCTCGACCGTGACCAGGTCGTGCAATTCGTTTAATTCCCGCACCGGCTTGCTGGACGCCACGCCGCCCGCGCTTCAGGGCGGTAGCAACGGCGGCGGCGGCACGATGTGGAGTATCAAGCCGCAGCCGCCGCTCGGCTCGGTGCTCGACTCGCCGCCCCAGGACCGCATGGGCATGCCCGTCCGCACGCGGCGCAAGGCGCGCGATCCGTACGCCATTGATTCCGACAGCGAGGACGAGCACGACCTGCTGTCCCGCGGCTCGCGCAAGCAGCCAGCCCCCACGCGCCACGAAGAGAGCCTGGTCGACTTCCTGCGCAGCGTGACGCCGCCGCCCAGCAACGATGCGCCGCCGCAGCTGCTCTCGGTCAACATGCACGTCGTGCACAACCTCACGCCGCCGCCGCAGCCCAAGCCCAAGTCCATGAAGTCGCGCCTCATGCGTACCGCCTCCACCGACAAGTATCCGCACCCACACCCCGCGCACGCTGTCTCCTCCCACCCACCCAGCAGATCCGGCCTGCGCCCCCAGAAATCCTTCCCCGCCAACCCCTCCGCCCTCACTGCTGCTGCCGCTCCAGCGCCACCCCCGATCCCCGCCTACCGCCAGCAACAGCAACACCCGCGCCGCCAGAGCTCCGTGCCCAACGCCGCGTACCCGCACGGCGGGTACAACGTGATTCCGCGCGCGGCCGACGAGATGCGACTCACGGCGCACCAGGGCCGGGCGCACGAGACCGGCACGGCCGCGTTGGCGGATTTCTTCCGCAATACGGCGCCGCCCGGGTCCGTGCAGACGATGCCGCCGTCGCGCCCGCAGCAGCAGCAGGCGTCGAAGAGTGGGTTTGGGTTTTCGAGGGTGTTTTTGAGGAGGAAGAAGCAGGTGGTGTAAGTATGGTAGTTCTTATATGGGCTGCTCGTTGACTTCGGTTTCTTTTTTCATTGATCACAGAAGAATTTGGTTGTTTGTTGCCCTTTTCTTTTTCCCAAAACTTTTCAAGAAAAAAAAAAAATAAGCCTACAAAATTATTCTATAATTTTTTTTTTTTTTTTTTTTTTTTTTTTCTCGCGTTGTTTTCTATATGCTACCCATTTCCGATTATTGTGTGCACGCTATATGTATGAATGATTTGATATCTCCTGTACAGTACTTGAAATTTCGTTTCTGCTCCTCTAACCCACCCACCCCCCTCCTATCTTTCTCCCAAGTACCCCTGGGTCTTTCCATTTCCCCCCCGATATTTGTTCTGCTGTACATATACCTCTTTTTTTTTCGTCTTTGGTGGTACGAATGTCCCCTCCCCCACTTGAAATGTCGAATGACCGAACGAACGGCTTAATGGTGTCACTCGTCCTTGTTTTTTTTTTTTTGTTTTCTCTTTCTTGTTTGCTACCCGGTGGGCCTATTTGCAATCCTGCGACATGTCGGTTATTCCTTTGTGTCTCTTTTCCCCCCCCTCCACTTTTTAATCGGCTACTTTCACACCTTCCTAGGGGCGGGTTCGATTCATTTGATCGTTTTTTTTTTTTTCTTCTCTTTTTATGTAGGGGATGGGGGGGCTTGATTTTTGTTCTGAGAACGATACCAATTCGGATTTGGTTTTTGCTTGTTTGGATTTTTATATTTATTAGAATATTACTTTTTTCTATCTGTATTCTACCAAGTAGCTCTTCGCATTGTTATTCAATAATTCTCAAGTACGGAATACTCGAAATCTGGCCTTCACATGGGAGAGCTGAGGTTGGTGGAGCCAAACCCAGCGGAGCGGAAAATCCTTCCCCCGACGCTGTCTCCTGAAACGGCAAAAAGTGCGTTGTTGGCTTCGTTGGTCTCCGGGGAACGCCAGCAAAAGCCATTCGTAAGAGCGCCCATTCCCGCTCTTCTCCCCAACCTTCCTGTCCTCCTTTCACCATGGCGTCCGCGGACATGGGACGATGGTCCCTGCGTCATCTGTTTTTCCTCGTGTGCATTGTCCTTCCGGCCTGGTCGAGCGCCCTGCGATTCGAGATCGAAGCCAACAGCAACCGCATGATCGTCGAGCGCTGCATACACAATTTCGTGGCCAAGGACCAGCTTGTCGTGGTCACGGCCATTGTGAGCGGGCATAAGGGAGATGGCCAGATGGTCAATATGCGTGTATGTGTGCGGATTGCGAGTGGTTTTTTCTGCTCCGGGGCTTGTTTATGAGCTCCGGGGGCGGGAAAGCTTTGGGATACTGGCTGACAGTGACATTCCTTTTTTTTTTTTGGTTATAGATCAAAGACTCCCTCGGCAACGAATATGCCCGTCCCAAAGACGTCGTCGGCGAGACCCGCCAAGCTTTCACATCCGCTGGCGATACCTCGTTCGACGTCTGCTTCTCCAACGACCTCGTCGGCGGACGTACGTCCCCTTCCCTTCTTCTCCCTTTTTCCCCCCACTAACCACCCCTCTCCCTCCCCCACAGACGCCAGCGGCATCCCCTCGCGCAGCATCGAGCTGGACATCGACATCGGAGCGGACGCGCGCGACTGGGACGCCATCAAGGTGCAGGAGAAGCTGAAGCCGGTGGAGGCGGACCTGCGGCGCATCGAGGCGATGGTGGGCGAGATCGTGACCGAGATGGACTACATGCGGCTGCGCGAGCAGAAGCTGCGCGACACCAACGAGAGCACCAACGAGCGCGTCAAGTGGTTTGCCTTTGGCACCATGGGCATGCTGCTGGGTCTGGGCGCCTGGCAGGTTGTGTATCTGAGGGCGTATTTTAGGTGAGAGATATTCCTTTTTTTTTTTTTTTTTTTTGTGTGGATATATTGGACGAAATGGCTAACCTTGGTTCGGAATAGATCGAAGCATCTTATCTAGGTTGTTACGGATTGCTTGCTTTGTGTGTTCATACCTTTCACCGGCAGCCGGATTACATAGAAAGTTCATTATTCCCTGCGCTATAGCGATCGTTTCCTGGTCTGCAATCGGGTCCTTTTTGTTTCCTCCAACCAGTGAATTATATGGCGGTTTTGCAATGTAGTTTTAATGTCATGATGAATTTACACCGACATGAAATGCCTGTGGTATTTCCCAATTTAGTTTCCTGTATGACTTTGCGTCTGCTGTTCTTTCTGGGGCCAAGCACCTGAAAAGTGGAATGCATCACAGAATGTCAGTTCTGTTTTTCAGACAATGATGGAGCAGAACTTTCTAATGGTGCACATAGGTGTGGAATAGGTACCGACTGCCTAGCTGTGGCAGTGCATGTGACGCACAGATGTATGTACAGGGTGGTTAGGCATCATTCAGTATACAAGTCCCTCAAGGCTGGCAGGCATCTTGAGTATCAAAGACACATTGCTCAATCAAGGAGAAGGAAAAACGATTAATCAAAATAATCATCTTTATCCTAATTGCAAGACCTCCAAATGGCAACGCCAGATCTCAAAGCGAACGGGCTCTACGTCCTCCTCTTCATCAGAGCACACCCTCCAGTCCCAGACGACTTCCACTGGGCGCTTTACATCCACCGCGATTCCAAAACAGGCGGGACAAAATACCACATCAGACAGCCCGGCAGCAGTGCCTGGCTGGCCGACCACGGCCCCGTCGCTGCCGTCATGAAATCCTTCCTTCTCGTCGGCCTATTCCAGATCGCAGACATTCCAGCCGGTCTAGAGGAGCATGTTGATCGTATGATGAAGAGCTTCGACGCTCGACTCAATGATATCCCGACGACGTGCCGAGTCTGGATGTTTTGGGTGCTGGAGCTTTTACAGAGGCCGGAGAATCGGCAGACCGTGCTGCGGTGTGAGAGCCTTGAGCGGCTGGAGCGCGAGATCAAGGACTGGGGGAATTCCAATGCGATGAGTGCCGCGGGCAATGAGCAACCGAGACCTGTTGCCGCTTCGTTGCTGTGCGGTTTGTAGCGACTTCTTTGAGAGAATGGGTTTGGGAACAGGCAATCATTGTGCCTACCGGCTATCTTCTCTCTGTTTTTAGCATTCATTTCTACTCATTGTGCTTAATTTAGAGGCCTCAAGGGTGTTTTATAGCCCAATGATGGGTACAGCTATAATGGAGTAATCGCAAGACCCCTTTCAAAAGAAGCTCTTAAGAGCCACGGCGTACGCCGTACTCTGCCCTACTCCCTTGACCAATTATAGCGATTCTAACTCATCTTGGCGAGTGCACCGCGCCAAGACGTTATAGATGAACAGACGCAGTACGGAGTACAGGTCACTGAACGGATTCTGTGGCCAATCAACGGTTGTATCCTCTGAGATTGTGAGTGATAACTCGTCTTGGCGAATGCGCGGCGCCAAGAAGTTATAGATGAACAGACACAGTACGGAGTACAGGTCACTGAACGGATTCTGTGGCCAATCAACAGTTGTATTCTCTGAGATTGTGAGTGATAACTCGTCTTGGCGAATGCGCGGCGCCAAGAAGTTATAGATGAACAGACACAGTATGGAGTACAGGTCACTGAATGGATTCTGTGGCCAATCAACGGTTGTATCCTCTGAGATTGTGAGTGATAACTCGTCTTGGCGAATGCGCGGCGCCAAGAAGTTATAGATGAACAGCTACGGAGTACGGTTCGTCCAGCTAGTTCCTTCATTGACCAATCAGTAATCGTATACTTGAGTAACGCGTCTTGGCGGTATGAACGGGCCAAGATACCTAAGTACGAACCAGCCAAGGCAGTACAAATCGATCAAACATTTAACTAAATAGTACCTTTCATGACCCTTAAGATCGACCTCCTTGCCCTCATACGTTTAACAGTAAAGACTCGCTATAAACCATCAAGATGAATGCGTCACAGAAACTTTGTCAGCTTTCACTGTTGAAGATTTCGCGAGCCACCTTCAAATCTACACGGCCTGCAGCTGGGTTCCAACTGTCCAGATCACCATACCGCTTGATATCAACAAGCCACTGCTTACTTACGAGCAACAATCCGCCGCAGACCGCCCCTGGCACTTCCTCCGTAGTAACTGGCCGACCGCAGAGCGGGATTCCGAGAAAACATGAACTGGAGTTGGGCGAAATGGAGGGAATCACATTCAAGGTTGAGCCGATACGCCGGATGGGGGAGGATGTATCTACAATGCGCGCACGGCTCCTATGTCTGTCACCTAACCGCTTCCTTTTGTTTCCGTCTGATATCTGGCTTGCTGACTGTGGTCTACAGATCAATCCCGAAAACGCGGAACTCTTGAATCCGACCTCCTTCTATCTACATTCGCCGCTTCCAATCTGTCCTCCATGACGAAAGCTCAATTAGAGGAATACGACCGCTTCCTGGATGAAAACGACTGGGACATATATTACTGGGCCACACAGGAGCCTCCGACGCCAGGCACGGAATCCGAGACCTCAGCCACTACTGGTGCAACGCCGAAGGACACTGTCACTGATACCTGGAAGAGCGGAGCTGCTAAGAGTGGGGAGTGGGCGCAGACTGTAGGTGCATTCAAGCCGGCATATAGGCCGGTGCCGGATCGATGGGCGGATAGTGAGACCTTGAGATTGCTAAGGCAACATGTCAAGGATAGAAGCGCAGGCGGAGAAAATAGCAGCGAGAAGGGTGGAAAGGCAACTGGACTGGGAAGAATGCCCAATATCGAAGTCTTTTACTCATAGTACCGATAGAGTTGTTCGCTTGTACCATACCGCTTTTTGCATCTCAGGCTTGCACGGAGTCTGGTATATATATTGAGCATTTGTATATATGCATTTTCAATCATACTCCAAGGGAACCAGCCACTTGCATTCCGCAGATACGGATTCTGCGTCTGCATATTCGTGATATAAAGCCGCTTTGCGCAGTAAAGATACTCACAGCCCAATTGCACCGCCCATCGGCTAACTGCTAAACACCTGCATCTCAGCCAGCATTCTCAAACGGCGTAGGAGGCCGTGCGTGTCGTCGTCGTTTTCTGGTCGTCGAGCGACATTGAAAGCTGATGGCTCGCTTAGGTCCCAACTAGGCTTAGCGCCGCGGGCACTAGCAAATCAGCGTGCGCTTAGGGTTTGTGTGTGTGTTTGGCTTCGACACCCGCAAACCAGAACAGAAGAAAAAAATCAACCCCATTGCTCGCCCATCCACCCGTTTCTCTCCGCCCTTCAAGTTATCCCAGACTTCCAGTTCAAGTCTGTATAGCAATCATGGCCGAGCAGTTTACGCTCCGTGGAACCCTCGAAGGCCACAGTGGCTGGGTTACTTCCTTGGCGACCTCGATGGAGAAGTGAGAGCTGCGAATTCCTGGCCCTGGAGAGCTGCTGGCCGAGGCGCCGGATTGCGTGTTGGATTGGTGGAAGCATGCTGACCGTTTCTGTGTTTTTAGCCCAAATATGCTCCTCTCCGCCAGTCGCGACAAGACCTTGATCATCTGGAACCTGACCCGCGACGAGACAGCATACGGATACCCCAAGCGAAGTCTCCACGGCCACTCTCACATTGTTTCTGACTGCGTATGTTCTGCCTGCAAATACTAGCTATGAATAATGGTAGAGAGTCATCCATGGCTGATTGGTGATCTTTTTGTGATATGCGAATAGGTCATTTCCTCCGATGGTGCATATGCCCTTTCAAGCTCTTGGGATAAGACTCTCCGTCTGTGGGAACTCTCCACTGGCAACACCACCCGTACCTTTGTCGGCCACAACAACGATGTCCTCTCCGTCTCCTTCTCCGCCGATAACCGCCAGATCGTCTCTGGTTCCCGTGACCGAACAATCAAGTTGTGGAACACTCTCGGTGACTGCAAGTACACCATCACTGACAAGGGCCACACCGAATGGGTTTCCTGCGTTCGCTTCAGCCCCAACCCCCAGAACCCTGTCATCGTTAGCGCTGGCTGGGACAAACTTGTGAAGGTACGCTTCGACCTGTCTCAACAGCTGCCCATTTTTTCCCGGAACCCCAAAAGATGTTTGCAATTCAAGTATTTGCTACTTCAGAGCCCTTTGTGGGCTATGAGACAATTATCACCATTTGCCCTGATGGAAATTTCGTTCATTTTAATTATAATATTTGCATATGCATTATTGGTATCTTTTACTAATCTTGCTCCCCTAGGTCTGGGAACTCTCCACCTGCCGCATCCAGACTGACCACATTGGCCACACTGGCTACATCAACACTGTCACTATCTCTCCTGACGGCTCCCTCTGCGCTTCCGGTGGAAAGGACGGAATCACCATGCTCTGGGATCTTAACGAATCCAAACACCTCTACTCCCTCCAAGCAGGAGACGAAATCCACGCCCTCATCTTCTCTCCCAACCGCTACTGGCTCTGCGCTGCCACTACCAGCAGCATCACCATTTTCGACTTGGAGAAGAAGAGCAAGGTTGACGAACTCAAGCTCGAGACCGAGGCTACGAAGAAGGGTCGGGAGCCCGAGCCAACCAGCTTGGCTTGGTCTGCTGATGGCCAGGCTCTCTTTGCTGGTTACACTGATAACAAGATTCGGGCCTGGGGCGTTCTGTCAATGGCATAGAGAGAATTGAATCTGGAAAATTGTCAAATCAGTAACAGTAATGGGTTGGGATGGACGAGCGATGAGCCATGATTTTTTTTCCTGAAACTACATAAAAGTGCACCAGACCCTGTCCTTGGGGAAGAAATATGACAGAATGGAAAGAAGTTCTGTTCTGGACATTATATCCCCTCTTCAGTGTCGGGCATAAAAAGGGCGTCCTGATCCAATGAGGGTAGGAAGGAAAACTAGCTGTATAGGGGTTGTGTATACCCTGTACTGGTTCATTTTTTAAATGGTATCTACCTTTTCTTTTTGCACTCTTGTTGGTAGATATGCAGAACAATTCCTACTATGTTCAACTGGATTACTGTTCCTGAAGCCACTCACTCCAGCTATCTTAACGTGGAAATGCCTGCATTTTTGGCCTCCCTGGAAAAGATATTTTATATATCGTACAAATCTCATCAGGACTTCAGTGGATGGTTCTCTTTAAGCGAGGATCTTTCATGTCTGCTTTTTGATCCGCTCCATAGCCTCATTTACTCTCTCAACACCCTCAGGAACCTGTATTCGCTTTGCGATTTCCCTCGCTTCTACATAATACTTCTTCGCTTCAGTAAAATGACCCTGCATCTCCGCTATCTCCCCTAGGTTGTAAGTCGCGGTTAGGCACCCTTGGTCACATTCCTGATTTCGGGCTGGAGGTTGGATCTTATCAGCCACATCAATGGCTTTCTTAGCCCACTCCGAGGCGGCGTAAAGTAACTGGTCACGCGATACCGGGGGCATATGTGCGCTGGATGTCGTTGCTGCAGGTGGAGGACTTGGGCTTTGAGCCTGCTCAGCCATTTGGCTTGCTATATTGTTCAGCAGGACGACCTGGGCACATGTACTGGGCCTGTCTTGCTCGTCTTCTTTAATTAGTGAGAGAGACTGCATGTATAGAGCTGTTGAAAGGTCGTTTCGACCCTTCCGCGCAAATAAATCTGCTAGTTCGTTGAAAGCGGATGCTACCTCTGTAAGATTGAGGTAATAGCCACCTTCTACCTGGGATACTGGGAGGTTCTTTCCCCGACGGTACTGAAGCTCAGCGCGGCTGAGATCAACGGCTTTTATTAGAGCCTCTTCGGCTTTTTCTGAGTCACGGATGTAATCGCTTGAGTAGAGTTCTGCCAGCTTTACACCACAGCCTGCAGCCCTCTTCATAGCAAGGGCACGCCGTTGCTCCTCTTCTATTTGTTTTTCCTGCTCAATATTCTCGTCTTCCGCGGTAGAGCTGTCTTTCGCTTGATTTCGACTTGAACGCTCTCGATATCTAACCAGTTCCTTTCTCCGCCCATTATTCACCCATTCAACACAGTCTTTCTGTAATGTTTCTAATAATTCAATAGCTGGTTTGATCATCTCTGCTTTTTCTAGCATCTGTACGATATGTAATCTGATCCCCAGTACTTCTTCCGAGAAAGGATGCAGGCCCGACAAATCTGCCGCAATCAGCGCTTGTTTGTACCAATGAAGCGCAGCCACAGGATTCAAATCGAACTCTGTATAGTATATTGCCTTTCGCAATCTATCACTCACGGGTGCCGGAAAACGTGCGAATTGGGGTTCCACCCGGGTGACGTGGTCGTATATGAGATATATGAGAAAGCCTGTCGTACCGAGGGCAAAAATGAGCATGGCCGGCATGCCAATGGGCCGTTCTTGCCAGATATCCTTTCTGGCTTCATTGAAGTTGTCGCGAAAGCGCGAAAAGGCCGAGGCAGAGCGAACTTGATAATAAAATGGAATGCGGATATTGGAGATGGTTTTGGGCAAGAAACAGTCCCTTCGTGCTTGTGACAATGGACGGATGTGGGGGATAAGCCGGGTTGTGGTGGTAGAGGGTGCGGCGCCGATGCGGCGGAGGCCGAGGTGAAGCATTGCAAGGCAGATTTTATAGTACCATGATAGAATGTAGTCGTATATCCAGTAAATTATATTTAAGGAAGAGCCAGGTCTCACTGGTTCGTCAATAGGCTGTGAAGATGAATAGTGTAAAGGTGAAGCTCGCAAATCTTAAGATTCGAGCTCTGGCGATAGCTTGGCACCGAAGTTAATCAGATAAGCTTACTATTAGTATCAAGGCACTACCGATCAACCTCCTGGAACCCAGAAACAGGGGGCCAAAAATGACTTGATAGGTCATCAGCTGGATAGAATCTTTGGGTTATCAAAATGTGTGGTAGATATGCTCTAGGCGTGGTATGCATATCCCTATTAGCTAGGAACCCGAACTCCACGAATGATTGGTGTCTGACAGGCTGATATCCAGCGTCTCGCATTCATCCGAAACCAATTGCAGCACCATGGCCAGCGAGTAGACGAAGCTCCAGATGACGACCAAGTACGAGAAACCTACAACTTTGCCCCTGGAAACTATGGCGCTATCTATCGCGCTGACACCCTTGACCATGGCGGCTATGATCCCTCAGAGCCTCATGATGGCGAAACACAGACCACTCACCACGCAGAACCCAAGGGGGTAGAAGAATTGCATGATATCGGTAAAGAAGGTACGCAGGATCAGATTAAATATAAACTCCAGAGCATGAAATGGGGTCTCGTTCCATTCTGGACGAAACGGACGCCGGATTACGGTTCCTTGATGAAGACGATCAACTGCCGCGACGACTCTCTTGCTGAGAATAAGGGTATGTGGACATCTATGAAGAAACGAAAGCGATGCGTAGTTGTTTGCCAGGGTTTTTATGAATGGTTAAAGAAGGGCAAAGAGAAGATTCCACACTTCGTTAGACGGAAAGACGGGAACCTTATGTGCTTCGCTGGACTATGGGATTGTGTCCAGTATGAAGGTAGCTTATATGTCCGATGATTTATGACTTCTATGCCTTTGACTAACTACGTTCAGGTTCTGACGAGAAGCTTTATACCTACACAGTTATCACTACTTCGTCCAACGCCGCCCTCAAATTTCTCCATGATCGTATGCCCGTAATTCTGGAACTAGGAAGTGCTGAAATGGCAACGTGGCTAGATCCACACCGAAATACCTGGACCAAAGAACTGCAGTCTATGCTCAAACCATACGAGGGAGAACTCGAAGCCTACCAGGTGAACAAGGACGTGGGTAAGGTTGGAAATAACTCGCCTAGTTTTATCATCCCAATTGACAGCAAAGAAAACAAGAAGAATATTGCCAATTTCTTTGTCAACACCAAGAAAGGGGGTGCACAAACTCAGCCTAAAGGTGAAATAGAGATAAGAATGGAGGGCAAAGAAGCTGAAAATGCAACTTCCCGGAAACGCAAATGTCCTCCAGATGAGGGAGACGGAGTCAACTCGGAAAAACTACCTAAAATTGAGGACACTCCCAAGCCTACGACAACAACAACAACAACAACAGCAGTATCACCAGTGCAATCTACTATTAGTCCCAGCCGCAAAACACGCAGTGCAACCAGCAATCTCACAGGTACCACCAAGAGCAAGGGCGCAGGCACAAAAACCACAGGACATAGGAGCCAGCGGATCACCAGCTTCTTCAAGAAGTAAACGCCTGCCGCTACTGCATTTCCTGATTTGCTTCTTCTTCACTCCATAGCGCATTTGCCGTTAATATTACCGCCGCTTTAGCGCGCTGACTCAGGCTGCCGCGATTTTACACCGACGTCACGTGCCTCATTGTCACGTGTCGGCTGACGGCTTCCCCGCACCCAATAGCAGCGCCCGCAATTCGCGGCATCCCGGTTTCTCACTCCGGCGCCGGTTATTCCCCGGATTAACGCGCTCCAACGTTGTTCCGCGCTGGATATATAGTTGTGCAGCTTGTGCTCTCTCCATGGACTTGCATTGCTTGGGACCGTGTGCGTACCGGCAAGGCGCAATCTCTCTTTAGTGGCCATTGAGCTCCATTAATCATGTTGCTTGCCTTTCTTTTTAACCCATACTTCGTTGTCGGTGCCCTCGTTACCTACTTTTATATTGCACCATATCTCCGCTTGTGGTATCTACGCGACATCCCCTCACCATTCCCAGCTTCAATCTCCAATCTCTGGCTGCTATATCAAGCCCGCAAGGGAACAAGATACCTAGCTGTGAACGATGCCCATAAGAAATATGGGACTCTCGTTAGAATCCAACCGAATCATGTTTCGGTTGCTGATGCAGATGCTATCACGGCCATCTATGGCCATGGAAACGGGTTTTTGAAAGCGTGAGTTCAACCAAGCTACTGTTTTGCCTTCATTGCGTGAAGTGGTTACTCATGGTCTTGCGGATACGTTGTATATCTAATTCTACCCTCGCAGTGAGTATTATGACGCCTTTGTCTCCATTCGCCGCGGCGTTTTTAACACAAGAAGCCGCGCGGAGCATACACGCAAAAGGAAGACGATTTCCCATACTTTCAGTGCAAAGTCTGTGGGCCAATTCGAGCAATACATTCACGCAAATCTGGAGCTTTTTGTGCTGCAATTGTCGCAAATATCGAGCTTACAGCGAAATCCAAAATCAGGGTTTGCATCCATTGATGCTCTGAACTGGTTTAACTACCTGGCCTTCGATATCATTGGAGATTTAGCATTTGGAGCCCCATTTGGTATGCTTGCGAAAGGAAGGGATGTCGCAGAGATGAAAAAATCTCCAGACGCTCCCGCATCGTACGTTCCCGCTATCCAAGTTCTCAACCGCCGTGGTGAGGTGTCTGCAACTCTAGGCTGCTTTCCTGCGTTGAAACCTTTTGCCAAATACCTGCCAGATCGTTTTTTTCGCGATGGCTTAGAAGCAGTGGAGAATCTGGCTGGTATTGCTGTGGCACGGGTAGCGGAGCGTCTTCGCCCCGAGGTGATGGCATCGAACACTAGAGTAGACCTCCTCTCCCGTCTTATGGAAGGACGGGATGAAACGGGTGCAAAATTGGGTCGTGAAGAGCTTACAGCGGAAGCCTTAACCCAACTTATCGCAGGCTCAGATACGACTTCGAATACTTCCTGTGCCCTTCTCTATTGGGTTTTGAGGACTCCTGGTGTTGTTAAAAGACTACAAGAAGTCCTAGACTTGGCGATTCCTGCACATATTGAAGTACCATCGTTCGCTATGGTTAAAGATATTCCTTAGTATGCATAGACCCTCTATTTTATTCTCTGACTTAGATCTAACTTCATTTTAGCCTACAATGGGTCATTCTGGAGACAATGCGCATCCACAGCACATCGTCGCTTGGCCTTCCTCGAGAAATCCCTCCAAATTCACCACCAGTCGTCATCAAAGGCCACACCTTCCATCCAGGAGCTATCCTATCAGTTCCTTCATATACCATCCACCACTCTCCAGAGATATGGGGACCGGATGTAGATAACTTCGTTCCCACTCGATGGGATCCCGCTCGACTTACTTCCAAACAGAAGGCTGCATTCATTCCCTTCAGCTATGGCCCCAGAGCATGTGTAGGGAGAAATGTTGCGGAAATGGAGCTGCATTGTATCACCGCGACTGTTTTCAAAAATTTTGAGTTTCAGCTGGAACAAGATGGTCCTATGGAGACTTCAGAAGGTTTTTTGAGAAAGCCACTGGGGCTTCAGGTAGGGATTAAAAGGCGGCAGGTGAACACGTGAACGGCTGAACGCCATGTATGGGTTATTTTGTCCAAGCATATTCTCTTATTTTTGTTTGATCTTAACAACAGCTGGGTCGATCTCCAGAGTCTAGGAGGTCCATGTGGTGGATGATTATCATTTTTGTTGCATGCTTGCCAACGTGGCACCTTACGATGCTAATGTAAATCACTTTTTGTTCTGCTTCCTCATCCACCTCACAACCCATTCGATCAGCAGTCCCACATCCTCGCAAGTTTCAAGAACCTTCGAAGCTTTTGCACAGAAAGTTTTCCTTTCAGCCTCGGTTTTATTATCATGTTCATCCTGCCATAGGCCTGAAACTTCGGATATACTGATAGTTCCATTGAGACGAATTTCCACATTCATCATTACAGTTTGAGGTGTCATTTCTGACACGGCATATGGCAAGGTTGGCTCATTGTTTAGCAGAGTTTCATCAACACTGAAAACTACGATAATTGATGGCACACCTCCTATTGGCGTTCGGAGTGAGATGTCCGCTCTAAGACCCGTCTCAGCTGGTAGAGGTCTAAGTGTCTGAGTGTCTGAAGGAGAAGAGCGGAAACCGCCCCTTCTGGTCTTCAATAACATTGAGTCGAGCTGACGTTCCGTGGGATTAATGTTGCTGATGTAATATCCGTCAGGTGTAGATTCTGTGAAGACGTGAGGCTCTGGTTTCTCAGGCGAGATCGAGCGGTTTGTCCTGGGATCTGCCGTGGAATCGTTGAATACTCTCTGCAAGAGGTTAGAAAGCAGAGCATACTGTCTTAAAACCTGAATAGATAGTTGGTTAGCTGGACACCGATCTATGGTTTTTCTCCCTTTTTCCTTTCTTTGTTTTTTGTGGTTGGGGTTTAGAGAATGTCAATTACGTACTGGAAGGATTTCTGATATCTGCCGTGGATGTGCGAACGGCAACTCACTGATTGTGCGGCCCGGAACTTGTTCAACAGCACTGAAAGTGTACAGATGTGGTCGGCCTATCGCTTTTCCGTGCTCGTCAATGCGATAAACCTCTCTCTCGTGTAATGACTGCTTGGCTTCTATATCTAGAAAATCGAGACGGTCAATATGGGGAGGAACAACAAGCAAATCATAGGTAGTAATTTTCAATTCCTGGGCCATGTTCAGCCCGAGAACTCGGTAGACCTCCGATGCAACCAATGTGGGCATCGCAACTGGAGGTTCAAGTCGCGCGGCGAATCTAACATTTGGGGTTGTTCCAGATAGCATAGGCGGGTCTAGTGCAGATTGCGGGTTGCTACTTAGAGTTGATACTAACGTAGTTGGAGGTTCGACCCAATTGACCATATTAATTTTAGCAGTATCGTTACCGTCTTGGGTATCAATTTCCGTGAAAGCAACTTCCGCCACCCAGTCCTTTGATATCCGAACTGGAGGATAACCAATTTCACATTCGACTGCAGCGCTCCAAAGCTTTAGATTCGGGTGAGAATTCTTGTCACCATTAGGTGGCTTATCAGTGTCCATCTTATTTTCTGACGTACGTTCTTCGGAATCAAGCATTCGGTTCTGTTCTGCCCAGTAGTCGAGGACAAGTCCAAGGTGCTTTCCGCCATGTAGAGACGGCCGTCCGACCCATCCTTTGCATAAATGCTCCCAGTCTCCTCGATGCATACCGCGGTTCTTTTCCTCGATCCATACCCTTTTTAAGGACTCGTAAACACCTTCCGTAGCCTCAAAACAATTAACCTCTCTACTCAGTTGATCCATTATTGCTAATCGACGTAGATTCTCATGAAACTCTCCCAATGGTTTCCAGCGCCCACTCTGTTGATCTCCAGGTGTTTGTTCCAGATTCCGCCTCAATACTTCTGATGCTTCTGCTCTCCTCTCACCCTCTGGGGCGTCAGGAGTAGCATACCTCAAAGTGACATTTGTGACAATCTCCTGGCCGGGCTGGAACTCAATCTCCAAATCAACGGAGTTCCCGGCTATGCTAAGGTCATTATCTTGCCACATACACTCCAAACCCTCAAGTCTACCCAGGCGTTCCACACTTTCACGACATACCCCCCTTCCGGCAACTCTAGTTCGCAGTAACGCCACAACCTCATCGATTCTTTTTCTTCTCTCTTCGTCGATATCCTTGGCTATGCCTAAAGGGGGAATCGGCAGGGCATGAACGTCACTGTCGGCCATACCCTGTACGCCAAGCACATCTTGTGCTGCTGGGGATGGTGTTATTCCACTCAGACCAAGAGCAATTAGTGCTGATGGCGAGCTAAACATGGCAGGATCTTCAAGCCCTGCTGCTGTCATAGGAAGCGGTGTAGGAATGCTGTATGACGGTGCACTGGGATGGTTTTGATGCCCGTGTCCCGAGGCAGATGGTGTTTTCATGGAAGGGGATTTGTGTGAGAGCGGGCGGCCCATAGGTACAGCAGATGGATGGGGTGAAGATGTATATTGAGTGGGTGTCGCACCCAAGTTATTTTTAGAGAATGGTGTCGCCATGATGGCGATATTTATGGTTTAATAAGTCTCTGAAGGGTAAATTTGGTTCCAGAAAACAAATATGAATGTATGCAGGGCGTACCCCGCTGAATGGTATTAGTTGAGGGTATTCGCGAAGATGCTCATATTGTGGCTATAAGGAGCTTGTGTGCTAGTTAACCGTTTAAGGGCTTCAGTGAGAGGAAGAGTAGCTAACGAGACGCCACTGTCATTGGAAAAAGAATATTATTCTAATCTTTAATTATCGGCCTTTGAATTTTCTCGCTGCATTTCATCCGTAGGAACTACTTTGAGGTTACCTATCGCTGCTTTTAGACCAACGCTGGAGACAAAATGGCAGCTGACTAATCATGTAACTAACTAATTAACTAAGTGACTAACCTACCGAGTACTCCGTACTTAGCTCCCGAGTTCAAGAAAATTTAAAAGCGGCGCGGGATGTTTTTTAGTTACTAAAACCTTCACTTCATGCAAAGTCCTTACGTGTCTTTATGTAATGGGAAAAAAGGATTTCCATTGAGATACGGAGTATATATACACACGTCATGAATATGTTCAAGAAGAAGAATCGTTATGGATTGTTGGCCAGCCTTCCCTGAATACTAGCCGAATCCAGATATCCAGCACTCCCTTCATTAGGAATGTTTGAAAATCTCAAATGGCCCGTCAGCAAATGTGACGGTATACAGCAGTCAAGCTAACACCGCTTATTTGCCGCTGTTGTTGTAGGCGAGCTTGTTGGTGGTCTGGGCTCCAGGGTTGCGGATGACACCCTGAGAGAGGGCCTTGATGCGGTCGCAGGCCTGGTTGGCGGGAATGCCCTCGAGCGCCATGAGGTAAGCACCCAAACCAGCGATGTGAGGAGCGGCCATGGAGGTTCCGGACAAGGTACGGGTACCGCCACCAGGTCGGAGAGAGAGGATGGTGTCTCCAGGAGCGTAGATGTCCACTGCACCATTGTTTAGCCATTATCAAAAAAAAGGTGGTTAACACAAGTCACTGACCAACTGATCCAAAGTTGGAGAAAGAGGCCTTGTTGTCTCTGATATCACTAGCAGCGACTGTGCAAACGAGAGGCTCGGAGGCAGGGGAGGAGTTACGAGCATCGCGCTGTGGTCTGTTAGCCAATATCCCCCCTAGTCTAATTGTTAGAAGCTCGGTTGCCTACGTTGTCATTTCCAGCAGCAACGGCGACGTGCATGCCAGCCTTGAAAGCGTTGGCAACAGCCATGTTGGTTGCATCGCTGCGGCCACCACCCAGACTCAAGTTCATCACGGACTTGGAGATCATATTGGCCTGGCGAGCATGGTTGACAGACCAGTCGATGCCAGCAATCACACCGCTGTTGCTTCCAGAGCCTGAAGCGCTGAGAACCTTAACAGCAATGATCTTGGCCTTCTTAGCAACACCATAGGTTTTGCTGCCGATGGTACCGCCAACGTGGGTGCCGTGGCCGTGGCCATCGGTGTCGTCCTTGTCGACGTGGTTGGAGCCCCAAATCGCACGACCCTCAAATTCAGGGTGGCTGATATCAACACCAGTATCAACATCATAGGCCCAGATGCCTGAACCAGCGCTAGAATCATAGAAGTAGTTGCTGATTCCGACTCTTTTGTTGGAGATACGGCCAAGACCCCAGGTTGGTGCATTTGGCTGCTCGACGAGATCGTTAAGCTTTACAACCTGGTCAGGTTCAATGAAGGCAACCTAGATCATACGTCAGACGTAAGCTAATAAGAGCTAAAGAAACTAGAAAGTATACATTAGGGTTTTTAGCGATTTCCTTAATGGTGTTCTTATCAAAGACGCCGCTGTAACCCTTCATTGAGTGGAAGTCATAAGTTCTCTTGATGCCGTGGCCGACGAGACTTCGCTTTGTCAAGTCGGAGTGATGCATATCAGCAACCCAGGCACGGTGAGAGCTGAAGGACTCTGCGGACACATCGTTCTTCATCACGACGATGTACTGGTCGGCAATGACATCCTGTGGGCGGCTTGCAGCAAGAATGTCTGCTGCGTTGACAGCGGACACTGCCGCAAGGAAGAGAACTTTAGAGAAACCCATTATGAAGAGCGGGAGAAGGTGGTTCAGGTGAGATTATCAGGAAGGCTTTGAATAAAAACCGTAAGAAACAAAGTGAGGTGATGTTTAGGCTTATATATGTTTGGCTCTTGATTGTGGTCGGGGAGGGTGGCATTGAGAAAAGTGACTTCACCCTCCATGGGTCCTGATGAACGCACTGCCAAAAGTTATTCGGATATCCATGGATACAGGGTTTCTTGCATCCCAAACAAATGCACACCGCCAAGGAACAATTTGAACTGCCTCGCCAACGGCAAAAATAGGAATAAATACATCCCGGGGAACTAAGCGTAAAATCAAGGAAAGAGTGGACCAGTCCGGCTAGCACCGCCCAAATTCAGCGGACAATATAATCGAAATTAGGAACTTGTATCCATATCAAGTCTCTTATTCAAGCCTGCCTCAGATGATGGACGGCAATACAAAGAGTAATCTGTTTCGCATGATAGCACGTACTTGCCATGATCCAGGCCACTATAGGTCCATATCATAAAGTCCACATCCCCTGGGGTATTCAGTGAAGAAAGGCGAAGGGTATCACAATCGTAAGTCCCACTCCACACGGTGATGATCGACAGTGGGGGATGTATAGATCAGTTGACATCAATGCGGTCAATCGAATTTCGCTTTTTGCCGCCGTGTTTTCGAAAAAGGTTTGGTGTGTCTCGGCGTCAGGGATAGCACAAGGCGTTTCCGGATGGCATCCGGACATCAGATCACTACCCGTACTAATCTTCAGAATTCTTCAATCGAAATAGAATCGGGAATATCTGAGGCGCTCCTGTGTTGCGGAGTGTATTTTCAGCTTCTGGGATCAATAAAAATGATAATATCAATCAGCAGAATTAAGATGTGGGGAAAGCAACTGAGGCAGGGTATATTGCTAAGTTTGGCGATATATCATGAGACTACTCCGTAGCACTCCGTAGTGCTCTCCCCTTTCCAATCTCTAACCCCCTAGTTAAGAATTTGCAACCATTATTGAAGGCAAGCTCGGGCTGATTGAACGCACTGGGTTTCTTCGCTTCGAAAGCATCTGGGTTATCAAAACATCAACGTACCTTGGGGGCAAACTTCGGATTGTGCATGATCCAGTTGGAAAATGGCAATAATAAGATGTATAGCATTCGCCGGCTGTGCGTGCTACCATCTGGCAAGTTGTGACATGGCTCAAGAGCATTGAAGGCGCTTCTATGAAGATCTTGGCGATTTCAACGCTTCAGAAGTTCTACAACCTGAATTGGAAGGGGGCTAAGATCCACATATGTCACGCATAGTAGGTGAAAGAGCCGAGGTGATGCCGAAGGAAACAAAGCCAAAAATGCGGGTGGTCAATTGGGTACGGAGTACGGAGTACTCCGTACACAACACCATCTGCCCCAAAACTCTGAGGAAACAGGCTAAGCAAGGATATGAAGTGGCATGGGGAAAGGTATCCCATGCCACTCATGCTAAACCCTGAGATGATGCTTCCGATGCAGAGATTAAAGGAAGCCGAAGCAGGCCGCATGGGCCTGGCCTGGTTGCGGAGAGATCCTTGATGATAATTAACTCACGTAAAGGTGATCAGCCGGGGAGAGAGACCGGAAGCCACCCTACCCACGCTCATAGCTGGCAGGCCACTGGGGGGACGGTTGATCGACAAGACGGACGGGACGATGTTGGAGATGTTTGTTGAAGGCGAGCCGTGAAGATCGAGGCCGCGATGTTGGGCTAAGCTTTGCGCGCGAGCCGAGCTGTACGACGCGTTACTGGAGAATGCGCGCGTTGGTTGGCCAAGGCGGATTTAACGTTGTGGCGCCGGCGTTTCATTGGGCGTTTCAGTACATACATACACATTGTTTCAACGTGACCAGCCCGTCTGTGCGCCGCCGGCCAACCTCCCCGTCGGAAGACTTCGCTACGTCGGCCGGGCGGGCTGCTTGCAACGGTGCTGGGATGGATCCATCGCGCACAGACTCGGGGCTCACAGGACTATTTCACCATTTTAACAGCTGCAGGCAGCTGCTACTCTGCCGAGAAAGATCGAGAACGGACTTCCCGATCTTCACTACTGCTGAACTTGTCGAATTCCCCTGCGCCTGGCCTATTCCCTAATTACCGTGTGGTGGCTGCTCGTGGAGGGTTACAGTTCTTGTTTACGGGTGCTGAGCATTCCGTACCCGTTTAGACCTCACAGAAAGAGGACCTGGCGGGCAGGATCATTCTAGAAGCAACTACCCTTAAAACGAGGGAAAAAGGACCTATGATATCCCTGTAAAAATGCAACCCATCGGCCCAAAGCGCCAACCAGCCAACAAGGTTAGGAAAACGCTTCTCAAGGAGATTTGGTGTGTCATTGCAACGAGCATCTTTTTCTTTTCGCCCAGGACCAGTCTGGGTAGTTTAGGATGGTTGTCTAAATACCGACACCTCCCTACGCATATCATAACCCGTCATATTCTAGAAGATTAAAGCTACAAATACTCCGTACCTTGTTCACATATGGGAGGTCAGGAACACTGTTAAAGGAGGTAGATAAGGCATGAAGCTCCCGCCATGCCTCCCCCCCCACAGTGCCCCGGTCTGCTGGAATCCAAGCTTGCATCGAAACTCGGTGGCAATTTTCCCCACCACCGCGTTCGGCTGCTTGCCATGCTGGATGATAGCATCCACTGCTACACGTGTCCGAAGAGATGACGACGCCCAGACGGCAGAGAGGAGTGGTTATTAGCCGCGCTTCTCACAAAGTTATCCTTTATTATTGCAGTGACAATTCAAGGTGCCACTCCCGCTGCACTAGTTTAATACCACATAGCGTCCCGGACGATGATATGAGCCCTTTTACAACCGCAATCTCCACAACAATTCTAAAAAGTTTTATCAATCTGCACAGAAATGGCCGTTGCAATGAGCAGTATTATTTTCTTTGGGCTACAGTGGCAGCAAGACTGCCCCCCACTTTTTGCGTTAGTAAGCATATTTACCACACAGCGTTGCATAAAATGCTGGGATGCGACGCTACCCAAAATATGGCTTTTTGCCTTGGCTCCATCCAGAAATAACTAGGTGTGATGGGTTTTCCCAGGGATATACTCCATGCTCCCAACCAATCTATAATTTTGGGTGAAGTGACTTCCCTTTGACAAACAAATGGAAAACGACATCAAATGAGAGATCTTCTGCAGTCTGGTTTTGAATATTAGTGGATCTTATAATAGGTGATACTGCTATCGATCGCCTGAGACGTGGCAGGTACATACTTCGTAGAGTGACTCAGCCCCGAAGGGCAAATAAAGATCTACAAATCGCCTTTAAAGCTCATTGGGTGAAGATTCTTGTTTTTTGATGCTTGTAACATTGGTGGACTGTGAGCAAGCAACAAGCGATGGCTATGGCTGTGTACAGCGGGCTTTTACACCTCTTCCCGGCTTTCATAGCACGGAGTGGTCAAGGCCGGGAATCAAGGGCAAAATCAAGAGTTTCGTATGCATGTAGGTAAGTAAATAAGAAGATCGACACTACAGAGTATGTCGTGTTCCTGGACTATTCACTGGGCCAAGAAGCTGGAGGGATCCAAGAAGACGGCTTGTCGTGAAAAATGTCACTGGCGGAAATTAAGTTTTGGAGTCTCGGCCCGTCATGCTCTTGGTGACATCGGCACCATTTACGGAGTACGTATTCCTACGCGGCAAAAGAGTAGTAGTTAGTTAATTAATCCGACACTCAAGGGGACGTCCAAAGGCCGCATCGATGATCTTTGGGGCGCAGACGACCATGACACCCTTCATAGGCACCTTACGCCGAACCGTCACCCGCCCTGAATTCATCAGGGCCCGACCTCTATCAACACTGCAAGGCCACTCTCATATCGTATGTTGTCCTGCAACCCGACATGATACACCACTCTCTAACCACCAAGTCCAGTACACGTTTAGTCATGGAATCTCTCCAGACACGCATACTCTCTCCCTGCTCCCCACCGATCCACCAACTCTCCACCTCGCCATCGGCACAACGTCCAAACTCCCTCCAACCCCAGATTCCTTCGTGGAAAACCCGGAATTCCTATGCATCCTACAATCTTTCTTGGCCAAGCATGCACATGCTGACCCGGACGTCCAATCGCAAGCGCAAGTTATGGCATCGACGGCTGGGGCAAATCTAGTGTCTGGCGGAGTGTTTCGCACGCATCATCCACGGCAGAGGAAACCAGGAGGTGAGTCTAGCAGTGGAGCCAGTGGCCAAGGCGGTGCTGGGTCCGGAAGGCGTGGTGGGTTCATCCATGTCTCCGATGGCAGAAATCCCCCGGAGTATGGCCGTATTGCTTGGTAAATTTTGATATATTCCCACCCCCAATGTGCCGGTCAGTTTTGTTTGGGGCGAAGTTTGGTTAATTTGCATTACCAGGCCAGAGGATATATTTGGAAGTCTAGAGGTAGATGGACATGGTAATATTGAAGGGAATGGGAATTATCAGCCCAGTGGTATGCATACTCATTCCAAGTCTCTACCCCGGACTAACACGGGATTCTATTCAGGCACATATCGAATTGTAACAAGAAACGGGATGTAGGCGCTCTCCTAACCCCTACTACCATACTCCTATATCTAACAGACAATCAGTCTTGGCCTTAGTCCTTTTTTAAGGGAGAAGCTTGTCCAGCGATTACGAGCAGAAGAGCAGAATTTGCGCGGAAAATAATTGTTGAATGACTATACGTGGTTGAGTTGGAAATATCGAACTTGCCAATCTGCCCAGACATAGTGCCATGTCGTGTCTTGCTTGGTCTCGGTATAAGAATGGCGGTGGGGTGATCCATGCTACAGTACTAGGTCAAAAGTGTTGGCACCCCCCCCCCCCCCCCTACTTTTACACCAAAACCCACTCTTTTCACAACCAAGTTGCTCAACAAAATTGTATTGTAACATATCAATTAATACACATTAATATGTAGAGAATTGGTAGAAGAATACTTTAAGAATAATTTTATTAAATAATTATAAATTATTGTCTCTGTAAATCTCATTAAATATGACTGAAAGCTATCATCACATAGACTCCTCTATACACCATGAAAATAAGTCATAATTAAATTATTAAAGACACAAGGAATAGTTCAAGCATTTATCTCCATATTGATTATATTATTCAATATACTAGCATACAATTTTGTGGGGTAATTGGAGTTTGAAAAGTGTCACTTGAAAAAAAGGGTGCCAACACTTTTGACATGGCACTGTAACCGGTGACCTAGGCGTCGATTTCAACCCAGCATACGGGGGTTGAGCTTAACCATTGCCATTGAAACCCCCCCCATTTTCTGTTTTTTCCTTCTCTTTACCAGTATTCCCATTATTACCCCATCACCCAAAAAAATCATGAGCCAGCAAAAAAGAACATACCTCACCTTCCTACCATAAATCGTCAAAAGCTGCGACTCTCGGAAGACTGCTAGGCAGATCACCATGCACCCCCAGAATCCAGTGTTTTTTCTACCAGGGTATGCTGCCGTGGGTTTTCTGTTCTTTTCCAGGTCTCAGATCAAAACTTTCGTAACTTCCCGAACACTGTGTCTCCCGCTAGAATCCAATTCATCCAAAATGAATTCCCAAACTTCCTCTCGAGAAGTGGCATCCCTAGTATAGGGACTCGGGTCATCCACCCACAATCGATTGAAATACTTTGCACCGCCTCTCAACTCGTCTACACTATCGACTTGTAACCCGAATTCAGGCGCAGTGGCAGCATTGAATATAGCCAGACAGCCTTGCTGTGAATCAATTCCAACCCACACTAGCAACCTAGGCAGGATCCAGGAAAGCAGGGCCATACCCATTGAGGCTTCATTGCCGTCATTGATATGTCTAAAAATGCCAGTCTTAACATAGCCTGGATGAACACCATGCACCACGATGTGATCATAATCAGGTCGCCGAAGTAGTCGCAGTTGCAATTCACTAAGCCATATTTGAAAGTACAACTTGTTATTCGCGTATGCGTTATCCCCAGAGTTGGAGTTGGACAAATCGTATGCGCCCCAGTAGTGAAGGCAGGACGTGGTACATATGATACGCGGGCTGGATGCCTGCGCGATCGAAGGCAGCAAACTCAACGTCAACAGTGCGTGGGAAAGTAAATTAACCTGGTGGCATATCTCAAATCCATCTCTAGTCAAAACGACCTTGCCTTGGGGTTGGGCGATGCCGGCATTGTTCACCAGTATATCTAGCGGCCTGTTTGTCTCGTTCCATCGCTTTGCGAGAGCCTCGACGGACGCAAGGTCGGCCATATCGCACTCCCACCACTCAATCACCTGCTGTCCCCCGCACTCCCCAGCAGCTGCTTTACAATCTTCCACGGCCTGCTCGGGGTGCGTTTCGTACGATGGCGGTTGTCTGCACGCTAATACCAGATTAGCGCCCGATTTTGCGAACTGGATTGCTGCTTCGCGGCCAATGCCGTTATTCGACCCTGTGATGAGCACCCATTTATGGCTTAGGTTGACCTCAGGCACTGTGACTGTTGCCCCGTACGTGCCTTTCAGGGTCTTCCAGGCACTCCACAGAACGGACGGCGGGATATGACGGTTCGGCGAGGTCATCTTCACCAGACTGAAAACGAATTAGATTTAGGCTTTCTGCATTGGAATGCAGCCTTCAGTGAGTACTGATGCCTGAAGGCCATCTTCCAGAATCTGGGCGCTATTTAATTGAGACATAGCAGGGATGGTATCATACTTGAAGCCACTGTCAGTGCTCTCTAGCCAGACACAGGTTAGTTAGTTAGTCTGTTAACTACCTAATCAACGCTAAACCCTATTGACAATCAATCTCAAAGCTCATACTAGTTCCAACAACAGCATTGCAGGAAAACAGGAAGCTTTGGAAACTCCCATGGTCCTGTGTCACCTGATGGGGAAGCTTGATGGGACTTTTGAGCTTCTTGCGAGGTTTACAGCTACTGGACAAATAATGACGCCACAGCCCACAATAGCTTACCCGGGGTTCTCATTGAATGCGGGCATCTTGCAAGGCTCAAGCTTAAGTGTCGGAAGTGATAGCCCGTTACAATTATCTATGATGATGTGGTATCGGTGCTAATGGCTAGCCCGGCATGTCCCTACCCCAGCTGCAAGTTCCTTACTCTGCAACAACTACTTTCGTTGCAAATCGTTACTCGGGTTATTGCATCCGTTTCATTGTTTACCTGTCTCATTGTGATTGTAACCTATACCTCTAGCACCCGTTTCCACAACCCGCTGAATCGGCTGATCTTCTATGCGACGTGGGGCAACCTTCTCGCCCACACGGGAGAATTGGTGGCAGAGTCAGGGCCCAAGGCTGGGGTCACTAGCCCACTATGCAAGTTCCAAGCTTTTTTCATCCAATGGTGTGCTATGAAGCCGGATCTTCTCCTATTTTGCCTAGGGTTGGCTTACAATTTGTTAGGTTTACGGCGTCTGATGCTCTCTGGAATCTATGCATAGCGATTAATGTATACCTGGTTCTATTTGGACCATATTCCATTCCTGAATTACGGAAATTTGAATGGATGTACTTTCTTTTCTGTTATGGATTTGAATTTATTCCCGCAGTTGTATTCTTTTTTATTAAGACAAAGTCCAGAGGGAGAGTCTATGGGGATGCAACTGTAGGTTGGCCGTTCCTATTTTGTTCTAGGTCACCACTGATACCATTCTTTTTCCTTCTACTTTCAGCTATGGTGCTGGATCAGCGATCCATGGGGCATTCTTCGCCTCAGCGTATATTTCGGTCCTATCTGGCTGGCCTTTATCATCACCTTTTCAATTTACATTGCCGCCGGCATAAAGATCTACCGTCTTGAAAGAGGACTTAGACGGCTTACTGCGTACAGTCAACCCGCCCTAGATGCTACGGAATTCCACTCCTCAGATGGGCAACCTTCTAGAGACTGGCAAATAAACACCAGCCAGACGAATTCTGTCAACCATGTGGCCAATATGTCTAGGGAGCAACAGCCAGGTGAAATCCAGCCAGCCCGCCAGCAATCACAATCATCTCCAAGCCAGACCTCTTCGATCGTTTCCGCTTACTGCCTGAGTAGTGCAGCTGAAGGCGAACCTGGGCCGAGCAGACAGATGGTCACTCGTGAGCCTTCTGAAGCCGCATCTCAGCAAGAAAATATTGAAGAAGACTTTGAGGATCCGGGCCCGCTACCCGAGGAGGCTGAGATGAGGCGCTCTGATACAGTTGGGACTATCACTGACCTTGAAAGACAATCGAGTGGGCAGGGGACGGGTGCAGAGAAGACTGTTACTCGAAGAACTTTTTCTGAGGGTAATGCAGCTGCAGCGTACACCAAACTAGCAAGTTTATATTTTCTCTCTTTACTTGTTACATGGGTAAGGCTACCTCCTATATTATTTTCTCAAGACTAAGCATTATTGACAACATTTATAGGTTCCTGCAACGACAAATCGGATATACATATTTATACACCCCAGACCTAACTATGCGTTATTGTTTGCTTCAGGAACAGGTGTGGCATTACAAGGTTTTTGGAACGGCATCATATTTTTCACTACTTCGTGGCAGGAGACTAAAGTCTGCTCGAAGATCATTATATCACCTCGTAAATGGACTACACCGGCTCTATTTAGACCACCGTTTACTTTTTCCGATCACTTAAACATGTTTAGACGGGAAGGAAGAACCAAGCCTAGGATGTCATCAACATCATGAAGGGCAGAAATTTGACGGATTATTGAAGAGCGATACAGCACTACAACTTCTATTAATATCGCGGCCACCGAAACCAATCAATATTTGAGGCCTAAACGACCCTCCCTTCCAATCGTGCAACCAATAGAGAAATATGGCAAATTAAAGAATGATCTCAAAAGCGGTATCGAGATAGTGGTCAAGTTGGGTTTGGCTAATTGCAGACGTATAACATCAGCTTCTAAGACCAGAGTTTTTAGCCAGTTTTTAATCGCGCGGGACTCGAGTCATGTTAAACTGGAAGGAATGACTGCAGGAAAAAATATACTTACTCTTGGTCGGCTTACTGGTGCGGCTTACTGGTGCGTAGTGTCTTCGTTGCCAAGCGCAACGCTGAGGATTGTGGTGGGGCAGGTCTATGACGTGTGCCGTGACCCACTTCCCCAAACTCAAACATATCACAAAGCGGCTGACGATGACTAACTAATAGATCATCGGGCCTACATTTTCCCGAAGAAAGCCCGCTTACCTAACTAATACTGGTCCAAAACGGACCAGAGCAAAGATTGATTCCTGAGCTCGCCTATCAAGCCGTGGTGACAGGCTCGAGATTCTCTTTCTATTTTCACGTGGAAAATCTGCCCATTCGTTTTCATGCCGAATCGTGGCGCGAACAGCGGCGATGGGAGTGGTGGAGTGGTCCTAAGTTTGGTGCCGATTTCTGGACAGCGGTGATTCGGAATGAACCCGCAGCAGGTCCTGACCGAGGCGCGGATTGCGTTTCCTGGCCAAGCATATGGCATTCGAACTCATTATCTTCATCTTCAAAATATGCAGAGTTATCGAGCCGTTAAATCATATCCATTTTGCAAACAGGACACCGCGCGAACCGTTCCGTAAGCCATGGGTCAATGCAGTCGGCGTGAAATATGTGGCTACATGCGAGCTTTCTCAGATTTTTCTCTTTTTTTATGGCATCTAGGCAAACGGCACAACAGTCTTCGGTAGATGCCGGCTTATCGGGTTGATTCTGTGATATGGTTAGGGCAAACCTAATCGTCTGTATAGACCGACCTCGAAGCAAGCTCCTTACCTCGGATAGCCCGGACTCCGGAACTTCGCAGCGAGAATTCTTGTTAGATACCGATTCGTGCTGCTGAGATGCGTTAAGTGAAGACTCGCTTTTTTGTGAATCGAGAACATCCTCGTCGGTAGAAGCAGCTATTTCTCCTTTGACCGTAGATGCTTCATGCTTTGACCGATTGTACTGGAACATCGGAAACAGATCATTGATTTGTTCGAGCTTCATTACTTTTGTGCCAGCACGTTGTCTCCCTGGCTGTAGAGCTGTCAACCCGATGCTGCGTTCGGCATCAGCGACAGCGACAGTGCCCTCACGTTGTTGTCTCGAGAGGTCTTCTTGTTGACGCTGTAAAGACTTCTCGCGGGCTTTGATTATCATGTAGCAAAAGCTATACATGTTAGCTAAAATGTCCGAAGAAAAAAAGGAAGAAAAGTATACACTAGCCCCGCGAGCAAGAAGCCAAAGATCATCACCCCGAGTAATATGAAGATCCTATTGCCGCTTTCCTCCATCGGAGCCGCCATTCTGGCACCGCTACTCAGTCACCACGTCCGTCGAGCACCAGAAAATAGAAGAAAAGAATGTGACCTGAATGAAAACATTATGCAAGCTGGTAGTTTAAAAGAGCCTTTTTTACGAAGTAAAATAGCTCCGGATATACCTAACTAAAATCGGGATTCTCCCGCGTTGGTCACCCTTTGTGGCACCGTTCCCGAGGACGCAACAGGGATTTGCCCGAGTGTATCTGGTTAACCTTGCGCGATGCGGGGAAACAAACCTGAATTGTACTGGTCACAGACGCTGATCATTGTCAAAGACAGCCAATCCTGCTCCGATGGCCAGCTCTGGATGGGAGCCATATTGCAGTTGGCACCACTGTCTGTATCTCATACGTACAAAGTATGAACAACAGTCGGGTACCTACGCTTCTGAGGCGCAAGGAGCCTCGTAGGCGAACAAAGATAAAATGGGAGAAGAAAGAAGAGAAAAGAAGATTAAGAGAAAACATGACAAACTGAAATACAAAGAAGGAAATTTCTCGTCTCCAAACCCACAAGTACTCGCAAATGCATAACCGAATCCAGCTCTGGAAGAGTAGCAAACATCTTTAGCCAACGCCACGCGCTTGATCCCTTAGACTGGACAAAAAATGCCAACAAGAAAAGTAGGCAAAATGCAAAAACGACACGCCTGGTATTGCGCTCTTCAAAATTTAGCAAGATGGAAATGTTGACTCTCTATTCTTCGCACTAAATGTATCCCTTGGGGACAATCTCTCGCATCCAGCTTCGCCCAATTAACTTCCCCTAATCTTAACCCTTCTCACTCCAGCAGTCGACGCCTTTCTTTTGGCAATTGGCGTGCCATTAATTGGGCGAAGTGGCTTTACTTTCTTCGCTGCCTTGACGGGAGATGGAGCGGCAGCACTAACCGTTGGAGGAGTCATCACCTGGATGCACTCAAGGGTATCTTTGTTGACGGACGCGGCTTTGGCCCCCAATTTTCGCATCTTTCTCGGCACTGGAGAACGTAGTGGAGTGCTAGGGGCTGCAGGCAACGACGCCAAACGCCGCGAACTTCTTCGCCCGGGGGACAGTTCATCGGGGGAGTCAAATTCTACAATGATCTGTTCTTCGGCGAAAGCAACAAGATTTTGTTCATCCCAAGTTACCGTCTTGCGAGTTTTCCCGCAAGACTCAGGAGAAAGAGAGCTAGTTTCTTCAAAGATCATAGTATTGATAGTCTTTAAAACAATATTGGGCAACTTTGAATCGCCTTTGTTTTTCTTGGTATTTCTTTTCGTGGCTAGAGCGAGTTGCTGCGCCTCTGTCCTCTGTTTGAAGACAAATTCCGTGCCGTCTGAGCGCTTGAGCGGGAGTTCGTCTGGAACTCGAGGAACGACTTTCTTAGGACGCCCGCGTCTCCTAGGCGATGGAGTAGAAGGCTCTTCTTCGGTGGTATTCACCTTGGGCTGATTTTCTTTATCATCCTGTTCGTTGGGTTTAGACGAAATTGAAACCTCTGGGTCTGGGGGGACTGCTTTCTCGCCCTCTGCGACATTTTCAATAGAACTAAGGAGATCTTTAGACCCCCGGCGGCCGCCTTTGCGAGGTGATTTCGAGAAATTTGCCGACACCCTCTTCTTTGATGCACCTTTTTCTCTAGACGTACCGTTGGCGGATCGCTTTGCTTTTGCCTCGGATACGAAGTTGAAAAGAAGCTCTGCGTCGTCGTCTTCATCGGGAAATGATCGTTTGAAAATTGGTGGTACATTCGGGGGAGATTTAATATGCACCTCAACTTTTGGATGAACAGTTTCAGTTTCTTGATCTGAAGCCTCTGCCAAAGCACTTGGGCTATTTCCCTCATCCTCATATATTTTAAACCCAGTAATATTTTCACCCTTAGCAAAGGCTGTCGCTGGGGCTAATAATGCTGTGTCTATCATTTCCTTAGGCGGGGTGGATAGTATATCGCTTGATTCGGATAACGGGGAAATGGAGCGTTTATTGTCGATTGGCTTGGTGGGTGTCTCTTCATATTCTTCAATACTCTCCTCGATACTATCTGCGGTTTCACAATCTCCGTCAATATCGAGCTCAATGTCTTCATCGGCCGCATTGTAACTCTCTCCACATTCCTCTTTCACGATAAGTTTGCGTTTGCCGATGAAAATTTCGCTGTCGAATTTCGTTTCCACAATTGCAATTTCCCAGCCATCTTCATTTGATTTAATACCGGCCTTCACACACTGTCTCTTAACTCCCCGTAAACTTTCGCAGAACTTCGCAAGGCTGATTTCCTCGAAGAATACTTCTTGATCGGCGTCAACCATGTCCACATCAATAGCTGCTTGTGGTTCTGTACTATGCATGGCTTTGGCAGTCGTGTTGAATCTTTTCCAAATTTTATGCGATTTTGAGCGGGGTTCGACCGGGGTTGCTGGTTTGCGATCCCACAGACGCGCTGGCTTTTGAATCATCGGTCTGGGTGTGAACCTGTAGGAGTCCGCTTTGGCAGAATCTACCACTTCACCACTGTCAGATTGAGAGCTGTAGGAAGAGAAATAAAAAAATCCGAAGCGCAACAGATATGCGCCGGATTTCAAACATTGTTAGCAATGCTGGGTCGTAGAATCGGAGCTTTTCACCGTAGCTATGGGGGCGAAGGAGAAAAAAAAAGAAGTACACGTACCATTTCCGCGGATCCGTGGAAAGGCGCGCCATTTTCGCACGCTTTCGAAATATGCAATCGGTTGTTGAATAATATATGGTGACTTCAAATCCGCTTCACCATGCGAGAAAATTTTGGACAAAAAAGGGAAGACGGGTGAAGGAATTCAAGGGCGAGAAGGGGTGAAATAAATAGTATTCTGGCAGCTGGTACAACAATGGACAATTCACGCTGAATAGGAAAGAGGAGGAACACAAGTTGTGAGAATGCGATGAACAGGCGTAAATGCGACGGCGCGTGACGGAGGCCTCCTATTGTCGCGGGCTTGGCGGCGGGCGATGTTGTCATGGTGGGTAGAAGGCACCGTTGCCGGGCCAACGCTTTCTGCCGTTAAGGAAACGCGTCCAGAAAACGACTAGACAGAGTACGGAGTAAAACTACGCTGTCCAGCACAGCCTTAAGAAACGCAGTGGTCAAACTAGATGATGCATTTTTTGCTAAGTTTTAATCTCTGAACTGGAGGTGGAAAAATAGTCTACATAGAATGAATGCTATAGGAAAAAGCTATGCCGAGAACCAGTTTTTAGGACTGCTGGAACATCGACGCCTCCTTCCACCGTTTGTGCGCTTGATCTATGTACAACGACTTGGTCTCTGATCCGCTGCGCCAGTCGTCGAGCAGGTGGAGACCCGCCAGCGCGGACTCCATGGATGCGACGTCTGAGTCAATAGACGCCGCAAGGTCCTTCTCCGTTTGAGCGCTTTTCTCTGGGTCGACTAATCGTCGGACAGTAAGAGCTGCGTGCACATGCGACATGCTCGAGCTATTGTTGCTGAGATAGGTATCGTTCCAGGCAGAGAGATCCTGGGATGCTGGGAGGATAGCCTCGAATTCGGAAGAGAGGATTTCTTGAACTTCAGACGGGAGAGGTTCAGATAGGCTGTTGAGGGTTTTTCGGAATTTGGCGAGTTGTATGTGCAACGCAGGGCTGGATGGTTCGATGGCGTGTGCAGCAAGAAGACACTTCAAAGCGAGGAGATATTTCTCTGCGTATTGAATTAGTAACACTTAAATATGGCGTCGACAGATGGAAAGACCTACTTCTTCGAATATAAACCTCGTAGCCCGCAATTTGCACTTTAAGGTTGTTGGGAGACATCTCCAATAACGGTGTTAGGAATTTCATCGCCTCCTTCATGGGGTCCTGCGTGTGGGCTAGATCGGACCCCAGCGCATCTGTGTCTTCTACTTTGCCTTCCGTAACGCCGGTGGAGCTAGCAGCCTTTTTCATTCTCGCCTTCTCAGCTTCTGCTTTTTCTAGCCTCTGCTGTTCTCTTTTTGCCTTTTTGAGCGCTTTCCTTCTTTCGGCACTGTCCTCGTCTCCATCAACGCCGTTAACAGCAACAGGAACTGGCCCATGTGCGAGGTCGGGTTCGTCATGAAGCATAGTGTACGTCTTTATAGCGCCAAGCGCGGCTCTCGTGTAATATGGGTGTGATCGCAACTGGTCCTCCCATCGTATCATATCGATATAGGCCCGGATCATACCTTTACGTAACGAAAAGTTATGGAAATCATGTTGATCCTCCTGCCAAATATCAAATATCTCATAAATGGCGTGGAATCGTTTCAGTGCGAGGCCAATTTTTCGCTGACGAAGATACGACTCGGCATCCTCTGTCAAATACCAAATGCACTGCATTTCAAGAAGATCCCCAAGAGTTCCAGAAGGTTCGTTTCGCGTAAATCTGCTCATAATGTCCAGCGCCTTGTCATTTTCGTCATTGCGTAGCTGGTATTTTGCAGCTTTCGAATTGATGTGCCGGTCTTTGTCGTCTAATAATCGCGCCTCATCCATAGCTGTAGCGGCATTCGGAAGGTTGCCGTAATGCTTCCATATTCTTGCCTTTGTCATGTGGTAATCAACAGATGTTGGAACAAGCTCAATTGCTTTGCCAATATATTCCATTGCTTTCTCCAAATCGCGACTGAGATAATAATTGTAATGTTGGGCAAGAAAGTAGTACACAGCGCTCAAAAAATTGTCGTTTACTTTACTAGAATCCTCCGCTGAGTCATTTGCTTTAGTGCTAAGGCCTTCAGTTGCATATCCTTCGACAAGTTCCTGAACGATATCGCGTTTCGAAGTGTTGGAATATAATGATTTAATATTTGCAAAGGTGGAAGGAACGGCCTTCTTCAACATCCGCTGAAGATAAATATCGACTGCTTGGCGGAAATCATCCTTTTCCAGAAATTCAAGGGGTATTCGGCGGGGTGCATCGCTTCGTGGGTTTTTTCCGGCCCAATAATCAAAGACCGCCTTCAACTCCGCGTGGTTTTCCTTATCAATAGCTTTTGCCTTGAGTAAAGCATCATAATACTGCGAATTTTCTGAATTGCGCTCTAAAAGTTCCTCATATGCAACCACGGCCTCGTCCTTTCGGCCCAATCGCAAAAGATAATCTGCTCGCATTTCCATGACAGCCAGAACGTCAAAACATTGGTCGCCAACTGCCTCAATATGTTCAAGTGCCTTTTCCAAGTTGCCCGATTCCGCGATTATCGAATTCTTATATAAAACAGCTTCTGAATGCTCCATATCGGTTCTTGGGGGAGGCGTCTTGAGCGTTTCCTCATAGGTCGTTAGCACATTTTCTGCCTCTGTCAAATTGCCTGATAGATGGTGCGCAATCGCTAATGCAGTCCAATTTTGACGGATGCCCGGTTTTTGTTGTAACATGGCTGTACGACTTTGTACGTAGCCAGAAAAATCCCGAATTTGTGCCTGAAGGAATGCCAGGTCCCTCTGGATCTGCGGAGACTCTGGCTCGAGCTTGAGGGCAAATCGGTACGCTTTAATTGCTTCATCGTAGTTCTTCTGAGCACGATACAGCAAACCATAAACGTGCCAGCAGATATGCGACTTCATGTCGTTCTTCAAAGCTGTCTTCGCCAACCCAAATGCTTCGTCCGATTGCCCTTGATAGTTTACCATGAGAGCTTTCATTGCTATCGTATCGCCATGGTTAGGATTTTTGCGCAAAATCTGTTCGGCAGCCTTAAGCCCTAACTCTCGGCGTCGTTAGTTACTGTGCCTTTTTCAGAATATGATTTGTTGCTCTTCAAATGAATGGCTTACCCTTCTTGTATTGTTTATTTTCACAAAGTCGCACTACTTGGCGAAATAATGAGCCATCTTTAGAGCTCAATGGCTGAGGCATCGCAGTCTGCTCTCGAGCTTCAGGCGGAGGGAGATATGGTAGCCAGAGCCGGACGGGAAATTGCTCAAAGTGTCTGTGAATCTTCAAAAAATTACAAATTTTCCAGATGAAAACCACAGAAAAACAGAGTAGTAAAATCTGCTTTTTGCAGCTATGTATGCTCTTCCTCCCGGAACCACTGCCAGCAGCCTGCTGGGCATCACGAATTCTGGCGGGATTGGGTCGGTGCCCACAATCGCAAGGAAAATAGTTTATCCGTGACTTCCTTCCCAAAAGTCAGACCAAAACATAAATATTTCAGGAAAGAACTACAAGTACAATATTCTACTTTACACCAGTTCAAATGCATTTTCAGAGGTATGCGGTATCCTGACTCTTGAGGAAAGCTTTTAGGTTTAGAGGCAAGGACCAGGCATATGGGGCATGAGAAATATAATTTGTGGGAATTGAGAGTTGCGATTTTGCCTCGAAAACGCCGTCCATGTAGTTTATTGATCCTGGAACAACCGGCCTCTATTGCTCTCTCCATCGATTTAGTGCGTCTTCCCAACCCTCAAAGGAAGTGCCGCATCTATCGGAAACCATCCCCCAAGTCCGTGACCGGACAATGTTTTCTACCCCCCGCTCGTTCCGTATCAGCATCGCGAGTGATTCTGTCCGAGCTTCTTTAGGAAAAAATCGTGCAGAATATGGGTCCAAGCGCTCGTCCATAACTCTTTCTCTATCCTTCGCAGATTCCACCTGTCGCAACACCAGATCAGGGTCCTCTGGATCCGGACTCGTCGCCACGCCGGCGCAATAATTTAATACATCTGAACGTACTTGCCAAGATGGGAACAGCACCTTGTTTTTAAATATCTGGCAGCTTTCCGGGTCCACTTGGGTTTTATTTGCGAACTCGGTTTGCCGGGCAGCAGTTGATAGGGGATCAAACCCAGTGCGAGCAGGCGTTACGAGGGCATTTAGATTCTGGGTAATGGAGTCGTCAATGGTAGACCTTGAAATTCGCAAAAAGTCTAGAAAAAACGACCCATCGTTAGCCTGGGCGAGTACTCTTTCAGGGAAACCTGGGGATACCATACATCACAATATCTCCCAGGGGTCTACCCACCTCTTAATGCGCGCTCATTAAAACAAAGCTGAGGTGTTAGAAAAGGCCTCGTCGTCGATGGCCGTGACATCGTTTTATTTTGGGATGAAACCGCCTCACTGGCAGGCTTCGAATGCTTCGCCCAGAACAAATCCACCTTTGGAGCTTGAATATAAATTGGGTTAAAAAAGCTTCTAATCTTTAATGTAATTAAGGTAGAATTCAAACTCCACTTATATAGTCGCTTAAATTTCTTTGAATGTCGTTGCCAGTTATATACAGGGAGGAGTGAACGGATGATGGTGGGTTTTCAAATCCTTATTAGATGAGCTTTGTCTTGAAAAGGCCCAATTCGGGAAGCCCGAATACTCAATCACGTGGAGGCGCATCACATTTGGTTCTGACCAAGAGTCACAGGAAAAAGAAACAAGACCTACAAATTTGCTTAGCTGAACAGAGCAGCTTTTTGTTCAAAGCCATGCAGTCTTATATACTTAATTTATGCGCTTTATTTGTGTTCTCAAATGTCCTCCTGCATATTCCATGCAGACACACATATATACACACATATATATAGAGCACTTGATATGTCACGTGAATAGTCTCATGCAATTGGGTTAGGAGTATCTCTCCCTTCTGAATAGGTATAATAATCCGTTGATATTTGCTATATTCTAACAGAGATGAATTAACTAACAAGAGTTGAAGAGGGTTTCCAATACTACTTGTTGTTTCACTGGCCTCCACAAACACAAGGAACCCCACATATTGGCCGGAATCTCCATACATACATTTGACGTTATGAGACTGGCAAAATTGCAGAAGCTAGGGAGCAGTAAGGAGTATCGAACTCTCCTGACGATACATCTACATCAGATCTTCATGATGCTCTCTTTCATCGAATCTCGGTTTTGATGCTCAATGAGGTCTAGCCCATAAGAGCTAGTAGAGCCTAATGGTGAATTTTATGTGGGAGCTCGTTCATGCCTCCTTTTATTGCCCTGATATATCCCACTATTGGTTGGATGACCGACAATGGTTGCTGTGTCCGAGTCTACTGGGTGCCAGAGCAGCATAACGGTCTAGACACCGCTGTAGATCGAATACTTGGTGCTATCCTCGAAGTCCATTGAGGTTGTGTGCTTCAAGCTGCTGACTAATCGCTTGCTCGCAACCCAGCTGCTGATTGGGCACATTGGCCCCCAACGCCAAACATCACTTTCATTACACCCATCTTGGTCCTCTAGATGGGTGACTTCATCCTTTGCTGAGGCTGTTCAGGCATATTGCATATTGTGATACCTATTCATAAAATAGCTAATTTTGTTTGCTACTCACTCCCTTCATCAAGAGCCTGTAGAGAGCTTGGTGATTTAGACTGACCTCACTATAAGGTGCCTAAAATCTTCTTTTTCAGCCTCCCTTGGGTCATAACTACTTTCATCACTTAGAAGCACTCTCATCTCATGTTATTTCGTCTTAACAATATAGTCACTCCCATCTCACATTGTTCTCTTGTTTAGTTAGCCTTATCTTAGTGTTCCCAATTAATCAGCCTACTGACCAATGCATAGGACTGCTTCTCAAAGCCATATTTGTTATTATTTTTTTTTGTCTATCTTTGTGATAGATTTTTTGAAATTTCGGAATTTTACTGGTTTCGTTTTCGAGATACCCCGTTTAGAAAAAACTTGGGCATTCGCCGAAAGAGCCCTACGTTACCATGCCTGAGTTAGCGGAAGTTGCTCGAGTTGTGTACTTTATTCGCGCGAATCTCGTAGGAAAAACAATTTCTACGGTTGTCGCCGAACACGATGATTTAGTTTTTGGGAAAGTGGGAACGTCCTCGGAAGAGTTCCAACAACAGATGCAGGGTAAGAAAGTGGTTGGGGTTGGCCAGCAGGGGAAATACTTTTGGCTAGTCATGTCTGAACCTCCACACCCAGTGATGCACTTTGGAATGACTGGGTGGTTGAGTATCAAAGGCGTTACCTGCTGCCACTATCGTGCCTCAACAGCAGCTCAAGCTACTTCGTGGCCTCCAAAATTCTGCAAGTTTCAATTATTATTCGATGACAAGGCAGAAACCGAGGCAGCATTTGTAGACCCCCGCAGGCTCGGTCGTGTTCGATTGCTAAACTGTCCTGGAGCAGATATCAGGTCCCATTCGCCTCTCAAGGAGAACGGGCCCGACCCTGTTCTAGATAAAGCAGTCATTACTGAGGCCTGGTTGACAGAGCGTGTGGCCAAAAAGAGGGTTCCTATTAAGGCCTTGCTGCTGGACCAGTCCATTATCAGCGGACTCGGTAATTGGATGGCGTATGTACACTTCCTATCGTAATTACGGCTGTGGGATACTTATCTTTGTTAGTGACGAGGTTCTGTATCACTCTCAAATTCATCCAGAGCAAGTCAGCAACACTCTTCGTGAGAAACAAATCGGAGAGCTCCACTCGGCGATTCATTATGTTTGCTCCACAGCTGTCGATCTACTCGGAGATTCCGCACGTTTTCCTGCCGACTGGCTGATGCGCCACAGGTGGAATAAAGGCAAGAAAGAGCCATCCACAATGCTAAATGGCGATCCAATATCCTTTGTTACTGTTGGTGGAAGGACCAGTGCTATAGTACCGACAGTCCAAAAGAAAAACCCCCATGTCGCAGAGCTTGATACTTCTGAAGAGCGTGATCATGATGTATCTGCAACAAAATCACAGTCTAAGAAACGCAAACCAACGGCGAAAGACTTAGAAGAGTTGACAACAGCCAACGGAAAGAAAACTCGGGCCCATACAAGCAAGACCACCGTGAAACAGGAAGCAAGTGAGGTGGCAGACGAAAAAGTCCCCGAATCCCGAACTAGATTGCGAAAACGCAAGGCTTCCCCGGCAAAAGCAGAAACTGACACGAAAAACCCCCCTGCACCCACCAAAAAGACCAAGTCTAGGACTGCGGATGTGACTGCGGAGGTCAAGACGACTTTAAGAAGAGGCCGTTCAGCCGCCAAGTAAGCCGAAATATGCATGCTCGAATTTCATTACGAATTGCAACCAACAAATCAAGTTAGGCGTTAGGAGCTTGGTTTTTCTTCTCATGCAAATTGTTATATGAAGTGCGGACCTGATTCTGTTTTAATATTATCCAGGCTGAATTAGATGACTCCAGATGCTTGCTAATAAATTTTCATAAGTTCGCCAAAGACCACGCATATTTGGCCTTTGAATTAGACCATCATTCCGTTGAGCTTTCGATAGAAAACCCCATAATTCCCATCTCCCTGTTCTCCCTGACCGAGGTCGTCCATCACCGCAAAAATGATGCTCTCCCACCATCCTCCACTAAACTCTTCCTCCGTAAGAACCTCTGCCCAACAGTCTGCTACCTCTTCTCGCGGATTTAGAAACGCACCACAGCCTAGAGCGCCCAGAATCAAACGTCGGTGGCCGTTGATAGCCGCCGTTCTCAAAATAAGCCTCATTTTCTCTTTTGTAATCTTTCTATCTTGCCGGTACGTGTACCTCTCTCTCCGTGATACTTTGGAACCTGGGGACGTGGGAACGGCTTCTACAGAAGGTCTACATAGCGCTGCAACGCTAATCACGCTCACAACTGGTAAGTTTCCCGGGTCATCTAATGGTAGTAGGCCATGCCCGTCTTTAATACTCTTGCGTATTACCACCACTGTTGGCGAATATATTGCGGCAAGCTCCGGAATAGGATAGTAGCGCAACTTTAGGGTAAAGCTGAGACTGCTTCGATAGCAGAGTGTTTCTTCTTGTGCTAGAGCTCCGCGCTTCCAACCTCCTCCCGCGTTGCATGCATTCGCCATATTGAGAACGCAAACAGGTTTTTTGTCACGGAAGGATATGTATTGGGAACATTCCGCAAGGCCGATGGCGGAGTCTAGGGTATCTGAGTTGAGAATGCGGATGGTGGTGGGTGGGAAGCGAGGACAGTATTTTGATGCCAGAGTTGGAGGGTCACAATAGAGATGGCCATGTGGCGGGGCATGAGGGGTGGTAGCAAGAACGTTAGGCAGGATAGAAATGGTTTCGTGAGCGGCTTGTTTAAGAGCAGACCTGGAGTGAGCAGCTTTGAATAAATGAAGAGTCAATAAAGAAGCGGAAAAAAGATGACAGCTCTGGGATGTCCAGAGGTGAGATAGAGTGGGGGGTAATACGCGGGTCTTCCACTTTGTCAGCATCATACTTCAGATTAGCAGCACAGCTCAAGGTGGGTTTATAGCGAGGAGAGCGGTGTTTTGGCTGTTGCTGCCATTGGTCGAAGTTCAGCGTGGTCTGAACCATTTTCTTACTTATAAAATCCATGTTGAGAGAGCAAAGGCCCGCTGTCACGTCGAGTTCGTCCCAACGCAGCCTGATCGTGTTGAGCCGCAGCCTGCGGAGCGGCAGAATGCGCTTATGTAATGTCGGTGAGAAGCTTATCTTATCAGTGATGTCACGTCATAATATCCTGGCGCCGATTGGCTGCCGATAACGCAATTTGCGCTGTTTGCTCGCGGGACTTTAGCTTATTCTCAGATGAGAATTGCCGCTGCTCGATATTTGCTTCAGCAATCATTTTTTCACGGCTTGAAGAGAACTGGCTAGCTCCTACAAAATCCTGGATCTACAGCAGATTGAGGCAGCCTCTATGCTGCAACCTTTCCACTATGAGTGCTATTCTTTCTGCGGATGATTTGAATGATTTCATATCGCCTGGCGTCGCATGCATAAAGCCAGTCGAGACCTTGCCTGCAAAAGGCGAGGCAGATGATGTAAGAAAATACATTCTAATATACTCCTTTTACGATATTTTGTTAACTAACTCGGGATGCCAGAGCGGCTATTATGAAGTCACTACAGAGGATAAAATCGCAGCCGAGAACCTCCCCCCGGCTCAAATTTCACTGACCGACTGCCTTGCTTGTTCCGGATGCGTTACCTCCGCCGAAGCAGTACTCATTTCGTTGCAATCTCATGCGGAAGTGTTGAATACTCTTGATGCGTATCCTGAACTTCGAATAGCCGACCTTCCGAATGGGTCCCAGGATACCGAGTTGGAGAATGGCCGGATATATGTAGTGAGCGTCAGCCCTCAAGTGCGCGCGAGTTTGGCCGCAACATATGGAATATCTGAGCTTCAGGCAGGCAATATGATTGAGCAATTCTTTTGTGGTCCACAAGGGTTAAGAGCCGGTGGCAAACGCCGTAACGGGTTTGCTTGGATGGTTGATACAAACGTGATGCGAGACGTTGTTCTGGAAGTCAGTGCAAATGAAGTCGCGGAGTCATTGTCAAACTCTGAATCCGCTATTGCAACTGACAGTACCGACTTTCCTACGCCCCGAAGACCAATCCTTTCATCTGCCTGTCCAGGTTGGATTTGCTATGCCGAAAAGACCCATCCACATGTCTTGCCACACCTCTCCCGATTAAAATCTCCCCAGGCCCTAACAGGGACATTTATCAAAACTATTCTCAGCAAAACACTTGATGTCCACCCTTCAAGAATATGGCATTTGGCCGTCATGCCTTGCTTTGATAAAAAGCTGGAAGCGAGTCGGCAAGAGCTAACAGATGTCGCCTGGCACAGCCCAAAAAGGGACACACTGGCTGCCTCTGCGACGGGCAAGCCAGTCCGTGATGTTGATTGTGTGATTACATCGAGAGAACTCCTCATGCTCGCCTCTTCAAGGAATATCTCGCTTTCCAAACTCCCTCTATCTCCTCTTCCTCCCTCCTACCTTCCAGATTTCCCCGAACCTAATATAGCATCTTTCCTCTTTCCCAAAAGCCATATCTCCAATCAGTCTCTTTCTTCTGGCCCTTCAGGGGGTTATCTCCACCACATTTTAACGACTTATCAAAAACATCACCCAAATAGCACTATCCAGGCCCAACGTGGTCGAAATGCTGACGTTGTCGATTATACACTTATCTCAAACAGCACGGGGCAACCTATTATAAAAGCCGCCCGCTACTACGGTTTCAGAAACATTCAAAACCTAGTCCGAAAACTACGGCCAGCGCGAGCATCAAGACTCCCTGGAGCTAAACAGCCCACGGCTCGCAGACTAGGATCGTCCACCGCATCTGCAGGCGGCGGCATCTCTGACTACTCATATATCGAAGTTATGGCCTGCCCAGGCGGATGTACCAACGGTGGAGGCCAGATCCGAGTCGAAGACGCAAGAGAAGCTTCGCATTCTAGCACCTTACCGCCTAATTCATCCCAGCAGCTAAAACCGATGCCACATGAACAGCGAGCCTGGCTTGCACGCGTTGATGAGGCGTATTATTCTGCCGACACAGATTCAAGCGACGACGGCGATTCTATGGTTATTGATCAACCATCTATGCCCCCCTCGAAATCTGACGATATCCTGTCGATGTTGCGATACTGGTCTCAGATGATAGAAATTCCGATTCACAATCTGGTATATACTACGTATCGCAAGGTTGAGAGTGATGTTGGGAAAAACAAGAATGGAGCTGGAAACACAGCCCTTGTCGCTGAGCTCGCTGGCAAGATTGGAGGAGGCTGGTGATCAGAAAATGATGCAATGACTTAATATTTCCTATTTGTAGCGAATATGTTGCATGTTGCATTTACGTGAATGTTTTGGGCTAGATGGTCTATACAGACTAGGTGCTGATATGAATACTTGCATTTTTTTTCTAAATGGAACCCTGGCATGGGGCCTTTACTTTTGCCTGCATGGTGTATGAATAAGATATGTAATTCAAGAGTACTCCGTCTGAAAAAGAAAAGGGGGGGCGGTATAGATCCCCACCCACCAGTAAGCCAAACAAAACTTCAAATTTTACCGTCATCGCTAATTTGGCCTTCCAATCGTCTCATAACAAATAACTAGCATTACCTAGGGTCAGTTCTCTCAAGCCGAGCGTGTCTTTAAAGAGCTGCGTTTGTTGATTAGGACAGAAACTGGTATGCGAGGTGGTTATTATATGGTTTTGTGGCTGGGGAGTGAACGTGACCACTGGCGGGTGTAATGGTGCCACTATTTCCTTTTCCATTGTTTTGCTCCTGGAAAACCCTATTGTCACCAGAGTGCATTTCCGTAGACTCGATATGGTCAGTGTTGTGGCTACTATTGCCGTTGGAATGTGGCCAGCTGCTCTCTTCGTTTAGGTCCATGGATTGTACAGATTCTGGAGAGTGGGGGAAGACAGCATGGATCGCTTGCCAGTCCTCGGGGCTTAGTGTACTAGGCGACAGTGTAGCCAAAGTATGATAGTAACTAGCCAGCCAATGGTCACAACTGTGACCAACACCGGGGCAACATGGAGAAGTATCAGCACTGTCTTCTTGCGAGGATAGATTCAGCTCAGACATCCGGTCAGAGAGACGACTAGGCCCAGAAATGGTTTTGTCGTCGTCATCATCGTCATCCGCCAGAGAGCGTGGTTTCAAAACCGGAGTTTGCGGCATCTGGGGCATTGCTGGGTTGGCTTGAGGTTAGTCTGGACCAGAAAACGAATACTTAATGAAAGATAGCTCACAGCATACGTTGAATAATCTCTGGGATAGCACTAACACTTCTGGTTGTCATTCCAGACGCACATGATGACAGTGCTACAGTGTTAATACATGGTCTATCTACCATGTGTCCCCGAAATGCGTCAGAAGGCCCGTGTGGCGGGGAATCTCCACCGCCGGGGATGGTCGCTACCAGTGGGGCAACTGGAGAGAGGTGCTGTTGCAGGCGACGAGAAAACCATTTCTTGTTCTCCTGCTGTTTTTTTGGGTGCTCATGCAGGTATTCTGACACGACTCGAAGCAGTTCCTTGGACCGACCGGGGTTCTGTTGAATTAATTGCAGCAGCGTGGCCATTTCATCCAGGACGGGTTCCAGTTGTGAGCCGAAGGCCGCAGGTTTGCTTGAAGTCAAAAATACTGCTGGTGAGGGAGTGCCCATCTCTCTAGAAGTTCTAAGGCAGTGCCGACGGCTAGATGAATGGCAAAGCGGGGTGGGGCGGCCGAATGACGATGTAACTGGAGTTGGATTGATCTTTTTCCCAAAGGGCGAAACCAAAGGGACGGCCTGAGGATCGGAATCGGAACTTACTATCTCAAAAGAGCCGGCAGCCTTTAAATTGTCATAGTTTTTCGGCGACGGGGCTTTCCGATGTATGTCAAAAGTCCCATTCGTAATCTCAAAGAATGATTGTTCCCTCGCATTGGGTGCCAACAAAGGTGGCTTCTCCAGTGAATGCTGAGATTTATCGGAGCCAGAGGACCGATCCTTAACGGAAAGTGATGAGAATAATGGCTCAAGTCTAGTATGACGATGTGACAGTCTGTTTGGGCGCCAGGAATCCCACTTCCGTCTCCACAAAGGTGGGCTGCGTCGATAGATATACTTCTTAGAAACCGCATGGGGGGACTTAGGACAGTATCCAGGTAGCCTGTTTTCAGATGCCTTCCGTTGCCCGTGCCAACTCTGAGGAGCCATGGGAGAGCAGGATCTTGAACGGCGAGACCGATGTCTCTCGGATGTTCGAGGAGTCCGGGGCGTACGAGGGACAGATGGATGCGGGTGTCTAGCAACCATAGCGAGGAAAAATTGTTTCCACCTGGTTATCCTTGGAATAAAGCAGAAAATAATGATGCAGTGACACAGTAAACGGAAGTGGTAGCAGAAGCACAAGTCAACTGCTATTGCAGAGAACGAAACACTAAATAATAAAAGAATTGCTAGTACGTTCGCAACTCAAACGGGCTTCGTAAACGCTGTATATGCTTGGACACTTCAAGATCAAAAAATGAAGTGAGAGAGTAGCGATGTAGAAAGGGAAAACACGACGCCGAGTCTCAGGCAAGTCCGACTGGAGGAGGGAAGGCAGAACTGCCAGGCGTCTAAGTCTGTGCATCACAATGACCCGTTCGTTGGATTGCTGGCCACTCTCTCCCGGCTTTGGTAAACCTTTCGGCTTAATCATCTGTCACAAAAGCAGTCATTCAAGGCACAAAGCCGCTTGACAGTGACGCTGATGGCGCGTAACATCAGAAGCATAGAGCCCCTAGTAATTCATCGAAAGGTACCCTTTCATGGCTCGAACCAATGCAGATGCCCGGCTGCTTCATTCACCATTTGCGATGAGGCTGTTGATGGAAGACTCCGATGAGATGAAGTGAAGTCAGATAGTTAATTTGCCGGCGGCTCGGCTCTTGGTCACGTGCCGGGTAGTTATGCCTTTTTGAGGCTTTGCGGCACAGAAATCGATGGCATTCCAACATCCAGAACCACGTAACTACATAACTAACTCACTATCCCTTTCGACACCCACATTTCTCTCCTACACGCACAAAATCGTTCAGGAACCTCTCTACTTCCAGCGCAAATTTCTGTTTCTCTCTCTAGCGAAAATAACACCATGTCTCGCGAGGCCTACCAAGTCCCCTCTTTCGAAACCCAACAGAACCAATTCTCTGCTGGAGCTGGCGCACCTTCGAACCCAAACGACGAACTACTGTCTGTTGTCTACGTGTGCGGCGACTGTAGCGCTCGTGTTCAAATGAAGCGCGGAGACCAGATCCGATGCAAGGAGTGCGGGCATCGAGTGCTTTACAAGGAGAGGACAAAGAGGTTAGTTTCTGAGGAAATTTTGTCATTCTATCATAGGCATAAAATCTGGATGAATGCTAATCGTGTGGAATAATGGGTATTAGAATGGTTCAATTCCAAGCGCGATGATTTCCGGCCTCACTAGCAGAAATTTTACGTCTAAACGGTTACAAAAGGCATTTCCAGGGCGCTGCGGAGTGTTAGATATTTTCCTTTAATCCCGAAAATCCAAATACATGTTCTGATGTCCACTTTTACCTTTATCCCTCCGGTTATGCTTTCAAAATCCGCACTACCCTTAACTATTCTTTTTGTTTCCAACCCGAAAGATATTTTCAGGATGCATTACCCTGACATCCCAATATGACAAACATTTGAAGTGATGTGTTCTTTTTCTTTATTCACAATCTATTCGTGACGTCGATAAATTTCTCAAGGCACTTCAACGCTTCTCCGCTTTCGATAGCCCAGCGCGCGCGTCTCACGCCTTCTTTCCACCTGAGGCCACCAGGACCCCGCTCCGTGATAACGTTTCCGTCATCACCTGGCCCCATATTGCTGGTGTCTGCCTCGCATACACCCGAGATAACAAGCAACGCTGCCACATTCATCAGGACAAAATCTAAAATGGGATCATCCCGAGCAAGCTCATTACGTAGAATGCTCATCAGTTTTTGTGCATTTTCACGTGGCGGTCTGCCTCCGCCCACATCGGATAATGGGTGGCTCGGCAATCCAAAATCAGAAGGTTGAATCTGGAAAATATCCAACTTAACCAATGTTCTAGAAGGAGCTCCTTCATCGTCGCTTGTGTCGCCATCTTCGAGATCCTCGTTGCCCTTGTATTCTGGGTTTGGGTAGCCTGAAAGTCTCCAGCAATTTGTCTTACCGGCGCAACTTATTTCATCGAGATCCTCTTCACCGCAAATGATCAGCGCATTCTTCGCCCCGCTTAGCCGAAGGGCATTTGCGAATACAGGCCCCAAACTCTGATATGCAACTCCCACGACACGGGCTTCCAAAGCCCACTCTACCGGATTAGCAAGTGGACCCATCAAGTTAAATATTGTCCGAAGACCCAAGCCTCGCCTGACAGGATTGGCATACATCATGCCTGGATGAAAGTTGGGGGCGAAAAGAAAGGCATAGTTGGTCTCTTCGAGAACCTTTGACAAGTTACCCGCATTAACAGCAGAAATATTCGGCGGCGTTGGTGCAATTGAGTTCAAAACATCTGCCGAGCCGGAGAACGACGTCTGTGCTCTGTTTCCGTGTTTCGCAATCATCAGCAGCGGGGATGCTATAATCGAAGAGGTCGTTGAAATATTGAAGGTGGAATGCTGATCACCGCCCGTCCCAACTATGTCACACTGCAGCACAAGACCCCCTGTCAGTTGCTAGTGAAATCTACGTGGACGAATCACATACCAATCCGCCACGATAGGTACCCTCCTTGCGGCCCCTCGCTCGTAGAACCTTCCTCAGCGGCGCCTTCTCCGTCTGCTGTGCTGCTTCCCGCATGCGATTTGCACATTGTGCTATGACATCTGAGTCTTTGTCGAGTCCGGTGGAATGTAGTAAAGTGAGGAGCGCAGCTGTCTGAATCATCGAGAGGCGGTCTTCAAATATCAACGCAAAAGCTGAAGCTATCTCGGTCGCGGATACCTGGATCTTTGCGGTATCTGGATACGCAAGCCTCTGAAGTAATGGCGAGATGGAGATTGGTTCTGGTTTGGCTATGGCGGCTTCCATTTTGAGTTCTGTGTAATGTTCACCAGCACTATTCACGAGAGGAAACGTTCTTCAACGGGGTAATAGCGTTCTTTAAGGAGTAGCAGCTATAGAAAGGCAAAGATTGTGAAACGGAGTGTCTCATCAATGGCAATTCATGGAAGGATGAGCTGTTGTCAAATGCCCCTCCGATGGCGGCGCAAAACGAGTCACCGGCAGAACAGCAGACCGCCTTCACGCACGGGCCGACGCGCTGTGTTATGTAAGCATTTCTTTTTCTCGCCCTACGGTTGGCCAGTAAAATTTGAGGAACATTTCAGTGCAAAACCTCAAGACGACGACGACGAAACCTTCAACGGCTTCGCTGGCCGACTAATCGAGCGCATCGTAAGCTGAACGGCTTGTTTAGCGTTTCATCGAGCAACCACTTCCTTATTATCCGCCTCTACCGCCACAATGCCTCCCAGATTACGGTTCTCAGCATGCTCGAAGTTCTCCCAAAACCTCCAGCACGAGTGCGGAAGGCAGACCAGAACTACATTCAGAACTGTTGCCATCTCACCTTCTTTGAGCTCCTCTCCTAGCTACATACGGGCGGCTTCTACTGCCTCCGCCGTCGCTTCACTCCCTTCTTCGCAATATCCACCCACCCAACCTCCTTCTCATCGTCGACCGGAATTCCGCAAATCACAACTTCACCGACAATACACCTCCCTCCTACGCACCATGCCTCTGATACTTCTATTTCAGCAAAACAACCTCAAAGCTGTTGAATGGGTAAATATACGCCGCGAATTGGCCAAAGCATTAAGGAAAGTGGACGAAGAGCACGTCGCCAACGGCAGAACGGATATTCCGCCATTGGCCGAGGCCATCAAGATCCAGACCATCCAAACTAGCATTTTTGAAGTCGCGCTGCGAATAGTTGACTTCTACCGCCCTGAGACGATAACGGAAGCCGCAGACCACACATCGCCTTTAACCCACGACCTCTCCCACGCCGCATACCAAGCTGTCCGCGACAAGCGCGGAAAGCACGAACTCGCAACGCTACTCACGGGCTCCATTGCGATCGTCACGTTCCCCCATGTGTCGCCGGAGCACGTCAAGGCCGCTCTGTCGATTCTCGCACCTCAGCCCCCGGCCTTTCCTGCCCCCCTCCGCCGGGCCAACCCGAGCTACTACGAGCTTCCCACGCAGCTAGGCTTGCAGAAGCTAATGCTTTTGGGCGCGAGGGTGGAAGGAAAAGCGTTTGATGATGTGGGCACGAGATGGATTGGCGGGATTGCCGGTGGTATGGCTGGCCTGCGTGCCCAATTGGTGCATGTGTTGCAGTCTGCGGGAGCTAGCCTTACGGGTGCTCTGGAGGGCGCGGGTAAGAGTCTGTATCTTACGATGGAGAGCCGAAGGAGTGTTTTGGAAGAGGAGCAGAATGGTGGAAAGAAGGAGGAGTGAGACTTTTCGCCAAAGGTGGGATTATGTATCGTTGACGGCGTTGGCTATGCTCTGGATAGACTCCTATTACTTTTCCTCTGTTATCAGAGTTGATAGCCGTGTATTATACAGGATTTCGACATCTACTACCGATTGTTCATATTGGAAACAAGCATTGCTGCCATTGGGAATTTTATCTTCTGTCTGGCACTATATATGTACTGTCAAAAATAAAAAAGAAAAAACGAGTTGCCCCCATACCGTCTTCCTGATATTGTAGCCAACCTCTAATACAAAGAAACCCGAAAAAGAATCATATACAACTAGAAGTCAAAAAAAATCATCAAGCGTTACCTCTGTTTACTCATTAGCCTTGAATTCATGCCCACAATGCACCGCACCAAATCCCAATCTCCATCCAAGCCCACCCAGTCGCACACCAAAATACCCGTCGACCAGTTCCCTTCCGCATCCTCACGGTGCTGTCGACAGATATAATCCACGGTCGCCGGGTTCAGCTTCGCGGCAATCTTCTCGGGCCACGTCTGCAGCTTCCAGAAGTTACTCGCGCTCAGGAAATTGACGTAGAACGGATTGCGGCCGCTGTCCTCGTCGTTTTCCGAGCTCAGGATGCCCAGCGGGTAGTTCAGCGTGGCGGCGCGCGCCAGCTGGGCGGTCACGTATTCGATTTTCCGGTCGATGTTCTCGGTCTCGAGCACCTCGTAGAAGTCCTGGATGCAGACGTGTCCGCTGGCGCAGGTGCCGTGGGGGGTGTTGTCGGGCCATCCGCTGCCGTTGATGCCCCAGCCGCGGCCGTTCCACTCTTGCTTCAGGCCGTCGTCCAGGTCGAAGCGGCGCAGCAGGACGATCTTGCCGCGGGCCTCGGCCAGCGTGGGTATCTTGGGCTCGGTGTACCACTTGTACGGATCGCTGGCGTAGTGGTCGTACAGGATCTTGCTGAGCTGGGCGTCGTTGTGGGTGCCGGGCCCTTCGCGCTTGACGGACATGATCAGCGTCTCGGACGGGTTGCGCTCGAGGAAGTCCTGGATGTCATTGACCAGGTCGCGGAAGTGCTTGTTGCCCTTGAGCGAGATGGGGAACGCGCCGTGCACCAGCGCGAGGCTGTCCTTGCTGGGGTCCTCGGGGTACTGGGGCTGCACGCGGATATCGAAGAAGCGCACGCCGTTCTCCAGCTGCTCGCGCGGGCTGACGGCCTGGCAGCGCACGGACGGCGGGGCGACATGGTAGGTGGGCGAGTTGTGGGTGCCGGGGATGGACAGCGCCGACACCAGCGTGTCCTCGTGCAGCTCCTTCATCCAGCAGTTGAGGTTGGCGGACGAGAAGACGGCGAGGTGCGACTCGGCGGTGGTGTAGATGCCCGTGAGGCGCCGCTGCGGGTTGTCGCCCAGCGGCGTCATCGTGGCCGAGTCGCTGGTGGGCACGGGCGTCTGGATGGCATGGCGCTCGCCGCCGTCGACCTCGAAGGTCAGCCGCAGGCGCTCCTTGTCCGAGTCGACGAACGCGCGCACGTCCGTGGTGACGGCGCTGAAGGGCTCGATGCGCACGGCGACGTCGTCGCGCGCGAAGGCGTCGGCGCCGTCCGCAATAGCGTCCACCTCGCTGGCCGAGCGGGTGATGTTGTTCATCAGCGTCGAGAACGACTTGGTGAGGTTCTTGAGGTCCGGCCGCGGGGCCTCGGGGGCAGCAAAGCGCTCGACATGCTTCAGCTCAATGGGATCCGCAGTGAGGTTGCGAATCGTCAGGTGTTCGGCGACCATCGTGAAGCCGCCGCGCTGCTGGTGGGAGGTGTTGATGTCGGATGCAGAAGAGAGCAACAGCGCCCCCTCAGCCGCGTCACGCTGGGGCGGGGCCAAGCGGGCAGGCCAGCCACCAAATAATGAAAGCCGTCAAAGTGAACATCCGGGTCGTGGCTTGCTGCTTTTATAGTCATGGTTAACTAACTACAATCAAGGTTCAGGATCAACCGGCGCCGGCTATAAGATCTCCACACCCGCATCGTAGGCAGGCGGAAATAGATTCATCAGTCATAAATGGACTTCTCTGAAACACATCATGTAAGTAGAACTATATGTACAAGTCCCCGAGCCCGCTCTCACCCCAAACCACCCTAACGCGCGCCCTCCTCGCTCTTAGATGGTTCCAAGGCCAGCCATGAAACCTGCCCAGGTCTCCTCGCAGGCAGGGATGATCTGCTCTGGTGGCAGGAGGAACCCCCGTAGCCCAGAGGCCTGCGATCGAGTGGGGCGCAATTCGGCCGCGAAGCCAAACTCGTACTTGGCAACATCGTAGGCCCAGTCGGCGCTGGCTCCGTTGACTGCGTAGATAGTTTTGCAGGTTGGTCCGTAGACAAAGTCGAGACCGTGGGTAGCTTTCACTCCCTCAACAAACTTGCGGGCAAATTTCATGTGTTGCTTATGGTTAGCGGGCAGTTTTTTGCAATCATAGCCGTATGCTAAGCAGGAGTCAGCGACTGCACGCGTTTGGAAAGTCAATGCCTGCTCAGCAGAAACTTACGTGTCAGGAACATGCCACTGTACGAATGCCAGTCAACAAACATCTTGCTCTTGCCGTTCACTGCGATTTTCTTCACAAACTCGACTTGAGCAGCGATTTCTGGAGCATCACCTTGAGAACGGCCTGTTTCATTCACCACAGTCAGCTGCTTCTCAGTTTTTCAAATAGGTCTGTCGGTTCAGCTGGGCATACCTCGGAAATCATCCCGACATGGGTCGGGGGATGAACCAGTTCCCTCCCATTTCCATGGGTAATTGCGGTTGGTATCAGTTCCAATACAAGCTGGGTTTGGGCTTCCGTTGGGCTGGCGATTTTTACGCCAGGATCGCGGTGGACGTTGATCTGGCGATGTTGGAGGTTGCTGTGTATAGACAAAGCCTAGGTAACTGGTGTCAGTGGGGGACACATGGCGAGACATACATCACGTTGCTTACCATCTGGATTGGCTACTGTAATAATATAAAAGTCATATTTGCCCAGGAAATGTTTGATTCTCTGCTGGTCTTTGTCCTGCAGCAGCTTCATCGCCATGTACTCGACCGCCTAGTGAAAGAGTGAGCAGCTGCAGAATACCTGAAAGCACAACCCAAATAACACACAAAGCTCATAAAAGAGGGAAAAGCGTCTTGAAAAGGGGCCGTACCGGCGTGGTAACCCATTCACGGGCATGAGTTGTTCCAAGGAACAAGAAAGGGGGCTTCTTATGATCCTTACGGCCGTCGCCGAAGATACGGATCGCCTTGATGGTACGGTTTTCGTACGATTTGCCGACCTCCAAAATTTCCGAATTTTGGCTGAACTTCTTTTGCAGGTCTGTGAGGAAGCGCATGTGGGCGTCATACGGGTGGAAGCTCTTAAACCACGTGTCGAGATTCGTGCCTAGAGGGCGGGAGGGAGACGTGTCAATGGGTGTCTTTGAAGATCGACGACTGCCAAACGGCGCGACTCCGCAACTTACTTTCAGAGTCACCTCCCTCTGGTATAGCGCATTCGGCTTCAATGGCATCGGCGAAGTCATCGTACATAACCTTCACGTCCATGTCCTCGGTGGCCTTTTGGAAGTCGCGGACCTTCTGTTGCGGGACAATAATATCCGCCGGAAGGCCTGCCTTGTGCGGCATTTCCCAAGCAGTAAGGCTCATGTCCTTAACGATGCTCTGTAGCCTCGCATGGTTGGAATTGGTTGTCTTGACAGTGAACACCTTTTCACCTCTGTAGGCAGCATAGGGCGAAGCTGGGATAGCTGTGGCGAGGGTCGAGGTCAACAATGTTGACGCTACCAAAAGGGACTTCATGATGCCGTAGACAATGAAGATATCCACGACGGGGGAGTAGATAGGATGAGGAAGACACACGCGTCCCAAATCCGGGGCGGAGGCATGGGCTGTTTATATACGCCCTCCCAAGATCGGGAGCCCCCTCTTTGCCCATTCTATCTAAGATGCTTTTTCCAAGAGCGGTTGCCAGCCTTGGGTTGAGCTGCCCAGGCGCCTGAATGATAGCAACAGGGTAGTAATAACACCAAAAGGAAGACAGTTCGTTCAGTGGAGTCTGCAACGGAAGTGTCAGTGGTGTGGGCAGAAAGGGGATGTAACGTTTTCACAAGGGAGGGTATGCTTGGCTGTCTGCTAGAAGGGAATGGTGAATTTGTAGATCGGTTAGTTAGTTAATTTCCGTGGGGGAGAGTCTAGTTGCTGTGGAGTAGTGTGGTCATCATGCACAAGGTGGCATCTGGTTGCTTGGGGATAAATCTCCGACCACCTTCCATGTCTCATGCCAGAAAAGAGCCCTTGATGTTAAATAATTTTCCGACTGGGACTGCTGGGATAGTTGTAGTTAATAGTAAACTAGTTAGTTAGCTACCCAACACAACTTCAAACACGCCAGAAGGGGCGGCTCTTCAGGTGTTTCAACACCATCCCATATGAGCCGCCCCGTGGGCCATACACAACAGGCGGGAACCCCGGACGAACCAACAGTGGAGCATGCGGGTATTTTGTTTCTGTCGATCAACGTGAATAACAGGTCTAGTTTGGTTATATGTACTCCGGTACTCCGTAGGGCACTCCTCTCGAGAAGCAGTCAGGGGTCGCCGTCCCACATCTTCTAGAACATGCGTGCAGACGGGCAGGAGAAGAGCATGCCTCAGCACCCAGCAAGGCCTATCCCATCACATGGCAAGTCCGACGCAGATATGTAACTAACTACACGGCTTCGCCCGCCATGTTGCGTTTGTTGCGGGTCGGGGAACACGCAACAGTGGACGTCGACTGGCGAGGCCCATCGCTGACTCAGCTAGCTAGCGAACTAACAAGGTGACGATCGGTTCCGCCACGACACTAGAATACTCGTAGGAGTATTCGTGCGGCAACTCATTAATATTATTATTATTATTTTAAATTCCACGGACCGGCCCATTGTATAAAGATCGGCAGAGACGATCGCCTCCTGCTTGCAACAAACCCTTATCCTTTTTTATCATCGTTATTATTCTCTCTCTATCTCTCTCCCTCCCTCCCTCTCTCTTTAAAACGCCCGCACCGCCCAAGCAAAAATGCCTCGCAAAATAACCGAAAAAAAAAAAAGAGGGTTGATCCCAGTTCGGTGGGGTTGGAAGGCTTGCCGCGTTGCACTCCCCGCGTAATTTCCCCGGACCCGAGTGGACAAACCGGGCTTGGCAGGAATCGGCGAGTTAACGAATCTGAGTCAGCAGGTGACTAAGCGGTCATGTGATCTGGACGGATGACGTAAGCTCACGTGCCGTCGGTGGTTGGGGAGGGGGGCCGGCTAGCATCGGGGCTCCGGCGCGCCGCCCGCCCTGGGCCGAGCGAGAGCGTGAGTCGAAGAACGTTCGGTTTGCCTTGCCGGCGAGAGAAACTGGTGCGGTGTGTCATTTTTTTCATTATTTTATTATCTTCTTTATTTTTTTTTTTCTCCTTTCCTTATATCCCTTGCTATCGTCGTCGTTCAATCTTTCGTCATGGCGTCTCTGTACTGCAGAGGCTCGTCGTCGTGGTCGTCGCTCTCCCGAGTCCTGCATTCGCGTGCCTCGTCGCCTCGTATCTTGCCCGCCGCCGGGATTGGCGGCGCTCAGCGCTCGCGGCGGCAGTTTCACGCCTCGCCGGCGGCGTGGGGGATTCGGTCGCAGGTGCTGAAGGACGTTGGCGAAGGTAGGTGGAGTTGCAAATAATCCCGGGGCAAAAGTGCCGACGCTGACGGCGGGGGGGGGTGTGTAGGTATCACCGAAGTGCAGATTATCCAGTGGTATGTGCAGGAGGGCGCGCGGATAGAGGAGTGGAAGCCGCTGTGCCAGTACCAGTCGGACAAGGCGGTGGACGATGTAGGTGGTCTCGTGTGCAATTGGATTTGAACCGAGTACGGGGTAAACTAGATTGACTAACTAATTGCTGTGGGTGGATAGATCACATCGCGGTACGATGGTGTTATCAAGAAACTCCATTTCCAAACAGATGACACGGTCCCAACAGGCATGGTACGCAACTACTGACCGGGCGGGGGCCGAGGGCCCGAGCGTTTGGTGCTACTACTACAAGGACCAGATGTTGACATGCAGGACTCCTTAGGCTCTCTGCGATATAGAAGTCGACGACGCCAAATACCCCGACTCGCACGCGCCGGCGCCACCAGCAGCCGCACCGGAACCATCCACCACCACCACGACCACGTCAGCGCCGGCAGTGGTCGCACAGCAGGAGGCGGCGAGCACGAGCACGAGTGCCCCCGCGGTACCGACGTCGAAGTACGCGTCGTTTGCGACGCCGGCGGTCCGTGGGCTGCTCAAGGAGCACGGGCTGGACATCACGAAGATCACGGGCACGGGCAAGGATGGACGGGTGATGAAGGAGGATGTGTTCCGGTACCTCGAGGAGGGCGGCGAGTCGGCGACAGCCACTGGTGCACCAGCAACAGCAGCAGCAGCAGCGTCTACGGATAGCTCGGTCACAGCAGCGCAGGTGGAAACGCCGGCGGCACTGACACCAATCCAGGCGCAGATGTTCAAGACGATGACCAAGTCGCTGAGCATCCCGCACTTCCTGTACGCAGACGAGCTCAGCATCGCGGCGCTGGCGGCGGTGCGGCAGAAGATCGTGACGACGTCGTCGTCGTCGTCGTCCGGCGAGCCGGCGCCGAAGATCTCGTACCTACCGTTCATCATCAAGGCGGTGTCGCTGGCACTGCACGAGTTCCCACTACTCAACGCACGCGTGGACACGGCCAGCAACGCAGCCAAGCCGGGACTAGTGCTGCGGGCGGGCCACAACGTCGGGGTGGCGATGGACACGCCAACGGGCTTGCTGGTGCCCAACATCAAGAACGTGCAGGCGCGCACGATCGCGGACATCGCGGCGGAGCTGGGGCGGCTGGCGGGGGTGGCGCGGGCGGGCAAGCTGACGGCGGGCGACCTCAGCGGCGGCACGATCACGGTGTCGAACATCGGCAGCATCGGCGGCACGTACGTGGCGCCGGTGCTGGTGCCGACGGAGGTGGCGATCCTGGGCGTGGGCAAGGCGCGCGCGGTGCCGGTGTTCGACGCGGCGGGCGCGGTGGTGCGCGACCAGCGCGTGACGTTCAGCTGGAGCGCGGATCACCGCGTGGTGGACGGGGCCACGATGGCGCGCATGGCCGAGCGCGTGCGGGCGTTCGTGGAGGCGCCGGAGACGATGATGCTGGCGCTGCGGTAGGGGGTAAAAAGGGTGCTTGGACGGAGTGAACGGCGTATGTAAGTAACTAGTTGACTATGGGATGTGGCAATGTCTAGATGGCTTCTCTCGCTCGTGTGCTCGGCCAGGCTCGTACCCAACACGATGCTGGGAGACCCGTGCGCCGGCAGACTCGGAGCTCCCGCGCTTATTTGGGCGCCGGGCAGGGAAGCCGACGGGGGACGGGCTGTGCGGGATGCGGGATGGAGGGAGGAAGAATCAGAGAGCCAGAGGGAGAGCCAGCACATTAGACAGATAGAATAGGTGAAATATCAATATACAGAGACCGGGACTCCGACGCCGTGCGCCCATCGCTAATCCGCGAGAGAGAAGAAGAAGAAGAAGAAGAAGAAGACCGGGCTACGGGTGCTCGTGCAGGGCGGCGCGCACGGCAGCACGCACGCGGCGCAGCACCTCGGCGGGACTGGCGGCGCAGTCGACGGCGACGGCATCGCCCTCGGCGTCGGGCTCCTCGAGCAGCTGCAGCTGCGAATGCACCATGGCGGGCTTCATGTAGTGGCCGCGGCGGGCGCGCAGGCGCTGCAGCAGCAGCTGCTCGTCGGCGCGCAGGTACAGGAAGTGGATGCGGACGGACGGGTGGCGGTAGGCGGCCACGCGCATGACGTCGCGGTACTTGTGCTTGAGCGCCGAGCACGTCACCACCACGCCCGCGACGCCCGCCGCCCGCAGCCGCTGCAGCGCCGCCTCGCGCAGCTGGATCAGCCAGTCCCAGCGGTCGGCGTCGGCGAGCGGGATGTTGGCCGCCATCTTGGCCTTGTTGGCCGCGGAGTGGTACTGCGGGTTGGGAGTAGTTAATAGAGGAGTGAAGGAGAGAGAGAGAGAGAGAGAGAGAGACATACATCGTCGCCCTCGATATACGGCAGCCCCAGGTCGGCGGCGAGCGCGCGCGCCACGGTGGTCTTGCCGCAGCCCGCGGGCCCGGTGACGATCCAGATGTGCTGGCGCGGCGGCGGCGGGCCGGGCGGGCAGCAGCGCGGCGGGCAGCGGGCAAGGGGGGCCAGCATGCTGGGCGGTGTGGTGAAGCAGTCGCAGGCGGGCATTGGGGGGGGGAGAGGGCTCGCAGGGCTCGCAGGCTGTGACAGCCCAGGCCTGGGACGCCGCCGCCCTTTTAATACTACGCCCGCGGCCGCTGGCTGGCTGGTGGTGGCGGCGGCGGCGACGGCGGCCCTTCCAGCAAAAGCAAAACGCAAAGCCCCCCGCCGGCGTGAGCGCGGGCTGAAACGCGGCAGCCCGTAAGCGAAGCGAAGCCTGCGCGCTGGTCTCTCGCCACATCCCTCGCCGGCCAACTAACTAACTTACTTCACCACACTCGGCTTCACCCCAACCCTCCCGCCATGGCCTTCCTGTTCGCCACGCCCGTCGACATCGACGTCGTGCTCGACGCCGCCGATGCCCGCGATGCCGTCGACCTCAAGCTCGACGCCGCCCGCCGCGAGCGCGTGCCGCTGTACCTCGACGGCGAGACCGTTGCCGGCGCCGTCACCGTGCGCCCCAAGGACGGCCGCCGTCTCGAGCACGCCGGCATCAAGGTGCAGCTCATCGGCGTGATAGGTATCCTCTCTCTCTCTCTCTCTCATACTCTTCTTCTCCCTCTCACACCTCCCCAGAGATGCTCTTCGACCGCGGCGCCCAGCACGAGTTCCTCTCGCTCGCCCACGAGCTCGCCGCGCCCGGCGAGCTGCAGCACCCGCGCACCTTCACCTTCGCCTTCCGCAACGTCGAGAAGCCGTTCGAGTCGTACCGCGGGCTCAACGTGCGCCTGCGCTACCTCGTGCGCGCCACCGTCGCCCGCCGCCTGGCCGACGTCGTGCGCGAAAAGGAGCTGTGGGTGCACGCCTTCCGCTGCCCGCCCGACGCCAACAGCCCCATCAAGATGGACGTCGGCATCGAGGACTGCCTGCACATCGAGTTCGAGTACTCCAAGTCCAAGTACCACCTGCAGGACGTCATCGTCGGCCGCATCTACTTCCTGCTCGTCCGCCTCAAGATCCGCCACATGGAGCTGTCCATCATCCGCCGCGAGACCACCGGCGCCCCGCCCAACCAGTACAACGAGAGCGAGACCCTCGTCCGCTTCGAGGTCTGTTCCTCTTCCCTGCCGTGATGTATCCTCCCCGCTAACCCGCTACCCTACCCAGATCATGGACGGCTCGCCCTCGCGTGGTACGCACTCGTCCCCGGCCTCATCTCCTTCTCCAACTGACGCTTCCAGGCGAAACCATCCCCATCCGCCTGTTCCTGGGCGGCTTCGACCTCACGCCGACCTTCCGCGACGTCAACAAGAAGTTCTCGACGCGTTACTACCTCAGCCTAGTGCTCATCGATGAAGGCACGTTCCCATCCCGCCCGTCCCATCCCGCATCCCATCCCACCTGACACCGGCTCGCTCCCTCCCATGGCCCCCCACATCCCACCTCGCCATACCCCCACATACCCTCCTACCCACCCCCCACACCCGCGCGCCCTAAAGCTTCCCCCCCCCCACACTAACCCCTCCCTGCCCCCCTCTAGACGCCCGCCGCTACTTCAAACAACCCGAGATCGTGCTGTACCGCCAGCCGCCCGACGCCGCCCCCGCGCCCATGCAGCTGCAGCAGAACATCCCCCCCGCCCTCCCCGCCCCCGCGGCGCCCCGCGCCCCCGAGCCACTGACCCCCGATTTGCCGCCCGCCGACCCCCCTACCCACGTCGCCGCCGCCGCCTAGCGTTCGACCACCATACTCTCTCTCTCTCTCCTTCCTACTTCATGTGCTCGTTTCGCGCGTATCGGGTGTTATATTGTATTTGGCATCTCTATGTACGGAGTCTTTTTTTTCATACGTCGTCGCGTTTCGTGTTCTTCGAAGAACTGCAGAGTTAAAAAACAGCCTTATTTCCCAACACCACAAGCATTAACAACAGCATTAATCAAATCATAGACCATATACCCCCCCCCCCCCCCCCCCACACACACCCCCCCTTCCAAACCCCCCCTCCCACAATCCCCTCCCGAGTCCAGAAAACACACCCGCTCTAGTACGTGTACCGGAACCCCTCCAGCCCCTCGATCAAAATCTGCCCCCGCGCCGCCTTGCGGTTCTGCACGTAGTGGTACACCGTCATCCCCACGCTCGCCGCGATCATGAACAGCTGGCATGCCTAATTTTCCATCGTCAGTTACACAGCCAACAATAATCAAGAATTGGGCGCCACCTACAATTCCCGCCCACAGGCCGCTGAAGTACCGCGGCGCTTCCTTCTCCATGAACGTCAGCGACGCGTAGATGCCGCCCACCGCTCCGAACGCGACTTGCAGGCCCGATGCCACCCTGTGTGTCAATTTTCGTCAGCGGAACCGTCCCATTTTGGGCTGCTAGCAATAAATACTAGTACTCACGCTCGCGTGCTCTGTCCGCGGATGTTGTTGGCCTGCCACGCGAGCACGGCCGGCAGCGACGCGTTGGCGCCCGCCAGACCCAGGAAACAGCCAAAGTATCTGCTCTCACGTCAGCTGTTCATCCATACCCATGGAATAATCGGGACGATATCATCATAATCATACCTCACGCTGTTCTGCTTCGGGTACGCCACCAGGACGTACCCGATCGTGCACGTGACGGCGTTGAAGATCACGTACGGCGCCCGCATCTTGGTGCGATCTGCCAGGTACGAGATGATCAGCGTGAAGGGCACGCTGACCACGGCCGGCGGCGCCGACAGCAGGAACACCCGCCCGATCGAGTAGCCCATGCCTTGCAGGATGATGATCATGAAGTACGCGTAGCCGTAGATGCCCACGGCCAGGCACATGAAAAGAAGCGAGCTGGATCACGCGCCCTCGGGTCAGTCAAGTCCATTCATTTCCTTGCAAAAAAAAAAAAAAAAAATCCCAAAACACACGGGGAGAGAGACATACTAGATCCAGAGCTGCCACCGGCCGAGCGTCTTGAACACCTTCTTCAGCGTGAACTCGTCGTGCACGGCATCTCCTCGGTCCTTCTCCAGCTGCGACTTGATCAGGTCCACCTCCTCGACCGTCAAAAACGACTTTTTCTGCAGCACCTTGTCCGGGAAATCGATGATCAGGATGTAGCCCAGGATGGCAAGCACGCAGGTGATGATGCCCTCCATGATGAAGATCCACCTCCAGCCTCGGAGTCCGCCGAGGCCTTCCATTTTCCAGAGCCCGTACGCCAGCAGCGACCCGAAGCCGTTGGCGATGACATTGATGCAGTAAAACCACGCGATTCTACCAGTGCATGCCCCGTTAGCAATTGCAACAACGGACGGCTTGCAGGATAAAGCGCGGTCACGTACCGTTGCTGCACTTGGTATCTTCTATACCAGCAACTGATCAGGTACATACAACCGGGACTGCAGAGTCGAATTAGCCACCGGCACTATGTCGTGAATCATGGGAGGGCCCTTACAAGAAACCTGCTTCAAATAGACCCAACAGCAGTCTGATTACAATCAGAGGCTAACATGAATTAGTTTTTTGAAGCATAACTTTGAATATCGTCCATACCACCCATGACTTCACAAAGCCAGCACCTTTAATCTGTTAGTAACTCAACAACTAATGAAGTATACAGCAAGGACATACACATGATGACAATTCCCCAGCTCATGGCAAGGAACGACAGCCATACAGCTGCGCCCACCTTTCTCAGCGCAATATTGCTAGGAATTTCGAAAATAAAGTACGTCACGAAAAAGACCAGCAGCACAATCGAGTACCGAGAGCCGATGTCGAATCGTAGATCCTTGTGCATTCCCGCGACACGAGCGGAAGATAGCTTAATTCGACCTTTTTAGCCACGCCTCTTCGACCAGACAAGGGGAAGAAGCCATGGTTGGATTCGGGGACATACATTGATACGGTCAATTCCACTGATAGCATAGAGAGCTGGAACAAGCAGTTATTTAGCTATTGCCATCATTCTAGCTTAGGGTAGCTGTAACCATACCTCCCAGAATTGGGATCAGCCGTAAATCGACCTTCAAGCTAGAACCGAGTCAGTACAAACGGAACGGAGTGAAGATGAGAGAATGACGCATTCAATCGCTCACGTACTAGATTTTGCGAAGTCGTTTTTGTAACTCTTTGTCATCCATCTGGTCCGATTCCGCGTCTTTGCCTGAATTGCTCATCTGCGACTGTTCCACCTCTTCTGTGGCCATCTTCAGCTCTGTCTGAGCTTCTGAAGTCTTCTTCGACTCCATCTTGGCGGCGTTTCGATCTCGTCTAATACCTCGAGCCTGTGATTTTGAGGTTGACTCGAGAATGTGGAGGGGAATTAATCGACCTTATAATAACATCGGTCTCGACCATAGGAGCAAGATTAAATAATGGGGTCAACCTAACCATCTAGCGCAGGAATTATTGTCTGGGGTGAAGCTTTCTGGAGGCGAAGAAGAGAATAATGTTGAGCAAGGCAACTCCATCCAGGTAGCCGGGGGAAATCATTAGGACACGCATGCCGCGATTCGGCGACCCAGCCCGAGGTTCAAAGTGTTAGCCCACTTGGAGTACAAACCCCCTAGCACCGTAGGACGATCAACAGAAGGGAATCCTCCCCCTTCATTCGCTGTACAAAGATAAGAGAATCGATGCGACCAAGAGCCAAGGGTGCCGCTTGGCGTTAGGGTTGGCATCCTGGACTTCGCTCCGGGATAGAAGGACCAGCCTCGGAACCCATCGACGCCCACCCCTTTCCCCCGCATGTTCTAAAAAAGCGAGCCAAAAGTAGGAACGGTGGTCGAAGCGTAGGAGTCATTGCGCATGCCCTCTCATATAGTTAAGAATAGAGCATGGTGCGAGCTTTTAAAATAAACACCGCATGGGCCTCACGAAACCCCTGCTCGGAACCTTGGACGCAAATCCTGGTTGCCGGTTAGGATCGAAACATGGAGAGCCGGGCGTCACACTGTATCGCGCGGTGGCCAATTGCCAACTGTCATTAACGTTTCGAGCGGGAAGCTCTGGGGCCCTACGATATTGTTCATCGAGGGGCACGCGGTTCAACAGCGCGGGAATCCGGGGTAGGTCTCCACAAGGGCATGTTCCGCGCCTCGTGGCGTCTAAGGAGCAGCTAGTTTCATAACTTTCAACGGAGGGAAGCAGGGTGGCGGAAAGCTCCCGCACCAATCTGAGATTGCCTATATTGCCATTTGCTGGAAATACTTGAACCAAGACACTATAGCATTCGCGAGTTGGTTGAAGCTTACACCGCCAAGACATTTTCCACGTAGGCACGGACTTCACCGGATTTTTTTGCCTCCACCAAAAACGAACCAGTCTCACCCGCCAAAATAGCAAAATGAGGGGTCGGAGCCATGGCCGCCGAGCCTCAGTAACGATTTTCCATACGGAGTACAGGGCGGAATTTGGTCCCAAAACTACATAATAGATCCCTGTGCTAAGCCCGCCATGATTTCATAACAACCGATCAAGCGTTAGAGGCACAGTCGCCTGCAATCGACTCTAATAGCTCTGTTAACATCCGCATAATCTCTTGGTCATCTGGTGCTCTTGCGGCAACTTGGATGCTTTTCACGGCCAGTGGGTATACCCATCCAAGATGTTTCTTGTACCTTACGTCCTTGTCCATGGCCTCGGTCTGATCGGTAGTAGTCCGTACTGGTACAGTTGGGCCTGCGGGAGGAATAGCTGTAGGTGTACTTCGTAAGGCGGTGAGCTTTTGTAATAGGTACAGGAGTTCTTTTCGAGCAATAATAGGTTGCGGCATGAGTCCTCGCAAAGGCTGGTCGGCGATGTAGGATTTCAATGCTATTGCACAACGCAAAATAAGATATGGAGATACAGATTTTGCAAGCGTTTTATATGACTCGAGTGAGTTTGGTCCTGTTTCCAGCGCGAATTCGTGTGTGGACGCCAGCTCGAATAAAGTATCAATTAGGAAATACGATAGGTTGGAGCGCAAAGTCGGTCGCGAGCTAACAGTCCTACCTCTGCGGACTTGATACAAGTTTTCCAGAGGCTGAGTCTTCAAGTCTTCAAAAGAAACATCATTGTAGTTCGGGGGATAGATGAGTGAAAATCTGAATAGAATGAAAGCAAATTCTTGGCGTATGGTATCTGGGATGAACGGAGAGCCGAGGGATGGAATTATTAAAACACGTAGCCGTGTGAAAGCCTCCATATCAAATCTTTCATCTTCTGCGAGGATGGCAGTGCCCCTGTTATCCTCCTCGTAACCCTCGGCGGCTGCAATGCCTCTAGTTAAATCAGCAACCCGCGCCCAGAAACTGGCAGCCGTCTTCTTCTCAACATGTTCGTACGCCTTCTCAACTGAAGGAATCAAAACCTGGAGAATATCCAACGAAGATGTCGCGGCAACCTGCCATATGGGAGGGTTGCAGTCTTTTCCTAGCCATAAATATTTGTTCAAGACAGGATTGACTAGATGGCCTATTGCTTCAGGTATCGTATTTCCTGAAAAGAAATCCACCCTCACGCCTCGTTCCATCATGTACCAACTAAAGAGTTGAAGACAAGCTTTCGAGAAAGCGACAAAAGTAGGCTTCTCCTTTCCATGCTCAGGAGACCATCTGGTCAATGCGCTGTCTGATAGTTTCGCTAGACAATCAATGATTTCGCGTTGTGATGAGGGTTTATCTAAACAGAGGGCCCGTAAGCAACCGACCACGGACTTCTGGGGTTCTGACTGGCGTTCTAGATCAGAGGAGTATTGCGGCATAATCGATTCCCATACACAAAGTTTGAGATTGGCCAAGACTTGGGCAACTTGTTCCTCACCCAAGCTACTACCAAGCAAGCGATAGAGCTGTTCGTAAGTGTTCAAGTAGGCCAAAAACGCGTCTTGGTTGGAGGTATTAGAACGCTGGCCTTCTTTGGCGGGGTGATTTGAAGTCCATATCGCCCAAGCTTCTTCAAGCGCTTCCAAGGAAACGTCTTGACGGTTCTTAATGCGTCTCAGTATTTTGGCAAAGCTTGTGAAGATTGACGATGTAAGTTCTAATAGGCGAGAGTTAAGTATGCTGTCAAAGTATTCCAGTAAGCGGTGCCATGATTGATTAAATTCTGAATCATGAATAACGGTATCAAAGAAATTCGTGATTAAGTCTGATAACCCTTTTGTAAGAAGGACCACAGTTTCCACCCAAGCCTTTTGAATGTTAGTGTTCCCAGTTTCAGTAGAGTGCAACGCTTCGAAGAGCTTTTTTTGAACGGACTCAGCCATCACAAGCAAAACATGGTTGAGACATATGTGCCATGCATCTGGTGGTAGCTGTTGGCCTTGATTGTCCAATATTCGAAATATCGTTTGAATGGCATTGTTGCGAATTTCAGTTCGATTGTCAACCGAAACGTGCACGATTTTCAAAAGCAATAAAAGCCACAGGGCATTGCTGGCGATCGTGGAATCGGTAGTAGTCGCAAGAACTATCAATTCTTCTTCTGTGGATCCAACATTGAATTTTTCCGTGATCACAAAATTGCCAAATCGGCCGCACAGAAAATCGGAGGTATTCCAGAAGAAGGTGGTGGTCGTAAGAGAGATATTGAAATCTTCTTCTTGGGAAGCAAAGTAAGAGAATGTTTCCACCAATTGAAGGAGGCAAGAAACGGGCAGCAAAGCAATAAAATCAGATACAATAAGCTGAAGTGAATCATATGCCGTCCTTAAGAGCTTCGGCGATTTCACAGACACCGCTTCTGGGCTACTGATTCGGGGTATTACTGATGGACCCTGGCTGTGTTTCTGGGGGCCGGTGTCCTGCTTGTCAAACACACTTGAGATCAAGCTGAAGACTAAGTCCCACCCCGCGGTGATTGAGTCACCACATTCCTCTAGCACTGATTTGAGAGTTCCAAGGGCAAGCTCATGTACGTGGAAATCAGAACTACGCACTGCGGAACTGGGTCGACGTTCTGATTTGTAAAGGCCGGAGATTTGGGCCTTTAGAGCATGTAGTCCTCGAAGCTGCACTTCGTTCCGACATGATGGCTCAAATGAATTGCCAAGTTTGATCATGTCAAAGGCAAGCTCATTGAGCACTACACTTGCTCGTGAACGAAGTTGAGAGCTAACCTGCTCGTTCTTCGTGATTGCAACAAGGAAATTTACGATGACTTGCCAAATGGACTCTTCACGATTTATAGTGAGTCTTTCAATATTTGCCTTGGTCAAATCTCCCATTTTTGCAAGGATAAATCTCAACTCGTCTTCTTGTACTTTAGGCCGGCCAAGGGCAATAGACAGATTGCGCCTATTCTGCCGAACTCGGCCACTCTGTGGAATTGTCTCAAAAACAGGGGAGGATGGATCATCGTACTCCTTTGTAAGTTCTGAAAGACTCAATAGAGCACGCATGAGTAATCCTAATGCCGTGTCTGGGTAGTTTTGCGTGCTTTCAAAAAGTTTCATGGCAGCCGTGCGCACGGCCAATATTTCGGTTCCAACGTTTCCTTTAGATAAATCTGCACCAACAGTGAAACCTTTCTCTGGGCTTTGGTCCGTGGCAGCTGGCTTGGTAATTGACGAGGTCGAGACATCGAGAATCAAATCAGCATGCTGTAAAGTTTCAAGGATTATGGACCATGAGCATTGATCCAGAGAAGGGCCCAGGGCAATTCCCAAATTTAGCAATGCACGTAAACATAATAGATTTCGTGTATCGAGAAATATTCCTTTATTTTCATTGGGCAGCCTCGGGTGCTCAGCATTGCTTGGGGAGCTTGGAAGGGGAGACTCGGTAAAAGAGACATGATCTTCCAGCTTCTGAGGCAATGAAGCTAATGAGCTGGTGTTTAGGGTATCAGCAGGGACTGCGGCCTTTCCAAGTGTAGTAAGAAATGCATCTCTGGGCGTAGTCAGTCTTAGAAGTCCCGCGACGTGAGCAAGCTTTTGAAATGCTCGAACTAAATTGTGATAGTAATCGCTTTCCAGAGCTGCATATAAAAAGGTAGAAGAGGTAGCAAGAATTGCCGGCCAACAGGAGTCAATAATGGCCGCGATTATCTCGATATCCTCGATTTGTGGATGGGATTTCAGTTCAAGGGGATTTACTGGAATGAAAACATCCTTTGAATTCTTGAGTTCATTAACGGCTTTGGCGTCATCAGAATTTGCAGTGCCAGTCTTGGTCAATGCAAAATGTCCGTACTTTCGTCTTGATTTCGTCTCCGCAACTGTCAGTGGGAGGATGAATCTTGCGATATTTTCCGAAAAGCTACTGATACAGTTGAGCACTAGGGTATAAATGTAAGTCTCTGGGGGGACGGGCGCTTCTAATTTATCTAAGGTTTCAATATATGGCACCCGAAGTAAGCTCCACTGACTGCTGATGCCGTACGCGTCTGTATTTTTTGATGGGCCTCCAAACACACCGGCTACGCCGACGGCTTCCAAAGCAACTTGATCTTCAATTGTATCCGCAGATAATGCAGGTTCGACTGGTACTGTCGACTGATGCCCTACTCCTATCAATGAAGGGTTTTCGGCCGCAAGCCGAACAAAACAAGCCACAAAAGCTCTGACAATATCTTTGCGTTTTTCTTGTTGGTCGAACAAGCGGAATATGATCATGATGAGGCCTGGCTCTGAAAAAATACCCCTACAAAGCTCCATGCATATCGCACGTTTCCAAGGAGGCGAAACATCAATTTCGAGTAAATGAACTAAAAGGCTCAGCGCAACCTCCGATTCAGAAACGAGCAGTTGGATATGCGATTTAAGTAAAAGCAGCAATATTCTTGCTAGGCGGACAGTGATTGGGAACCCATGTCGCTCGGACAGGAACCTCACAATCAGAGGCAATAATCTGTATCGGAGAATATGTGCATGTTCTGGATGTCGAGTGAACACATTGTTATTGCTAACCAAGATGCTTTCGATTAACTCTAGCACGAAAATCTTAGATAGAGACTTGATCCTGAGAAACTCAAGAGTTTCGCCTTCGACGAGCCGACAAAGGTCGTCCAGCACCTGAATATTATTGTTAGAAGCAGCAGACAGGTAGCCATGGGGAGATGAATTACCCGAAACGCATCGTAGCTCGCCCCTGAGATGTTAATGCTCTCGTTTCCTAATGAAATTGAAACGAGAGTCACGCTGTCATCAAGGTTTTCTGAACAAAATTAGTGTGCCAGCAGGTAGAGATAAAGGACGTCAGGCACAAACAAACCATCTTCTCTGGAAACCTTCTCGAAGACTGATACAGCAAGCTGCTGAAGCGTTGCTGCAGCTGTATTTGAAACAGCTGTTGCTCTTACGGTTTGCAGCGTTGCACAAAGTTCCAGGACATTCGCAAGGAGGCGGTCTTTTAAGTTGTCTGAATAACGCTGAAATAATGTTGGTAACGTTTGAAGTACTTTGAGTTGAACGTCCAAACCTAGAAAATATTAGTGAGAACATTGGAAGTGATACCGATATGTCATAATTCAGACTTATGTTTGTGGTTTGATGCAGCCCATCTACAACACTTTCCAGCTGTTCAGGTGGTAATGCTCCAGAAGCTACGAGTCTTTGAATCGACCCAACTCCCAACACTGCAAGTTTAGCATGGCGAGTATGACAAGCTAGAACGAACGGCCTCACGAAATGGGGCTTTCGAAGTAAATCTTTTGGCTTATCAGCATGTAATTTTTCAGGCATTTGAAAGGATGTCTTCAACCTGCCGCTAGCTGAACTTCTGATGTTGAAGGTATTGCCTTGAGATCATGGAGCGAGCTCTCCGCGGCCTAATATCTGCATTAGCGTTGAAAGCAGCATTTGGGTTTCCAAAAATTTGAAGCACACATTTCTAAGATCGGAATTCTTTCTCTTAGATTCATTTATTAAAGACGTTAATTCTCCTTGAAGGAATTGAGAAGTCATGTCAGGTGCAGGATTCAAGCATAATCAATCAGTATGTAAACGTGGCTTTTGCAAATGAAAACGGATGGTCGAGCCCCAATATAGCCTAAAAAGTGTTCAACCAGTTCTATAGCTAATATAAAAGAGATAAAGAGCAGCCTATGTCTAACAGAGATTTGATCGTAGGATGGTATTCGAATAGATGGTGGGTTGAGAAAGCAACCGAATTTGGAAGTACATACTCCGTACAGTACGGAGTACAGAGCAGTCTTGGCATCACGAAGAAAAGAATGTGGTTAACTAACTAGTTACTTCGTACTCCGTAGCTAACTAGTTAAACTCTAACTATATTTCCAGGTCACCCCTCAAGACTGCCAGGCAGCCCCTCCTAAATTCGTTCAACCATCATTAGCAATCATGACGGCAAAGGTGCCACGAAATTTTCGGCTGCTAGAGGAGTTGGAGAAGGGGGAGAAAGGCCAAGGTCCAGGTGGGTTTTCTGAAAAATCCATCTCCACAATCTTTTTGCAAGGTTTTGACTTGTCTAACCGACACGTCTATAGAGGCTTGTTCGTATGGTTTAGCGGATGGCGAGGATATTATGATGAGAAATTGGAATGGCACGATTCTAGGCCCACCTCACGTTTGTTTCATCCCACTTAGCTATATGTCTGAGCTGACAATGTCATTACCAGAGCGTACACGAGAACCGTATATACTGCGTGAACATCCACTGCGGCGATGACTACCCTGATGCACCGCCATCGATTCAGTTTGTTTCCAAAATAAATTTGCCGTGTGTTGATCCGCGTTCTGGAAAGGTACGATAAGGCTGAGGGTGACGAATTTATGGAGAGGTTGTTTAATGACAGCATTATTACTTTTAGGTTGACCCAACGAGGCTTCCCTGCTTAGCGGAATGGAAACGAGAGTTTACTATGGAAACTATTCTCCTCGAGTTAAGAAGGCAAGTGACAACTCGTGGGCCTTGTAGTTCAAGAACGAAGCTAATACACTCCAGGTATATGGCACTTCCGCAGCATAAGAAACTTCCCCAGCCACCAGAAGGCGCCACCTTCTAAAGTATTTGAGCGCAATACGGAGTACAATTTGATTTAAAGAATCTTGAAGACCCCAAAACGACCAGATTATAGGGGTTCTTTCTTAATTTTGACTGCCGCCTAAATAGGCTTTACCAAGCAATGTGGTGCCGTGGAAGACATCAAAGATGTGTCTTTAAATAACTCCCCCATTCGAACAATAGGTTTATCTTGAAGTCTCTGCCATTCACATAGACTTAACTACCTGTTTCACAGAAGCAATCTACTAGCAGTCTGAGCGTTTCGTTTTATTAGGGTTGAGGTCTGTTCGTTTATCATTAACAAAAACCATACTTTTCAATGTGCATGTTTGCAATACTCCGTACAGAGTATACATATACTTAACGTTCTTCGATTTCTTTGCATATCTGATTGAGCTCATCCCAACCACGCCACGCCCATATAAGGGTGCTGGCCACCCCAATTTACATCCACTCAAACAAAGGCGTTATCAATCTAAAAAAAAATCAGAAGATAAAGAAGGGCCTCCTACTGTATGATACTAGCTGGTTAATTTTGAAAAAAAAATCAGTGTGGCTGTGTATCAACCATTTTGTAAATGTTTTAGCAGTAATGTACACAGTTGGTATGTAGTTACATGGGGGTGGCCAGCACCCTTGTAGGGGTGGCTACTAGCAGAGCTGAGCAGAAATGAAGTTGAGCTCTGCTCCTATTTTATGACGCCTACAGTACTCCGTACTAGGTAGCTATCTGTTCACCCTGTAACGGCAAGTGCTTGACGGAGGTACACTTTGTTTTTCATGACACCTCCTGCTGTTATTTCGAATGCCCCGGCATTTGGCTCCCTCTTGCTCGGGAGTTCATCGGCTTGCCTGTAGGCTGTGTACCCTTACTTGTCAGTTCCTCAACTAATGTTTTCCTACATAGGCCTATCGCTCTACCATGCACTTTTATCTCAGTGCTCGCGCTCTTTTGCCAGCAGTCCCAAGGCAGACGAGATTCGAGGTTTTATAAAAACGAGATTTCGGAAGGATAGTAAGTTACAAAGTATAAGCAAGATAGCCAATGCCCTTAGAGCCGGTCATGAGGTGGGCAAGTCCCTTCGGTGCAAATTGGGGCAATTAATAATCATTTTAGGCCCTCGATTTATTTCAGTCATATGCTAGAAAGGAGAAAGAGAGTATACAGCGTGTTGACTCCTTGCTTGCGGCTACTCGCTCTCTTTTGAAAAAGACTTTCGAGGAACGTCGAGACCAGGCCGCCAAAGCCACCCCTCTGGATCGCACATCGCCTACTTCGAGAGAACGATTAAAACAGCGTTCCGAGGCACTTCGCGTGCATACCGATAGACAGTCCATTCTTTCTCGGCCGAGGCCAGTAGTGAGAGGTCGACGTCGTGTGCCTGTTCTAGTCAGCGCACGGGGAATACCTTTTCTGCGGATCAAGAAACCGCAGCCTCGGAGCCTGAGCTACACAATAAAGGGTCTACTGGACGCTCGGTGGAAAAGGATTACAATACGCGACAGATTGGAGCAGGAACTGTTAAGGGCACAGGATGAAGATTTTTGGGATCGCGTAACAGGCCACTGCGATGTGGTACTCTGGGAAATGAGCGTTAAGGACAGTTTAGATTGTATTAAAAATACAATTTTGGCAGGCGACCGGGTCAACAGGAGAATGGCTCAAAACATGTGGGAGGTTGTCTTGAAGGAGCGAGAATTAGCAGAAAGAGAGGCCGCAGAAAGGAAGAAGCAACAAGCCAAGATACCCAATCCAGACGGAAAATCAGACTCGATATGAATTATTCGTGGAAGATATGAATACCAGGAAAAGCACGACTGCATTCCCAAACGCACTATGTCATATTATGGCAATTTAATCGGACCATCATGGATTAGAAAGCTATGTATGCTATCTACTAAATCTGCACAGTAAATATCTACTGCATAGAAAGGGGCCCTTGGGTTACTAGAATATTAGATGTAACATATCTAATCTTTTTTATTCTGTTATGCTAGCGCTGGCAAATTTTGCCGGCAGAGATTCATCTTCGTCATAATCCCCCTTGCCTGCAAGGCCACTCTCCCACAATTGTTTTCCAGTAGGTTTTTTCGGCTCTTTAGGGCCTCTCTTTCTTTTCTCCTCCGCTTCCTTCTCTTCCTGTTTCCGTTTCTCTTCTTCCTCCATTTCTCGTCGGAATTTTTCGCGCCATGCAAGAAAACTGTCCCTGGTGACAGCCTCGCCCTGGAATTTTCGGTTTTCTTCCTCTTCCGCTTTCGCCGCTTCGACCTCCTTTTGTGCTTCGACGGCGGCGTGGCGCTCTGAAACAAGTAACTCTGCGCCTTCTTTAAGGATATCAACAAGTGTAAATACCATTGCCATTCCCAGGTTTTCTTCAACCGTGCTTGTGAGAAGGTCTAGCAATCGGTCACGGTCTTCTTGTATATCGAAATGCGGATACTTTGGAGAATTTGGTGGCGCGGAAATTTCAAGGCGAGGCGCAACATCAGGATAGTCTTCGGGGTAGGTCACCTGAAGGATAAGAATGGGAGGGTCGGAATAATCCTCTCCATGGTGGCTGACATCAAGAGTGACCGATATTCGGTACGAGTCCTCCGATATATCTAAGGGTTCCAGTCAATAACCCGCGACTGTAACTCTTAAATCCTGATGCCACACCTGCTATTTCATCCGGAAAAATTGATTTTAGCGTTTCCTTTTCCTCTTGTTGGTCCTCACGACCCATCTTGTTGGTAGGGAAGAGGGCTCCCACAAATCCAAGGTGCAGCTTATGAAATTAACTGTTTTTTGGCGAATATTATTTTTTTTAATTATTTATTTAGAAAAAGTGACTGGGGTATTTTGCTTATACGTTGGTCAACTGTTCATTGATTCAAAAATACCCCTCAGAGTGTTGATAGTGTCAGGAACCAGCCGATAGTTAACTAACATACGGAGACAACAATGCAAACCTGACAAACACAAAAAGGCTAACTAAACCAATTTCTTCCAGTCATAATTGTCCAACATCTCAAATTACTGAAAAACATTGCCTTGAACAATTGAAATTCCTACGCTTTGAAACATAATTACCAAATATAATTAAGCAACCGGAATTCGTATCCACATTTTTCGCAGGACAACAGCTAGTTAGCTCAATGTCGTGATGGCGAAAACCAAACCCAAAAACAAACCAAAGGGAAAAGGAAAATCAATATTGAACGGGACACGGCCAGCACGAGAAAGAAAAGCCATGGAAGACCCTTCTATTCTGTTTGAGCAGGCGATCGCACTACTTCAAATTGGGCAGCCAGACGAAGCACTGTTACTCGTCGAACGCGGCCTAGAGATTGCCCCTCCAGCTTCTCCGAACAATTTAATTGGCTTAAACCTGGTTGGAGAGGTCTATGTCGAGCTGGGAGATATTGACGCTGCTAGGAAACACTTTTTGGAGGCTGTTGAACTTGACCCAGAAGGAACGAAACCAGAATACCAGGGAGGAGGGGCCGAGAAGTTTTTGTGGTTGGCGCAATTGAGTGAAGAAGGGGGAAAAGATAGTGTTCATTGGTTTGAACGGGGCGTTAGTGTGCTAAGGCATAATATTCAGACCCTAGAGGAGAACGGGAAATCGGCAAGCTCCGAGAACCTGGAAGAGCAAAAGAGAAAACTAGCAAATGCCTTGTGTGGCGTCATTGAAATCTACATGACCGATTTATCGTGAGTACTCTGGCAGTAGGGTTGACTTTGTTTTTAGAAATACTAATAGAACTCAGGTGGGAGGATGATGCCGAGAGCAGGTGTGAGACATTGATTACAGAAGCACTACTAATGGCCCCAGAGTCGGCAGAATGTCTCCAAACTCTTGCATCTATCCGGATATCACAGCTCCGACATGAGGATGCGAAGGCGGCGTTATCACGGAGTATAGCTATTTGGAAAGATTTGCCTTCAGAGAGTCCATTTGTTCCGGATTTCCCCGTGAGGGTAAGCCTCTCAAGACTCTTGATGGAGGCTGAGATGGAGGTCGAAGCCTTGGAGGTACTGGAGCGAATGATCCTTGAAGATGACCAAAGTGTGGAAACCTGGTATCTTGGTGGATGGTGCCAGTATTTGTTGGCTCAGAAAATCTCATCTGATACGGTAGACGAAGCCAATCATGAGCAACAACGGGCTTTGATGTTGGGAAGCCGAAGCTGGTTACGGCAGAGCCTGGAGCTATATGACGCGATCCAGTATGAGGATGACCGGCTAAAAAAGCACGGAATGGAGCTCGTCCAAGAGCTGGAACACATCCTAGGCGTGCTCACCGAGGAGAGCGGCGATGAAGGGGATGGATGGGAGGATGACATTGACGCGGCCTCAGAGTCTGCTTCCGACCATGAAATGAGAGACTACTAAGCAGTAGACCCAGATGCTTCTGCTAGAAGATTTTCACGGCATATAAGCTGCTCCAGCTTACGTTGCCAGACCATGCCCGCCTAAGCTGTCGCCAGCTCTTACTAAAATGTGCAGCATTACTATTACATAATATTAATGTCCCACGAAGCGGGGCGAACCTCCTACTCGATCAGGCATCGGCTTATGGCGCTTCAGAGCCGCCGAGTGGGGCCGGTAGGTAGGTAGTTAGTCAACTAACTAACTACTTAACTTTAACTTGGTTCACCAGCCGTGCAACCGGCTTCCGATCTGGCCGGCTGGGTCATCTCGGCATCCACGCAGTTGAGCCGCGTTGCTTGCCAGAGCTATCAAATACGGCAGACCAGTGAATTTCAAATTGTTTGTCTCCTGGTGCGCTTCTCTTCTCTGTGTGTCCTTGTATGTATATACACAGACATACATACTTACTATATCCTATTACGTATGAATATATGGACATCCATACGTATTTTGCATGTTTCTTATAGCCCAGGCTGTGATGAATTTGTCACCTCCCAGGTGGGGGTTTACTCCTCCTTATTTGATGATACTACAAAATTCGCGGCATTAGTTGAGTGGTTATGCAGACTTTGGTCGGCGTTCGCAGGCATCGTGGTACCCCTACTGGGGACCGCAGACCCCGCCTTCTAGTTTGTGAAGTGGGCTACGGCCTTCACTAAGTCTATAGCATGCGGATATCGACTGAAAGTTCTCAGTGCACTTGAAGAATTCCAACTGGACCGCCCTCAAATGCTTTCCCAAGCCAGTTGTCTATGGCCGCTCCCGGTCTATATAAAGCCCTGGTGCCCATCGTCAACTCAGGCCAGATCAGCTCAGATCAGGACAACTCGAGGCAGATTCAACAGATTCTTTCAAGCTATTCTCTCAGAAATATACTCTTCTTCCTCCCGCACTTCTTCACCATACGTGTTATACCATTCCTCTTCAACCTAGCTCTGGCTAGCTTTCCCTCAGCGTCACTGGCCTTCCCACCCAGAATGTGACCGAAGCTGGCATCGAACAACGCTCAACATCGCGAGCCATATATGCAGTTGCTCACCGGGTATTGACAATCGAAGGCATCCAGGCGGCTGTCAAGGATGGTGCAAACGCCATTGAGATCGATTTTACGGCATGGCACAACGGTTGGTGGGCAGACCATGATGGTCTTCCCACTAGCGGGAGTGTTAAAGCGGAACCCATGTTTGTCGAAATTGCTAAGTAGCGCAAGTAAGGTGCACCCATTACATTTGTTTGGCTCGATATGAAGAATCCCGACTATAAAGAGAGCAGTGAAAATTCTATTACCGCTTTGCGGGACCTCGCCCGAAAGCATTTGGAGAAAGCAGGTATTCGTGTCTTGTATGGTTTCTATAGTGAACCGACCGAGAAAACCAAATCCTGGATCACCATCCGTGACTCATTGAATGCCAATGAAGCTGTAGCCATCTCAGGAACAGCAGATGCTGTTGCAAAGTTTTATAAGGGGGTGGGCAAGTCCATCCCAGCAAAACAAAGAATGTCGGATCATGGATTATTCAATACCTTTTTCAAGCAAAGTGTATTTGATGAGCTTAAAAAACTCTCAGATGCTCGGGATCGCGGTGAATTAGGGAGGACGTTTGGCTGGACCGTTGCAGCCCATAAAACCGGCACTGCTGCATTAATGCTGAAAACCTCAAGAGTGGATGGTATCATTTATGGCAATGGTCTTCGGCATTATACAGACCACACTACCACCAAGAGCGCTTTCTCAACTATTTCAACTTTTATTAAAGGGAATCCGTCTACCCACCACCTAGCGAAGGCTAACGAATATCCTTGGTAATTGACAAGACACAGGTCTTTCTACGTTCTGTACTTTAGATATGAAGTAACTTTCAAAATTTTTCTTGACTACATAGAAATATATACATAGACCAACGATAAATTCCGAAACCCGTGTATATGCATGTACGCCTTACCTAAAATGCCTTTCTTTCCCTTTTGAGTAATCATCCATAGCAGTCAACAAACTTTCCATGACAATCAGGATTCATCAATTTTAAGCTATTCCCACTGACTAAGCATACCAATCTAGGTCTGTTTTACGGTCACAAACACACTGGAGGCCTTAATCTGGTTCAAAGGGACCGTTTTCAGCAAAGCAAAGTCTGTAGGTGGTATTTCAAGAACCAGTTATAAATCGTGAGGCAGACACGGGCGGGGTCTTGGAACAGGCACAGGGACTGGAGCTGTAGAGTATGGGATTGAAGTCTGTGTCAAGAGATTAACTACCCGTGAAGCAACTGAAGAAGCCGAAGAACAAGTGGTGAGTAATAGAGTATCTCAGAACAAACCACATCTAACTAGTTAACTACCCTAGCGCATCCTTCACAGCCAAACATGCGAACTTCTTGAAAGGTTTTTGAATATAAAAACTCTGTACGGAATACATATTAGTTACATAATAATAGATGCCATGCATAGTCGCCAGACATGCTAGCCAGTCGACTCGAAAGATGGATATCTTAACTACTAATAAGTGACAGTAAGTAGGCTTAGTCTCTTGGCCCGTTCCACAATATTATCCCCATACACGCACCCTTGTATGGGGAGTAAGAACTCCGTAAAGAAGGTTGACAAATGATAATGATGGGCCCCGTCGCCCCACGTCTCCACCGAACAGCCACATTGTCTGGTGTTAAGGTGGCCACTCCAACTTAACAAGAGTCAGTTATAATATTATGCCATCAAATATAACAAGGGAATTGGCCTCAGTTTTTTCCTGGAGATTGGGGGCTGAGTAACTTAACTCGCCGTATTCTTGTTACTCAGGAATAATGGCAAAGGCAAATGCCGAAGAAGGCCACCATACCGATAACGACCAAATGCTCCGGGCAAGGACGATAATATTGATAATAATAAATATGTGATTCGCAACCCTCCAGCAAAACGGACGTCGTTCCTAGAATATTCTTACAGGTCTTGTGAGAAATAGTACTCAAAATGTATTCCATAGGAGATGAGAAGGCTGTTGCGCTCTCATGGTTCAGCTAGCCCGCCGTGAGTCTGCGAGTTGGAGCATGGACTGGATGAAGCGATACTAAGAGGACGGATGCATCAATTTATTTAAACCTGTGTATGCCATTATAAAAATAATTACTCGGCATGTCCCTGCGCCTAGGCATGAATTTTCAAGCTCTGCCTATATACTCCGCATGCTTATATTGAAAGGAAACCCAGAAAGTTGAGATCAAAAGCATTCGCTCAAGCAAACAGTACAAATTTTTCGTAAAAATAAGCAATTGCCAAAATCGTCCTTCTCGTGCAAACAGTGCAAAATAGGAATCTACTGGACCAATAAGGATAGCGAACTTGAATTTGGCGGAAAGTCTAATTTGATACCGGATTATCAATAGTTCCGGCTGATATCATGAAGCCATTCCATCATTCAACCCTTGTCCAACACCATGATGTGGTGTCGTCACTTCTGTCTGGCCGAGGTAATATACACCCTGGCCATTCAATATGGATGTCACGCCACAGCTAGCAGATGATGCGGCAGCGCGCAAGACAGAGACTCTTGATTCCGTTCTCATTCGATCTCGCGTCACCAGTGAGGCCAGAGACGGATCGACTCCCCCACCAGAAGTACCACCCTCGAACTGTTCAAGTATTTCAGAAGCATCTGGCGATGAATGGGAGACCGAATCTATCTACGAAGAAGCCTTGCAGTCCATTTCCGACGAACAGCTTCGTGATGGAGGTGCGTGTCATTGCCCCTTTTGTCGTCCCAGTATCATTACTAACTTTACCGCCGATACCCAGTCATTCCAAATGCAGTAACACTGGAAGAAGCGCGAGCTTTTCGCAAACGCTTACACGAACTTGGCATAACACAGTTTTTAGGGGAGACGATCGTACGCAAGAAAATTTCAGCGAAGAAGCTGTGCACTGCCTTTGGAGTTTTCCCCCCGCCGTTCCTAGAAGATTTACCTGATAACGCCTTTATCGAGCCTCTGTGTTTGGGAATCAAACGCGAATATTCCAAGCGTCTGAAGCTCTCGCAATACAATACCATAGATGATGCCGTGGAATTGCTGAAGCGATCAAAAAACATTATTGTTTTGACTGGTGCCGGCGTACGTTGACCAACTTCACAGATATTCTAAATAGGAAGACATATGTACTAATTATGAGTCTTTAGATATCAACAAGCCTTGGTATCCCTGATTTCAGATCAAAGGACATTGGGCTGTATTCAAAACTAGAGCATCTCGGGCTCGGTGACCCGCAGGAAGTATTTGATATTAACCTTTTCCTCGAAGACCCAACCATCTTTTATTCTTTCGCCAAAGATATTTTACCAACAGAGAAGAGATTCTCACCCACACATGCTTTTATTAAACTCCTTCAAGATAAGGGAAAGCTGCTGACTAACTTCACTCAAAATATTGACAATGTCGAAAGTAATGCGGGAATTCTCCCATCCAAATTAATTCAGTGTCATGGTTCTTTTGCCACTGCTACCTGCCTTAAATGCAAAACCCAAGTCAATGGGGAAGCCATCTTCCATAAAATTCGTGAAGGGCTTGTCCCTAACTGCAAACAATGCAAGAAGAGGCTTGTCATGAAAACTCAATGTAAAAAAAGAAAACACAGCTCGATTGAATCACATAAAAAATCTAGAAAATGGCATACAGACGATGACTCAGAAGGCGAAGACTATAATGCTCCTGGCATCATGAAGGTATGGTCGTGCCTTAAGTAACAGTGCGCTCTTTACTGACTTCTCCTAGCCTGATATTACTTTTTTTGGAGAAGACCTCCCAGACGCGTTCAGGAATCGCCTCCTAGGTCATGATCGTGATTTGGCGGATCTCGTCATTGTCATTGGGACATCTTTGAAAGTAGCACCAGTTTCCGAAGTTCCAGGCCTCATGCCAACCATTCCTCAGCTCTTCATATCTCGCACAGTAAGTGGCTGTAATTCATAGGCCCAGTATTTTGTATTCTTTACTAATTATGTTAGCCGGTATCGCACATAGATTTTGACATAGACATGCTCGGTGATTGCGATGTTGTAGTAACAGAACTTTGTCGACGTGCTGGGTGGGATCTGAAACATGAAATGATTCCTTCTAATCAGAAAATCGAAGTTCATTCCCAAGAAGGCTTTGAGTCCCGATACATAATAACGGCCCTCAGCACCTAGTGCCCTTGTCTTCACTTTGAGCTATCCTGTGTTCAGGAGTTTGGAATCGTCATACCCCATTGTTGGATAGATTTGCGTAGTATAATATTCGTAAGGCGTTTTTTAGAGGGGTGCCATGTAACTTTACAGAATCCAGTGCATGAAAACTAAACATGCTGCCTGCTAGTGTTCTTCTATCCTCTTAAATACTTGGTTTTGAATAAATTAATAGTGTGTGTGTAATTTTTATCTCACTTGTATATCCTCCACGTATGTCAGTTGCCAATTTCCAGACACGCCTAAATTTCACTCCAAAGTAACTCTCCTAAAAGACATTTCTTTAAGAGCTCGTAAACTTAAGGAATTTCCAGGTGATGATGTTTTTAAACTCTGTAAACATTACTTTGTTTACAGCCTTCCCTCTAATATGTTGCCACTTAAAATGATATATTGACCTTATTCCAGATTAATAAATTGTAGATACTAAATCTCTGTAAATTCTGCAATTGAGGTTTAATACTAAGCTCTAATTTAATAGAGAGTTCAATGTACTCCGTATAATTAAATTGACCATTCTAACGAGATGGAGCCACTGCGGCTATCTTTCTTGCCCTTTCCAGAAATACGTATACAATAATAGATCCTGATTGAAGTTTACAATTGGTTGAATCATTTTTGGTCAAGTTTTATATCACACTCATCTCATCATAAAGTTCTTTCTAAACAAACAAAATTCAACAAGCTAATAAGTAGCTATACCTTAACTCAGGATTCCCCTTAATTGTCAGTCAGGTTAGTCCAGTCGCTTTCCTCCCTCAAAGCCGTATCCATACTCTCTATAAGGTTCTCTTTCCCAAAATTTGCCCAAACATAATATATAAATACAACGGCCGCAACAATTACTTCGGTGGGCTGGGTTGATAGAACCGCTAACTTAGGCATCCCTAGGTTAGGGTAGGGTACTTATATACGGAGTAAAGCTCGCTCAAAACGGATACTGATCAGATGTTAATAGTGGACACAAACGATGGCTGTGAGCTAGTCCAAAAGTAAACAGCCCGTTGTCACACAATCACCCGGGCGAGGCATACTGAAATAGCTATCCTGGCAACTGACAAGCCCAATAAAATCAGACAGCCAAGATTTATGTTGAAGACTCTTTTCGATTGCCTAGTACATGACCCTAGCAATCGCCTAGGACTAAGAGCACGGTTGTCGCCCTCATAAGAAGATATCCTTCTCCTTGGAACCTTTTACTTGCTCTCCTGTATTCTCAGTATCTCTGTTCTTTGTCTCTTTTTCTTCCTCTTCGCATTCCTTCCTCTTGCTTTTTTCCTTCTTCAATTTTGTAATTGCCTGCTCTGTCAACTCCTGCCTGAACATTCTCTCTATTACATCCTTTTTCCTGGTTCGCCGGTCCCCAATCCATATCAGCAATCCTGCAGCGAAGTTGCAGCTGAGAGAGCAGCATAGAATGACAGTAGTGAGCGCAAACGGGCGACGAGTATAATGAATGCCCCATGTTACTGCACCGAGTGAAATCTGAAAGAGAGAGTGAAAGTCGAGTAAGATAACAACAGCAATAAGAATCCGTAGTGGAAAAGCATAATGCGTCGTAGTCTCATGCGGTTTGTAAAAGGTATGCGACTTCGCAAATTTGGTAGTATGATGGGTTAATTTCTCTTGCTGCTTAATACTAAGGACAGAGAATTCAGTAGTATCCTCATCGTTAGGTGCATCTCCAGTCCTCTCAACATCAACATCCTGACTTACTTTCCCTTCATGTCGCTCTGGAAGATCATTCTTGTTTCGTAATTTCGGTAGGTGTTGCTTACGGCGGAGCTTATAGGTTAAATGATAATAGTGGGCGATATAAATCATATGATACGTATCGATAGCACGAAACGGAGCAAGGCCATCTCCTACGATAGCAAATAGCGCGACAAGAACGTAATCAATTACGTTAATGACGTATAGTTGTTTTCCACCAACATTGATCCAACCTACCAGATATTAGCACGAGAAACGGTGAAAGTAAGCACCTACTAACCGATAAGAAACAAGACCCAAGCAAGCCCAAAAAGAGTGATTAGAGTAGCGTATAAGGTGACCAAAAAACCAAGAGCTAAATAACAGTCAGCTATGATTACGTCTTGGTAAGGTTAGAATAAACTCACGCTTCTTTACGTATTGGATAAAACCTTTTAAGCCACGTTTGAAAGCGGATCTTCGTGAGTGCAACATGTGCCGAACATGATCATTTAGTGCTCTTTTGTCTTCGGCGCCCCATCCATCTAGAGATACACCATCCGGTAACACCGCAAATCGTGAGTCACTAAGATGTGATGTGATTGTATCCATAGTGCCCGTTCGTTCGGCGGCTGGCCGAACCCCATCTTTGAGAGGCTCCTGCTTCTCAAATGCCTTTCCGTTTTCTATCTCTGCATTTCCCTGCCCGGGGTCTGGTGTAACAGTGTATGCGGGACGGCGATTGATCCAGGTGCCGAGATCAGGGATAAAAAGGGAATTTTGAACGTTGGTGAGAGTTGTGATGGTTGATATTTCGGGATCTGACGATAATTAGGCTTAGACTCTGTGTGCTCAAAGCTGAAGGGGAGAAGCATACCGACAACATCCAGCAAGTTCACAACCTCTGCTTCATACTCTCCTTGAGGAAGCGACGGCATATTAATAGTGCCACTATGGGTGGCCACCCGGTTCAGCCCAAACATCGAACGAGCCCCTGTACTCATTCTTCCAATCCTCCCTTGCCTTGGAGGACCCGTATTTTGCGAGTTTTCAATGGGCCGTAAAATCACACCTGCTACTGGTTGTGCTGACTCTACTAACCCGCTTGGAGGACCTGGATGAGAGGGTTGGCGGGACGTCTCCTCAGATACAGGCGACATCGGAGAATAGCGCGCTGCACCATCTTCGATCGAGTAATTCAGTGGCCTCCTTTGGGGCTCCGACCTACTTCGACGTCTGCCCGTCTGCACAGCTCCCTGGCCTGCATCGAGACAAATTTCGGAACCTGCCGTTGCGGGGTGTAAGGCTAGCCTCTGCGTCGTTGGCAAGCGCATGAGCCGAATGCTCGGCCGCCGTGGAGTATGATGGCCCGATAGTGCTCTAGGGGTAACGTAGAATTGTTGACCAACGCTGGCCGCAGATGGGGCACTGTCATTGCTGGCATTGTTGTTACTCGTATCGTTTTCACGGGCATCTGCCTGCTCAATTGGGTCCATTAGTCAGTTTTATATTTCTGGTCCTGATCAACGAGAAGAGAAATAGCATCCTGTTTTATGCCCAAATCAAGTATACATGGTAACTTTTCGATCTTTAAGGCTCACCCTTATCTCCAACCGCAAACTTTTCGATTCGTCCCTGAGCCGGATAACATCAGCTGTCGATCATATGACGTCATCGGCAGACACCTACGAGACATGGATGAGTCAGCGCATGAATACGGTGTTGGACTGCTTTTTCTTTAAATTCTGGGCTTGAAGTGACCTTGCCAGTGTTCAATAGTAATGGCCATGCTTTTCAAGAGATGGTCTTTGGTTTCGCTACCAGCGGGAGACGAGTTGAGTTGACAAGAAGATTTGGTGGACACAGAAATCCTGTCGGGATGGGAAATTCTATTATCCGAAAAACCATGGACAGATCTTGGCATCAGAATCGCTTATCAACCATGACGGTGAGTTTAAACTCTTTTGCCTATTGTCGGCAGCGTGCTTCTCTGAAGAAATAAGTCACTTAGTGAAAAGGAAGAAGACAATGATATGGAGTTTTTAATACGGTTTGCGCAGGCTCATAAGACCTTTCGAAGGCCAGAAATTGAAGCTCTTGCCCTTGTTGAAGGAGTGGAGCTCAAGATTATTGAGTATGATGAAGGGGTAACTAGGTCTTCTCATTGCATTAGTTGGTAAAAAATAGCGCTGATATTGACTGTAGTCCCCTTTTTGTGTTGTTAAGATGCTTGATGAGAAAGCGGCTCGTGCCTTGGTGTCCCGTAGCATTTTAACGAAATCCCTCTATGAGCTATGGGGTAGAGGGCAAAACTATGAGGAGTTGCACGAGGACATCCGACGGTGTACTAAGTCAAAATGGCTCGACTACAAAACATGTTCTTTTAAATTCGATTTTGACTCATATGCCGGAAAACGATCCTCCAAGGCAAAGGTTCCCCTAATTCAGTCGTTTTCGTATATGGACTTCCAAGGCCCCATTATCATGAATGATCCTGACGAAACTTTTGTCATTTTTGAGCATTATTGTGACCAGGTAGCTGTGGCTCCAGAGAAAAAATGCTCCTCGTCGCAGCCAAATCCTTCGAGGCTCTATTTTGGCCGATGGCTGACGGACGCCAGTAGAAATGTGATGGACAAGTATGATTTGAAGAAAAGAGATTATATCAGTACTACATCCATGGACGCTGAACTCAGTCTAATATCGGCTAATATTACGCTCGCTGCTCCTGGAAAGGTGTTTTTCGATCCTTTTGTTGGAACTGGCAGCTTCTGCATCGCTGCTGCTCATTTTGGGGCCTCAACATATGGCTCCGATATTGATGCCCGAAGTTTTAAGGGCCAAAAGGAAAAGCATGAGCCTATTGGTCTTGTCAGAAACATGGTTCAATATGGATTAGACTCAAAGTACCTAGATGCTTTTACTTCTGATCTTACCAATACGCCGTTTAGGAATAGACCAATATTTGATGGGATTATATGTGACCCACCATATGGTATTCGAGAAGGTTTAAAGGTATTGGGCGCCCGGGAGGGGCGAAATGTTGGCCCGGTATACACTGCAGACGGTGTGCCGACATATACGTGAGGATATTACTTCCCAGATCTATCCCAAGTGCTAACAGAATATTTATCAATTTTAGTTTAGACACATATATTCACCCAAAGAAACCGTATAGCTTTGATGCCATGCTTGATGATATCCTTGATTTTGCGGCTCGTACTCTTGTCCCAAACGGTCGGCTTTCATTTTGGATGCCTACTGCAAATGATGAGGATATTGAACTTTCTATACCTATGCACCAACAGATGGAACTGGTTAGTTCTTGTATTCAAAAATTCAATAAATGTATGAATATAAAAACCCGTGTATTGCCGTCCATTTTTTCTAATATTCTGTAGGGTCTCGGCGCCTTCTCACCTACCGTAGAGTTCCCGGAAGTGAGGTCCTGTCACATGTGCTGCAGCCTAGAAAGGATGTGCCTACAGGAAGCACCGCTGATGATCTGAATTCGTTCAGAAAAAGAGTATTGACCACTGCAGACATGCAAAACGTACTATGCTAATCAGGTTCCTAGTACTTCCAAGGGTTTACCACAGAAACCAATAACTTCGGTGCTGTGCAGCAACCGTGCCCTCTAGACGCTGACAGCAGCACATAACCCATTTTATTCGCCTAGGATATATTGGCTGCCTTAGTGAGCGTGTGATATCATATTACATTTCTCTAAATATGTTTATTAGGTATTTACCATTGACATGTGTCCCACAAACACAGCGATCCGACCTTGGAAAGCAGTATGTTCACAGCTTTAGCAACCGAAGACTCTCCGGCCCATCTTCAATAGAATCCGTATCCAGATCAATACCCTCTGCTTGTTTAACTCTGATGATCTCCTGGGCAATTGCGCCCCTTAGCTGACTTGCCAGTCTTCTGCCGTCATCATCATCGAGTTCATCACGCTGGCCCCGACCAAACATTACCCAACTTGCGCCAGGTTGAGGCGATCGCTCTAGCGGTGGCCTAGGAATGATATGAAAATGTGCGTGGGGAACCGTTTGCGCGGCTCGGAGACCTATTCGAAGTTATACAGATGAACTTTCTAAACCAGAAGAATTAGGCACAAACCATTATTTTGCACCACATTCCAATGTGCTGGGTCTTCGCCGCGCTCATCCGGCTCAGTACCTAATATAGTCTTGACAACTACTCTCGAAATGATTGGTAGCCACTTTCCAAGCTAATGATCGCCGTTAAAGGAAATTAGTTCGTTATTTACGGCAGAAGAGATCGTTGGGTACTGGATTCCTCTTGATTGCTAGCTATGCCTATCAGGTGCAAACACCACTTACTTCTTTCCCCACCTTGACATTAACCGCCCCAAGATTTTTAAAATGCTTTCTGGGAATAACAAGCACGTGCCCCTGTGTTAACGGCATGATATCTAAGAAAGCAAGAACATGTCTTGTAGAGAGAATTATATGTGTTTCTGATTGACTCTCGTTTACTCCATACAGCCCATTGACAGGAGATGACGGAGTGTAGGGGGGATGGGCAGACGCCACTGCACAAAAGGGGCAATCTGGGGAATAATCAGATTGGGCCATTTTGAGCATTTGGGGAGAGCATGTAGAAGAGTGAAGGTTATAGGAAGATGCGATCAGATGCCTGACAACTTCAGATATGCACATACGGAGCATGTTGTAGTCAATTGACGATGCGTGAGAAAGTGCCGAGGCTAGTTACTGATTTGTCATCCGGAAGTTTGTCAAGGATGGCTACGGAGGAATGAAAATCAGACGAGGGCATTTCTATAATCTATGTATGTATGTATGTATAGAACCCCAGCACATATTATTAAAGATTTCTATTCCTCGAATTTTACATCCCCTTTACTGACATCAGGATAGATGTCGAACCTTCGTTGGTTGTAAACCGGGATCGACTTCCTCATGTCATCAAGGACATTTTGATCCAAATCCGCATATACAATATCTTCCGACTCCCCGGCTTCGACAAGAACTTCACCCTTCGGGTTTACGATCAGGCTATGTCCCCAGGCGTGATACGTAGCACTCATGTCGCGTGAAGGGCTACATAAAGCAGTATAAATCTCATTATCCACTGCTCTCGCACGACACAAAAGTTCCCAGTGCATTGGACCAGTAATAAGATTAAAGGCGGCAGGATATGCGAGGAGAAAGCACCCTTTCCTTGCGGCTATCATGGCGGGTTCCGGAAATCGAATATCGTAGCAGATAGCCAACCCGATTTTGCCATACTCTGGCAACTCAATGATGGTAATTTTGTTTCCCGCCGAAAGAATATCACTCTCCGTAAATTTTATTTTGCCTGGGATGTCAATGTCGAAAAGATGCACTTTGCGGTGGGTTCCTATGAGTGCGCCGGTTGGTGAGAATACCAACGAGGTATTGTAATATTTCTTGGTCTCAGGGACAAATTCTGGAATGCTACCGCCTACTAAATAGGCCTTTGCTTCCGCTGCAATGGATGAAAGTGCATGAAATGAGGGTGACTGTTCCGCTGTGGGAGGGGATGGATGCAGCGTTTCGGCATACTTAGGGAAGAACTGCGTGCCATAAGGAGAATTGAAGCACTCAGGCAATAGGATAAGTGAAGCACCTGCCTTGGAAGCTTCAAGGACTTTTGATCGCGCATTGGCAAGGTTAACGGCCTTATCAGCACCTGCGGGGGTGGGGGGTGAGTAACTTAGTTCCTGGAAAATAGGTCCTGTTTAAATACATACCGGATGCTAATTGCACCAAAGCAAGCTTGAGCGGTTTCTTCAAAAGAGTTGCCATCATTATAAGAATGCGTGTAAGTTAAAAGGAGTGAATATTAATAATGAATCCGTCGGGAAAGCGATGAAATATAAACCGTTCGGGCTCGGCGACGGCGATAGCAAGGGGATGCGGGGAAGCAGGCGGGCGGAAGCTGTTAACCTATAATCTATGTGGGTAGCATTAGGAAAGCAATTACACTCAGAATCCTTCGCTCGGAACTGAGAATCAATAGCAAAGCTAAGTAGAATCCACCGGGAAACGCTCAACATCGGGTACTCATGATATCGCGGGGAAATCCGTCGGCTTTTTGGGGATGACGGAGTAATAATCTTCCACATCCGTGTATTTTACTCCGTACAATCCGGTAACGTATAGTTACCTATTTGCTTAGTCAGCGATAAGCGAGTCCCACCACAAAGCCTTCAGTATTCCAATTCGACAATTCGACTTTTCGAGAGAATCGACGGCAACCGACAACATTCAGAGAATTCGGCCAGCACCTCTACAAGAACCAGTTAGTAGCTCTTCCTCTTACCATTCAGAACTTTGCTTCAATTAACAGATCGTTTTTCCTAGAAAATGTCGAGCGCCAAAGCCGGAAAGAAGGGCGGCCGTTCCGCTATCGCCGATGTTGTTACTCGCGAGTACACCATCCATCTTCACAGGAGAGTACGTTAAAACACCTGCAATAAATAATTCGAAAGAGAAGATGTCACCATGGATTATGCGCCTGCTGGGGTCGAACATGGACCGAGAACAGACTTACCAATGCTCCAACGTTCAACCGTTTAACATTGCGCCCGTCTACTCCTCTCATAATACCATCACTCCTGTTATACACGACAGTGAATAACTAGAAGGTTTGTTTTGAGAAGGGAGCAAGTGGGAGATAAAAAGAAAAATAATTAGTTTTATGAAGTCCATTTTAAGGCCCCGCGGAATATTTGCGCGTCATGGAAAATATCTCTTCTTCAAAATTGGGCATTCGGACGGAAGACTAATTTGTTTCTTTCCCTTCCTTTTTGCTTGGATTATAGGTCCATGGCGTTTCCTTCAAGAAGAGAGCACCACGAGCCATCAAGGAGATCCGTGCTTTTGCTGAAAGTGCTATGGTATGTCTGCATCAACCACCGCTTCTATATCTTTACAAGTAGGCCTCGACCTGTGGCTAATCATGTTGTGTCCCATTTTCCCTGGTTCGGGGAAATCGGACTTGTTTTATATAGGGCACAAAGGATGTCCGCTTAGATCCCCAGCTTAACAAGAAGGTTTGGGAGGCCGGTATCAAGGGTGTTCCATTCAGATTACGCGTCCGCATTAGCCGTAAGCGAAACGACGAGGAGGGTGCCAAAGAGAAGCTATATTCCTACGTCCAAGCTATTAATGTGAAGGACCCCAAGGGTCTGCAGACCTTTGTCGTTGAGGAGTAGATACGAGTTTAAACCTTGACATGTACATTGGTGTTGTGGGGTTGGGAAGGGCCGAGGTCTGTGTCTTTTTCAATCAAGGGGATTTATGCGCAATGTAATACATAGTGCTTCTGCTCCCTCCCAAAAATAACGAATGCCAAATACTCTTTAACTTCTTTCAAGATTTTATTTGATGAAAATTATCCTCTTCAATAGAATACTTTGAATTTTCAAGCTTATTGGCTGATATAATTCTCCGAAAAAATTTACTCGTTGCCAGCTACCTTTATTCTCCCTACCCAGGTTTACGGTCATACACGAAGTAGCTATTGCAGGTTCGGATCAGCTATTTAGGGCAGAAAACACCGCTTATAATAAGTCACATAGGCCAGTAAATATGCATACTAATATCTCGAACATCTTTGCGCAAATCAATCAGCAGAGCCTCCACCTCTTCAGGAGTCCAGCCAAGACCCTTTATAAGGGCGGCCAACGGCAATGCCTGCATGCCTTGCTGAGTGTTAACCATTGTCCAGATGCCGATCTCTTTCATCTCTCTATCCCTTGGCCACTGGTTCTGTGGCCACTTGCAGATAATTTCGACATCGACAGAACCAGCAGCTTCCATTCGGGCCTTATGATCCTTTGCAACATCTATGGGGCGGTTAAGCATATTCCCTGCTTTTATCAGAAGGTTGGTCCATCGTGATATTGCGCAGCCCTGCCTCACACTGCCGTCATCACAGCCAAAAAGGACGTTAATATCCTGCATCTCGACATATCCGCCAGGCCTTAAATTTCTATTGTTGTCCATTATTCAGCCATCCACTTTTAAAAGGTGCTGGAGGACAAGTAGATGGCAGACTCAACTCATAACACTGTTTATAAAACCGATCCCAATCGCTGAGAGAGCCGGTCAACATTCTTCCGTGAATGTAGTTGAATTTATGACGAAACTGCCATTCTGCCTCCACGTCATCAATTAGAAAGCTGAGATTAGGGGGTACACTAATGAAAATTAGTGATTCAAGGCTTATATCATGAGTAACTGGAAAAAAAGTACGATGACGGTTGGATGGGTGACAGATCAGTGCCTATGACCTGGTAGCAATTGTATGAGTGTTTCCACTATACCTAATTTATTGAATCTGAAGCTTGTTTGGGAAAGAGAGTAGCCATTGGATTTTCCCGTTGCCTGATACAGTAGTTCCCGCAATCGCCTTTCATGTTCAACACCAAAAATAATTGTTAAAACCTCTTGGCAAGAGACTAATCAGATCTAACTGGTTGAGGCACAAATGCAGAAGCCAAGGCTGCTTGAAGATTTGATGCAAACTAACTAAACAGAGGACGGGTGCCTGATGAGCCTGGCAACCTGTGATGCCGCTCAGCAGATGCTTTGATTTGTGCATCGAATTGCAAAATAGTTCCTTTCTTTTGCTTTGCAGAATGTTTAATTAGAGAAATATCAGAATTCAAAAAGGTTGGGCACGTAACTCATTTCAGGAAAAAAGCATCAGATATGTTTGAGCATCGACTGCCCCGCACCTTGACGTGATAGTTAAGCCTGCGACAAGGCACTAACGCCCCTGAAACTGTCTTTCTTTCTATCGAGGACGCTTGATAACCCTCTGCCCATTCCTCGCCTGGCCATCCAGCATCTGATCGACCACAAACTCCAAATCATAAACCACCCGCTTACCCTCCTCATCCCTCCAGCAACCTCTCCCAAAACACCGGAAGACCGTATCCCGCGAAAACTGAATCATTTTCACATATTCCCAGTACTCCGGATACCACCCCGAATACTCCCAGTCAATGATTGCTGTAATCCGCCCCTTCTCAACCAGTATATTATGCATGCCGAGGTCTCCATGCGTAAATCGGAGTTGGTGGTTACTCATCAAACTATTCCGGATTGTTTCAACGTAGAATGAACCGAAGAACCGCGTCGAGTCCAGATGTATTAGAGAGACCAGCCATTCATTGAAGTCAGACTCAGTCTTGAAAGGGCCGCCATATTCAGCATGGCTGCCTCGAACATCGGCAGCAGGACTCGTACCGTCAACAGGACCGATCGCAGCTGTTGATGGAGCACGGAGTGTCCGTAGTTGACGCAGTATCTCCTCTAGATCCTTTAGAATACTATCCCGCTGCACTTGATCCATGGTCGGCCAGCTTTTACTGAGCATATCCCCAGGCATCAGTGACATTGCCAAATGTCCTACGCGGTCTTCGCCTTCTCTTTCTTCCCACCAGCCAAGCACTTCTGGCACAGGAACCTGCGGACAGGCCTTACGGACAAAGCTCATCGCTCGAGCCTCTCGTTCAGCTTGGACATGATGGCCATATTTGACCACCGTACCGGACTCTGTGATATAAACTCCATGCGAGGCTCCATGTTTGCCAACAATCCACCTAGCAGAATCAGTTTCCTCCTGCTTGATTGGAGACGTGTCCATAACGAACTGAAGATCATTTAGGATTAACTTGGCTTTTAGGACTAGGAATGGTGGCTCTTCATAGTCTACGACTCCATAAGAGCCTATGAAAAATAATGAATAACAACAACAACAACAACTCGTACCTGAAGTGGATCCCAAGCCTGTCAGCACTCGACTGATGACACTCAATTTGGTAAGATGCAAAATCGAACCGGTGGATGCACGCCCTCCAGTCCAAGCGTCGAAAAACGGCGGCGAAGAATGTCAGTTTCGGCCGCCAGCTAACTGTCACATCATGTTATTGAGTTTCTATTGATTCTTATTATGTTTAGATATATCAGCTACACTCTGGATTATGAAAGAATTTCTTTAGAAGACATGATCTAATAGAAGAATTTAATGAAAAGCTGAATAAGACATTGTAATCTCTTCTAAACATACTACAGTTTAAGACTTCGACAGAATGAAGTGATGAAAGTCCAGATATCAAGAATAACACATACTATAACTAAGTCAGTTTAGAGAGAGTGGCTCTTCATAGTCTAAGACTCATAAGAGTTTATGAAAAATAATGAATAACACACACACACACTCTCTCTCTCTCTCTCTCTTCAACACACCTCTTGGTACTGTTTTTGGGAACCGACGACGGCATGCCCGGAGTCTGGCTTTAGAGATACAGTGTGATCTCAATGGAAAAATAAAGTCACCCCTAGTTAAAAACTAAAGGCCAAATAACATGAAGGATGGAGGAGGTATGAGGATAAGGAGTGTTACAAACACCCTACTTTTTGAAGCCAGTTGCATGGGTATCCATCGTGATCATAGTGTATCGAGGCCATAGAGCTTCAGCTTAGCCTCCCCAAAAAGCGCACAGAGCGCATGGGATGGACCGAATCGGGCTCTAGATTGCCCCCGAGAGAACTGTTGGATCAAAAAGACGGAATACCCGAGGCCTTGCAAATTACGAATATCCAGTCGCCCGCGTGGTGTGAGCTGCAAAGAGCGTTCGTCCCAGGGCATCATCGTATGTATCACCGCCCTACTGTAGACTCCGTATGTGCGTACAATATGCACGAAACCCTCTCGTATGTAGAAACACGGGATAATATCTGATTGCACCGGAAAAAAACTCGTATTGAGACCTTCAGTGTGACCGTGAGGCTTGACAAGTGCTCTTTGGTTGCATACATTCAGTCTCACATCTGGCACCCATGATTTCAGCGGTGATCAAAATTGAACGAGAGACTTTTCACAATTCCCAAGTCTAGGTGGCATCGGAGTCAACCAGTACAACGAAGGCCAACGGCCTCTTAGCCCAGTTACATCATCTTGATAAGAGCAAGGATGTGGCATCAGGATTTTTCTTCGATGAACTATGTATTTGGGAGGTGAGGTCGTTTGTTGATAATCAACAGCGTTCGCTTACCAAAATACTGTATCTTAACTCTTTAGCGAAGGAAAATCCTGCAGATATATATAGGGCCTGTATATTTATATAAGTACTTATACATATTTAGCCAACAGACCTGTCAGCATCATGCTGAAGTGAGGCATGGTAACTATGTAACTAGGCATGACTTATGGGGAAATCAGCTAAAAGCATCAAGTCAATCATGGCTCCAATTGCACTTTAAAAGATAACATGACGGTGTCATAAGTACTATATACTCAATCTATTTAATGCAATGCTAAAAGATATAATATAAATACGCTGCAAAACAAACGCCGCAAAACGCCCAAAAACAAACGCTGCAAAAACATTTTAGATACATAAAAGAGGACACCCTACCTGGACACAATGCAAACAGATGACCTGCTGACCCTGTTCATGCCAAACACAAACATGCTAAAACAAAAACAAAAAACATGCAAAAACTAAAAGAAAGTACAAGTAAAAACTGCAACAACCTCGGACAGAGCCTAGGCCACGAAGGCGAGCCCTGCTGAGGAAGTGCATACAAAGAAGAAAAGCAAAAACAAGAAACAGAAACACGCAAAACTAAAAGAAAGTACAAGAAAAAACTGCAACAGCCTCGGACAGAGCCTAGGCCACGAAGGCGAGCCCTGCCGAGGAAGTGCATACAAAGTAAGAAAAGAAAGCAAATGCAAAAAATCAATAAACAAATAAGAATATGTGTAGGCATGAACAGAACCGACAGCCCATCCCTTTGCACCATGTCCAAGCAGTGTGTCCTGATACAAAATAAAATATAAAAAAATAAAAAATACAAAGCAGCGCAAACAAAAAAACAAAAAAACAAAAAAAACAAAAAAACACCCCCTACTCCCTCCTCTTGCACCCCTCCATGGCCGAGCTCAGCTCCGCCGCCATGGCAGGGGTCCGGACCGTCAAGGCCCACTGTTCCGGCTTCTGAGAAGTCGGAACGAGGAACTTGACGGAGTTCCCCCGCTGTCGGTACTCGACCTCGGGGAACAAGAGAGAGTTGAGGATCACGCCGCCACTCGGGCTCGCCCGAAGTAGCATGCGTGACCGGCCACTTTTTCGATTTTTTAAAATTCGAAGTGCGCCGAGTCCCTTGATTTCCCAAGCTCCCTCGTTGAGCTTGAGACCACGGGCACGCACTTCGAACTTCACATCTTCGTCTTCTTCACCAGCGCCGCCTTTCGTTAAGTCCACTTGAGGGAGCTTTTCGGCTTCTTCAGTTGAATCAGTAACGGAAGTAACGGATACAGTCGGGGCTGGGGCAGGGCTTGGCTCGACAAAGGTGCTTGCAGGTAGGCCTAACTTGGTGCTAGCAATAGTTGATGACTTATATGGCGTTGCTTTTGGAGTATCCCCGTTAGCTTTCAAGGTATCACGAGACGGGGATCCGGTATTTGCATCGGCTGCAGACGAAATCTGTGGTGTTGCGATAGATCCGAAGTTACCAAAAGAGGCGGCAAACTTCGGCCCATCCATGAGGGACGAAGTTAGGTCGGCGGTCTTTTTTGATGATGATGTGGTACCCTCGTTGTGAATCTCGCGGCGAAGGTGGCCATTGGGATCTTTCTCAACTCTATCGAACAAACTTCGGCTACCAGAAGGCGGTGTGTCAACGCCCTTGTCAGAAGGCAAAGTATTGGGAGTGTTTTGCAAAGAGACAGAAGAAGGCATGATCTCAGGCGTATTTTGCAAAGAGACAGAAGAAGGCATGGTCTTAGGGGTTTCTTGCAAAGAGACAGAAGAAGGCATGATCTCAGACGTATTTTGCAAAGAGACGGAAGAAGGCTCTTTTCCACTTCGTTCTTCGCTCAAACTTTTAGGTTGAATTGACGGCTCCTGCTCTTGCGCAGCCACATAAGAGTTAATAAACATACGCAGAGTCGAAGAAGGTTGCTGCTCGTCGTCTGAAAATTCCTCTGTAGTATTTCCCTGGTCTTCTTTATCATTCAAGTCTGACGCGAACCGGACACGTTTACCAATTTGACCAACAGGCGCCTCATTCGCATCGCCATCAGCCTTTCGTTTCTTTAAAGCAGAAACTGTAGAGGTCGTTATATCATTTTGTTTGCTGGACACCAAGCTTGGAACAGCCTCATTCTCTAAGGTAGCCTTTTCCTGTTCATCTCGGGCAGGAATTATTTCTGTATCACAAGAAGATTGACTGCTTCCATGTGAGATAGCTTGGTATTGGCTAACCATAAAACACGGATACCCAATCTGGTTCCGGAGCATGATATAATAAGCAATCAGAGGCTCAAAATCATTAGAATTAGCATCAAAGCTAGCAACCTGCTGTTGGAAACTAGCGTTAATATACTGGAAACGCCACCGTTTTATCCAATCGGCTTTCTCTGCGCCATTCAAGCCAGCTGGGATCTCTTCCTCTGGGGGAATGAGCTGTGCCACATCTGATTGTACATCATACTGGGTTTCAGTACTGTGATCGGTATATGCCGCTTTTTTCGAAGAAACACCCGTTTGTGAACTCTGAGTATCGACAAGGGCTGAACCGCTGAACTTAGTTGAAGCAAATGTTGTTTTCGTATTACTGCCAGAAGGCCCAAGAGCTGTACTGACAGGCGGAGAAATAGAACCAATAACATCAGTTTGCTTTTCTGCAGGTTTCTCGGCAACAGTGTTTAAAGGCGATATTGCTGGTCCCTTGGAGATGGAACTGTCAAATACAGAAGTGGGTGGCGAATCAGTGTTATCACCGCTAGTTAAACTTGAGGAAAGAAGTGGCTTATTAGAAATCGATGCGGTGGCTTCTTGTGAAGAGGTGCAAGCCTTTTCTCTGGCATAGGTTTCAGCAATTAATCTAAATAATTCTGCTGCGGAGTCTGGTTCCTCAGGAGAAGTTTCTGCCCACTTTGGTCGCTTAGAAAATGAAGAGGGGAAGTGCTTATATTCCGTCCGTGAAGATGATGACCTCGGTGTAGTTGATTTGATGTGCGCTGGCTGAGTTGTGCTAGAAAGCAAAGAGGTCTCGTTCACAGCTGTGGTCGCCGTAGAGGTAGTTGACTCTCCAGAAATGTCTCCAAACGATCGCTTCTTAGATGGAGGAGAAAACGAGAAAGCAGGTGTGGCCAAGGGCGTAAAGAATGACGCACTAGTAGACTTAGACTCAGGAGAGCTTGTAAATGGAGTCGAGGATCCAATTGCTTGAGGTCTGCTGGTGTCTCCAAAAAGTGAATTGCTGAATGAGGGCTGCTGGGGTTGAGAAACAAACGAATTTCCCTGCGTGCCCAAAGATTCGGCTCCTCCGTTAGCTGTGTTGAGATTCGCAAACATGTTATTTGAAGCACCTGCGTCTGGGGTGCTAACGCCGCCAAAGAATCCATTCCCAGCGACAGCTGCAGTTTCCATGCTTTGGGTGGAAGTAGAAAATGGGTGCTGGAAATTATTCTGTTGCGCTACGAACCCAGATAACAAAGGGGTGCTTGGAAAAGGTGGTGGTTCGGAAAAGCCCGCAAAAGTAGCCGGAGTGCTTGAGGCCGCTGCACTTGCAGGATCCGCCTGGTTGAACGAGCCACCGAGGGTAAAAGCAGGAGCAGACGAAGCTGTAGGCTGGTTCATGCGGAACTGGCAACCGAGTGTAAAAAGAGGAGTAGACAAGACTGGGTAATCTAAATGGTCGATGCGGTTGTTTACAAAAGCAGGACCAGGCGTAGCCGCAGAGTTCGCCTGGCTGAACGAGCCACTGTTTGTAAAAGCAGGACCAGACGTAGCTGCAGGGTTGGCCTGGCCGGACGAGTCACTGAGTGTAAAAGCAGGAGCGGACGTGGCTGCACACGAAGTGAAATCTGGCTGGGAAGGCGCGGGGAAGTTATAAATATTAGAAGAAGCAACACCAGCATCGGGCTTTCCGTCTGGAGACATTTGCATAAAGTCAGCAGGTCTTTCAGCCTCTTCAGAGGCGGCGCCAGTCATGAACGGCTGGGAGGCGGAGAAAAAGCTACCGCTAGTTGGCTGAGCAAAACTATCACTGTCCGAAGGAGCCGGCGCCGAGAAAACACCGCTAGATGTAGTAGGGTTGTTCGCAAATGGAGATTCTGCCCTTGTGGTCTGCTGAGAACCGAGTCCACTATTCCCAAAAATATTATTATTGTCCGCTTGCCCACTCTGCCCGGTAGATGGGTTATTGAACGTGTTTCCTTGGAATCCTTGGAAATTGGATTCTGGGTTGGATGCAAAACTGCTGAAAGGATTTTTCACCTGTTGATTCGTCGTTGAAGCCGAAAAATTGAACGACGGGGGGGCAGAGCTAGTTTGGGACCCGAAGAATCCAAAAGATGCATTATTCTGGTTTCCAAAACTTGAAGGTGTGGGGGTATTTTGAGAATTGGCAGGTTGACTGAATGAAAACCCATTTGAAGCCGGTAAGGCAAATGGATTTGATACGAGGTTGGGATCAACGTTGGAAAAGGGAGTTGGGTTGTTGAACGCTGGCGTACTTGGAGTACTAACGTTAGGTCGCCGTTGGCCTAATGGCTTGATTCTATGACCTATTAGAAATGTTCATGGTACACAAAAGAATGTAGGACGGTATGAAGAATCACGCCTATGCCTATGATAGAGTCTCAAGGCCAATAGATCGGATGTTGAACAAGCATGATACAAAGTGAGGCAGAAGACATTTGGCGGAGGGTAAATAGCAAGCCAGGTCAATGCACAAGGGCCATTAACAATGCTAGGGTGAAAAGCCATGGATTTAGGTACTTACTTTCTCTTCGCCAACTGGGCGGCTGTGGCCCGTTGGGGCGTATCTGTATTCATCGACATTGTATCCAGTCCAGTTGTTTTAGAGCCCTGGATCTCGGCCCCTCTTTGGGACAGTAAACTGATCCGGAGCAATTGGCTTGACAGGAAATGCTCCGGATATGTCAACGCAGAGACGCTGAGAGGACACCAAGCGCGGAGCGCACCACTCGCACGCAAGCCTGGGAGGTTTGAAGCAACACAAAGACGAAGTTGAGGTAACGACGCGATGGAACAGCTATGAAGTAGGGCAATGCAACAGATAACTTGACTAGCTCACGTATCGACGTTAGAATTGGCTGTGAACGAAACGATCCGAGAAAATACACGAGAGACTGCTCGACTTGAGAAAGTAGATGGTCAAAGAGGAAAACAACGGGCTTTAAGTAGACGCGACGGGGAACGTCGGCGGGGCGGAAGGAGCACAAGGAAAGTCGGGAAGGTCCAGGGAGAATGAGGGAAGGTAGTTGGGAGCAAAGAAGAAGGCGCAGCGCGAGGATAAGGCAGGAGGGTATGCGCCGACGCCTCGACTAAGAAATTTGATGGGCAGGTGGAGGTTAGTGTCGCCGCTCTTGGGACGCTTCCCTTTTTTCTGCCGTGACTGCCTGCCAAGCTGCTGTCCCAAACGAGCAGACACGTGATCGGGACAATATTTTTGCGGCGCCGTCAAAGGCTGGCGTCGCCGCGGCTTTGTGTTGGTGTTGTTATTTGTGCTTGATCCAACGCTTGTTGATCGGGTTGAAAGCCGTTACGGCCCTTTGGACAACCAAGCGCGAAGCATGCCGTAGGGTCAGCTCCTACGGCCGCTGGCTACAGTGCTGCAAACAAGGTAAACACAGGTCTTGTGTATCTTAGATATCATTCAACTGAATACATGGTAAAATACATGGCGGTCCAGCGGACGTAGTACCTGAAAGAAAACATTCAGACTTGAAACGCAACATTTACAACCGAGGTGATACGGTTCATAAATCACCAACGGTCCTCGCACTCATAATATCACAGTCTATGCCAGTAACCCATATGCGTGCGTCCAGGCTTTTTAGTGCGATAGAATCAGCATCGTGGAGCCACCGGGGTCCGTTTACAATTTAGCCTTGGTCTGGGCCTTCTTGAGGATAGGCTCCATCTTCATCGCCTTCATGACATTGCCTCGAACCTTGAGCTTGCCACCCATGAAAAGACGCTGGGCGTTGGAGGAGCCAGTGATGAGGGAGCCGAAGTCAGCGTCGCTGAGCAACAAGGTGACTGCAGAATGGATTCATTGATCAGCCTCCGCAGGTATTAGACGCAGCGAAATCACTGGGGATCAAACTAACCATCGGCCTTTCCGCCCTCTGGAGCAGTGCCCTGGCCAGCGACACCCTTGTCCTTGAAGTCGAGATACCAGCTCTCGGTCTCGCCGCTGTCGTTGGTCAAGGTGAAACAGAAGACGGCTTTGGCGCTCTTGACGGCGTTTTCGCGCTCCTCATTGTCAGCGGCAAGGACGTCGTTGATCACGTCGAAGGCGACGGAAGAGTTGAAGTTTGCTGGAGCCAGAACGTCAGCAGACCCGTTATGGGGGTGGCGGATCAACGAGACGAAGACTTACGTTTATGGAGAGGCATTGCGACGAACTTGGGGGTATCTAGAGAGGCAGGTGAGATCTAAGATGCAGTCAAGAGGTATCAAGTAATTTCAGAGCGATGGACAGAAATGAGTGGAACGAGATGCGATTATATGTCCACAGAATTCAGACCGAGTGCATGTGAATTTCCCCATGAAAATGCCCCAGATGATGCCGAGGCGCCGCCCTAACAAACTCCTTCAACCCAAGAGCATGCAAATTCCACAAAGTCAAGCTTTTCTTCCACGTCGCCCGAAACTCCGTGGCGTGGGGACAAGAACCCCCCGAAAGCTACGGATCTGACTAGTTCCGGGGGGATGTGCTCAAAGCTCGTTGCGCCCGGCCCGTCAGTCAACGCAGCTATCGCGGGCGCATGCCCCAACGAGCTTTCAGCTCTTGGCCTAAGATGCGATGTACGGAGCACCGAGTAGAGGATCTTCATATGGGAAATCCCACGCGGAACACGGGGCTCGGCGGATCACAGCTTGGAGGTGCCAATCCATGCTTCAAATTAAGATTCCAAGATCTCAGACACCACCGTCGTCTTCAACAGTGCGGCCACGAGAGCCGAGGCACACGACCATTCTCAAATGGAACTAGCAAGGAAGCCCGACAATGCGACGCCAACAGCGACGACAAGTCTCTACCAGAATCAACCTCGTCGATCACCTGTTAGTTGGCTAACTGCCTAATCATCTGAAGGAAAACGCCGCTGTTTCCGCAACCCTTTTTTGTCCATGCCTCCCTCCCGCCTTTTCCTGGTTTGGCTCCGCTTCACCGCCAAACGCCCTTCCCCAGCAATATATAGGAACAAAGTAGCCAGCTACTCCGTAATCCGCACATATAAACGGCTACTCCGTAAAAGCAAACCCATCTCATCTCCAACCTAAAACTGAAGACCGAAAAAATCGTTTCACATGATCCGGCTTGCACCACAGCCCACGAGTTTTCGGTGTCGCCCGTTGCAGATTGGTGTATGGCTTGGAGTGCCTTAAGCAACCCCTCCTCACTTCTTCCATAATCGCGTTCTGGAGTTGGCGTACATCCATTCCTACCGGACTAAACATGATTGGCACTTCCATAACCTCCACGGGAAGGGACTGTTTATTTCGCCGTGAACTACCAGAGAGCTTTCGAGTAAGGGGTGCTAGAGCCTCGTCCCAAGTTCCCCTGCGCAACGTGGTTTCTTCAAAATTGAATTCTCGGACAGTGCGGCGGTGGTTTAGAATGAATGATGATACTTGTGTTGCGTCTACTACTGCGTTTTGTAGTTCCATATAGCAAAGAGAGGGAAACGTGAGCGGCTTTGGCTTCAACCTCCTAGAGGCCACGTATTTGGGAGAGACCGGCAAGAGCTTTGAGGAAGCTTTCAGACATGGCTCTGTTGACAATGTAAACGGGCACGGTCCCTTTTCCCCTAACCAACGAAACTCAAGTTTCGTTATATTTTTATACCCTTCAAGGTACGAATGCAGAAATTTTAGGTGGTCGGTGGGATTTCCAGCCACGAAAGGAAAGCTGTCCATGTGAATCCTCAGCTTCTGTATCTGCATCCACCTTTTCCCCGCTGCCGGAGAGGCGCCAAAACCAGCTATGTGCCGAAGGTAAAGAAGCGCCGAGGGATGAACTGGGAGCAGGGATAATTCCTTAAGTCGTGTTAAAGGCGCCTGCTCAATGGCTATACGAAGTGATATAAGAGCGTAGTCGACAATACTGCGCCGGTAGCGGTGACTGGGAGCCTGGCCATCGCAGGAGATTACCAGGTGAAAAAGAGACGGCATTGCTGTGAATGCACGGATGAATGACGGGATATTGGTAGCGGCATGGAACAGTGGTGGATATTGCTTTGTCAAAAGATCCGTCATTTCCCATGATCCGTATTTAGGAATACTGAGTCTTGACCCTGTGCACAGAGGCGCATGGATTTGAGGCATGTAAACAAAGGTCAGTTCCTCTCCAGTATGCGGATTAAGCAGCGGTGGCAAAAATGTCTCCGGCAAATGCAAAATTCGGAAGGTGAGTGTCTTGACAAATCCACCGATACGCTCAAGCGCGGCCATCCTTGCGGGCCGGGTGAATGTGGTGCTTCGAAAGTGAATCTCAACTTTGGCAAACAGCGTGGAAGCGGTTTGGATACTCAATTCCTGGCACACCAGCCGCAGAGATACAAGATCTGCTTTTGTGACGTGCCATAAAAGAGTATCACGAATCTTCTTATCTAGGAAGAGATTGATGGCTGAAAATTGCCGTTTCATTGTGATTTCAACTCTAATAGAGGTCAAAAATACAACACCTCAATTGCACAGTTTGGGTATGATTGGCAGTAGCACAATTGACAGTGCCTGTTTCGAAGAGAAGAAGTTTCCTCGATGTCAAGAATATGTTGGTCAAACGCTTTCCTAGGCTATGTATATAGACGCAGGTACAATGAAGGACGAGTATGAAATGACAGCCAAAGAGAAAGTCATTAAAGTATCTCAGATCAAGATATAAAATAATGGAATCAGAAAAGGATGCGCTGAAGCGGGGCCAAATACATTCTGGGATCTAGAGTCAGTCCAGCCGTGAAGGACGGGACCCGAGGGAGGAGCCCCTCCCTCAGCAGCGTACGGGCGAAAGCAGCCCTCATCGCGACACAGACGCGGTGGTTGAAGTGAAGGTTTTTTCTGGACGTGATGAATGGCGCGCGCTGGGCCGCATAGAAACAGGCGTGTTTCCCGTCGCATCACGACCTCGCTCGGCCATTATTGGCGAACCGCCGCCTGCGTCCCCGCAAATGTTTCCCGCGGTCATCCTGGCTCGGGCCAGTCGGCGCTCACCACTCGCTGACCGCAACAGGTTTTGAAGAAAGAAGACCGCGCCTAGCCAAAGTCTAGCCGATGCCCCTCGACGCGGGGATGCTGGCAACGCGCATAGACGCGACGCAGCGCGTGCAAAGGGAGGGGAATCAGGTAGTTGTTTTTTTTTTTTTTTGCTTGCTTGTAGGGTATCGCGTTGTATCATGGTGTCATGCATGTTAAATCGCGTTTGAATCTTGAAGAGCACAGGGACCCCTGCGAACTAGTGGTTTCAAAGGCGAAGGGACGGTTTTCCATGATTGGATCAGGCTTCAAGTATCCTAGGCCTTCTCATAGGGCATAACTAGTTTCTGCACCATATAGCTTGCACTGTGGCGCGCGTAATATGATGGGTCAAACAAGAGTTTGTATGTTGCGAAGTCAAAGGAGTTTCAATCGATGAGTAACTAACTACATCAGCAGGAAATGTTGGATTATACTTAGGGCACTTTAACGGGGGAAACTGTGCAAACAGCCACACAGAAAATTAAAACGGTCGCGACAGATGGTGCATCAGGATTACAGAGCCTAGACATCCCATAAATCTATTCTGCGCTACAGAGTAATTTTAGCCAACAATAATGCACCATTCGGTCAGTCTATGCGAAGTACGAACATGATGCATATCTGAACCTAGAGCTGTCTGTCATCACGGTCATTCAAATGAAGACGATGCATATATTATACAAGCCACATCTATCAAATTTCCGGAGATAATCTGACACGGAGTTGCAGATATGGGAGAAATATGTAATGACCCAGTCCTGGGCAATCCAAGTTTTTGATATAGTACAAAATATGTTAATTGTAGCCCCTGCGACGTCTTCCTTGGTTGCGCACTCTGGGGGTGATAACAGCTTTGTTGACCTTGCGTTTCGGTCGGGTTTTGTAACCAGATTTCGCCTATGATGATCATCAGTAAAAGCAAGCCAGATATTACCAACAGTAGAAGGTGATCACATACTGGAAGACCCCAAGGACTCTTAGGATCAACATTACCCTTCGACTTACCACGGCCACCACCATGAGGATGGTCCATTGCGTTCATTGCAAGACCACGCACAGTGGGCCGGATACCTAGCCAACGGCTACGACCAGCCTTGCCCAGCTGTCTATATTGATAGCTTGAGTTGCTCGCAACACCAATGGTTGCGCAGCAATCTTTATTGATGAATCGAATTTCACCGCTCTTGAGCCGAATAGTCACGTTTTCCGATAGCTTCTTTAACTTGTGCTTGTCCTGGAGGGTGAGCGTCTTGGTTTCGCCGGTTTCATCTGTGATGACATCGGCTTCGAGATCGGGGGGATCGATGGCCTTTGCGACAACTGTAGCAAACGTACCCGCGCTTCTACAAAGTTGCGCACGCCCATCTTTATGGAGTCCAACATTGTAGATTGTAGTTCCAATTGGAATCATGTGGAGAGGTAGACAATTACCACGCCAAGCAGTTTTTGCAGCCAAAATACCAGGATCGATAATACCACCCATACTATCCCACAGGTCTTTTGGGATACCCGCTCGATAACTCTGTACGACATCACCCTCCCGCATTCCTTCAGCAGCGAGTATGTAGCTCAGCTGTTTTGTAGCTTTCGAGCGTAAGAGGGCAATGTGTGCACTTCGGTTGGGATCATATTCAATTCTCTCGACAGAATGCGGGCCCGGTTCCTTTCTATCAAAATCAACTGTCCTTAAGCGCCGTTTATGGCCACCTCCACGATGTCGGACCGTGACATGGCCGGAATTATTGCGGCCACCCTTGCCCTGACCCTTTTTTGGGATACTTAATTCTTTGACTGGTCTGCCTTTCCATAAATGCTCGTTTATCGGTCTTCGAAGATGTCTTGTTCCAGGAGTCCGGGGCTTGTAGGTTCGTATTTGGGGCCCTTCCTTTTCGCGGGAAGGTGGAGGAGCAAAAGTGAGGGAGGCATCAAAAGGCGACCCCGAGGTGACAGTTTGAGGGTCAACGGCCGCAGAATACGTTCGCGACAATATGTAAGAAAAGCATTTGCAGGATTGCTGGAAACCTCGCAAGGATATACGAGGTTGCAGCATCACGGATTCAAGTATGCGTCGGTCCTTTGCGAAACTGAGTTGAAAGAAAGCTGGGGTGAAATGACACCTCTTCTAATTTGATTCCCAACAATGCAAAAAAAAAAAAAAAAAAACCACAACCAGGCCAGCAAGTCACATCCCAGATATTCCGATTTAGCTTCCCCCAATTAACTGGATTGCAATGGATGAATGAGTGCTCAGTAATACGGTATCACTGGTGCAGTGAAAATCTTTTGGCTTCAGTTTTCCCACGTGACCACATGTCCGCTTATATAACATAAATGCCAAGGTGATGGAATAAATGCAAAAATACACTAACCAAATCAGGAATGGCTTGAGGCGCGCCGCGTGACGGTACCAGTCACGTCCATGTGTTATTGTATTTCGATAACATACACGGCCTGGCCAGGGTTTGTTGCCTCGACAACGGGCAATGTTTTGGCCCTAGCGCCCTGTCCTTCGCGCTTCCTTTGTCATGATCTTGTCTCCACCCTGGTAATGCAGTTACATCGTTGCTCGGCCAATACCACAATCTTAGGTACGATTTCCGTTCATTAAGTTACAAAATGGGCGGTATGGTATGTATCACCCTCGTATGCACAACCACCATAATAACCGTCGCCTCAAGAGCTTTTTGTCCTTCCACTTCCTTTCACCACCAATGAGCCTGATACCTTCTCCCTCCTCCCCTTCACATTCGCGCTCTATTCTTCTTGACTCTTTTGTCTTCATCACTGCTGATACTCTGCAGTCTTAATTTCAACTTCATATCGCGATAGTTTTGCCTTCTCATATTTCCAGACGCGAGTATCACCAGACAATATCAAAGCCGGTACACGAGAATTGAGCGACATTTTCTGTTCTAGATCACGACCACGACACTCTGAAGACATCAGTCAAGTGTAAGACACCATTCCCATCCCAAACTCTTCGCGCCTGTAGCATCAACCTAGTTGGCATTGGGTACAACACGGATCAATCCTCGGACGATAGCTAACCCCGTGTTGTTATGTACAGTCAAAACACGCTCGTGTCCACAAAAGGCTTTGATATCTTCCATATTTTACGACAGCAATCAAAGGACGTCAAAAATCCTCAATTGTCCATTGACCACTTAAATTCACAGCTATAACACACCACATCAAGTAGTCCGTCCACCTTCGGTATGCCAAGCCACGCAGATGTCTCTTTCCAGTCGTGTAAGGAATAGCTAATATTACTCTAGCACTACTCCCGAAAAGATCATTTCTTTCGGCTAGATTTTCTGCTTTACTGCTGTATTGTGTACAGTTAATGTTTAGAATCTGTTAAAATGCCACCTGTAAGTCATTTACCCCTCACTTATTATTTAATAAGAATTCGATCTTACACCCGTCTATTTAACATAAACTAATAACTTCTATACAGGCTAGAAGCTTACGGCAACGTGCCGTTAATAATGAAAATGACGAAAACGCCGTTTCGACGCGCCTTACCAGGGCGAAAGCTGCTGCGTTGGCTGGCCCAGAAGGGCAAGTGAATATCTCGGCTTCAACGAAGGCCTTGCAATCAAAATCAAATGCACTTACTGCTGCAACTACCGGGGCCCAGCGAAAGCGCGCGGCACTTGGCGATGTTAGCAATGTCACCAAAACAGAAACCGTTGACGTGAAGGAATCGAAAGAAGTGAAAAAGGCAACTGGCAGCCGTGCTGCCTTGACATCCAAAGCTTCCACACAGACTGGTGGAATTCAAAAAATCACGCGTAATAACACTTCTCGGTCTGCTCTTGGCGCCAGAGACGTGAATAAACGTGAAGCTGAAGCAAAACGGCCTGCAAGCGGCTCTGGGGTGATGGGTGGAACTCAGCTGAAGCGGCCGCAAAGCCAAAAAACTCTTACTGAAAGCGAGAGTAACTCAACGACAGAAGAGCCACCGCGGAAAAAGGTCGACAGTGGCAAGAAGACGACGATATTCAAAGAATGTGTTAAGGCCGGGGCTGAATCCGCGGATGAGGCAGAAGAAGCATTAGACGATGATGAACAAGAGCTAGAACAGATCGTGGACCTTGATGCAGAAGATGCCTTTGACCCCTTGATGGTGTCTGAATACGTTGTCGAAATTTTCGACTACCTCCGAGACATTGAGCCTCACACCATGCCATGCCCTGACTACATTGATTATCAGGAAGAATTAGAATGGAAAATGCGTGGCATCTTAGTCGACTGGCTCATTGAAGTTCATACTCGCTTCCGACTTCTACCTGAAACCCTCTTCCTTACTGTCAACATCATCGACCGCTTCTTGTCTATCGATATGGTTGCTCTAGATCGCTTGCAGCTTGTTGGTGTTGCCGCGATGTTCATCGCTGCTAAATATGAAGAAGTGCTCTCGCCTCATGTCGCAACTTTCAGCCACGTCGCCGATGATACCTTTTCAGACAAGGAAATCCTTGATGCCGAACGCCACATTCTTGCTACATTGAACTACGATATTAGCTATCCCAACCCAATGAATTTCCTACGACGCATTTCTAAAGCAGACAACTATGATGTCCAAACTCGAACATTTGGCAAATTCTTGATGGAGATAAGCCTGCTTGATCATCGATTTATGGGTTACCGCCAGAGCCACATCGCTGCTGCCGCCATGTACTTTGCCCGTTTAATACTTGAGCGCGGCCCATGGGTAAATTTCCTCACTTACCTACCAAGAAACTATGTGCTAACATGGACGTATCTAGGATTCCACGATCTCATACTATGCTGGCTATACAAAAGAAGAAATTCTTCCTGTCTTCCATCTCATGGTTGACTACCTTTACCGTCCTGTCGCCCATGAAGCATTCCATAAAAAATACGCGAGCAAGCGATTTTTGAAAGGTATTCGCGAGCCCATTGTGTTAGCGGGAATGGTTAACTAATAGTATATGGCAGCTTCACTCCACGCTCGTCATTGGGCCAAGAAATACCGGGCTTTGTATCTTCGCAAAGATGACACCCGCCAACAGGAGCGCCAGCAAGAGCGTTCTCAGGAATCCAGTTGATTTTCAATTGTATTTCTGCTTATTGTCACGCTCCCCTCTACCTCTTCTTTGACGTGGGGTTGACCATGTTGTATTCAAGGCTAGACCCGTCTGCGCATCTGCTGTCGAAGATATTTTTGGTTAAGGCTTCGAGGTGCTTGTATAATGATCCTATTTGCATCCCCTGTCTAAGCAGTATGCCTTTACATCGCTGCAGAGCCCTAGCATCAACCCCAAGTTTCTTCTTCTCTTTTTGGCTGCGCTTAATCAAGGTGTTCGAGTGAGTTATGGTTGGAAAGCATCGCCGTCTATTTGTTTGTTGACTATGTTGTTTGATTTCTACATATGCTGGGTTCGTCTGGCGTTGGGAACCGCGAGGTTGCATTCTACTACTACTCTGTTCATACTCAGGAGCATTCAGTGCGAGCAGCTCAGCATATCCCCGCTGTGCAAGGAAATGACTATATTGCTGAGGGTGTGCTGGGGTGGGGGCTGTATCGACGGATATGGGGAGCGGGATTGGTGGTCTCAGGAGATAGAGCAATGTTCATAAAAAGTGATGCGAGGCCTTGATTTCCGAGAGACTGGTGTTTTACTTGTTTCTTCATCTTTTCTTTGATGCTTCGGCGCCGGTGATTGCTTGGTCTTGCCATGGGTTTCTCTCTATCTGCTCTTGCCTTCTGCTGCCATTGCTCGTTCCTACGGCTTTGTAAATATGCATGGCCCTGCGTTTTGCTCTGCCTTTTGCGCTGCTATCTATGTTTAAGTGAATATTACCGCCACTGCGTTTACCGTTCCGCATCTGTTAAGGGGCGTCTCTAACTCAGTACTCCATAGGAAGTCATTTGACGCCCGGAGGTCTCAGAGGTAGCCCACTTCGACAGCTTCTAGTCTAAGGAGCCAACCATGTTTAGATAAAACGACGTTTGGCCACATCGCCCCGCTTAGGAGTCGCATGCTCGCCTAAAATTTTCAGAGAGAACTTGGTACCGAGATATACGGGGCGATGGAGAGCCTACTCAGCACGAAGTAGACTCGACCGTAAACGGGCTCCTGCGATTTGTAAAATGAGGTCGTTCCGAGGAACTTGCGAGCACCACAGAAGGGAAGCTCCAACAAAGAAAGAAAATAGTGAGAATAATGGAAACATCCGCAAAGCCGCCTCGGCCCGTTGTAGCAGCGAGAGGTCCCAACATCGTTGCAGCCCAGAAAGTATGGGGCCCATCGTAGCACCGCTCATCAGGCACACAACACAGTGGTAGTTAGTGACTATGGGCCTCAAAACCTGCCCCGTCGCCGCCTGTTCCTGGCAGCACGCGCTAGTCAGAGCTGAAAACCGCCGTGCCGAGCCTTGACTGCCCTGGAAAAAAGCGCTCTCGCTGTGCAACGCTGCGCTATCGTTTTGGCCGGGTGGGCTGCTGGAGGGGCCCCGTCGGCGAGGTTTTCCGCCTGGGCGCCCGGCTCACGAGCAGACTAAAACCACCTCCACCCTCTGAGAATGAGAGGCAGGCCCACCTGCATGTCTGAGAATCATGGGTCAGAGCGTGTATAGAGAAAGGCGTGTAACGCTTGGTTTTGACGGAGCAGCGTGCTGTCTGGCCCCTTGGTGCCCGTATTGAAGAGGCATCTGGCGGCGTGGAGGGATACGTTTTGCTGGGCGACGTTGGACTAGTTTCCAGCGATTCGGCTCGCGAACCTTCTTTGGCCCCGTGTTTCGATCCGCCAGGGCCCAGGCACCAGGCCGATCCTCGAGAACTGTTGGGCTAGTTACAAGGGAGTAAACAAGGAAAGCAGCAGCTGTTTCAGCGTAGAGGAGGCATTACTCGTTGGTACTCTGAAGCATGTGCTCTGCAGTCATGTAGATTGAGTCACTGATCCATCTATTGTACAACCAGTTCAAGCTGGGAAAGAAAAATAATAATAATAATAATATCAACTAAAAATGGTATTTCATCGCGGGGCTTGAGAACACACAACTTCATGACGCCACAACGGCCGGAGAAGCCAGAAAGCCACCCCCCAGAATGGCCTCCATCCAGCACCGACATTCTACGCTCACACAGCGCTTGCTTATTCTAATCTAGTTCTTGGGGATCAAGCCAATGATCGTCTCAATCAACTTTGGGAGGTCGATGGCGCCGTTCTTGCCGAAAAGGCCAACGATGGCCTGGATGAGCTTTGCGATGTCGACGGAGTTGTTTTGTCTGCGGCTCAAACCACCCTTGCCAGTGATCAACCCAATGAGCTTGGTGATGAGGGTGCCAATGTTGATGCCGCCGCCCTGGCCACCAGTGAACATGCCGAGGATCTTAGAGATGATGTTGGTGATGCCTCCAGCGCCCTGGCCGCCGCTAATAAGCCCAATGATTGTCTTGATAATTGCACCGATGCCAGCACCGCTGCGTGCCGTGGAATCCATATCACCTTCAACAGAGCTCAAGACAATATTGGTGATTTCGCCAACATCAACGCTGGAATCGAGTCCAGTACGAGCAGTACCAAAGAGGCCTTGGACGATCTTAATGATCTGGTTGATCATACTGCCAATATCAATAGGTTTGTCAGATCGGGCCTGCCCTGCTGACCCGGCGACAAGTTGATCGATGACGCTGGCAATATCGAAATCACCAGAGTCCACAACCTGTTTGGCGATGCTCGACGCAATACCATCCGCATTAGGCATGCAATCCACAACGCCCTTGATATCCTTGGTGATCTGTTCAAGCTGGGGAGAAGCCGCAGGCACCTTGACTGGTAGTGTTGGAGCCGGTACTGGCACTGGTACTGGTGCTGGTGCTTGTGGTAGTCCAGTTGAATTGGGTTTTAGACATGGAAGGCAGTCTGCATCAGCTGGAGCTGCGATTGCCCTGGCCGAGGCCATAGCCGCAAGGAGCGGAAGGGTGAAAAAGATGGACTTCATTCTGAAGAGTGCGGGATATTGTAAAGGAGGGTATTGAGAGGAAATAAAAGGAATGTAAAGCCGTAGACACGACAATGAAGCTCTAGGCTCGAAGGAACGACGTAGCCACGGAGGCAAAAAAGGAATGAGAGCGAGGTTATTTGGGTGCTTAGGAGAAGAAGAACTAGAAAGAATGGTTCCGGCGGCGAAGCGGCATGGTACTTATATACCCTTCCAGTGATGCACAGATACCCATACTTCTCAAGGGAGTACGGAGTACCAACGCTAAAGGAGCTGCTAGAGAACATTCCATATGGAGCATCCTTAATGCAACGTGATAGCGGACCTTGAGCTACCAAGACTAGTTCCATGTTTCAAAAGCATAACCTAAACCCAAAGACGTCGTCGATCTCAGGGTGCTCATGGGGGCTCCATGTCAACGGCACATGTCAGCCTCAGAAACCGAGGGGCTCTACCAAAGGCTCCGGGTAGTTTCAAGGGGAGCTGGCTTTTTGCCCCCAGAAATGCAGAAAACTGATGTTTCGCAGCAATATCCTGCAACAAGGGTGCGGAATGTAACTAGATGTTGGCGAGACGGTTGCTGGTTGCATGTGGAAATGCAATCTTCTCCGTCCCCTGGGTTGGATACATACATATACATTCCGTCTTTGAAACGCGATTGATATGTATGCTCCCCCCAGTCGATAACATTGAAAATTAAGGACCCGGGGTAAAGCGACACTGTCACTGCTGTCCATGCAAGAAAAGGGAGGATTGAAGGATCAAGATGCGCAAAACAGGGTTGCCCTGTTCGTTGCCCTCCTAGCCTCTCACGTGGTGCGGACTTTCGTTTCCCCGTTCCTCCGGAAAAGCTGCTTCCCGCCGGCTGACTCAACACCCCTGTCCAACCAACAAGCCGACGAAGTCAACCGAACTTCTTGACAAGCAGTTCAAACTTCGCGCCCAAAAACCATCTAAATTGCTGCGTCCTGCGAATCGCCAGTCTGTCGCCAGCCCCCAAATGCAACTTTGCAAGTTAACCTGCCTGGAGACCTCAGCGGCCACAAACTGACTGACTGCCCCGTGTTGTGGGTGAACTCCACTTGGCAGGAGGATGAATTATCGAAACCGAAAACGAGCAGATAAGCCTTGTGGTACGGGGCGTGCGCGTTCCCGCTGTCTCAATCCTTTTTATTCCGCAACCCATTGCCCTTTATGATGCAAGAGACGCGGTTGCCTTCTGGAATCCATCCCACCTCACTCAACTAGCTAACTATACGAGCCAACCCACGTTAGGTTTCACGGTTGGCGAACATGGTCCATAACGCCAGGAGACTCTAGCAATTGCTGTTACTAAAATGATCCAGAAACCGTACCGCCGTACCATTATCTGGAACTGGAAGGCCGATGGCCTGGAATTCGACGGGGTCAATCCGGTAGGTGCTGGAGCTGCAGACGGAGAGGGAGCGGTTCAGAGTCTGCAGGAGTACTCCGTGCGTTTTTGTGAAGCCAAAAATCAGGAACACTTTCTAGCTCATCATCTTCGCAGGAATAGCTTTGATAGATCCAATCCCCATACTATAACTCCGCGTGTTCTACTGGGGTAGATACCCGGAAGCTACTTCTAGGAGAATGGAGCTATCAAGGAGCCTTTGAGAAAGTGTTCATGACCCTCTCTATGTGAGGTTCCAAATTCGATCATATTTAGTGCTGAAAACTCTGTCGACGAACTATCAATAATTATACTTCGAAGGTGGTAGACTGTGGCGCCACCTTGTGACGATACATACTCAAGACCACGCAAAGTACGTCCCTCATGTTATCCATGTACGCATGTACAGTGCGTCCTATCGGATCATAAATGTACCTTTGTTTAGCCTCTCTTTTTTCCATTTCATTTGAATTTTTTTTTAGAAATATGGGGAACAATCGGACACCTGTATGGCCTGCATACTTGCCCGAGCGCTCTACCGTGTTCTGTCCCCGCCGTACCAGCTGCTACTTTGCCTTCAGAGCGTCAATAGCCATATTGTTACCGCGCTACAGCTACATTTCCCGACAAATCAGGGCTTAAGCGGGAACGGTGACCCATGGTGGACCGCTCAGAAATATTGTGGTCGGGTGGACTGAGGGTAACTTCTGCTTTGGCGGGGCTCCCGTTGTTGAGGGTGTACCTAAAAATCGATAATAGCACCACTAGATTTTGATTTGCCCCTCAAGCGGAGGCTCGCTTCTGACCTACATATACTATTATGTTATACTGTAACTTCGATGTGGAATTGCTTGGGTTGCGGTCTCGAGACAATGCTACCCACATCACCTTGCTGGCTAGAAGAGAGCATTTGCCGCTTCCTGTCTCCTCACATAATGGGAATAAGATATCCCTCTATGAATAATGAGAACAAGGTAAACCATTATGCCAAGGCCTCCGGAAGCCCAGTCTCTCCGCATTAGCCGAAGGTACAAACCGCAAAAATTCACTTCAACAGCCGTCCTGGACACGTTCCGTAAGGATTCACTGACCTTTGCTTTCTTTTACCCCGCATGGGGGCCATGTGCCTACCCACTCGGTCTCGGAGGGCACCGTCCTGATGATTCATATCAGCCTTCGAACCCACAGGATCAGGGAGATTCCTTGAAAGTGGCGGCCTCCCTCAGACCTGCAGCTGGTCCTTGCCACAGCCGGCCAACCACAGGCGTAATTCTGATAGCGTGTGGAGGGATGAAAGAATTGCCGTCCATATTATCATTGTTATCTCGGGCTGATAATGAAGCTAGCGATAGTTGGTGAAGATGTTACAGAACTTCGCGCTGATTCAATGGTGGTTAGAACACGTTCTTTCATATCCCGATTTGGACTATATTCTATGAAACCCCATCGTGTCTTCGGACATTCTGTCTCTTCCACATGACTATGCTGAAATGGATGTGGTAAAATTTCCAGGGACCGTTTGTGGTACTGTGATTAGAGACATTATTGTTGCGAACTATGCAGGGTTGGATATCGGATTATTCGCCCAAAGAACCCTTACCATGATGACAATCCCTGCCGTGGTCATGCCTCTTATGTCTACTGCAGCGCGGGGCCGAAACCATCGCTGTCACTGATCAGTGAAGGAACGGCCAATAGCAGCACCACTGGGTTGCTGAGATGTTGAGCGTTCAACCGCTCTTCAAGTTTCGAATGGGCTAACTACCTAAGTCGACTGGAATCATTTTGTAGTCGAAACGCAACCCACTCGATGAAACTTCATGCGCCGTTGCGGACCGTCTTTGTGCAAATGACAAGGCTAGCTCTACAGTTTAAGCTGGAGTTGCCGTTTCAACCCCCGGTGAGTTTCTCTCGACGTTTATGCTCTGTTCTTCCACCTTTTTGGGCCCGCGCGATTCAACGCACCCCTGCACGACGCGACCCGGGAGCAAGGGCGCTTGACTCACAGCGAGCTAACTCAAAAGACCTGCAGCTCATGCGCTTGAATCGCGATATCCCAGCCTGTCTCAGTAGGAAGCGGCAGCCATCCGAGATACGATACTCCGTACAGTGCAGCATTGCAGACGGGATAGGGCCTCCGCCCTTCAGCGGGGGCTAGCAGTGTGCAGGATGGCGCTTTCCAGTATAATATCCCTTGCGGTGGTCGAAACTACTATCGGGTAACTGGGGGAGAACGATTTTGTTTTTACAAATAACAGGTAGCTCTGGGTGCGGGGTCTCTGGGCATGGTGAAACAGCCCTTGAGTTGTGAATTCCGCGGGCTTCCGACTGTCACGATACATCCCGGCCTGGAGGAGAGAGGGCAACAACGAACAGGCGATCTACGACAACCACCAAGAGGGCCATATTGTTGAGCTCTTCGGCCTCCCTTACCACAGTCGCACCCGAACCGAGGCTGTTTGGTACTCCGGGCTTCTTGAGAAGGCCGATCTCTGTATGTCGTATCACAGCGTGCATGCATGGTTGGTTGGTTGGTGCTTCACAAATAATGGGACGCCGGTAGAGAAACAAAGGCATTTCAGGTTTATCTTTCTATTATGCAGATCGTCATCACGCGTCAATCGAAAGTTTGCCGTAGGGTCGCCGCTCTCGAATCCCATACAGCGCGATCCATGTCAGGGTGTCCTTCCACAGCACTCCGCACAGCACCCTGTGGGAAGGGAAGCCGGCCGGCAAATCCGCCGGGGTGAGGAAGCCACCGCGCGCGATGTGCTAGATTGCCTAGGTCCACAGACAAACAGCAAGACGCACGCAGGACGTTCCGATGCTGCAGCTCTTCCCGCCATCAACAAGACAGCAGCATTTGTATGTAGACGCCCGAGAGCCGACATGCCGGATGCGCATCCAACAGGCGTCGGGCGGATTTTGATGCGTGAATGGCGCAAGAATATAGTTATTATTCTCTTTCCTGCCGATCCCTTCGGTCACTTCCGTAGAGTGTATGTATTCTCTCACGGGATTCTCGAGGGCCAGCTTGCGTTTCACATTATTAGTCAATAATCTCCCGCGTATTTGCGCACAGATCGTTCGTGAGCTAACTCTGCGGAGATTTGGCGGGCTGCCTTCCGACTCGCGTCGCGTTCTCGCTCCAGGGATCTCCCTTCCTCAGCAACGACACCAGAACGACAATCGGAGCGTATCGGAGCGAACAACCATCGACGCGGCGCTCTCTGGCAGCCCAAGTCGCCCACAGGCGCAAAATCCTGGAGGAGCGCCACACGGGCAAAGGGAAGAAGGCCCGACGTCGGCCGCTGGAACCCGCAGGCGTTTCAGATCGCCTTTGCAGCGACCCAGCGCCCTTGCGCTCGGGCTCCAGGTTTTTCTGCCCAGGGAGGTCCGCCTCCCCGGACCCAGGCGGCCTTAGCCTAAAAGCGGCGTGGAAGTCGCCATTTTGTTGCGGCTGCCGCCACTTGTTCGCCGCTCGCCGCTCGCCACCACGCAGGAAAAAAAAAAAAATGAGTTGGTGTCTTGCCAGACAGGCAGATTACCTAAGGCGAACAGGACACCTTCCGGAACAGGGCTAGCCCCGCGCTATCCGCGTGGTAGGGCTGAGGCTTGCCGTTGGCTGAGCCACAGAAACACCGCCCCACCCGCGGTGTGGCTTTCCCCTTTTGGATTCTGGCCCGAATCAGGCAGTCGCGAATTCTTTTTTTTTTTTTTCTGCATCTCTTCTTCCTCCATCGCCCCTCCCCGTTCTGTCGTCCACCACCGCAGCCCCTTCCCCATCCGCACTCCATCGACGCTGCTCCTTCCCTGCCTGCCATGTTCGAGGGCTTCTCCTTCCCGCCCAGCGACCGCAGCCTTCGTGTGCCGGGCGGCAGCGGCGACGACCCCGACGGCGCCTTCCACTGCGAGAGCGCACTGGTGTCACCGCTGTCGTCGCGCTGCCCGTCGCCGCGCCTGCGCCCGCGCGACTACTCGACGCGCCTCGCCCGCCGCGCCCGCTCGCCCTTCCGCCGCGGCCCCGCGCCGACTTCCATCCCGCCCGCCCTCGCCGACCACCGCCGCCTGTCCATCGGCTCGCTGACCACCCGCCTCCACGCCCACTCGCTCGATGCCAGCGACTCCGGCGCCGACAGCGACGACAGTCATGGCTCCCCACACGCGCCCCGGTCCGCCTATCTCGACCCCGGCAGCCCGCCGACGTGGATGGACCGCCGTCCCAGCTTCGCCTTGATATCGCCCGCCGACAGCGACAGCTACACCGCCGGCTACGGCTCGCCGTATGCCGACGTCTCGCCGACATCCACGCCCCGGTCGGACCGCCGCTTCTCGCAGCCCGCCAACTGCACGTCCGTGCCCAGCACCTTCGCCTCGCGCCAGGGCAGCGTCGATGCCGCCCACCGCCGCCAGTCGCTCGCCGCCCTGCGGCTGCAGCGGGAGCAGCTCTCCATCATCCAGTGCGCCGCGACGTCCGTGGCCGACACCGTGCGGCTCGCGCAGATGCTCGACCAGGACGAACGCTTCCGCTACGGTGTCGACCTGGCCAACGACGGCCAGCACCCCAGCTCGCTCCCGCCCGCGCGTACGCAGTCGCGCATCCTGCAGAAGAAGATGGACGCGTTGAAAGCGGGTTCCTCCTCCTCCTCGTCGTCGTCGTCGTCTGCCGGCCTGAAGCTCCCAGGGTCCGTTGCGGGTAAGTCCAAGATCGACAAGACGTATCCCGCTGCGGTTGAGAAGAAACACGCGAGAGCCAGCCCCAGCAGCCTCCGCCGGAGAAGCCTGGTTCTGGCTGCGGTCACCGCGGTGCTGGAAGCTGAAACATCGACTCAGTATCGCGATTCGATCGCGGCCCCGGATCAGCTGCGAACCCTGGGTGCATATCCGCAGCCCACGCCGACGTGATTGAACTTGTTTCAAAAAAGGGTATCCTCGGGGTGTTGGAGATTTCCTTTGAGCTCAGTGCCGTTTTCTGCCATATACATATCAACACCCGTATACCCTGCTCTTTGATGATTCTTGGCGCGTTGATCTCGGGGTTTCTTCCTGTCTTTTTTCTTCGGGGTCCGGTTTTCAGCTCAGGTGACCATTTTGCTTGTTCCATCGTTCTCTTCAATTCCAAGGGGTAAACAGTCTGCCATGACCTCCAGTTCATACGTGCATTTTGTGGGCGTTCGTGTCTTGTTTTAGCCTAGTCGTCGGTTGGCTAGAGAGATTGATGAAATATTTGGAAATAATAGAAACGGAATTAATCGGGACTCCAATACATACATATACAGTAGTTAATCAGAACAAAAGAGAATAGATGAAAGCACAACTCATATTCCGTTTTCTCCCCGCATTCATATGTCCCACACCTAGTTAGTCCAGACAGAGTACAGCAGAAAACAATAAACTCCAACAGTACTGTCAAGATGCCAAGTCACCACCACCATCTGAAGCACAAGCCATCTAGGGGTAGTTCACCAACAACGCTTAGTTTTCGAACCTTTTCCGTGCTCTGACCCCAAAGGAACAAGGACCATGCATATCAAAATCAAGACTCAAAACAGCAAAAAACACAAAACATTAAATCTCAAAAGAAACCACCGTCCATGCCTTTTGATACAGTCGCAAGACACACCAACCAATAAGGAAACTTTGCAGAATAAAACGAAAAGGGTTGTTAGTTTGAGTTGAACCCTGCAGGGGATCCTGATTGGGAAGCTTTTGAACCGCCGTCACATGCAATGTACTGTATGTCAGGCGACCTGCTGTTGAAATTGCAGGGCAGCTCCTGCACGTTGATGTTCTCCCTGAGACACCATCTCGGGAACAAGAACAAAAAAAAAAAGAAAAGGGGCAAGCTGATCAACAAGAGAGTAATAATACACTGACAAATAAAAAAGGAGAGAGGTTGAAATTTGACTTTTTTTTCCTGTTTCCATCAAACCAACATGTCTAGACAACCAAGCACACCATCAACACGACAACGACGACAAGAAGCACCGTTGCCGCATACGCCACGCTCAGTCGTCGAGCCAGACGCAGCTCCATCGCATGAAATTCTTCCACAGCGCCGCCGGAAATCCAGCGCATCAGGATATTCGCCACTCCGCCGCCAAAACCAATAACGGCCAGAAGAATCCAGCCAATCGGCGCCAGCAGTGAGGAGAACAGAATGACTCGTCGGCCCAGGCGGCGCTGCTCGACCAAGTTGGTGGGTACGGCGCGTTTGCGCGTGGGATTCAAACGTGGAGTATCGGGGAACGCTGCGTGATCGAATTGCACGCCCGTGGGTAGACCGCTTTCTTCATCGATGGCGTAGCACGACGGCGGAGGAGCAGTTACTACAGTCGCGGGTCTAGTCAAAGTCGCGTCGATGTTACTACCAGTCGGGGACAGGCGTGGTTCCCAGGTCGATCTTGGAATTCGGGAATTCGGACTAGGTAAGCAGAAATCCGCAAGGAGAGCCGGATCCATTTGCTCCAAACGCTCGCGGAGAAGATCATCTGGCTTAGGGCGTTTATGCGATTGGCGAGTGCTGTCATGGCGCGCCGGCATTGGCGTTCGTAGATTTGTTGAGCGCAAGGTAAACGTGCTGGATCGACTGGTGCCATGTCTCTGGAGGTGTCTCTCTAAGATGCCCGTGGATGCAGGCCGTGGTGGGGGTTCTTGACTCTCAGTTTGCGAAATAGATATATCCAACGGCCTCTGTTTGGGCCCATTGCCTAGAACGCGATCGCGCGCATATCGAATGGTATTGTATAGCGAACTTGGCGATTTCGCGGCGGGAGGTGGGGGGAGAAGATGGTCGGTCGAAAGTGAACGTGAAGGCGCATTCGAGTTTTCTCTCGGGAGATCGCCGACGCGAGGGAGGTTCGTGGGCGGACACGGACGAAAACAAGGGTGGTATTCCAGAGAATAAGGATTTGCGCTGGGATTGTTGTCAGTGGCTGTTGTAGAAACTCCCGCAATATCATTGGAGTTTGCGTCATCAACAGGGCTATGAAGTCCAATATTTCCTGGCTTATGACCAAATGCATGGGGGGCTGTGGAAGCTTGGGAAGATCGCAGGGCTGGATCCCTTGCAACAATCTCAGAAAACCAGTGCTGGAAAGACGTTCTTATATCGACTGGAGTAGTTAAGTCGCGTTGTACATGCTTATGACCACGGTGGGAGCCGTGTTTGTTCTCTATACTAGCATGGGAGCTGGACTTACGGTCATCAGGGCCAGGCTGAGAGCCATTTGTTCCTCGCCCATCTCCTTCACCAAGCTGATCTTGTAGCGGAGGGGGAGTAGAAACAAAAGGATTCGTATGCAAGTCATTAAGGGGCGTCGGGTGCTTATACTGGTTAGGCAAAGGTGTTGGGCACCTGGATGTTGAAGCAATAAGGGCAGGAACTGGTTTACTAAAAGCGTTCACACGAGAACCGTCAGAATGTCGATAATTTGTGTTAGGCAGCAGGACATATTGGCCCGTAGCCGGGTCTTTGTGGAAGTAGTGGGAGTAACGTCCTGCATGGTTTGGGGTCACGACAGTATCACTTTTATGAGAAGAGCTGGGAAGGAAAACTCTGGGTGACCGCAATGGTGGTCTGGCTGGTGCACTAACAAGGCTGCCACAGCTGGAGTAATCAGCTAGACTGCCCTCTGTATCAGCATGTCCAAGGTCTGTTGCGATACCACTTGTGAACTGTTGGCTTCCAGCAACAGTTTCCCAGTCGTGGTCTATCCCATCTTCCTCTAGAATGTTATCACCCTCAAACGGCTCGGCATGTTTATTTATACCAACACGTGCATTTCTCTTTCTCCCAAACAAATTTTCACTTCGTCTATTCAATGAATGTGTTCCAAGACTACCATGAAAGAAAGGATTTCCGCTTCTTTGCTCTGCTAAGTGGTATGTTGGAGCTGATGAGATTCTTAGTGGAGAGGGAAAATTGATTGAGGAGGATGTATGTTGACTAAAGTGTTGAGTAGATGAGCTTTGGCTGCTCCCTGGGCCCAAATCGATAATTTCTTCGTCATCAAATCGGCTATCGGAGCCAAATGACCTATCATGAAAAAGACCTCTTTCAATTTCGCGATTTACAGACTCTGATTGACGAGATAAAAGTCGTAAAATCGAACGCTCGTTTTCCCGCTGTGCTTCTTTATCTGACTGGGCTCGAGCTGGCGCCTGTACAGTTGCTTGTTTCTTGTCTCCCTGCTCCGGTGCGGTTGGATTTGCCCGACCAATGGGCTTGAATGGCGAAAAACGGCGAGAAAACCATTTCCCGGGTGGAATTGGACGAGAAAAGTTTGGACTTGACGTGCCATTTCCTGGCCGATATGGATTCGGAGGTGCCAAAGTATGTGCATCAGCTTCAGGGTTACTAGGGGTTGAGTCACGCGAATCCACGGTTTCTTCAGGGATATAAACACGTTCATGATTTTCTTTCTTGACGATGAACTTTTCATTAATGCGGCAGGCATTCACATCCTTGTTTTCTACAGAGGCTTGTTCGGTTTCAACAGTTGGCTTGTCGTTATGGCTCAAATTCAAAAGCCGGCAAATCCTTTCTTTCTCGCTGGCCATATCAATCATGTTCTGCGAAATAGGGTCTAACGTGGACGAGTTTTCGATATGGACACAAATACCGTCCGATTTTGATTGGTAGGGGCTAGGATTGTTACCTGGCCATAGGGTGGCAGAGCGGCGTCGCAATTTGTAGGGGAAATGATACTGGAAGCGGCCATTATGAGACCCCAAACGGCGTTTGACTAGTTTGACGGGAGAGCGTTGGCTGTTATGACGGCGTGGAGTCCTGAAAGACCATCTTCTTGAGACATGACGAGCAATGGTAACTCGATTCCTATCAAGACTATGGCGGACGCGTGCAATCGTTTTTACATTCGGTTCCTCGAGAATAAACACTCTTGAAGACTGTGATCTCGAGATGTCGTCTGGCTCAATTTCATCTCCATTGATAGGGATGTGACAATCATTATCAACTCCCTGAACCACGGAAGATGACTCTTGCGGCATATTTGGGGCTGAATCAGAAAGTCAACAGAAGCGTTTCCAGGTTTTTGAAAGGGCAGCATACCTTCGCATGTGTCTGGAGATGATGGTATGGATTTCTCCTTTTCTCCGTTGAATCGAGATGTGATGGAAGAATGAGCGGTCTCAAAGTCAGCAAAGAGGGCGCGGGATGGAGTGCGATATCTGATACCATCCACAGAATGTGAGCGAACGAGAGGAGGCGGTATATCCTCCATATTTTGAAAATTAAAAAATGTGGTTTGAATGGCTGCAAGAAATCAGGCAACTAGAAGCATGTTCCTGTGCTTTGGGGTTTATTATCTCAAAAGGAACCCCTTGATGATAGAATGTTGTTTTAGAACGCGAGAGGGATAGCGTACTCTCAGAAAGGTGTTTATTATGATAGAAAATTCGGGATGGGATGTGCCGGATTTGCTTGCTGATTGCGCGCTGACGCGACTTGTTAACATAAACAAGGGCATTTGGCGCGACAATATTGAAAACCAGGAGAATAATCACTCACCAATGTGAAGTTGTTAGAGTCTCGACGCGTTTCACCCAAATCAATCCCAGTTTCTGTATTAAGGGGTGATTCTGGTGCAGATATGGGTGTATGCACAGCAGTGGCAGAGACAGGTGTTATCAAAGGGCCAAAAATACAGCCACCATTGGCTAAGCTGTCTGGCTCCCCAGCAGATCGATCTGGTGATTCTGGGAGATCCGAAAAGGAAGAATATAAGGAAAGATTAGATGGTGTAGGAGGAGGAGAAGGTGGTGTTCGCGGGAAGAATCTAATGTTCAAGTTGAGAGCTTTCGGCTTTCTCTTGAGGCTTCTAGGAGGCGTATGGGTGGCATTCGAATCGGGCCCGGAATGGGATAGAGATTTACGATATCGATGCCGTGAGACGCTCCCTGATGCCCTTTCAATGGGCTCAGCGAGATTGAAGGAGGCAAATACCGTAGGGGTAGGACTTAAGGGTGGAGAAGGGCTAGGAACCGTCGAGGTAGTTGAAGGAGGATGAGGGCATAGCGGCGAAGGGACCAGACTGCCACACATAGAGGGAAAACCTGTGTCCAGATCAACATAGCGAGGAAACGATGCTCCCTCCACCAATCCGAAACACAAATCCCAATCCTCCAGATAGACACCCATCCGCTTTCGCGCCGACTCTGCCGTCAACATTTTGCTGCAATTGGAGCAGAAGCAGCTTCAATTCTACCCTGTGTTGATAGACGCACTTTTGACGTTTAAGAGACCTTATATATCCCCACCCTAGCGTGCGGTTGATCGCACCAGTCAATTCTAAGAGTTTCCTCGGCTGTTGGTATAATCTAACCGCACCATAAACAGATCATAGATCTCAGAAACCCACGAATCTGAGAGAGAACACGAGCTAAGCAATGGAAAATAGCATAAAAAGAGTTCAGCGGATTGGAGAAGCAATCCACCTCAAGTCATGGAAGACCACGACCAACGATTCGCGAAACACAATATGGCGAATGGCAACCGTCGTATTTTGACTTCCACACGGACTAATTACAGGGCCGGAAAAGAGGAAAGACAATAAAGGAGGAGGCGATTGAGCAGGAAATCTGAATAAGAGCAGTAGGAAACGATCAGCCGGCAGCCAGCCACGGCCCGAATTATGGAAATAGCGGAGACAGGGAATTTGCCATCTCGCTCAGACAAAGCCCAGATGGACTGGACGTTTAAAATAAAACATAAACAACGGGAGCCCCCATATACGATAGAGGGAAGCTCAACGTCCCTTTACCCGGCGGTGTGTACACCATCAGCGACGACACGGCCAGCCAGGCAGGCTGCACCCACGGCCGTAAGCTTTACAGCCCGGGGCGGCGAGCCCTGCCGACAACCAGCACAAGCAGAGGCAGTGCCAGCACTGCAGGCTGATGGGCTCTGGTCAGGCACGGCGGGCGCTCAGTGGGCGGTGGGCGGGCTCGTGACGACGACGTGAAGAAAAACAGCGCGCGGTGGTGGTTGCGGGCCGGCCAATCGCACGCCGCAGCCGCCCTTCGCCGAGCCGCCCCCCAGCCCACGGCGCCAGCCAGTCGCAGCGCAGAGGTCGCTAATCTGCAGCTCTCGGCTGACGAGAAGCGCACCAGCGGGTGCCCGGATCGCAGCCCTCGTCGTGCGGGCGATGCGTCTTGCTGATGTGTGTGGTGGGATGCGATACGGTCAAGCATGCGTGGCAACTGGGCCACCGCCGCCAGTCCTGCAAGGAACCCGAGCAGCGGAGAATCCTTTGCCTGCGATTGATACCACCGTATCCTCGCGATAGCTACCGGTCGGAGGCCTGGCCGCCGGCCCAAGCTGCGTCCTGCGGCTCTTCGGGAAGCCTGAAATAGAACTCCTGGCGAGGAGCACCACTTTGGGCAGCGATGCGCCTTCCAGGGGCGTCATGGTCATGGATCTCTGATCACTTGCGTACCCCAGGAGATGCGGGCATGAACATGTTCGCATTATTATATCTGCAGCTGCAGATACTCATATCCTTGTTGACTATGTACACGCGCCATGGTGTTGCCCATCCGCCTCAAGAAATCATGCAGCACATCTGCGTCTACTTAGCATGCGAGTAGTCGACATACGCCAGCGGTTTGGCTGACAATTCTCCGGAACATGCCTTTTCCGTGAGGGATGGATCGAAGTGGCTGAGTGTATTCCTGTAGCCTCGAGTGAAATCTATGGGACTTGCTTTGAAATGCACATGAGAAAGAGGGTGTGGATGGCCCACTGCTAAAATCGCTCGCCTGCGTCTCATTCCTCCATGTGATGGCCGAATATGTGGGCACGAGCATTTTTAAGGTATTGAAATTCTACCTGTGAATTTCTTTTTCCTACTTCTGAAGCAGCTGGCGGATTCTCCAACATGATGGATGCGGTGCAACCAGAAGATCTGACTGAGCCACAATCTTTGATCAGCACGAAAAACCGGAAGTTAACAATGAACAAGTCAATTCTCAAGTAATACAAAAGGAAGAACGGGAAAACGGACGCTTCTGGGCCTGGCTCTAAGAGATCTAACCCTACGCCACAAACAGCCACTTCTGGGCAAAGATACCAAACTGCGTGATCAGCCTCAACAGGATAAACAGATACGGCGCGGAGAGCCGTCGAGTCTTGGATGACATCTTACTATATGCACAACAGAATTCCGAATAGCTTGGCCTTGATCACCCTAACTAGTTAACCCTGGAGTCAGCCGATAACGTCTCCATACCAGCCGTCATCCTCGTCTTCACCATCCTCATCACCATCATTATTATCATTATCCATGTCATTGCTAACGGGCCAATCCTCAGCAGCCGTGTACGGCCAGGCTTCTAATATTGTATCGACAATAGCCTTGTGCCCCTCTGGTGTTGGATGGAAAAGCCTAGCATCTCCAGGACCGAACGGCTGACGGCCTCCGGCTGGTTGGACATCGCGAGGAATGGCCGGCTGCAAGCCTGGGTATTGTTCATGCGTGAAAGCAATAGCACAGAGAGCCTGGGCACCCCAATCACCAGGGTTAGCTTGTGACTCGGGCCCACACATTTTCGGATCGATCAAGTCAAGATTGGCACTTCGAAAAGTGGCATCGTAAAACCATGTGTCTCCATCCATCAAACCGCCTCCGGGTCGACAAAACCGATGCGAATCAAATTTTGGCGCCCAATCAACGAACACAATTCTCTTATCATTTCTTTTTTCAATAATCTCACCAATTTTCTCGTTGAGCCCTTTGCATATTTTGTTCACCTCGCCACGAAGTTCTTTAAGTAGCCTTGGTCGATATCCCACCCAATAGCCAAGGCTCTCAATGTCGCATTCTGAGGTAAGATTTTCATCAAAAAACTCGCTGTAGCCATTCACGAATACCCTAAAAGATTTTGCGGTGTTTTTTGATAAAATTGCATCCAAAATTTGATTGTATGTCAGTGCAAACTCGTTACTTTTTATTTTCTTCTTTGCCATCATCAGCATTTTTTCACAGTCGGGGGAAGCAGGGCCATAAAATCGATATGCACAGCCATTAAGAACATTAAAAAACCCAATATCATTGCCCCCGACGGACAACGTCACGAAATCTGCGTTCTCGATGGCTCCAATCTGCTCCCAAATTTGCTTCCATTTTTTACCGCCCCTTGAGGAGGCTTGTACCCAGTTTGATCTCATAACAGTCCCAGAACAGGCAAGGAACTGAATTTCAGGGTTAGAGCCGTTATAAATATCTGCACGACTTAATTGCGCCGGATAGCTGTCACTAAACTTCCAGCAATTCGGATCGAGTTCCAACCCCGCGCCAACGCCTGTAGCATAGGAATCGCCCAGTGCAGCGAAACGTTTGATTGTCGTGGGGATTTTTGGGTCTGCATCTGCGGAAACATCAGAATCAAAAGACAACAATCTTGTCTTTCACTCCTACCTAGCATTGCTGCAGCCCCGACGATCAAAGTGTGTAGGGCGCTGAACATATTTGAAATACGACACGGAAACTGCACAAAATGCCGTTTTATTTAAACGTCAATAGAATAGCTATAACAGACGTGATTAGGCGCAAGAAATGCAGCCAAAATCCTTCTTTCACCTATTTATACGGAAAAGTTCCTCTCAGGTCTAACCGTGAGGTTGATCCATTGTTTTTGGGGGTCGCAATTGCTCAAACCCGGACTACCAGACCAGAAAACAAGAAAGTATTTTCGACAAACACAGGCGTGGCACCTTCCAGATGTAAAATAACTTGAGGCCGTTGTGTTGAAACCGAGATACTGCGGTGAGAGTAGGTATAGCTAGCTACTTACTGGCAGACGGCTAAGCGGGCATTGGTGTTAGGGCGAACATGCCTCACAGTCTGCAGAGTCACCCGGGAATGTTCGGAATAGATACACCCTGCGCATTATGCTGGAGGCAATCACCAAATCGTTGCATCATAATATGAAGATAATTTAACCGACACAGTTTCCGATATCATGCACAGTGATCACAAATAGATGTGCACCGTTGTAGCAGGGTAGCCACCTCGAACAACCTAGAAGAGAATGATGTTTCTGGAGCATACCGGACGTCCGCAAGACTGAAAAAAATGCATTGACGGTAGTACGAACTGACAATAGCATCAAGGCCAGCCCTGGATGGCTTGAAGATACGGAGTACAGGTATTTATTAAGGTTAGTTAGTTAGTTAGTTAACTAGTTAACTAACTACCTAGTCAACCACGTGTAGTAGGTCAACGTCCCGTTAGGTGATGATGTCATTATTGCCATTCAACCTAGTTATTTACCTACACTACAAGACTTTGACGGAAAATAGGGATTTAACTATATGAGGTGGGTCAGTGGAATGCTCCGTAACTATTGTGAGGTAGTGAAGAGATTTGAAAATGTGAAAGGCAGTTTTGAGGTTACGAAACCCAGTCATTCCATGGGCGAAGGCAGTAAGAGAAAGCGTGGGTTGCCATTCCAAACTTTTAATATCTCTTATATCTACATATGCTATTATTAAGAGTGTGGATAGTTCTTACGATAAGAAGAGGATCATGGCTTTGTATATATAAGAGTCCAACCAAAGGGATTTAACTGTCCATAGATGGTCTACTTCTTCAACAGTCTATATGTATTTAGCCCCATCTCAATGCCCGTAATGTTCGTTTGTCAGAACAAAATCGAACAGTGTTCCAAAACAGTAGTAACCAGTAAGCAAAATATCAGCAGAGAACCATTCCCGGATGATCGTCATGATGCAAAATCGTCTTAAAGCTAAAGCAAAAAAGCCCCAGATCCATTTCCATAAATAGCGCCAAAATTCATACCGTTAACGCCAGAAATAAATGAAAAAAAATGCCAGCGCTTCATGATTGCCTTACAGTCTTCCATATTGACAGGCTAGCAGAAAAAAAAAGGGAAAGAGAAAAAGAAAACAAAAACAAAAGAAAAGGAGGCAGGAATCATCTCACCATAAAAAGGGAGGATTTGAGGGCATTCTGTTTCCAATCAAATTAATTCGAAAAGAGGATTCCCGCTAGTAAGACTAGATTTTTTTGTATTTCTATTTTTGATAGTCAGCACGGCTCGGGGACTAGATTTCAGTAACGATTGTGTCACTTACATCGTCAGTTCTTCGTCGATTCTCGGGATCCAAGGAGTTAGACACTCCAAGAAGGGTTTGAGACATCGCTTTCGACGCTGCAATAGCTGGACGGAGAATAAGAGTGGGCGTCCTCTCTAAGACTCGCCTCGTAGCTTCTGTTGCGCTACTACTCGCCATCACTTCGCCTGGAACAGCAATGATGGCGTCCTTCGTTAGAAAAATGTCTCTTTGAAGGCTAGTATATGCACTGCGAAGCCCTTGACTTATACCAAGCGGCTGGTCCGCATACGGTGAAATCCGTGGTCTTTCACCTTCGCCCAGGCCATCTTCATCCCGGCGGCCGTCAGATGTAGAAGGCCTGGAAGACAGCTCTCTGGAGGGATTAAAAAAACTTTCAGCACTTTCAAGGACTGTTTGAGTGCCAATCGCGATTTTCGCTCCGAGCTTCACAACTTCATTTGTGGTAGTCTTCGCAAAATGAAATGCACCTTTCTGGATACTGCGGACGATTCGCCCATCCTTCTTGTACTCACGCATTGGAATGAGGATGAGGTCTCTGAAACCGCCTCCAATGTTCACGAGGGGCCTGACTGGTGCGATCCCGCCAAGAACAGAGGGAAGTTGATGTGCTTTGATATCAGGCATCCAGATATCATTCAATGTGACCCCCAGCCTTTCAAACCCTGCGGTACCGTAGATGATAACGTGCCTGAGAACCATATCGGCCTCATCAAGAATGAAGAAGTTCATGAATTCCGTTGTTCGACCTGACCTGAGACCCGCATAATCCACTCGTTTCGGTTTGAAGTCGAGTCGTACTTGAATAGCGTTCACCTCTACCCGTTGAAGATAAGGCACGTCGTCCGGTGAGGGTTGTCCAGGTGCAGATTCATCTTTAAACTCAAAGAAGCGACTTATAAAATCTAAAGCATCTTGATCGACGTGCAGACGCAATGGTAAAACTGTGGCCTTGAAGAATGTTAGTGTGTTTGCTGTAGTAGGGGTAGCAAGAAAGTTAACGGTATCTCACCTTCAAGACAAGCTCGGATGCGGCAAGCTCTGCAACAGGTTTTACCGTCAAAATCTCTAAGTGAATCATGCTAGTACCTATTTCACGTTCCCCGGCGTCATGCATATACGTTGCAAATTTTTTCCAGGTAGAGGTAGGCACATGATCAAAAATTTCCAGATCTTGAACCCTAATATCTAAGGAATTGATTGTTTCGCCAGAGCCAGGAGGGAAAAGAATGAAGTCCGCCGAAATCCCTTTCAACTCTAAGGACATCTTATGGTATTTACTCCGTGTCAGACGTAGTTTCTCTCGTTTAGTTCCAGGTGCCTGGCCTTGCTTTGTGTTAAGCGTAGTGGTTGTCGCATAGCTCATTGTTTCACTAGCTAAATCATCGATATTACGATTGATATCGTGAGAGAGCTCGCGAGGATCCCTGTTAGCTGGAATGCCAATGTAGACTGAGTTAAATAAGAAATCACCAATGACGGAGTCTTCCTCCTCCTCGGGGTCAGTGGATATTAGAATTCCAGGTCTTCTGGTAAATTTTTCTGCCGCCTTATCCTGGACATCCTGGACAGCTTGTGATATGGCATTCCGGGTTCGCTGCCAATCATAGCCATCGAACAAGTTCCATATCACATGAACATCCCTAACTCTGACTCGAAGGGGGCTCTCACGAAGCTTACTTTCAGAAGCAAGGCTGTATGTATTTTCGCATGAATCCCATCTATGGGCTGTACCTTCGATAGTCGACTGCTTTGCAAAGTGGTCTTCCTTAAAGTCCAGCTGTTGAATACTGCCTGATACCTCGGATTCAGCATAGAGAGCCTCTAGAGTAGGGCTGGTATCGGCATTGGCTATTATATCGTCACCACCTTTAGCGGGAGCTTGACGCCGACTTGACGACCTAGCCCCCGTATACGAAGGATAGAAAACGCTCACATATTCATGTTCATCGGCATCGTCACCATCCTTTCCTTCACTTTCGCTTTCTAAAAGATATGGGGTGCCATCCGAGGTTTGGTAAGCATTTGATGTGAAAAAATTGCCGGCGAGAGAGTTTAACATATCCTGGAGAGGAACAACTTCAGTCCGATATTTTCTTGCGGTGCTAGGGGGCGTTAAAGGAGCCAGTCCGCTTAAAATGGAGACAAGGGTTTGAGTAGAATCTGCACAAGTTTCCAACACAAGCAAATCGTCCCGTATCTCGACGTCTAATGATTTCTGGCCTTCGGCGTCCAGCTGCACGGCTTTTAAGAGCACAGAAGCCGAAGATATGTCACAGACAGAGACGAATCCCATACTTTCCAACCGCCTATTTTGTTCGTTGCGAGAGCCACCGGATGCTCGAGAAAGGCAACTTTTTGCTGTCCCAATGTTGGCTGTATCATCAATAAGCATGATGGAAGCTTTACGAATATTGAATGAAGCTTCAGAGGGTTTTGTCTGGTGAAGAGCACCCTGAAAAGTTCCGCTACTCAAGACGAAGAGGGCTTTCGCTGGAGGATTGCGAGGGTTAAGCCCAACTATACATTCTCTTAGGTCAATGAATAGCCTTGATGGTAGGAGTGGCCGGTTGCGGAAGTCAGTGGAAGACTGCTCTGACATTTCAGATCCTTCCTCATTGAGGTCGGCTAAATTTATCACAGATTGAGCCATATTCGCCGCAATGTCTTCATTCGTCATTATATTACTCCCTGAGAGAAACGCTGTGGCAAAAGGTATTGTATATTCCACCCTCAAGTTATAAAGTTTGACTTTAACCGCCGGTTCCACCTCATCAGCAATGAATCTGATCATAATCATGGGTAAGGTCTCATGGGTCGGCGGTGCCTCTGGAGGATCAAAAATGGCATGAGCGAGTAGCTCCTCGCTGCCATTACGAGTAACGGCAACCATACCGATACGTGTTACTATGAGGGATGGTAGAGTGACATATCCCGCTTCAAGACCCTTAAGCATCACTCTTAAGTCTCCAACATCACGATTTATGTGTACTTGCCCCTCAAAATCACGAATAAGACCTAATATAAGAATTCCAGGACTGTCGTCTTGCGGAAGGTATTTAGCAACCGTGGCTAATTTTGCAAATTCGGCAGCAAGACCGGATAAAGGCTGCAATGCGTCAGGGGTGGGAACAGTTAGTTTAGCATTTCCAGCAGTCAAGCGAAGTACAGCGCCTTTTCTGCGCTGCCGAAATAGAGTGTCAAGCATTACGTCATCGTCATCCTCATATTTGTCTTTTGAGGGAGTAAGAAGTGCCAGTAGCCGATCTAGATCAACTTCTTTAGGGGCAAAGAGATATTCAAATCTGATATTGGTGAAGTCAAGGTATGCCGGTGAGTCCGCGTGGCTTCTTGGGAAATGGGGCCCGCTAATGTTTGCTTTATCAATCTGAAGCGCAATACCTTCGTATCTGCTCACTAGCTTTGCCGCCGTGGTCTCGAGTTGAACATTGCAGTGTTCACCACTAATGTGCGCTACAATACCGCCTAGTCTGCAATTCACTTTCAACACGGGCGTATTTGGCTTTAGAGAGCTAGGGGGTGTTGGATCCACAAAATGGACGCCTCGGGATCGTGTTTTAGCGACCGGTTGTCCTGCTTTGACAGTAGACGTCGATACAATAGAACTTCCTAATTCGAGGACCGTACTGAGACCTCCAAACCAGCCCAGAGTCTCATCTATCTTCCGCAAATTCAACGAAAAACACACCGGAAGTGTTGTCAAGTTGACAGTGGTGTATTCTGGCGAGGTAATTATTCGAAGTAAAATATCACCGTGTTTAGGGTGTGTGATATCTCTTGTGGACTGCCGCATTTTGAGGCTCTCATCAAATGAGATTAAATTCTCTGACATATGTGACAAAACAAATGTTGCGATACTGAGTCGAAGCTTGTTTGATCTTTCAGTCAGTACCAAATCTGCGTCCAAGACAGTCAAATTCAGCTGCAAAATGGTATTCTCCATGGAATTTCCACTCAATAACGGTGGCTCCATTGGTGGAGAATAAGGTTGGACCGCCACCCGCTCCAAAAACTGGATACAGCAAGATTGCAGGTTCACCTGAACAAAATGAGGTGTTCTCTCATCATTATTTCCTGATGGTTGGATGTCCTTTGCCGGGCGATCACTGGCCCAGAAATTAGTGGCGGTTTGCACCATCTTAACGAGAAGCCAGCCAGAGGCAAGATCAAGTTTGACATCTACTGAATCAATCTCTATTTCAATAGCTTGTGACATTTGCAATTTACTTAAGCCATCAAAATCGTAATTTTTTGACTGTATTGCGGGTTTTGAGCGTGACAGTTCCGTAGAATTGACGGAACCACGCCGGAAGGCACTTTGGGCAACACGGACTCTGGGATTTGGTGACGAATCAAGAGAGATAGAGTTTGCCAAACTGAACGTTGATTCTACCATAAAATCATGGGAGTTCTTCTCAGTATCGGAGGGTGGCGTTGTTTCTGCACTGCCCTGGTGATCATATGAGGGGATCCACAGAGTCACGCTATCGATAAAAAGGAGCTGCTTGGTGACCCCCGTAATGTATTGAGGGTTCAAGAACCGTTCGCCTTTTATGCTTCCATCTGATTGATTTTCAGATATCATTTCATGGTGCAACATAGGCGACTGTTGTCTAATTTCTCCAGGGTCTAGTTTCAAGTCCCGACCCCATGAGTTCTGGGAGATCACCGTTGAGGCCCTTTTGTGCTTGGGAGAATAGTCCCAGGCACCAGGCATATCAGGGCTAGAGGAACTAGAAGATTTATTGGTCAAAGCACTCATGTACATACTCTGAGCTTCTTCATGGGTGAAGATTTTTGAACAAGATAGATCTTCAGCCTCAGGGCGGGTCAGAATAGTTGGCGGAGGGGTATGAGGAGCTTGCAGCTCAGGGCCCCGATCTAGGGCTTGATCTTCTACTATGGCTGTAGAAGAACAAGGGGGCAAATCCGAGAATTGGCCCCTACTTCGAAATGTGCCCGTGGTTGAAAGGGTGCTTTCGTGGATAGAGTGATACATATACGAATCTGGAGACGACGCTCGAGATTCTGGGGAAAGAGGCCGTGGAGTCTGGTTAGTATCCGTACCATGGGCAATGAAGTCAGCTTCTGGTATCATTACTGGCTGACCAAGTGGATCCTTAACATGCAGCTGCGAGCCTCCATCTAAATATTCTGGATTGTTTAGAAAACGCTCATGAACCTGACTATCGGAGAGTTCTCGGCTATACCCAAAGTGAGATTCAGGATCATATCCAGCATCAGAGGCGGCATCAGAAAATCTTCCATCATTTGAATAGGTGGATGACTCCATATTGGAGCTTTCAATATCTGAAAAGCCGCCAGAGAATTGGTGGGTTGACGGGGGCTCAAGAATTGTCGAATGGGACATGCTATCGTACAATTGAGAATCTTTCGAAGATAGCGGGTGGGACTGGGCGGGTGGAGTGTGGGAGAAGTCGGAGTGAACGGAAGGAGAATCGGGTGCATTGAAGTGAGAATATCTTGAAAAAACTTCTGCATTTGCAACAGCCATCGCACGGATTTGGGAAAAGGTAACTTTGCGTTTGCCAATTTTCAATGTTGAGTCCTCTGGAGTAGGCGCCGTAATGGCACCAATATTAATTTCATGAATGGTAAATACCCCCGAGACCGAGTCCGAATTACGTTTTTTGTCGACCCCATCACGCTGCACCTCTGTATCGACTTGCACCGATATATTGGTAACCTTGAATTGCAGCCGGTTGACGACGCCCTTTAAGAAGCCAGCAACGAAGCTGGGCAGCGAGACTCCATCATGTAGGCCAAGTTCTTCCTCCCCATCATCGCTAGCGCCATCTAAGCTTTGAATATGCTCAGATTGTAAAACTGCCTCTAGCTCATCTGTCTTTTCTTTCGGCTCGGATAGTAAGAACGACTGCGCAAGAGCCTCCGTAGACGGAAGGGTACCCAGAGAGTTGGTGCCGTCAGGAACTGGGTTTGACTTGTCCGATCCATTCCCGTCAGCTAGTAGCTGAAGCCTAACGTCAACGCCTTCAACTTCAATAATAATCCCACTCTGGTGAATGTCTGCTGGAATAGTCACACGAGCGAGAGAGACACTGGCTTTTGTAAAATCAAAAACCGGAGGGAGCTGTAAGATAGAGGCAAGTTTCTATGTTTCGGAAATACCGGATGTATTAGCAGCTAGATCAGACTATAGGTTGTAGAAGAGGGAGCATACCTGAAGTCTTAAGCCTACATCGCGAAACTCAAATGTGGATCTCTGTCCCCATTTAATGTCCAGACTTTCTAGATCCAAAGAATCTGTGTCAACGAGCCCCAGTTGCGACAGAACATATCTCAAGAGTTGCTTCTGGACGTAGGTCGGCAGAAACATGATCGCGAATAGAACGGAGCCTCGAGGGCCAAAAGGGTTCTAACTTTTGTCATCGAAGGCGTCCCATGTCTCTTGTGAGTTTGATTAGTTCTACAAGGTCTTCCGGACACCTGGGGGTTGTTGAGAAGGAGAAGTATTAAAAGGCGGAGGATGGTAGATAAGTTAGGTATGACTAGGTCCCCCAATAGTCGAATAGGTAGCCGAAAGCAGACGGCTTCAGCAGCAGAAACACAAAAAGTCTGCTGTGGTTGAGAGATGAACACAAGACAGTCTAGACGGTGTTTGGCGGGCTCTCTGCTCTGTTGTTGAGGTGTGATTTGCGGACGACGTGCTCTGTATGCCGCCCGCCTTTTGGGGAGCTAGTTAGGTAACTAACTAACTACCTACCTACCTAGTTACTAAGTTAAGCTCAACAGTCACGGGGCGGAGTCAGTAGTTAGTTATGCGAAAGTGAAGCGGCAGAAAGGCAAGCTGCTGTAGAGCAAAGGGAACAACAGCATTAAACTACCGCCCAGCATTCATCACCAGCAAGTCCGGTCGTTGAGGCAAGTTGCCCGCATGCCGCAGGCGATGTCATCATCCAAGACGGAACACTGGATAAGTCCGCCTCCAGAAAGGTTGTTTTGCCAACTTTTCCATGGCACCCATGAACAATAACGATAGGGAGTACATCATACATATTTGCCTGAACGCATACAAAGCTACTTGATCGCATGGAACCGAGATCCCCTCCTCTGGCCTTGTCCTGTATTAATGCCCTTCTTCAGGGACGTCCGGGCCGAACTCGAGCACCACCCATTCGCAGAACCGTTCGAAATCAACATTCCAATTCTTCAGCCGGTCTGCCTTCAAACCGCCACCTGTTATTCCTGCTTTGATGTCTGAAACCCAGTCCGCCTGGCTCTGGTCCTCGAAACAGCTCCAACGGATGGAATTTTCAGCCATCGTCGCGATTCCAGAAAGCCCTGTGTTCTCCAAGCCGTTCAAAACTTGGCAGAAATCATGAGCAAGCCCATTCATACCATGCCCAAGCACAGCGGGGTCGTCATTGCACAGAGCGACCGCCACTCCTCGAGACAGTAAGGCTGGGAGGGGATGTGCCATGATCGAGCTGGTCAGACGTAAGACCTCGTTCGAAATTGGACAGCACTCAATCAGTATTTTTTTTTCTTTGACTAGATCAATCAAAAGCGGATGCTTAAACAGAGAAAATGCGTGCCCGATTCTCCTGCTGCCTAACAAAATAGCGTCGAACAGATTTTGGTCTGTTTCATCCCCATCGCCTAAACACTCCCCGGCATGGAACAGGAATGGAATCTCAGTCTCTTCCAAACAGCACTGCTTCTTGAACCACAATAGAACTGGTAGCAGGTCCACCAAGGGCCGCCCGGCATCTTCCGGGCCAACCAGGTCGAACCCAGCGATGAGATCCGGAAATTCCCTTTTGGTTAAGATACACTCTTTCATACTCTCGATAATTTTTGGATTTGAATAACTTCTTAGAGTAGTCCAAATCATCCTTGCCCCATAAAACCCCTTACCAGCTTCCGAAGCTTTGAACTTGTTGACTTCTTCATTGAATACATCGAAGAACTCCACGTAGTCTTCCTCAATCATGTCACATTGGTCTTTCTGAAATTTAAAATCAAATGCCAAACGAAATTCCACATATCGAATGCCATCTTCCCAGAGTTCTGCCAGGAGACGCTGCAAACATGCACGAAAGATCGGCTCGTAGTATAAAATCGAATCGATGACTTGGAACGTCCGCCCGAATATGCCCCAGATAGCATGAATGCCATGGTGGTGATTTAACGAGGCTTCATCCCCAATCGTACAGCGGCTCTTGAGCCATGCTCGAAACCCTTCTATCCCTTGACGAGGGAATGATGTGGCAACCTCCTGCACCGCCAGGTATGTCCAGGCTTGGTATTCATTGCCCCATAGTGTTGAAGATTGCGGTGACTCGGGCGCCGCCGAAATGTACTTGAAATCAAGATCGTTGACCTGGAGCTGTTCTTCTGACACCAAGGGCCCCGAAGATGCCATGTACATTCCAGGTAGATTTAGAACTTGATCCACAAGGACATCCAAGTCGACCATGGCCTCTAAATGGCCATGTAATAATGCACCTTCAGCTAAGTTAGTAACAACTACATAGATAGATATCATCGGAGCTAGATGATTTTACCCTTAGGCATCCGTTTCATGATCTTCCAAAGATCAGTCTTCTCCATCTTTTCCCTCGCCAGACGAAACATCATTCCGGGAAACAAGATATCGTCGCCCAAATCCTGCCTGATGCCCTTCGTCCACACATCTTTCAGCTCCCTGGCGCGAACGTGGTCAACGATTCGGCAAGCCTCCCTCACCATGGGGGACAAAGAGCCACGGAAATGAACATCTTGATTTCTTAAGCGACGGGTAAAGCAGATATCAACCTACGAGCAAAGCTTACCATGTCTTTTTTTCTTCTCCTCTTCGATCAAAGCGGTTCGGCTCTGAAGGTATTTTTGGATGAACGGGTCTTCAAAGCGGGGAATACCCTCCTGGGCTTCACAGTCCTCTCCGTCCGCACCATTCTTGTTGTCTGCTTCTGAAGCCATGCTTAAGAATCTAACCTTTTAATCTGGCTTACTCAAAACCAAACGGCCGGTCGATGGTGTTTTAATAAATGGCCACAAAGACCCACTAGCAACGAGTGGGCCCGCCAACATTCTACATGTAACTACCGAGGTATGGACTTCACCTTAAATAATGGGTCAAGCGGCTCACTCCGAGTGACCCAAAAAGAATTCAGGTATGAAATTATTTCCGCATTTGCGATCTGAGTACTCCTTAATGTTCTATAGCGCTATAAAGAGAGTAAGACAGTTAACATGTTTTCAAATCCGCCCACAAAAAAATAAGCCCCCTACCAACCCACTGTAAAAACCGCCGCCCACTCCATTTACTGACGCCCTTTTCCCTTGTCCAATTTTTTTTTCCCTTGGAAAGGGATATTTTCTTGAAGGGCTGGACCAGGCCCAGCAGATTGTTGTCGCGGAGAAAGCACCTGTAGGGATGAGTCGCAGGCGGGACAATCGGGAAGGTAAAAGTTGTCCGTATTAACAAACTGGACAAACGCATAGGCGTCGTCGTCCTTCATCATGTCCCATACCTCCACAGGAACAGTGAAAAGACAAAATGTCGATGCCGCCCCAAATACGGCTTGAATTTTTATGTCTGCGATACCATCCGGAATATCTTGAGCGAGCCACCGTTTCCATTCTTCAAAATCTGGCAATGCATATTTACCCTGCAGGTTGACTGAAATAAGAACCTTGCCGTCGCCACATGTGTCACCCTTTTTGAGTTGGGTGAGTTCACGATTGGGCTTGTTTAAGGGTCGAAGCGTTATTGATGGTTTAGAAGCGGGTGAAATATGAACTGGCGTATTGTAAAGGTACTTGCCTGGGTCCGCTGCATCTGCAACAAGCTGCGCATGTACCTGTGCGACAGTCACCTCTGTCTTGGCGTAGCTTTCAAGAAGTTCGATTAAGCGTGATGAAAAGCTTGTGGCGATGTTTGCTGTCGTTGATGACTCGAATGCTGAAGCAACCAGAAATTCGACCTCTGATTCTTGTAAGGCGGCGACGGCTGCAGCACAGCAGTCTAGTACGACCAGGACGTCCCCTTGACACGCTGTGAGAGGTTGGTGGATTAGGTCCCAGAGTATTGTTGGCGCGATGGGAAATCTTGCTCCACTATACAAACTATTAGCAAATTGAAATAGTATCGATGGTTGTTACGAACTGTAGCAGCAACTGGTTCTGGTGTTGCCCAGCTGTGGTGGAGTGGCCTTCATAGACAACTATCAAGAGGCTTGTGCTGTCAATCTTGTTTATAAGCTTGTTCAAGTAGTTCGAGACATCTAGCCGTAACCGTGGGCTCTGGTGTTGGAGCAAATAGCTCTCGGTCTTGAAATTAAAGCTGTTGCGGAATGCTTGTAGCAGGTCACTCTCAATGGTTCCAAGACCAATATCATCATTTGACCAGCGAAAAGAGACCACATGGACTCTCGTGTAAGCCTTGCTGGAAGCGTGGGCTCTCCTTACAGCATCATTAACCTTAGCCACTACCCTTTTAAAATTGGCCTCGTGGGATCTTGCATGACTTGCGCGAGTCGGATGTAATGCTGTTCCACTAACGAGATTTGCCATTTTGGAAAATGTGTGGGGTCTGGGCAGCAAAGTGCAAAAAAAGTATGAGAAGAGGACAAAAAGAAGAGGAGAATTTATATCTATGATGCTGCATGTGCTTACCTAATATAGATAAGCGATTCTGACGCCAGTGACAGTCAGAATTGGCGGAAGATGCCAGCAAAATATTGGTGGGATTAGCCGCGCATGACACTTTAGGGCTGCACTAGCTCACACTAGCTACACTTAGCGCTTTTGGCTCAGACTGATCACTTGATTGGCTAAGCAAATCTTAGCTCTAGCCATCTCCTACAAGAGAGAACTGAAGAGGAGAGGAGCTAGGAGTTTTCCATCTTTCTTTTTCAGATAGTAAAGAGACGGCATTCCCTTCCAATTTCGGCATATTTAGTGTCCTTTGATAGGAGCCTCCCGCGAAAATAGTAGGGAAGAAGATTAACCAAACAATCACATCCTTTTAAGGAGGATACAGGGACCTTGATATTAAGAGCAGATGCGCATACAAGGAATACTCTGTAGGGCGCACCGAAAAGGGTCTCTAAGCACAAAGTGAAGGGGAGTCAACGGCCTGGAGAACAGGGCGGAGTTCTCCGTCGAGAATCTCCACGCCAAGAGGGTGGAAGGCAACTTTAACGGAGATTTGAGGTGATCGACAAGCTGCAAGATTGGAGGTGGCCAACCGCCCGGCCATTGGTAGGACCACCGGCCCTCGCTGCACAACTGTTACATCGCACCCATGCCCGGCTCAAAGTCTACGCTCTCGTGTAACTAGCTATCGACCAAGTGTACGGAGTACTCCGTATGCGCTGTCTCGCCTCGCGCCCTGAAGACTGCGGACGGATACCACGAAAACAATAATCGCGGCAAAAAGGGCTCACCGCTCTGGAATCGGGAAATAGATATTTTTGGAGTGGCATGTGACTGTGGAATCGCCCGCTCCGTTGCGTCAGCGCCAGCAAGCTGGTGGGAGTTTCGATACTCCGGGCGAGCTCTTGTGCGTTGCTGGCAGGATTAACTTTGGCGAAAGGGACCAAGAGAGGGCGTTTTCCCCGAATAGGCACGCTACGCGGCGGCACTGGGGAATTAGGCGTGCCCCGACCCTCGCCTCACACGGGCGCCATGGATGTCGATGCAACGATACCCTGATTTCCATGAGCAGAGGAGCGCCGCGGCAAATTTGGCACCGGTGTCGCAGCAAAAAAATGCCACTACTAGCCAGCGGCAGGATTTCTAGAAGCTTGGTCAATCCATGGGGAAAAATGCCACGGGTGTGCCCACTAATTATTATTAACGAAGCCACGGAATCTTTCTGCCCACCTCGAGACCTCTGCTGGCCCGTCGCACGCCAGATGCCATTTCTTAAACACGGCCTGTGCCGTCCTGGACTTCTTAATTACTACCTCCTGACCCAAGCAGCGTCTTTCGAGCTGTCATCGCATGCCCACTCCACAATAAGATAGCCCCAATTTTGAGCTTCAGCGCCGCCGGCGGAGATTCTACCCTCTTAGGATTTTTAGCTCCTGTTCGTTTTCTCCCGGGAACTGATCCCAGGCACGTGCGGGGTTGAATTACCCACAGGGCTCGAGTCCTTTCGGCTGTGAAAATATAAGGACCTCCTGGGATCCATCAGGGCATTGAACCTGCGCATTTCCACCACGTCGAATTGGCCCGACGCAGCTTGTCAACACAGGTTATCGCAATGAACAACAATTCAGTTCCCGCTGAGGAACCGAAGAGCACAGACAACAAAAACTTGCCTGAGCCAGCTTTGAGTCCCGCTCACCAGCATCATGATGCCCACCATAGCCCGCCGCTAGGCAAGAGTCAGGAGAAGGATGTCTTCGCAAGGGAACTTGAGGACAGTGCGGCGTCGAACGATAAGCAGCCGGCCACAGATGATCTGGAACGTAGCTCGGACAGCAGAAGAGGGATATCCAAAAGACTACGTCCGTACCGTGCGCAAATTCGGATTGCAACCCATGTAGCAATTTGGCTTTTATTTACAGCGTAAGTTGATTTGCATTATCGTGATTTTCGATTCTGTGATTTTGATTTTGGGCCAAAGTTTTCCTCTGGAACGTGTTTTTCCAGACAGCCGACGAGACGTAGATGCGCTGACTTCAATCGCAGCTGGTGGATTGCAGGTCTTATTCTCCGGCGACACGATTTGGGATGGGTGGTCCCATTCATCCTTTATCTCTGCATCACTCTTAGGCTCATCTTTTTCTACGTGCCGATATCTATCATTTCAAAGCCAATGCATTGGGTATGGCAAAACACAGCATGCCGTGTCGCCGCGTTGATCCCGGAGCGATTCCAAACACTGGCGGGTGCTGCTTTGGTGATCATCATTATCTCTGCAGGCGCTTTTGCTTCCCCGGAAACCGCCGATAATACTCGAGCCAACCGCGCCATTAGCTTATTCGGACTACTCGTTCTCATAGGGGTTCTTTGGGCCACATCTAGAGATAGAAAGAAGATTGTTTGGAGAACAGTAATAGTTGGCATGCTGGTCCAATTCGTCATGGCGCTTTTTGTTTTGCGCACTGGAGTTGGCTTTGATATTTTTAGATTCATATCCCAGCGCGCAACAGACCTCCTCGGATTTGCACGACAAGGAACCGCCTTCTTAACAACCAAGGAAGTTTCCATGATCCCTTGGTTCCTGGTTACTGTTATCCCGGCCATTATTTTCTTCGTGTCACTAGTTCAGCTTCTTTATTACATACACTTCATTCAGTGGTTTGTAAAAAAGTTTGCTGTATTCTTTTTCTGGTCAATGCGGGTATCAGGCGCGGAAGCGATTGTTGCAGCAGCATCTCCATTTGTCGGTCAAGGAGAATCAGTCATGCTGATTCGACCATTTATCAACTATCTTACCATGGCGGAAATTCACCAGGTCATGTGTTCCGGTTTCGCGACGATTTCTGGCAGTGTCTTTGTCGCATACGTAGCATTGGGGGTCAATCCTCAAGCTCTAATTTCGTCTTGCGTTATGAGTATACCAGCATCATTGGCGGTTTCTAAGATGCGTTTTCCCGAAACCGAAGAAGCCCTGACTGCCGGCCGCATTGTGGTTCCGGAGGATGAAGAGAACAAGCCGGTAAATGCATTGCATGCATTTGCAGCAGGTGCCTGGCTGGGCTTGAAAATTGGTACCATGATTGCGGCCACGTTACTGTGCATTATATCCCTCCTCGCTCTCGTCAATGGTTTGCTGATGTGGTGGGGTCGGTATCTTAACATAAACAGCCCCCCGCTCACCATCGAGCTCATCATTGGGTACGTTTGCTATCCGATCGCCTTTCTTCTCGGAGTCCCGCGCAATGGCGACCTTCTCAAAGTCTCTCGGCTCATTGGAATAAAGCTTATTGCTGTAAGTGCTGCGTGCCTGCGCCCTCTCTTCTTTCTATTGACATTAAACCCAGAATGAATTTGTCGCGTACCATGCTCTCCAAACGGAACCAGAATATAAAGATCTCTCCCCACGCTCCCGCTTGATTGCTACGTATGCTCTCTGTGGTTTTGCGAACATTGGCTCACTGGGAAATCAGATTGGGGTCTTGGCCCAGCTGGCTCCTGGTCGAATTGCCGATGTAACTCGCGTGGCTGTGAGTGCAATGCTCACAGGAGCGTTGAGTACATTGAGCAGCGCAAGTATAGCCGGGTTACTGGCTACTGATCAGCGATGATCATGAGTGTGTGCATCCGAAAAGATGTAGCATTGTTCTCAGCTTGTGGCGTTGGGTCCTCCTTCACATAGTATCATATCATAGTAGAATATGCTTTCTAGTATTAATGTAGTTCAGACCACTCTTACCTCTGATGCTACAACCTTTCATTCTCCAACTTTCTGACCAGCTTCGCCATGCAGAGCGTTAATCCCTGGGTGGAGTCTGGCGGTTATGCTCTTTGCACGCTCCGGATATATTTCATTCTCTTTTCTTCCAATTCAGCCCGCTCTCAAGGGAAAATGCTCTATGACCTGAATGGGTATCCTGTTAGCTTGTGAGGCGCATCGAAATACAAGACAGACCAAATTTGTTTGTGGTGACTCACATACTTCCTCCATATATGTCTTGGCACCATGATTGCATAAAGTTGACGCCGTCTAAACCGCACTTCCTGAGTTGCATGGATTGGCTACTGAGGAAACATGGGTGAAGGCATTTCATGCCCAGCTTAGCACTAATAATCAGCATTGAAATAGAACTCTTCTTATATTAATAAAAGCAATAAGCGCTCAAGCTCCTATATTTTCGCTATTCAGAAAGAATACGGAGTAGGTGGCTTTCAATTCAGAGCGCGATACAATAATTTTGGGGAAAAGGGCAATGCCGTACTAGAAACAAAACGCAAAAGAAGCTCTAAATTTATATGCAAGCAACCAGTCCAATGCAAGATATATGTTCCAAAGGAGTAGGAACTACACGCCCAATCGTCCAGGAGAACTCCATCATAGACAATAAGAGAATCGTTAGACAGTGGATCGTAGGGAAAGGCTCGACGAAATCACAGATGCTGTGCTCTCATTCAAGTTCCTCAATATCACGATGTCGAGCCAGGACGTGCCGCTTGAACTCCTCCGGATTGGTGTCCCACAGTTCGGCGGCCTGCCCATTCAGTGGGCTGGCACTGTAGTAGAGTTAGCAAAAAAAGAACATGAATACTGCCAAAACTTAACAGAATAAAGCATACTTATTAGGCTCCCCTAGCAAGCTTTGCAAGCTTAGGAGAACAGATTGCACATTATACACGGCACTCCATTTTTCTTTCAGGATATCAAGACAGATTCGGCCGGAGAAATCAACATTCGGGTGGTATATTGGTGTTTTGAACAAAACAGCCGGAGGTGCATATGGGTAGTTCGTAGGAAAGGAAAACGAAAGTTTAAGGACCAAATTCTCATAGGGAGTATCGTCTGGGCCATTGATAGTAGCAGTCCAAGAAAGCAGGTTTCCATCCGTATCAGGGAAAGCAGAGATTCCCGGAGAAGGCGACATCATAAGCTGCATCAGTTCCGTTTGTAGCCTAAGAGGATCAGTGTTGATTGATTAGCTACTGATGATAAATAGGTAATGGCAATAGGAAACTCGTACAGACCTTTTTGTGACAGACTGAGCATCGACTTTGACGGCTGCAGCTGTCAACTTGGAGGGCTCTTGAGCCGATACTGTATCTGGAGCCAAATTCTGATCGTTGAGGTTGTAATCCATTATGACTGTTATGCGGTAGAGGGATGTAAGCTGCAAACGCAAGAGGCTGAGGAGAATGCAGGCAATACAAGCTAGAACACCGCTAAGCAGCAAATTTTAGCAGTGCCACTTGGATCGAGTAACTTCAACGGAAGAGGAGCTTCCTAAGACAACCTAAAAGATGAAAGTACGCTGTATTCAAATGCGAGGACAAAGAACCGAAAGACAGGCTGCTTGAAAATGGTGTGCTGGGGATGTTTGTTTACGGGGCAACCAGGTGACGGCCTAGTTAGTTTTATTAGCGTTATCGATAAGCCCCTCGCAGGTCTCTTATCCTTGCCAGGGCCAGCCATTTAAGGGCGAACACGGCAATATAAAACACACGCGTCGCGGTCAACCTTGAGCGAAGTTGATATGTCGAATCTCTAACAGAAGGGCCTACAAACTTCCCAAAGCTACCGAGTACCCAATCCCTCTCACTCCAGCGTGCTCCGTGTGATGGATGAGCGATGACTGCTGAGCGAGGAAGTCAAACCCTCGGCTTCTCTGCTGCTTCCCGCCATGCAGCACTCACAGCTCGCTCCTCTGCCAGAAGGTCTCCCCTTTCGGATTGTTTCGAAAACGATTGGACAGGGTGCTTATGCCTGGTGAGTTCCTCCATGGATAGTGCCCGCGATGGCGGACTGACAACGCTCGACCTTGTAGCATAAAAAAAGCATGCCCTCTTCAGGATGACGCCCCGGTGTTTGCTGTTAAATTTATTCACAAAGATTATGCTGCACGTCATGGCCGCATCACAAGCAAGCAGCTTCATATGGAGGTTTCTCTCCACAAACACATTGGGGTTCACAACAACATTATCGCCTTCTACAATACCGATGAGGATAACGCCTGGAGATGGATAGCAATGGAGCTAGCGGAAGGAGGCGATCTATTTGATAAAATCGAGGCCGATGAAGGGGTCGGGGAAGATATCGCCCATGTGTATTTTACGCAACTCATCAATGCTGTTGGCTTTATGCACTCAAAAGGGGTGGGACATCGGGACATCAAGCCCGAAAACATCCTACTTTCTGCTGAAGGCAATCTTAAAATAGCCGATTTTGGTTTGGCTACCTTATTTGAATATAACGGAAAGCAGAAGCTTAGTGCTACGCTCTGTGGGAGCCCACCATACATTGCCCCGGAGGTCATTAAATGCAGTAATCGCGGGCAGTCTCGAGGAGTAGGATACCGGGCTGACCTTGCGGACGTTTGGTCTTGCGGAGTTGTTCTGTTTGTTTTGCTTGTCGGCAATACCCCTTGGGATAGTCCTACAGACGAAAGCTACGAGTATTGTGACTATGTCAAAACAAATGCGAAGCCAGATGATGAGTTATGGCATCGCCTTCCCGCAGCCGCCTTATCGTTGCTGCGTGGTATAATGCGAATAGATATCTCTACCAGGTTCTCGTTGCAGGACGTTCGACGACATCCGTGGTTTACTAGGCAAAATAAGTATCTTTCGCCTGAGGGAAAGCTCACAAACCCAGTCAACATGGCCACTACAATGTTTGAGTCTTTGCACATAAATTTTAATCAAAATCCTCTTACTTTATCCCAGTCCCAACCTTCACCAGATCAGGATACTGTTATGGTGGATGAATCGCCCGAGGATCTAAAGCCGAAATTTTCATCCACCCAGCCTGAAACCCTAATAGATGACATGGCTATTGATTGGGATGGTCCACCTCGTCTGACAACGAGTCACCACTCCGCATCACAGCCAAAGAATATGTTAGGTACTCCCGCCATCCTCACCGAGTATCTCATGGAAGATCCATCGATGTCGCAGTTCTCTTTGACCCCATCGGTTCCTCTCAGCCGGACACAAAATGCTGGGAAATTTCAAGATATCATTCCATCTTCTTGTCTCACTCGCTTCTTCTCCAACTGGCCTGTTGGCCTACTCGTTCCACGTATCTGCGAAGCACTTCAGCTTCTTCACGTTCTTGCCTCGCCTAAAACATCTGACACATCGGTTCTCATTCGAGTTCGGACCAATGACGATAGGAAATGCCCGCTTCATGGAAATATTATCGTTGAGATGATCGCCGACGGAGTTGCCGAGATCGAGTTCGTTAAGGTTAAGGGAGACCCTCTTGAATGGAGAAGATTTTTTAAAAAGATAACGATATTGTGTAAAGATGCGGTTTTAAGACCTGATAACTAGCCCTTGTACAGCGCATATTTTGTGATTTGGAATGTATATACAGTACATGATTAGCGTATGTATCTCCTGTGTAGATACTTGGGACGGTATCGACGTTCTGATGACGGGGTATTTTGCAACTAGCCGACCTAGTTTGCTGAACATTAATAATTCAATCATCATTTTTAGTAGTGTATATTAATTATCTCTTACTAGAAACCTCTAGAAAACTCGATCGGTGGTGATATGTAATACGGAGTAGTTAGGTGTTACTCCGTATATTAAGCTATGTAGGTATGTATGTAGTAACTAGTACGGAGTACTCCGTAAACTCTAGTTATGCCTTTCTTTATCCCCGATCATATCTCCGGCGCCCAACCTCCATATCCTGAACTACCTGTTCTTCACTTTCACCATCAACTCGGAACGGAATTCAATGGTCACTGCAGCATCTTGAGCTCAATATTTCCTGGGTACCACCGGGGTATCCTGAGGCCTGGTCCGCCCAGCCAAGTGCTTTTGAGGAGAGGCTAGGAACACCGGGCTTTCTGGGAGCAACTTATCAAAATACCTTACACGTTTCTTTCACCCGCCCACCTATAGCATATTTACTTTCTACAGGTAACTATTATGGCAGACACGGCTTTTAGCCTTGAACCAGAATTTGGCTGTGGTATTCCTTCACTTTCCCTCTCTTACAGGATGGCTAAATGCTGACCAGGGTAGAACATCTCAGAGAAATTCTCAAAAGCGACTCCAAAACTGCTGGCCAGTTTTATGAATCCTTACTCCTGGTGCGGCAATCACAGTCAGAGCAGCCCCAGGTTTTTTGGGAATCACTGTCCTCCCAATCAATTCTTGCCCGAAAACTATCCTTAAAGCCGTTATACCAATGTCTTCACTGTCCTATCGCTCAGCCACGCCACGGACGGACAGTTCATTATGAAAAGAATGGACATGTGTTCTGTGAGGATACCTACATTTTGTCTGGATATTTACGCCTTACTGACACTTAATCAAAAGTTGCCGATTGCCGAAGTGGATCAATATGGTGCCAGGGTTGCGGGGATTTCATCTACGATAGTGAAGTAGATGTTGTATTAAATGGTGCATCTAAGACGATTGAACGTAAGGAGGCAGGGGTTGCGTGATGTTCTACATAAATTTCACTAATATATTGTTCGGTCAGGTTCAAGGAAGCGATCATTCGTTGAGGCATTGACTTACGGTGCAGATTCCGAGGAAGCATCTTATTTAATTTCTAATAGCAATAAGCGACTTTGCGGAAAAGAGGGCGTTAGAGGTCTGTTCAACCTTGGTCAAACATGCTATATGAATGTAATACTGCAGACTCTATTCCATGAGCCTATGCTCACGACTTATTTCCTTGGGCATGGGCATCGCACCTACGATTGTTCGGAGCCGAATTGTTTTAGCTGCCATGTGGCTGAAGCATTTGCGGAGTTCAACAATGATGAGAAGGAAGAAGGATTTGGCGCCCTCAATCTCCTACTGAGCTCCTGGCAGTCATCTCCTGTAAGCTTAGAGAATAAATCGGATTGTGTTATTAGCTGACGGACTCATCTGGTACAGGAGCTAGCCGGCTACCAGCAACAAGATGCTCATGAATTCTACCAGTTTCTGGTCAACAAATTGCACGCTTCGGCAGATGACCACGAAGATGGTTATGACAAAAGATGCAGATGTTTCTTTCATAAAGCCTTTTTTGGCAAACTGCAAAGCAGTGTTACCTGTCACAAGTGCGGCAATACAAACCGTACAGAAGATCCAATATTGGATTTGAGCCTAGCTTTTCAAGTCCAACGGAAGAAAAAAGCGCTGCATTGGATACCAGGTGACATGGATTCAACGCCTACGCTCACTGGTTGTTTGGAAAGCTATACGGCCCCTGAGGAACTTCCTGCCAGTGACTATAGTTGCAGCTGGTGTGGAACACCCCAGGGAGCCACAAAACAGCTTAGACTTCGTACACTTCCTTTAATAATGTGTATGCAGCTGAAAGTTTGTCGCCCATTTGATTGTTTACCATTTAACAAAGCTAATTGGGCCTGCTGTATAGAGATTTGAACGACATCGATCCGTCTCAGAAAAAGTGGATGCCAAAGTTGCTTTTCCTCTGTGTATCAACATGGCACCCTATACCACTCGTTCATCCTCCAAGAGCACTTCCAAATATAACTACGATTTGCTAAGTGTGGTGGTCCATATTGGTGATATTGACTCTGGACACTACCTAACCTATTGTCGGCAGGGAGAACAGGTAAATTAAGGACCCACTTTGCCCTGTGCTAATGGAATGCTAATCAGAATGGCACAGTGGTTCAAGTTCAATGACGACAAAGTAACGTTAGCAACGGAGTCGGAGGTATTAGACGCCGATGCCTATCTCCTCTTCTATACTCTGCGCTCCCTCTCAAGAAAAGCAAAGAATTAGTCGGTGACGCTTTTCTTATTGGTGATATGCGGATTGCGGCGTTAGAAGTCCAGGGGATATTTTTTTCGAATCTGATTTGACATAACACTTCGTTTACAGGGAGGAGGGGTGATTTCTGGTCAATATCGGGTCCGCTCTTTGATTGGGCTGTTCTGATCGTATCGGCCGGAGATTTACACCTCCCTGAAGGGCATTGGGAAGATGACACAGGCGTATGCGATAGCGATGGGCGGCCTGGGCTGACGTTTTTGTTCTATAACCAGTAGGCGGCAGTCAACAATGCAAAGTATCGGTATTACTTGAACCAAACCTTTGAAATGGTAAGTAAGATCCAAGCACTTCAGCATAAATGTCCAAGTTGTTATCGGTATTTCAATGCACACGGACAAGGCCAATTTATCGAATTCCCCGACCTCGAGGCCGCGCTAAACCGCTTGCGCGTTGTCGTCCTGTAGTCCCTCTGGCAGTATGTCGACCCCTTGCGGTTCCTCGACTTGATTCGGTTGATCTAGTCCTTAGTAAGCCCGATGATGCAAATTTCGACGATCTCTTCGACGAGGTGGGCGGATGGTCGATAAAGGATGTGTCCGTCGTCCTAAGGGTCATTAGACTTCGCAGAGTTGAAACGATGAAAACGTGTCTTCTTACATAAATGTTGTTTCCGTCTCAACGTCGGGCTGACATGGCTCGGGGGCAAGAGTAGCAGATTCAGCTATGATGAGGTTAGCTACGAAACTGTCTGAAGTCGCCCAGACAAACTCCAACCTGCTTCATTGGCTCGACGGAAAGAATCTTGAACCGGAGCCTAGGATGCCTGTGAGCACAATCAATAGCGTCTGAACTGCGTAGAACAGACCTCCGGAAAATCAACACAGAACGCGTTCATATTCAAGCCATATAGGAAACTGGCAAAGCTTTCGCTAAAGCGGGACAAGCTCTCATGCAGCAGCTGCAGATGCATAAAATTCGCCTCGAGATCAGCCATGGAGTCTGATAGCTCTGCGAACTGCGGTTCTAAGGTATTGACTGCGGGCTGCAGTGCATGGCCCCGAGCGGAACCACCTCCGAACGTCTGCTCACGCAGAGAGGACCTGGAGCTGGGTCGCAGAGGCGTTGTCGGGCGTGAAGAAGGCTGTGGCCGGGACTGACGGTGGCTTGGATCCATTGTTGCTCGCTGCGATAAAAAAAGGAGACTGCGCTGTTGCCCCCGTCGCCTCCGCGTTGTCTCTGGAACCTCGCGAGCCTAAAACAGCGTTTTCTCGGGCTATTTTTGTCATCACGTGCCGGCCGCGATTCTCACAAGCTGGCGATCGCGGCCGATTTCAACGGTTTGGTTGACGGTTCCAGGGACAAGAAAGTATCCCCTACTCCTTCAGGGTTTTCCTGGCCTCCCCCGGATTTTCGCCCTCCTCGCCGTCCGCTACGGCAGTGCTCCTATTTCCCCTCTTTTCATCTACTCTCGACTCCCTGCAACCCCACATTTTCGTCTCGGTTCCAGCAAATGTCAAGCAAGGAGTCCGTCGGCAGCACATTTGTCCCTCGCTAGTTTTTCCCTCGTGAATGAGTGAATGAGTGCCCGATTCCTTCGCCGCGTGCTGCCAACCGTCCGGGATCAGGCCCCCAACTCAGCATTCGTGTCTGCTGAACGTCGTGTGCATATCCTGTTTCGGCCCCGGGATCCACCGGATTCAAGGGCGACTCTTTGCACTAAGGCCCTTCACCGCAATATAGAAACCCGCCTCGCCCGCTCTTACGCCGTTCCCATCGCGAGAGCATCGTCCTTCTGGTCTATCTCGATTTCCCTCGTTCTTTTATGCGGTGGCCTAGCTTTGAGTAGCTCAGCTGCGAAATTTTGGCTCTTTGAAACCTCTGAAGTAATCAAGCCACCCGAAGACCTCGTCAAACACCGCCTAAGACACCCCGAATCATTAGACACTATGCCAGAAACAACCCAAGCCGGCCATATTGGTAATCTCACAGCGGAGCAGACAACGAAGCTGCAAGAGTTTTGGATTGCGCTGTTTAGGTTGATCGGTGAGGTGGATTTACCTGAAGAGAAAGAGTCAAATGCAGAACGCAAATCAGATGAAGTTGTGACCTCTGACTCGACGAAACCCAAACGTAAACTTGGATTGTTTAATAAAAAGGATGCCGCCTCTTCTGATGCAACTGAAACGAAAACACCTGATGTTGAAGATAAATTCGGTCAAACCAAGGACTTTCACGAAGCACTAGCGACTTATAGCCCAGAAGAGCTGAGACTTGCATTTTGGAATATGTTAAAGAAAGATCACCCGGATGTTCTTCTACTGCGATTCCTCCGCGCGAGAAAATGGGATGTGAATCGAGCTCTAATCATGTTTATATCTGCTCTCCACTGGAGAGCTCAGACCATTAATCTTGAGGAAAAGATCATGCAACCCGGCGACATTGGGGCCCTCGAGGATATAAAGAGCACCGATCCAACAATCAAGAAAGAATCCGAGGACTTCTTGTCTTTACTTCGACTAGGCGAGAGTTTTATTCATGGAGCTGACATTGCTGGCCGACCGGTGTGCTACATTCGAGTGAAATTACATAGAATTGGAGCGTTTTGTGAAGCGGCTTTGGAAAAGTACACGGTGTACCTCATTGAAACTTCAAGGTTACTTTTGGAATCGCCTACGGAGACTGCAGTAAGCTTTCACTAGCCTTTGCGCCATATATCGAATATGCTAACTGATTCAAGGCGCTGGTTTTCGATTTGACTGACTTTTCGCTTGTAAACATGGTATGCGAACCGAATTGGTTACTCTGCCTCTTATTTACACGTTCTAACGCCTAAGGATAGGACTATGCGCCGATCAAATTCATGATCAAATGCTTTGAAGCGAACTACCCTGAAAGTCTAGGGATAATTCTCGTACACAAAGCCCCGTGGCTATTTTCTGGTATGGCAGTATTCTTCTGTGGTGCTTTATTAAATTAATAATTATTACAGGTATCTGGGCTGTTATCAAGGGCTGGTTAGACCCCGTGGTTGCCGCTAAAGTCCATTTTACAAAAACTGCCGAAGATCTTGAAGCGTATATTCCTCGGGACCAGCTCATCAAAGAAATAGGCGGTGACAACCAATATGAATACAAATATATAGAGCCGAAAGAAGGTGAAAATTCTAAACTCGGAAACATGGAAGAGATGGATAAGTTGAACGCAAAGCGACTAGAATACACATCTGAGTTTCAACTCGCGACGAAATTGTGGGTTGCTGCACATAGTGCGTCTGACACCGCTAAGGCTGCCCAACTGATGAAAAGGAGAAACGAGCTCGCTGGGCGTTTGTACGATAACTATTGGCAACTTGATCCCTATATGCGTGCTCGATCACTTTACGACCGCCTCGGCCTTATTCCGTCATCACATGCCAGAAAGAATATCCCGTCAAGAACTACGAGTATCCGAACAACACTTTCCGAAAAATGTAGCATGGAAGTGGCTACAAGGCCGATATTGGTTGATGGTGACATCAACTAATTCTGAAACATACCCTGTTTCTTTTCATCTGCTTTCAGCTTTTTCTTTTTCTTCTTTTTTTTTTTGACATGGGAGTTTACCTCGGTTCCCTACAGTAGAATTTGACTTTGTCTTGTATACATCGTGACACCGATTCTCTTGACCGCTTGGTTGCTTAAGTTCTGATGGATTCACGAATGAAGGTGTTTTCTCTAAGTTAACAATACATAGAAGAGCCCAGCATTTACGTGGTCTTCTTGCCCCCTTTTGCTCTAGGACAATGGTATGATGGAGTATTTTCACCCTCTGGAATTCTTCCTTAACTAGATGGAGTGATAGCATATATCCACGATGGCTTCCTTATCTCACCCCGCCTCTCAATTTTGAGGGTTATTGTTTCAATTGAACATTATATACGGAGTACATATATAAATCCTTCAACCATGTTTTGAGGTTGCTTTTCTCCTCACATTGCTATATACATACAAACGCTACTACAGTCATAGGGTTTGTGATGTCTCAAATAAATAGTTATGTTGATAGAGAATAAGGAAGGTGCTATTCACCAGCCAGAACTACATTTTTGACTTCAGGTCCTCACAAAGTTGTTTGAGGGAGTCCATATCGTCACTTTTGGCGGGCCATCCGATTGTCAACCCCTCGGTCTCATTGGGCTTCGGGATCTACCTTTCATTAGTCCAATTTCACCATCTTTATAGGAAGCGCAGCGATTGGACTAGCCACCTGACTTACCATGTGAAAATGAACCTGTTAACCAAATTTAGCAATGAATCTAAGGCGGGCAGGTACTTATAAGGATCGGCTTACATGGTCGACAACTTGGTGGGCAATCCTGCCATTGTTCTGAAGAATGTTGAAATCACTCGCGTCAAGAGCGACAGCAATCTTCTTGGCTACTGGCTACAGAGGGAAGGAAGAATGATAATTTAGTTTGGTTAGCGTTGTATGGGGTAAATGAAGTTTTAAAGCGGGTAAGGTCTTAAGCTTACCAGAAGTTCGGTGAGGTCTTGATCAGGGATATCAGTGAGCTTAGCACCATGAAATTTGGGAATGACGAGCTAGCGAAAAGGAGACACGTCAGTATACTGTGATTTTGAGTGGAATCAACGGGCTAGGAGGGTGATGCTAGGTGTATTGACATGGCAGCCGGGGCAATGGCTGAATTAAACTCTGCTTGCAAGCGGTGGGGATACTGACCGCATGTCCTCTGCTCAACGGCTGGATATCAAGAAATGCCAGCACTTTTTCGCTTTCGAAGAGCTTCATGCAAGGAATTTCTCCTAAAAAACCATCAGCACCGGGCTCGTCTAACTAATACAGCAACCTCCGAGCGACAGCTGCTCACTGTAGCGGGGTCAGGATGATGTCAATGGGGACCTTGGGCACGGATGCATATTCAGTTTGAGGTGCTTACCCTTGATAATTCTGCAAAAGATACACGCGGCGGCAGACATAACTAATGAGCGCTACTGTTGTGCTTGCACAAGGGACTAATGGGGTTTTGTATGACGGCGGTGTCAGTACAGCGACGTGGGTCGAGGGGCTGAGAAGGTGGGATGGTGGGTAGTTACTGTACTGGGAAAAAGAACGCGCCGAGCGTCGGAGGGATCGAACTCGCGGCGTCGGGGTTGCAGGAGGCAGCTTGTAGGTCAATTCGGCGCCAAATAATTAGGAGTGGGACAAGCTAGCTCAGAATCCATTTCTTGCCTTTTACCAGAGATGGCCGTGGCTTTGCCCATAATACTCCGCTCTGCAATCTTTGAACACCACTATCGACAATAGTCGGTCGATAATTTTATGCTTTTTGCATTTTTTTGCATGCAGTTCTCGTATTATTGCCCCACGGCCAGCCGCCAGCTCGGTTTCATCGTGTGCAGGGGCCAGGAACGTTTCGACAAGAGCATGATGTTGGTCGTGGACACAGAGACTTTGTCGTGTGCATAAGCCCTGCCCCTTCGCGCCCCCCCGCAGCTTCGGCAACGGCTGCCCTATCGCCGAATCAAGAGCCGTCTGCCTCGCGCTGACAGCCGAATCGGCATCAGCACTGGTTCTGCCCCGCAGTATAGTATCTGGTTACGATGGCTTTGATGTTTCGTGATTTTGTGCTTCTGATACTTTCTGTATACGTGCAACTGTACATAAAGCCCTCTAGATTATAAAACGAGTCGCATTTACGAGGTTTTCTTTCTGTACTCTATACGAAATCAAAGAACTATGCTTACTACAGATCTGTCAGACGCGGATGTTTCTGCTTTACGAGCCAACAGGGAGAGACTACAAGAATATATCCACCACAGCTGCCAATGGGGAGCCGGAGTAAGATGGGGAGAGTAAGTGATATTTCTTATTGAAACGCTCATGAAGCGCCTCGACAAGGCTAATTCATCTTGTTTAGAAACCCAACCGACACTGGGATGGCTCGATTAGCCCTATCCCAGGAGGACAAACAGGTCCGGGACTGGTTCAAGCAAACCACAGAAGGCCTTGGCTGCACAGTTACCGTCGATGCAATGGGAAACATGTTTGCAGTTCGTCCAGGTCGCAGAAAAGATGTTCCACCCACATTTGTGGGGAGCCATCTTGATACCCAGCCAACTGGGGGCAGATATGACGGAATATTGGGCGTATGCGCTGGCATTGAGATGCTAAAGACACTTGAAGAGAAAGGCATTGAAACTGAAGGTGGTGTAGGGGTTGTAAACTGGACCAAGTCAGTATTTCCTGGAGCATCCTTCCCGCTGTTCGTCGGCGTACTAACCAACCTGACAGCGAGGAGGGAGCTCGTTTTCCAAAGAGTATGGTATCCTCAGGGGTCTGGGCGGAGTGCATCCCACTCGCAACAGCGCATAGCCTTCTCGAAGTCCCGACCGTGGCCTCTCTTCCATCAGCGACGTCCTCCCCGGAGTCCATGAAATCGGCACTAGAGAAAATCAATTATCTGGGTGATATTCCTTGCTCGTTCAACGCCACGCCCATGGCTGCCCATTTCGAGCTTCATATTGAGCAGGGACCGCATTTGATTACATCCAGTCAACGTGTTGGCGTAGTGACAGCAGTCCAGGCTTATCGTTGGTATCGTATCAATGTAACGGGCCGTGACTGCCACACTGGAACTACCTCCTTCGAACATCGTGCAGACGCGCTGTATGCTTCTGCCAAAATGATGGTACGAGCGCGAGAGGTGGCTCAAAAGCTCGGCTGCCTTGCAAGCGTTGGTATTGTCGAAATTAAGCCTGGGAGCGTTAATACCGTTCCCGGATACGTCAGCTTTAGTCTTGACATTCGTGGACCAGAGTCTGAGAATGTAGATATACTGGATAAAGAGTTACGGGAAGAATTCGACGCGATTGCTGCGGAGGAGGGTAAAAACATTGGAAAACCATGCCGTGTGGAATGGCAATTGGACTTTGATAGCCCTGCGATCAGATTCCACCCCGATTGTATCGACTGTGTAACGCAATCCACGAAGGCTATTGTAGCTGGCTCTGCACATCCAGAATCCTTATATCGCTCAATTCGCAGCGGTGCTGGGCACGACAGTGTCTTTACTTCAAAGAGAGTGCCAACAAGCATGGTTTTTGTGCCATGCAAGGACGGAGTAAGTCATCATCCGGAGGAATTTTCTTCTGCCGACGCATGCGTGGATGGCGCCTCTGTCATTCTTCAAGCTGTTATAAGGTATGACCGGAGGCGGTTTGGTAAATAATCTCAAATTAATGACGCAAAACTACATATAAAATTAACAGGATAAACAAAGTAGTGAATGGCATCTCATCGATGTTTCAATTAGCATTTTGAATCTAATGTCATACTGCCAACATCATATAAAGGTGACATGACAACATTAAAGAGTTTCCTCAATCATCCATCGATCAATACTCCAGCATTGCCTGTTTCAGGTACATGAGGTACAGCTCTTGCCCATGAATGCTTGCTCAAAATGAACTAAGTAAGGCTAAACAGCTCCTATATCACCCACAAGATGACAACAGAACCACATCATTTAAGATGGTGGGGGAGCACCTCGACCACGGCCGAATCCACGGAAAGAAGGAGCAAAGTCGCCAGGGGCACCGCTCTCCTTGCCCTCACCCTGCTCACGGCGTCTGTAGCCACCATCGCCACGAGGAGGACGGTCACCGCGATCACCACGATCACCACGGCCACCGGGACGTCTCTCGCGCTCACCTTCACCACCCATCATTCCACGGGGAGGAGCGTGGGAGCGTTGCTGCTTGATGTGCGTAGCGGGCACGATCTCAGCCGGGAGGTGGAGCCATTCACGGAGATATTCCAGACCCTCGGGGGTGAGGGTGTAGTAGTAGTACTGCCACGAGAAGCGGGTCTTGACGTAGCCACGGGAGGTGAGGGACTGGCAAGCCTTGATGACCTTTGTAGCGGGATGGTTAGCGCCAAGTGAAGTTGAGAAATGAGAGACCGGAAGGATACGTACGTAGAGGTTTTTGGTGTCAATGTCTCCGTGCTTGGGAAGGTTGTAATCCTTCTTGGCCACGAGTACACCCTCTAGGATAACCATCAGTTTTGCTCTCCAAGAGAAATTCGAGTTCAAAACATACCGCGGAAGAGGTACTCGTGTATCTTCTTGCGGTCGGCTTTTGGGATAAGCCTGTAATCTTAGAGTTAGCCATCTTTCAATGGAATAATAACAGGTGCGCGGTACATACATTGTCGCGAGTTCCTGGCGTACTTCGGGGAATCGCTTTGACAACGCAGTACTGGGGTATTTGCGATATTGATAAACGTCGTGAACTTGAAGCTCAACTTTGATAATCCTAATCAAGTGTGTTAGGGTTCGCTAGCCCTGTGCCCTACCTGCCGTATTGGTAGCTTCACGTAATAGCATGGTATTATCGGTTTTCGATGACTCATCGGTTCATGCATCCAGAACGCTTTTCCAGAAGCACCGCGGTGTATCGCAAACAATCCTAGGATCAGCTTCGCAGCCAGCCCAATTTATCTCTTCTATCCATACCTGCACTTGTTTTAGTGGTTTTTGTTTTAATTTAAAGGTTTAGAGTCTAAGCAACGGCACCTGAGTGTAACTTGATATCCCACCGAGACGCCTCGGAACCGCCGCCATGGCTCCCTCAACGATTAACATCCTTCTCTCCTCATTCCCGGGCCTCTTTTTACCTTCAACTCTATCCATTTCTCTCCCTGCTACCTCAACTGTATCTGAATTAACCGATAGACTCAACTCGCTTCTACCCAATTCATTACCATTGCAATCTCCTTCGCTCATTTTAACTACAGCTGGAAATACGGAACTTATACCTCACTCCTCCAAAAAGCTTGTTGACTTTCTATCTGGCTCTATACCCGATTGCTCTACCTTTCTCTCTCTTCGACTCAGTGCGCGTACTTATGGCGGTAAAGGAGGCTTTGGCTCCCAGCTCCGTGCTGCAGGCGGCCGTATGTCCAGCCGTCGAAAGGGTACCCAAGGAGAAAACAATGGGTCGAACCGCAATTTAGATGGGCGTCGCCTACGAACAGTGAAAGAGGCGAAAGCTTTAGCTGAATATCTTGCTCTAAAACCTGAAATGGATAAGAAAGAAAAAGAATCTCGCAGGAAGAGGTGGGAAATGGTTGTTGAACTCTCCGAAAAGAGAGAGGCTGAGATAAAAAATGGCGGCGGGAAAAGTAAAGTCGATGGCGAATGGATGGAAAATAAAGAAGAAGCTGGGGAAAAAGCTCGTGAGGCCGTAATTCGTGCCATGAAAGAAGGGATCTGGAAGGACAACCTCGCCGGTGGATCTGTGGGTGGCTCAAGTACGAGTCCGGGTCAAAGTAGTGGAAGTGCAGCACCGAGCGATGACAGTGAAATGGATGATATCGATTCTCGTGATCGTGGCTCTAAGGAGCTTGCTCCAGCACGACGATTTGCCGGCTTTGATGACGATGATGATGAATTTCTCAGCGATGAAGATGAGGAGCTACAAAATGATACTGTCAGTGTTGATGCTACCGCCCAAGTGAAAGGGAAAGCAAAGGCATGATTCAAAGTGGCCCTAGCTTTGTTGGGAGTTTGGTGTTTTCGGTCTCCGCAGTATGAAGTTTAGCATGCCTTTGTATAGTTAGTTAATACATAAATCTATATCTTTATGATATCACTTTTTAAATAGTATTCCGCATCGAGTACGGAGTACTCTGTACTCTGTATATCAAGGATTATAAGTTCGTCGCGCCACCCCGAGTCCCCCGAGTCCCCAACCACTGAAAGTGGTATTGGGTTTCTATGTTCGTATATGGCCTGTATGGCATGCCGTTTGATAAGCTCATCAGCCACTCCAGCTAGCATGATAGACCTACTGAGCAGCGTGTATTTTTCACAGGGCGAATCCGAAGAAGCAACTTCACCGTGTCAAGAACAAGAGCAAAACCGAAATGATTGCTGCAAACCCAAGAACATTGGCTTCTAGAGTTCCACGATATTTTAACCCACACTCTGTCCTGCGAAATTATGCTCTCTCCCAACTCCCACGATGGTTTCTACAGTCATCCAAGCTTCTGGTTAAACTTGGGAAACCAAAGACTTTCCAGACAAGCACACCGTTCTCGAGCACGCCACTGGACAACAATTTGACTTCTGCACAGCCTGACCTGAGCTTGCTCCCTATTTCCTGCCCTGGCTGCGGGGCATTTACCCAGTGGGTGGACAAAGAGCTGGCTGGTTACTACACTGCCTCTCGTAAGGCTGTCAAGGTATTCATACGTGCAGCTTCGCACAACCAGAGCGGCATTGATTTGACCAATGAGTCTAATGAAGAAGTTGATGCGGAGTCAGCGGCGAGTTCTGTGGACGATCCAAAACCCCCAAAGCAAGGCGACAGTAGGCACATCCCATCCTCTTTGTCTTATTTTAACTAAAAATCAGTTTTTGTTTTCCAGATTCTACAGTAGTTGCGCCCCAATTTCCTCTCTGCGACAGATGTCATAATCTTATGAACCATAGAGAAGCTCAGCCTATCCCTTACCCCCCCCTTTCATACATACGAGCAATCATGGAAGAATCGCCTTGGAAATTTAACCGCGTCTACCACGTTCTTGACGCTTCCGACTTCCCTATGTCCTTAGTACGAAACATCTACCGTGACCTTCCTATTCAACCTCCACGATCACAGAACCGTCGATCGAGAACTATTCACTACAGATCTGGGAGACAACAGGCGGAGCTTCATTTTATAATCACTCGCTCCGACCTACTGGGTGCCTTGAAGGAGCACGTTGATTCTCTTATGACCTATGTGACCCAAGTTCTTCGCGATGCACTTGGGTCAACTGGCAGCAGAATTCGATTAGGAAACGTTCATATGGTCAGTGCTCACAGAGGTTGGTGGACAAAGGGAGTCAAGAAACAGATTTGGGACGATGGTGGAGGAGTTTGGATGGTTGGTAAAACAAATGTGGGCAAAAGCAATTTGATCTCGGCCATATTTCCTAAATCTCCAAATTCCGCTCAGATATTACGAGCAAGCGAAGAGGCTAAAGATCAGCCGAGTTCTAGTGTCAGCGATGGATTACTACCGCCAGTTCAAGAGCAATATGATTATCCGATTCTACCCATCGTTTCTGCTTGTCCGGGGACAACTGTGTCCCCTATTCGGATTCCTTTTGGTCAAAAGAAAGGAGAGGTTATAGATTTACCTGGACTTTATCGTGGTGGACTGGCGGAACACGTTCAGGAGAAGCACAAGCTCGAGTTAGTCATGACAAAGCGACTAAAACCTGAGCGGTATACGATTAAGCCAGGCCAGTCGTTGATTTTAGGGGGACTTGTTAGAATCACCCCTGTTGACCCTCAAGATGTGGTCCTAGCAGCCCCGTTTGTGCCTCTGGAAGCGCATATAACCTCAACGTCAAAAGCAGTCGAAATGCTGGCGGGGGAGCGCCCTACTCCACATGCGAAAATAATGGAGGAGGGTGTGGAGAAATCAATAGCATCAGCAGGAATATACGAACTCCAGTATGATGTAACCAAGGTATATGGGAAACGACTGAGAGACACCACCTTCCAGCCAGCGAATGAACATCTCCGTCTTTTCAAAGTTATGTCGACAGATATCTTGATTGAAGGATGCGGATGGGTTGAGCTCACGTCGCAGATCCGAACAAAAAACGAAAACCAAGTCGACGTCCCGAAAGTCGAAATTTTCAGTCCAAATGGAGGGTGCATAGGCAGTAGGCGGCCAATGACTGCATATTCACATCTTCAACAAAAGAGGAGGAAGGACTTGAAGAAAGCTGGGCGCTGGATACGACGGCGGAAACGCCGCACCCAAAATCGGCATTCCGAGATTCCAGCATGATACTTGAGCAAAGAGTGTTGATATTTACCAAATATGTATATATATACAAAACAAAATTATCCTCTGCATTTGGCGGAGTTTTGGGTGTTTGGGCATCAAGGAAGGCTTTGAAGAAATTGGAATTCTCTTCCGGTTTTATATTTTACAGGCGGTTTAATTCAAGAAATTCTATTGAAAAATTCCATTATACATCACCCCCACAAACGGCGTTCACGTCATTGAATAATATCAAAATTTGATATTTTGGGGACTGTCCGGCGGTATCGGACTTACACAGAATCCTCGCTGATATTCTCAAAATGGAAGCTGGGCTGGCCTGGAATTGCGCTCTCAGCAACAGGCGGTAGGTTGTCCCTGTGCTCTCCATCAAGAGTATTGCCGACTTTTCCGCCTTCTTCAACCGAGATAACTTCAACCACCTTACAGCCAGTCACCTTCTTCATAACATCCATCATGTTACGTAAGACTTCGGTTTCGTCAAAAGCAAGTTGTCTATTGAAAACTCTCTCCGGGCTTTCTTTACTTTGGATGAGTCGCTTCTTAAGACCCTGAACAAATGGCATGGCTTTCTTCATTTCACCAAGTTTGCCAACATTAGCATTAAGTTCCTTGTCATTAATCGAGATTGTCATGTCATCAAATGCTTCCCGAACAAGGTCGATGTATTTTTCTTGCCATGTAGGAAATTTCTTTGCTGCAAAAACCGTAAGCTTCTTTGGTTTGCGTGGATCAAATGTGACTGCTTTGCCCTTCGAAATCTTCTTAGCAAAGGAAGCTTCCGAAGAGCTGATGTTGGAGGATGTTGAGCGGATATAGTCTATGGCGGCTGAGAGAGCGGGTACAACCTCTGGTACTTCAGGGAAGAGTGCATGCTGGATGGTCTTGGGCTATTTATACAGATTAGGGAGTGTAAAAATGAATTTTTCCATTAGTCACAGCGACATACCTTATGTAGCACCTCTAGCCATACATATTCTGCCCAATGTGGAGCAATTGGAGTAATAAGAAGAGCTTGAAGCTCAATGTACCGGAGGATCACGTCTTTATGCATTCCTATCCCCGCTGCCGTAGCCTGCTCTCGATAAAAGTCTCTAGCACTTGTAAATTCGTAGAGCGCCGCTTTTAATGCTAATTTGAAGTTCGTGCTTGGATTACAATTATTATCTGTTCAAAAAAGGGGAGAAAAGCAAAGTCTTACTCAGAATAATGCCTCCTTGCCTCTCGAACGAGGACATTCATTTCGTTGTCGAAGAGTTTGTCTACAAACGCATCGGCAGGACCTGTACGAAGACTCGCATCTTTTACAACATCTTCCACCCATTCCTTGAGTGTATGCAAGCGCAGGATGTTGCTATTGGCGACAGACTCCTCAAAATTTGCGTCTTCAATGCCATCGCCAGCATCTGCAAAGGCAATGCGTGTGGCATCGGCTCCGTATTTATCCACCGCGTCTTTCAGAGTCAAGAAATTTCCAGTGCTTTTGCTCATTTTCTCGCCGTTCAGGAGCAAGTGTCCGTTTGCCCGGACAGAGCGTGGCCAGTACTCCTCTGGAAACATGGCAATGTGAACATAGAGCCAGAAGGTTAAGTGGTTTTGAATGAGATCTTTACCAGAAACTCGGACATCAAGGGGGTACCAATATTCGAATTCTCTTCTCATCGTTAAGAACGCTTGTTTACTAATTCCTGTGTTTTGAACAAGGTCATCTCTCAAGTCTCTCCGAGCAAAAATATAATCCCAAGCATCGTCCGTTAACTGCTCCGGTTTTATTCCAAGAGGACCTGGTTTGCTACCATACCGATCGTTTTGAAGCAAATGAGATATCGCGTAGTATGCCTGATATATGGTACTATCACTCAAACTTTCAACAAGGAATTGAGGATCCCAAGGAAGTTTGGATCCAAGACCGTAAGTCCTCGCACAAGCCCACCGGTTAAGCCATTCAAGGTTCTTTTCGAATCCATGTCGTGTCTCGGGAAGGTAGGTATTAAGACAGTTGGCAACGTAATTCTGGGTATCGATAAGCCATTGTGGATCATTTGGACCGTAGTTTAAAAACCACTGGCCAAGGTAGGCTACTACACAGTCATCGCCGCTTCGACTAACGACTTTGCCCATAGGGTCAGCATACGGGAAGGCATCTCCACTTTCAATGAGTTGTTTCCGGACTTTATCCTTGGCAGCCTGGACGGGCTCGCCTTTGAAATCCCCTACAAGCATCGTCCCTTTGTAAAACCCTTCGTTGTATGCAAGCTCCTTAGCTTGAGCTAGTTGAGTTGCGTCCTTTGGCGAATTGATTTTCAGCTGCTTCACAAGAGCCGGGGCAGTTAAATTTCCGTAACTTGGTGTTTCAATGATGGGAATGACTTCCAACTCTGCCCACTCCTTTTTAATACCATAATAATCAGCCTTTTTAGCTAGGTCAGTGAAAGTAGCAAAATCGTCAGGGCTGTCAGAGGGAACAGAAGTAACAACGCCAGTTCCCTTGCTGGCGGAAACCGTTTCCATGGGCAAAATCCTAACTCCATCTTTGTGAGCAGATAATGGCGCATTGACTAGTGTGCCAACGAATGCGGAGCCAGGAGCTTCAACCACAAGAGGAAGCTCACTTTGGTCACAGGGGAAGTGATCCATATCAAAAAAGGTACCCTGAAACGCCATATTCCATGCCCCTCGTTTTGTCGTAACGTAATATTCTTTGTCTTTCACTTTAAAAATGCCATAATTGAGCGAAGGCCCAACATAACAGCAAGTCTGACCATACATCGTTTCGGGGCGCATTGTTGCAGGGACAAAATACACACTTGCATCTTCTTCGATTTTTCCTTGAACTAGTTCTTTCCCCTTTGGAGACCATTCCTTAACTTTTAATTTTAGTGCGGTATATTCTTGCGGCCCAATTCCTTCGCCTTCCGTTCTGTCGTGATCCATACACGGTTGTCCATCTTTGGGAGAGTAGACAGTGTATCTGTTGCCGTACATTATTTTACCCATCTCATGGAGACGGTTCATTTGCCAGCGAACAAACGCGTCGAAATAGGGGTTAACATCAGTCGTCACGAAGCCCCTGCGCCAATCGATTCTGGCACCTAAGCTATCCAAATCGCGTATCCACAGTGGCGGAAAGTATTGTAGCCAATAGTCAGGATCGGAAAATTTATGGACCTCTTCAAGTGGTATTCCCAAGGCCATCATAATTTGGAATTGATACTTTAGTTTCACAGCCTTGCTTGCCGCCTTGCTCTTTTTCCCGGAAAATTTCGAGGGGTCTTCTTTTGCCTGGGTAGCTACAGGTATTGAAGCCGCATCTTCAACTTCATCCTCCTCCTTGTAGTTCTCAAAATATTTGCCAAACTTTTTAATATCATCTACTAGCTTGTCCGCGCATGCTTTGATAGGCATACCCGTACAGTGAAAAGCAAGGGGGAACAAGGAGCGTTTGCCCTCCATTCTAGCGACTCCAGTCATAAACTCGATCTTGCTGGCAGTAAAACTGTGCCCGGCATGGGGTGAGCCGTTCATATATGGAAATGCCATTGTTCCATAGAATTTCGGATGTTTGACGCGTAGCTCGGCGGCGGAGAGGGAGTCAGCAGGAATCTCGGAGATAGATGGAGCATCGACCTCGAAGACTTTTTTCTCTTTCCATTGCGCTTGATATTTTTTCTCGATAGCAATAAGCGTGTCTCGTTTCTCTGTCTGAGAAGAGTTAGAGGGTGGGGGAGATACTAGGGTCACGGATGCTCACGTTTTCAAGTTTAAGGGTGTTTTTGGTGCTGTTGTCTAGCGCAGCCGTCGCTGCTGCGGCTGCGGCAGCAGACATGATTCCCAACAAAGCAATTATTGAAATTAGGGGTAAAGGTACAGGGTAAGACTGTCCTGTTGGAATGCTGGCGGGGTTAACTGTTTGCACCTGGACAAAATCCTAGATTATATAAGCCTGCGAGTCATAAAGTCTGCTTAGTAATCAGACGGTTACCAAAGTTAGCCCAGAGCTCGGAATATTAATGGTCCGTGTTGCTCCAGAAATTGGTTGATATCTTGACTGTCGAAAAGCCAAATCGCTGCATTGCATGCCATTGAGGGCTGAAGCGCATTTGGTTCCTTTTCAAGACGTCAAAATCTAGCTGCTGGTGGAAGGTGACTGCCATATATTTGGCAAAATGGTGTCTCTTCTCAAGAGAATGCGAAGAATGAAGTCTGTATGTAGTTGAGCCGGTTTATCCCGTTCGTTGTGGTACTTTTTTTATTGCAATTGACGTCTTGCTGATTACTTTAATATTAGAGAGTATGTATCTCTCTTACGTCGAAGCCGCCATATATAACTCCCAAGTCCGCGGAAGAGTATCCACATACTCCCGGATATGCTTCCGTGTTGTGCTTTGCCCCAAAACCCTGCTAGTTTCTAATTGAGAATAGCTCTTAGATATCAGAGTCGGTCTCGGAGCTGCTGTATTACCACCCGCGCCTTCATCCTCCAGTGCTTCCCCCGTTACCCGCCTTCATCTTACCTACGCCCGCAAAATGTACGAGGGCCACTTCGGCGCTCGGAAGTTTTGGCGTCAATGCCTGCCAAGATTAAAATATTACAACCCTGGTATTTCGATGTCGGTCAAGCAAACAGATGACAATGCCGGCCCTGCGCTGCTGTCACTATATTTTGAAAATAAGGACGGAGCAACAAAACAAGCATCTTCAACGAGGGATGAATCCGCGCCCTCGCCTACAGAATCGGAATATGTGAGAACGATAGATGTCAAGGGGAAGAGTTTAGAGGAAATATGGACTAGTTTCAAAAATTTGACTGGGGCAGAGGAGCTGCAGGTATCAGAAGCCGACCAGCACGAGATTGAAGAGCGAACTCGACAATTGCAACAAAGTGCAATTGATCGTCAACGAGTTGCGAGTATCCGACAAACCCGAAAAGATCAAGCAGCACTTTTAGCAGCAGCCAAAGCAGATATTGAGAGAGTTAGGGCGGAATAGCTTTGTCTTCTTCTCTCAACTTAACTGTAGAGGTCTTCTGGGGATTTTAGGTTGGCATTTTGGTGTTAACTGGTGTTGTATTTTTCTTGGGTTAATAATACCAGCATGTTTTCTTGTAGAGCTTTGATTCAAAGCCCGCATAAATGCACTGTACATTAGAAAAGTCATGTTGAATTTAGAATCTCAATATGCTCTCAGAAGAACCCTAGCGTCTCCAATCGACATTTATTACATTTACAATAGATGTAGAGAAGCCCAAAATATCATCAAAGCATAGTTATATCATTTACATAGTAAAATAGAAAGGCAGAAGGCACCGATGTAGAGTACAAGAGTTTGAAATAAGATAGCAGTCGCTGGAAACTATTAATGCTAACCAATCTTTTCCATTATGCGCCAAGAAACCTGTTGATTTGTACAGAAAAAAAATCCAGACAAAAGGAGGATACTCACTATACTCTGTCAGGGTTATAGCTTGTCTCCCCTAGCATGTTCTGGCCAGGACGAACGACTGGTATTGATGATTGCGATTGCGAAAGTTGCGGCGATGGTGAAACGGCTGGGGTCTGTTGAATTCGGCTCGCACTTGCGGCCTGAAGCCTTTGGTCGAGGGCTTTGAGGGCTAACGCTCGGCGTCTTTCTGCCTCCTCCCTCTTCGCCATTGAACGTATTTCTTGCCTTCCGGTGGGATTGAAAAGGCTAGGTAGTCCAGCTTCTCCTCGTGCAATGGCTTGCTCGTTGCCGGAGGCGATGTCCTCGGCTGAAAATGGGACGCAGATCCGAAGAGCAACAAACAGAGAATATATTCTATCTGCAGCAAAAGAAATAGGCAATTGGATAACGTCTGGAAAGAAGCACGCGAAGGCAAATGTCTCACTCGCGTCACCCTTGATTCCAAGAGAGTTTGTAGAGGTGCCCGAGAGGTCCGGCTGATACTTGTAGAATCGGAGATAAGTCCACCCAATAAGAAATCCAAGCCAACTCAAGTTGAACATAGCGTAAGTGCCCACGACTATCGCACCAATAGCGTTTAAAACAAGAAATATGGCAGGAAAGTGTTTAACCCGCATCTTGACAATGCCTCGGAGAATGGTGACCGTGTGTTCAGGAACTAGCTGTTTGAATGCTACGAGGAAACCTGCTTGAATTGCCACTCCCCCACATATAGTTTTTCCACTAACAACATATCGTATTAGCCATCAAGCAATGAAACGCTGGAATAGCCCAGGAAAAGCTTACGCAATACTTGGCTGTCCTGTAATAGCAGATCCGATGAGGTACAGAAATACCACAGCCGTATTAGACAAAAGGGTGATCACAAAGACGAATTTGGCAAACTCAGTAGAGCTCCATGATCGCTCTAAGTATTTTCCACCATAAAAGATCGTTGCTCCGCTAATAATGGCAGTGAAGATGTTTTGTTCGACAAAAGTCGAGCATAAGAGTGTCCAGGGATAGTAAAGAACTCGGGCAGGTACAAGCACAAGATAGGCTACTGGAGGAGGGTCAGGAACTTGGCCGAATTGTCGCCATCGAGCGACACCATAGAGAAATGATAGAGCACAGATTGCAGTCAAGATACCGCGCGTGAAGGGTGGAATATTTAATCGAGGAGTCATGGCTGGCAGATGAATGGTTGCGTTTTAGAAAACAAAAAGTCTCCCTCTCCACACAAACAGTGTCGCTCTTGAAAAGACCCCAAATCTAGCAACTGATGATATTTCGACCAGCCATGAAACATAGCAAGAGGCTTCCTTGCAATGGTTAACGTTCGATCTCACGTCCTGGTAGATGGCGCAGGCAATAGATAGGCAATTAAAGTGTTAAATCTAATGCCTAGCACTCATATGGTTGTGATGGTGCTGTAGCTGGATGATATCAAGTCAAAGAGAGTGTCGTTGCAGCTCGTTGTCCTTGAGACCGGAGTTGTCGAAGGCGGTGAGCCAGCAATATCGAAGATCCTCCAGCAGTAGCTGTGCCGCCATCTGATTGGCCATATGCCCCGGCTCTATGACCTAAATCCACCAAGGCAGCATCAAACGCCAGGTCAAGCTTTGGTTGCTTATATAATCAATTCTCCTTCTGTCCGTCCAGATGAACGTTGATTCTTCGAAGAATTGCTTTCCAGGCGGATATATGGCTTGTTCTGAGCACTTGCACTGTATCTCTGCCAGTGCGCTTAGCTACTTTCACTTGAAAACCTCTTAGCTGTGCATGTGAGCTCTGAAGGCTGCAACCAAACTGTGCTAGGATCCATTTTCGCAAGGGAGCGTAACTTGCTGCTAACTTGCATTTATCGACCGCTCTTCACTGGTCCCTGTGGTTGTTGATAGTTATCATTTCTTTTCTCACCTTAACTTTTTATTCCTCTTTAGCAACTGCTTGCCCCTACACTTATCTACATACATACCCTACCTGGCTTCCATGTTTGAAGTCGCCTTGGCTTGATTTCGTTGATTCGCTCGCTCAACTATCTTGCCTCGGCCTTTTCGGTGAAGTCGATGCTTCTTCTAGACTGAATCAGTTCGAGCCTTGCTCCTGGAACACCCAGTCCTAACTACATTTAAAACGTGACATGTTAAATCTGATAACGTGTCTTAAAATTTGCTGCGATAAGCAGCATTTTCTTATGTAGTCATGGCTGCTGGCGCTGTCACATCACATCAAGTCAATTATTTGATATGGAGGTTAGTATCTGTATTCTCTTGCTTACTATATGCACACTAATATTATTTTCAACGCCAGATACTTGCAAGAATCAGGTTTGTTTAACATTCATTTCCCAGGAGTCTGCTATGCCTAAGAAATCTAACCTAATCCAAAGGCTATGGTGAAGCGGCAATAATGCTACAGCGAGCATGGAACCCCGATCCTCAAAAATTGCCTTTTGCTCCGGCAGTCAAGTCCCATGCCTTAATTACCTTAATACAAAAAGGTCTTCAGTATTTTGACCTCGAACAATGTATTGACCAGGTACTTTGTTACGGAAAATTGGTATTGTTAAATATAGCTAATATGGTGCATATAGAAGGGGGGGTCGGTTTCAAGTTCTACCGTTTCATTTTTTGGTTCAAGTGTGGTTGAACGAAACATATCAAAAGTGGTTGAAAATTTTGATAAGCCGAAAGAAGTAGTCACCGCAGGCCCTAGTGCAGATCCTTCTACCACTGCCGCTAGAACTAGCTTAAGAACCGATGGTATTATTAATGGGCAGCAGAATAGCGAAGAGGCTGTACCAGATACTAGAAAAAGCAGTGAAGTTGAAGATGTTACTATAGACCATGCCAATGCAGACGAAATGGTAATGCAGTTGGACAAACCAGAGCAGACCGCGGAACAATCTCCGGTCATACAGTCCGTTATTCCTTCTACTAAGACTCCGATTGATGTGGACGGCGATATTGGCATGGTTGAACCGCAAGCACCAGGACCCCAAACACCGACTTTTACCCTGACATCAGGTCAAAGTGTTGGTGTGCAAATATCTCCTGCCAAAGCTGCCGACCTTGCGCCAGAAACAAATGTGATGGATGTTCTAAAAGATTCCCATGTCATGCGGACGTCTTGGCGCCCGAATGATCCCCTTTTCTTTGCGGTTGCAAGCGATGTGTTTTGTGGCTTGTGGAAACTCTCCAGCCAAAGGTCACCCACGCCGCCCACTCACACCACATTAGTTGCGGGCTCGTGTATCACTGCTATGGACTGGGATTCTAGCGGAGCAATGCTGGCAGTCGCAACATACGATAAATTTATGGGCTCCATCACGATTTTCAATAGTGATGGGGAAGCCATTGATTCTATACCGGAATCATCGAGATTGATATCAGCATTACGATGGGCTGAAAAAACCCCGCAAATTGCGATAGTGACATCTGACGGTCGCCACTCTGAACTCTCCTTGTGGAACCATCAATCACGAGGAGATTCCCTTTCTCCTGCGCAAGTAATAAACGGGCCAATCTACGATGTTGTCTGGTGTGGTCAGACTCAAATTTTTGCCAGTGGGGATGGATCGGTCTATCAGTGCAACATAGATGGAAATATTCAACCCCCAGAAATCTTTACCTCCGGAGAAGAGCTGGAACCTTGGGCGTTCCTCAAAGTATCACTACTGATGGAGACCCCAGTGGCCGTGGTAGCTTCTGCTTCGCCGGCGCATGTATGGATCCCTACTCACGGTATTCGAATTGAATCTGCCCATCACGGAGACATCACAGGGCTAGAAATACGACCTGGCTCTCTTTCTGCAGGCACTCAGAATGACCCCAACTTTGCATTTGCCACTTCCTCCATGGATTATACTGTCAAGCTCTGGAATCTTGATTTGCCAGCAAAGAAGGTACATTGTATACACCGGCTCTTTCTAGGCACAGCGTCTCCCGCTCTGGCTGTCAATTTTTCCCCAGATGGATATGCTATCGCTGCCGCGAGTTACAATAAGCTCGCAATATGGAGTGTTGATCGATGCGGTGCCCCAATGGCAACCTGGCAGGGATCGCACAACGATGTGATGGATGAGTCGAATCAGGAAGAGCTAGAAACCCATGTCTCTAACGTTTCTATGCTCGATAGGCCGCTATCTTGGGATAGTGACGGTAAGAAGATTGCTCTTGGATTTGGTAAAAAGGTATGTCGGGTCAACAATCAGTCGTATATAATAATCGCTGACAGGTAGCAGATAGCAATTATTAATCTACAGCGATAACGATTTTCCTAATTTCTGCCTGCCTTCTTCTATTCAACCGGCAGCTTTACTAAGCGCTTTTACTGGGGAATACCAGACCCCCTTTCACTCCTACTATAGCTTTGAAGCGAACGTATGGGGTATGTTTCCATTGACAATATCCTATCGACTGATCCTTCAGGCGTGTTCCTCTTTCATCCTCGAGGGGTATTTTTTTTGTTCCAAATGATACTTACGATTGGCGGAGTTCTGATGGAATATGACCAGGGTTAAGAGCCAGCTGAATGGTATGTATGTATGTACTTGTGCGCTTAGATGATACCTGGGATGTTGGCGTATTGTATTCTCTGTCTGGTGGGCGGCTAATTTTCATATGCCCCTTTGCATGGTGAATGGTTACGAGCTCTTGGTAGATATCCAAGGGACCACATTTCCATTCCCAGTTTCGTTGCTGTGTACAAAATTGTATTGTTTACTTATGTAGGTAGCTATGCATTCATGTAGGGTTTCTAAAAAGAGCACCAATAAGAGGCATACCTACTTTTCTTTGGAGTTTTTCCTCTAGTACGGAGTATTCCGTACAAGTGTGAGCTTGAACTGTATGAAAGTCTGCCCTGTACGGAGTAAATAGGAGCTCCAAGCGTAAATTTGGTCGGCGAGGCTTCAAGCAATGGCTGGCGGGAAGTTTAGGTTCGGCCTGGGCACTAGTGCGTCTAAGAGGGTTCTGGAGAGGGACAAAATGCCTTGAAGTAATACGCAAGCCCTGCCGACATCAAATACATTAGGCACTAAAGAAATGAGCTTCTCGTCCAGCATTGCCCTTTCTTCGGTATAGTTAGTCTCTCAATCCGTTGCCTCGTCTTCTACCTGTCACGAACGTTCTGCACCAATTTTCTGCCGCGAATTATGACTCCCCGGGTATGTTTGGTCTGGATCTGATTATTTTAATAGTCCTCATGTGTTAACTCTCAGGTTTGTGAGTAGGCCACTGTCCAGCCGACGCTAGATACGGTTCGCGATGTACTCTTGCAGTCTAAAGGTGCCCCGCAGGCACCTAATATCGTCCCTGTTTCCGCCTCAATACCCGCAGACTTACTCACTCCTACTGTGGCATATTTAAAAATAGCTGCAAAGTAGGTCACTCGATGCTTTATGTTGCAGATTTTGAAGAGAAACTGTTACGTTTTTTCAGGCCCAGGGTGCTGATCATCATGATAGGTCGAACCGTTCTTTTTTATATGAGAGCGCCGCAACTACAGAGACAATTGGAAGGTATAGCTTTGTGGGAGCTGGTAGGCTATTGTATTTATTACTTAAACGTCTGGCATGTAGCTAATGATTAGCTCCCAGATCCTAAGCGAGTTCTCACGACTGGGCCCGGTCATGGCCCAGCATGCGACCCCTTACCCATACTGGAACAAGAGTTATCACAATTCCGTGTGGCCACAATTCCCGGTGTACAGCTTCCTCCAATGGCTGGGGGGGCCATTGGCTACGTGGGCTATGATTGTGTGAGATATTTTGAGCCGAAAACGGCGCGGCCGATGAAAGATATCCTTGGAATACCGGAATCGTTATTCATGTTATATGACGCAATCATTGCTTTCGATCACTTTTTCCAGGTTGTCAAGGTAATAACATACATGGCTGTTCCCAAGAATGATGGAGATTTAGAAGCTGCATATAACGCTGCCGGGGAGATCATCCAAACAGCCATAAAGACCCTCCTGAATCCCAAGATTCCGCTTCCTCCGCAACCTCCAATAAAGCGCGACCAAGTGTACACTTCAAATATTGGGCAAGAGGGATATGAGAATCATGTCAAGCGCATGAAGGAGCACATTGTTAAAGGCGACATCTTCCAAGCAGTCCCATCGCAAAGGCTTGCTCGGCCGACCACTTTACACCCTTTTAACTTATATCGCCATCTACGCACAGTTAATCCGTCGCCGTACCTGTTTTATATTGATTGCGGCGATTTCCAGATCGTTGGTGCAAGTCCTGAACTTCTTGTAAAGGAAGAAGGAAGACGAGTCATCACTCATCCGATCGCAGGAACCGTGAAAAGGGGAAAGACGGCCCAAGAAGATTCCAGACTAGCAGCAGAACTTAGTGGGAGCCTGAAGGATCGTGCTGAACATGTCATGCTGGTGGATCTTGCCAGAAACGACGTCAACAGAGTTTGTAATCCGACCACAACTCAAGTTGACCGCCTCATGGCCGTGGAAAAATTCTCCCATGTCCAGCACCTTGTATCACAGGTATCTGGTACGCTGCGTGAGGGCCAGACACGCTTCGATGCCTTTCGTTCCATCTTTCCTGCTGGAACTGTTAGCGGCGCCCCGAAAGTTCGGGCAATGGAATTGATCGCAGAGATGGAAGGCGAGAAACGCCACGTATATGCTGGTGCTGTTGGCTACTTTGGGTACAATACTAGTACCCCAGATGGGCAAAGGGTAGCAGATGGCACCATGGACACCTGCATAGCCCTCAGAACCATGGTAGTAAAGGACAACGTTGCATATTTACAAGCTGGAGGTGGTATTGTATTTGACTCTGATCCATATGAGGAGTACGTTGAGACATTGAACAAACTAGGTGCGAATATCCAATGCATCAAAGGCGCCGAAGAGAGATATCTGGAACTGGAACAGGAAGCCACTTTATAGATACTTTACTTTTTAAGTAAATGAACCAGCATATTTTCGGCTTTCTAACACAGTGGACTTGGTAACTATTTTAGTGATATGTGCCAGGTAACTATACTACGCATTTCATATGCTATTATGCAATTTCGTTATATTTGCATACAATCTTCAGGCGTAATGGGCCACTGTGTGGCGGAGAATTTGCGGTGGTGTGAAATCTGCGCGGCAAATTCTATACGGAGTAACTACTCCGTTTACCTCATCCCCTCAGACGCGTGCTGCTAAGGTTCTTTAGTGCAAATTTAGTGTTTTGAACTAACCCATTCTGGTAATTCTGCCAGAGCCTGACCAGCACAGTGTCTGAGCCAGTTTTCACAAAAATAGAAGAAACTCTGGAATTTGCAATTTGAGCTGATAATCTCAACATTGAATGTCTGATTTCAAGAACTTAATACAATATGAGTTACTATGAACTTTCTTTATTACTTCAGATCTACAATATCTACTACATCTGATTCAATCTGCTCCACATCACCAGATTTTTCCATTTGGTTACCCAATTGGGAAATACAAAATAGAGAATGATTACTCCATGATTTTTCAAATAAATAAAAATTTTAAATTGGGTATAACTTTGTATAACTATCAGCTACTCTCAGCTCTAGTATGAAGATTCTAAGAGCTGTGGTGATTGAATGGTTGAGCAAAATGAAAATTTCAGACTGCACTCATCACAAAATGGGTGGCATTGGGAGAAGTCTTATACTAAAAGAATTAGTAAATTTTTTAATTTTTTTTTTGGACAAAGTGGTTGCTCATCTATTTCTGAACAATGATACACATCACTTTTGACAGTATTAAATGTGATGGTTGAGTTATTGAATGACCATAGTTGAAGAAAAGTGATGTCACAGCAATGAAAACTGACTCAGATCTTCAATGGATGTTGAAGAGAAGTCTCAATTCAGCCTAGTGTATCTTGGCATAGCCCCACCCTAGTTAGTAGGAGACAGCTCTTCAACATACAGTGAAGGTCTGAGGTGATGAGGCAACTACTCCGTATGGGCCACTCTTGAGCGACCAATTCAGCCGCTTGTCCCCATACAGTTTAATGTGGGACCACTTCCAGTCTAGCGAGCCCTATTTGGGTTTGGCGCGCCCGCTTTGTATAATATGCCGGACATAGGTTCATTCTTACTCTATCCGGAGACGCATTAAGCCAACCCACTTTTCGAATGGCCCATGAGCACCATCGATCTTCGCTTGAGGATGTTCTCGATTTTAACCCCCCTCCGCAATTAGCACCAGATCAGCGTATCCGCGCAAAACGCAGATTCTTCAGCATTATCAACCATTTTAACACGCCAGATGACAGCAGCACCGTCAGCCGTGATTACAACCGGCCCCTTCTTGTCCTCTACACCTATGAATATGCGCTTTCGGAGCTATCTCAAGACACGGTCTTAACTGCGTTCTTTGACTTCGTGACACTTCCGATCGATGGAGAGGAGGAGATTGACTTCAGTGATAAAGCTTTTGAGGATGCTCTGCGTAAAGACTTGATCTATTTTGCAGACCTCCTTCTCGACAACTTCTTTCTGCCTCGTGTGTTTTCCTACTCAACAGTAAATCGCCCACTTCATTTTGTCTTGTCCGGCTGACTTCTTTTATAGTAAAAGCAGCTGGCCAACAAACCCAACGACCCTCTCCAGCCCCTCTTTCGGCCATCCAGAGAGCGATAGGCGGAGACCAGGAATATGCGGGAACACCGGACCGGCTATCAGTGCTTCGGGGAGTCTGCCTAATCCGGGACCATTATCGTTGCGTCATTTCACGTCAGTTTGACTCTAAGGAAGCGTTGAGACGTTTGAAACGGGATCGCACTCATGCTCGAGATGATGAAGGGAATCCGCTTCAGGGACAGGATTTTGCCACCCTTGAAGTAGCCCACATCCTCCCACATGCTCTAATGAAGGGTGATAAAGACTCACAATTAGTATGTCTATTCCTTTGGTGGACTTGCCCTTGTCTAATCAGCATGTTTTTTAGGATCGTTCCAAAAAAGCAGCTCTCGACATTCTTAACATGTTTGACAATGGCGTTGTCCGACTCATTGAGGGCAATGAAATCGACCGGCCCTTTAACGCCATGACCCTTTCCCATGACCTCCATGTTTGGTTCGGCAGCTTCGAGGTTTACTTTGAGGAAGTCCTGGACGAGCGGCACACGTACCGAATCAAGACTTTCGTTCCCGAAATCCTTCCTGGACTTCCTGTAACTCGCACGCTCTTGCATGCAGATAACCGAACGATTGATCCCCCTTTACCTCGGCTTCTTGCGATCCACCGTGCCATTGCCATGATCCTTCACCTCTCTGCTGCGGGCGAGTACATCGACAAGATTCTTCGGGATATGGAGGATCTGGGTGTCCACACAGATGGCTCGACCGACGTTGGGCGTCTGGTAATGCTTCGACTGGGTGATTGGATTACTGCCGGCTGTTAATGCCGACACTGTATCCACTTTGACCGGTAGATGCGGAAGCAGCTTGATAACACGCCAATGTTGACTGCGGGTAGCTTGGTAGCCAACACCTGCTTGGAGGATCAAGCGATTTGTCTTCTCTGCTTCTACAGATTATTTTCTACTACACACACTTCATTGCTATTGCTCCTATGACTTCAGACCATATCCGAATCCTACACTCTTCTCCTCTTTACCATAGCAATCCTCTCCTAGCCATTCTCCTATGGGGCTCCATAGCAGCTAGAGCGACCGATCATCCCTCTGTAGTGCATGCGTAGTTCTTTACAAGCTGCCACCCACCACAACTCGACTTTGGAACCACATACTTACATTTGATAAGAATACACCCTCTCCTCTGTCGAGAAAACAATCACACTTCTACGAAGCCCGGAAGAGCGATTACGGTTGGGCGCCAACATCATTCATTACTCAGGAATCGGCTGCCAGCGACCCGGCGAGGGGTGTGTGGAGTTAAGGATGAGTGGCCGTGCGAGTTGCTACACATAATGCCAAGACTAGGTTGGTGAGCAGAACAACCACACATACTTAGGTAGCCATATGCGGTTAGTCTGCCTCATGTGGCTGGGGCATCCATCCGCCACAGTCAGATTAGATAAGCAGCTCAACCCAATTCGGGCCGTCCAGCATCGCCCACCGTCGTCATCATCACCATTCAATTCTGTGTTTTACCCACCAGTTGCGATCCTTTTAGTGGTTCTTCTGTGCTGGGTCTTCAGTACCCATATCGCAACAGATACAAACCAGCCGCCTAGTAGACAGCAGAGCTGTTCTATCCCTACGTGAACCATATCTTGTCGTTGGTTTTTACGTACGTCTCTTGGCAGGTCTAATTCCAGGCCTACATTCAGTGAGACATCGAACACGCAAACTCCTTACAAAGGGCTAACTTGATCGTAGCCGTTTTGGGGAATAACTGCTCCTTTCATTTGATACTAAGATTCGAACTCCACAAAGCGGCATTCCGCTCCCATTTTAATTCCTAAACTGCCTAACCCGATTTCGGGCGGGGAAAGGTGACGACTGCAAAGCCTTTTACTTTGGGAATCCTTCCGTGGAAACTCGAACGTATTAGAATTCGAAGTTGAAACAAGATTACCGACAAGATGTCGAAAGTTGTGAGAAGTGTGAAGAATGTTACAAAGGGGTATTCATCAGTCCAAGTAAAAGTCCGAAATGGTATGACAAGCTTGGTCGTATCCCAAAGTTGGTACAAATAGTTGCTAATGTAATTCGTTTATTCAGCTACGAGCAACGATCCATGGGGTCCAACCGGAACAGAGATGGCCGAGATCGCGGCTCTCACGTTTACCAAGTACGTATTCAACCCGACTATTACTCTCAATGGAATCTTACTTGTGCGGATATAGCCCAACCGACTTCTATGAGATAATGGATATGCTGGACAAGCGACTGAATGATAAGGGAAAAAACTGGCGCCACGTTCTCAAATCACTAAAAGTATTGGATTATTGCCTTCACGAGGGGTCAGAGCTGGTCGTTACATGGGCTAGGAAGAACATCTATATTATCAAAACTCTTCGTGAGTTTCAATATATTGATGAGGATGGCCGTGATGTCGGCCAGAATGGTAAATCGGCCTTACATTTGGCTTTGGGTATCGCTAACGATATGCCTGAAAACTAGTCCGAGTCTCTGCGAAAGAGCTTACTGCTTTACTGGTCGATGAAGACCGCTTACGAAGCGAAAGATCAGATAGAAAGCTTTGGAAGTCGCGTGTCAGTGGCCCAGATGATGCCCTGCAAGGGATTGCTGGTGGCAGTGACATGGGATACCGTCCGCCTCGTAGACGAGACCGCCAACAGCGAAATGAAGAAGACGATGTTGAGTATCGCCTAGCCATTGAAGCCTCAAAACACGAAGCTGAAGAGGATAAAAAACGAAGAGAAAGAAATGCTCGTTTAGAAGAAGAGGACGACGAACTTGCCAAGGCAATCAAGCTCAGTAAGGAAGAGGAAGAACTTAGGAGGCGGGAATTGGAGGAGAGCAATGCTGCTTCCCTTTTTGATAGTTCTCTACCGGCCGCGCAACCACAACCAACCGGTTATAACCAAGGCTACCAGCAGCAAGGAGCGGTGGATTGGTTTGGGAATCCCGTCGATTCCCAGCAACCCATGACCACCGGATATCTTAACAATCAATACTCACAACCTACTGGCTTTCAACCCCAACCCACCGGCTACACTAGCGGTTATCCTAATGGCTTTCAAACTCAACCAAATACTTTTGATCCATCCCAGTTCTCACAGCAGCAGACTGGTTTCATGCAAGCACAGCATACACTCCAACCACAGCAGACTGCTTTCAATAACAACAACCCTTACGGAAATGATATTTGGGGACAGCAGCAAACACAGCCACAGACACAAAACGGCTTCCTCCAGCCTGGGAGTCATAATCCTTGGGCCCAAAATAAGCCTGCCGATGCCCTAAAGCCTGCCCCCACTGGCTCTAACAACCCATTCGCATCGCCCTTCACCCGTGCACAAGCGCAAATGCAAACCAGACCACAGCAAACTGGCTCTCCTTCTCTCAATACCCTCGCTGAGCAGAAAACCGCACAGCCCTCCTTCAACAACCCAATCCTCAATTATCAAGCTCCTCAACAACAAAACCATCCACCGCCTTCAGAAGACCCGCAACGAGCTCGTCTTAATGCACTCCTTGCTACTGGCGATGGCCAGGACACCTTCGGCAACGTTGGTGATCTTCGTATCCCAGCCCAACACACTACTCCAGGCGTATTCGTAAATTCTGCTGGATCAGGCCTCGAAACAATTCGCGGGGCGCAAACAGGTAACAACCCTTTTCTCGGCCAAAACTTTGCCGGCGTTCCACAGCAGACCGTGTTTGCTGGACAACCCAACAGCAATCCGTTTGGTACCCGACAGGCCCAGCAGGGCGGAAGCTTGATAGATCTTTAAGCTGGGAGTTTGACATGTCACAGGTAGCAGAATTGTTATACTTGTTCTTCTATGGATATTTTAAATGATGTACAATTTGTGGCGGTTGTGGACAGTGTCAGCCCTTCCTTGCGGGTCTAGACACATCGGCCCATTCAAACGTATGTGCTCTAACTTTCCCACTACTCTTTGCTTTGGAGCCCACATTCGTTCCCGGATTCTATTTTCTTCTTGCGTTGTTTTTGTCCTGCATATCCAGCTATGCTTCGTTGTTAGGCCAATATTTTCCGGCCACCTAGCCTTTTTATAGAGGCATTTGTATTTTCTTGCACAACCCTTCCATGCTCTCATTTACTCATCTTTTGGGCCGGTTCATTTTGCACAGAAGTATGCGTTGATTTAAGCTTTACCCCCTACAAATAGATACCTCGCCCTTTTGAGCTCTTCCTTTCTTCTTATTCTCTCAACTACCTTTCCCTTAGTCTTTCTCAGGTCATTCAAAATATGTTGTATTTGAAGCAGAGGGGGTTTTTTTTATTGGTTGGTATTGCCGGGCGATTGTGTAACTTGGTATTTACTGAATTTGGTAATATCATCTTTATTCTAAGGAAGAGAAGTCAAGACTCTCTTTACGCAGATGGCCTTTCGGTCTTTATATTTGCAAAAGTAGTACCTCTTGCCAATAGCAGATTTTGTCTTGTCTCCAAGAGTATCCCTGTTTGAAATGAAGATATATAACAAGAAGACTCATTGTACAGGAAGCATCACCCTCCAGGCACTGCACGTAAGTTTCTATCTCAGTATCTATGGTAGTTGCTTATATAAAATATATAATGCCTTTGGTGAATTAGAGAATACCTGCGGGTAGATTGAGCAGTTGCTTTTCAGTACCACTTGAGTGGAAATGCAACAATATCCAGAATTTTCATGAGACACGAGTTTCAAAAATTGATTTAGGAAGATATATGCTATTATTTAGGATAGTTTGAATAGACTTAGAGGTAGGTGGTTTAGAAATAAGAAGTTCTACACAAGTAATCTAGACATGTACATATAAATGAACATACTTTGAAGAACATTGTCAGAAGTAACGTAGTTTGAGGCTGTATAGAATTCAAGAATATTTGGGCATAGGGCTGGCATATGTATTTGCATATGTGAATAGCCGTATGACCTCTTCTGGGGGACAAATGCTTAAACTTTAATGAGAGAAACTAACATTATTTTCATAACGCCGAAAGGGGGAATAGAGAGGAGAGAAAGGTTGGAATTATGCAAAAATACAAAAAAGGAGGGAAAAATTGAAGGTTGAAGGTTAAAGCTGAAGGTTCCTTCAACCATGATAACTACCTGTGTTGCTGTGCAGTCTGGCCATGGTTTGAGATAGTGTACCTCATAGAGATGCAATGTGACAGAGCCCTAGAATGCAAAAATTTTCAGCATCTTTATCAACACAGCTACAATGTCACCTCAAATTTTTCTACAGCTGCTAGAGGTTTCTTCATTGATGTGAGACTCACAGTAATGGGAGAACCGGCATCTCCATCACCATTTACAAGGCTACCCTCATCGAGATTATTCATGATCCATCATATACAGCTAATGAAATGGTCGTGGCCTTCACTAGCAGGTTGAAACATTTGAATTCATGTGTTGGATCCCAACAATGACAAAATAGTCTTGTTACCACTCACCCGAGAAAATACCTCCCGCCCTGATGAAAGACAAGTGTCAGTTGTCGTGGCCTATCAGGCTCTTAATAACAGTGCTGTGGGGGCATAATTTATTGTTTTGTCATCCCCATCTGTGGCAATAAATCCGGCAGACAGAGAAACGGGAGTGAGTTCTTTGGGGGTCGCGAGGGCCGCTAAGTGTGGATAGATTGATTACTTATCGTCCACAGACTTCGTTTCTCTTGACGAGGCGTTATATAGCTGTGGAGCTGAATCTTCCTCTCCTGACAGAAAGAATTGGCCATCTGGCGACAGGCAAACGGCTGGCACTCAATCTTGATGGCCTCATATCGTTTTCACGCATTAACCCGTAGTCACATTCCATAGGAGAATAGCTTATCACGCGAAGTAGATGATAGAAGGCTGTTTGACATGGGAGAACCGGCGGTGCTTGGGAGTTTAAAGTGGTTGAGGAAAATACTATGATCGCGACTTGTAGCGTTCGAATATTTCGAAGATCCAATCGGTCCCATAGCCGTATTTTCAAATCTAGTGAGCATGGTTGCAGATTTTGATGATGTTATCTACGGACCCTGAAGCGAGGGGCCCGAAAACGGTGTTAAAAGCGATATAACTTATAGCCTCTCGGGTGAGGTTAAACATAGGGCGGCAGGAGGGTGAGGAAGTCAGGGTAAAGCATTTTGGTATCTCCGAGCAAGGGACGATAGGATGGTAGAATCAAGCTCTTGTTGAAGAGCTGCATTTCGAGATTCTCAATCCATTAAGCTGTTAACTATGTATGATCCAAGCGAATTGTTAGCTCGCAGCCCGTTCCAACTCGCATATTTCGATGTCCCGGCCCTGTTCTAACGCTAGCGCATTTCTTCTCCAGAAGCTCTTCATACTTCTTTGAAGTAGCATCATCTAGATGGGTATTATCGGCCAGCTCTTCGTGAAGTGTAGCGGCGGTTTTCCGCTACGTTGACGGGTAGTTAGTACAAGGTATGCGACTATCGCTATTATGGCACATACCTACCTATCCGTCCTCAGAGTCGAGGAGAATCCGGCTGGCAAAGAAACAACCACGGATATTAGTCTAGAGAAAATACTAGTAGTGTTAAGCCGAATAATAGTAAGTTAGAAGAGAGTAATAGTACTAGGGGAGATGGAGGGGGGTATAGTTAAAGCGATGCGTAGTACTGCGTATGCGGCACAATAATGAAGGGTCGATGGCCCAATGGAACCGAAGAGACGTAGGAGATGTGGTTTTCTAAATAGGCGATGGATTCTGAAGCTTCCCGGGCGAACCATGGAAATAAAGGGTTCCAGGGGGCCTGGCTTTCATGATGATGATTTTGTGTTTTGATCACCACAGTGACCACAACCCTCATTGGGCGGTGACTGTTGACAATTGACCCTAAACAGTCGGATCCGCCGTTTTCTGCCCTCACGCTACATGGCTGGCTGTTCCTCTTTTTTTAGCCAGAATAGATATTTTCATTCTAATAATTATTTTTTTCCCCATAAGAGCAGCAGGAATTGCTCCTTCATACCGAAGACGAATTGTTTATAGCTTGTCGTATCTTCGCGTCGTTTCTTGCGCTCCCCTCCCTGTTGCAATCTGCGCCTAATCTCTTTGTCGAGCCCAACTCCTCAACAGTAATCCCTATAAGGATTTTGTTTGGTTTTCATTAATGATACTGCGACAAGACTGGCTATCCTGCTTAACCTTAGGTACACCTCTTTGGCTCCAGGGTGTCTGGCCTTGCTCCTGTCGAGCCCCTTTCTTCATTGCGATGCGACGCTAATAACCTACAGACTTAAACCGGCTTCACTTTACCGTAACGCTGTCAGGTGTCTCTCCATAGAATGGCTGAACAGGCGGAGGACTTTTCTAGTCTACCTTTACCAGAGCGCTTCTCGCACAAGGTAGGACCAGTATAGGGGTCGTCCATCCTTATTTCATTAAATGCCCGCTAATAGACTTCCGCCGGTCATATCAGGTCTGGAAAGTAAGGAAAGAAGGTTATGAAGAAGCTACAAAACTATTTGAAAAAACCCCTGACGATTCCGATCCGGTATTTCGCCCTTTCCTACAAGACCCAGGTTTGTGGAAAGGAGCCGTCTCGGATTCGAACGTTGCAGCACAGCAAGAAGGACTTGCGGCATACTGTGCTTTTCTTAAATATGCCGGTGTTCAAGCCAGCTCAAGGTCTATAGCTTCCGTTGCTCAAGAAGAATTAATGACCGCTAACCTGTTTCTTGCTATCTAGGACCCGGAGTATTACCACAGTACCAATCGTTGAAAAAGGTCTCGCATCGACACGCGCGGCCGCAAAGGCAAACGCGACGGAAGCCTTGTTGCTCTTCATAGAGTTAGAAAAACCTGAACCAGTCATCGAGGATATTGTTGGGACATTATCACATAAACAGCCAAAGGTTATTGCTGCGGCTCTAGCCGCCCTTACTACGATTTACCATAACTATGGATGCAAGGTTGTAGACTCTAAACTGGCACTCAAGGCGCTACCTAAAGTTTTCGGTCACGCAGATAAAAATGTGCGTGCTGAAGCCCAAAATTTAACCGTGGAGCTCTACAGGTGGCTGAAGGAAGCAATGAAACCTTTATTTTGGGGCGACCTGAAACCCGTTCAACAACAAGATCTAGAGAAATTGTTTGAGGGCGTAAAACAGGAACCTGCACCCAAACAGGAACGATTCACGCGTGCTCAACAAGAAGCTTTGGCAGCTCAACCAGCGGATGGGGCTAGAGATGTGGCAGGAGATGGTGGTGAAGAGGATGGAGGGGAAGTGGATGTAGACGTTTTTGATCTAGCGGAACCCGTTGATATCATGCCGAAAATACCTGCTACATTTCACGAAAACGTTGCTTCTTCGAAATGGAAAGATCGAAAGGAAGCTCTGGATACTTTGTATTCGGCTGCAAACGTTCCACGAATTCAAGAGGGACCATTCGACGAAATTATGAGAGTTCTTGCGAAATGCATGAAGGACGCGAATATAATGGTGGTTACGGTAGCGGCCAACACGGTCGACGTATTTGCAAAAGGCCTTCGCAAGGGATTCGGCAAGTATCGACCGACTGTAATGGCACCGATCATGGAACGCTTGAAGGAAAAGAAACAAACCGTTGCTGATGCTCTCGGCCAGGCACTTGACTCAGTGTTTTCTTCAACAAGCCTTTCAGATTGTCTCGAGGACACTTTGGAATTTTTAAAACACAAAAATCCTCAAGTCAAGCAGGAGACATTGAAGTTCTTGATTCGCTGCCTTCGCAATACCAGAGAAGTTCCGTCGAAACCAGAGACGAAATCAATAGCAGAAGCTGCTACAAAGCTTCTCACGGAATCCAGCGAAGGCACTCGGTCAGGCGGTGCGGAGATACTGGGCACATTAATGAAAATCATGGGAGAACGCGCAATGAATCCTTTCCTTGATGGCCTTGATGACATCAGAAAAAATAAAATAAAGGAATTTTTTGAATCAGCACAAGTAAAAGCGAAGGATAGACCGAAGCCTATCATTGGGCCTCCAAAAGGCACTCCAGGACCGTCTACAAAACGAACGGTTGTGAAGAAATCAGTAGCAGGACTGAAAAAACCTGCTGCTGCTACTGTCGTTACAGAACAAGCTCCTGATGAACCTACTGTCACTCTTCAATCTCCTGCCAGGATAAAGCCAGGTGTTAAAGGGATTCCTTCCAAGGTCGGTGGCTTACCGAAAACTAGCGGCCTTGTAACCCCTGGCGCTGGCCTGAAGTTGCAAAGGAAGCTTGCTGGTCCCGGAGGAGCTGTCCCTCAGTTATCATCGCCACAACGTCGTGCAGCCTCACCACCAACAGAGGAGCTGACTGCAACAATGCCTGCTCTGCCTAAGTTTGGACTTGGGCGGGGTCTCGCAGGACGGCCGCTTGCAAAGCAGAGTGCCCCTATTGCAGACACCCCTACCCCGTCTATTCAGGCCCCATCTGGTCTCTCTGTCGTTGAAAGAGCCGAACTAGAAGAGCTTCGACTGGAAAAGGAGAGATTAACGAAACTTACTGACGATCTACGCTCGGAACGAACAAAACTCAACTCTGAAATAAATGAACTCCAAAATCAAAATGCGCAGCTCATAGAAGATCACACTAGAGACGTTTTAAGTATAAAGGCCAAAGAAACACAACTCGTACGCGCGAAAAGTGACGCTGAGGCAGCAGAGCAAACCGTGCAAAAACAGCAGCGGGAGATTGATAGGTTGAAGCGCGAGCTATCAAGATCCATGCGGGCAAATGAGGCCAGCCAACCTAACACATACGCTGACTATATCGGCTTAAACATGGGAGTCAACGATACCAGCACTGGAATTTACCAGGATGATAGTCGAAGAGGAAGCATGCACAATAGCTCTCGATTCGACGGCGCTCGACCAAGAAGCTACATCTCTAGCAGCCCAAGCGAAGAAAAGGAAAATAATGGTCTTACTTCTCCTGGCCTTACTTCGAGATTCTCTAGCCAACGGAAGTTTAGCCCCCCTGTGGGATCAGCATACTCTTCTGGGAGAGGAAGTCCTGCGAGAACGTCGATGAGAAGTGGGGCGATGGGTGCTGATGGAATCGCCTCTCAAGTAGAGCCAGCAGAGAACTGGAAGAGAGCAGCCGAGGTTACGAGTCAGCTTAAAGCAAGGATAGAACAAATGAAGGTGAGTCTAACTAGTATTATTATAGGCTTTTCTATTCATGTTTACAACTAACTCCTTATTAGGCGAGGCAAGGGCTCTCCCGGCCACCACCATCCCATTAGTACGCCTTTCAGCGAAGTGTTTGACCTTTACGATATGTTACGGCTTGTTTATAATATATTGCGTTTCCTCGTTTGTTTTTATTTTCCATCATGACAAAATACCCCTTTCCCCCATTTTTCTGGGACCCATTGATTTCCGGCGTCGGCATGTTAAAGAGTGGTTTGTTGGTGGGTTCACGGTTCGATAGGGGTTTCTATCATTAACCTCATGATCATTAACTTTCTCCCCATTTTATTCGAATTGCATGTTATAAGACGACCTTCCCTATTTTAATATCCATATGATTCTTTGGTTTATTCCATTGACACGTGTAGGGCAAGGAATGTGATGAATGATGGATTACGATAATCTAGTCTTTGATAGACCCAAATCATTTCCATATTGTGGTACTTCTTGGACTTGAGCCATGAAAAGACCACCTTGCGCCTGGGGTATATGCACATCAACAAAAGGGGAAGATATTAAAGAGAAATAGATGGCCATGCGCAAAGCCTTTAGATTACAATCCTAACTAGCCGCACACGGAACGCACAAAAGGTAAACATCAGTCAGACCTTGATAAAATCTTCACAGAGGTATTGATCGATGCCTTCCACTCGGCCTCAAACTTTTGAATGGAACGTCTCCATATCCATGACAGAAAGTATCCATTTCGTCGATATCAAAGTTGACATTCGGCATCATCCATCTCTAGGAAACACCATAATAATGGCTAAAGGGTTTAGACTTTAACCGCATTTTCAATGGCTCGACGCTTCTTTTCTTGCCGTGAAACAGCCTTGGCACCCATAATACCACCACCCCAATGGCGCTTAGACTCCTCGTACTTTTCGCTGTATCCCTCTTTAATAGCGGAAACAAGTTTAGAGAATTCGGTCTTGTCTTCGGCACGGACTTCAGTAAGGGCAACGACAGCGGCAGTCTAGGGATAGATCATCAGCACCTAACCATCGAAAAACCCGAGTTAATGTTTACCTTCTTATGAACCACCGTTCCAAGTCTAGCCTTGCCTTTAACAATAGCGTATGGAACGCCCATCTTGCGGCACAAGGCAGGAAGAAAAACAACAAGCTCAATCGGGTCAACGTCATTGGGGATAAGAACCAAGGACGCTTTCTTATTTTCGATCAAACCAACAACATGATTGAGACCATACTTGACAGTGTATGGCTTCTTGCTAACATCTTCCTTCTTCTGACCGGCTTCGACAGCGGTAGCCTCCTTGTGGAGACGCTCCTTCTTTTCAGCCTTCGATTCTGGTCGGTATTTGTTAAGCAACTTGAATGCCTGGGCAGCGGTATTACGGTCGAGGGTGTTCTGGAACTGAGCAATCGCTGGTGGAACCTTGAGGCGGAGGTTGAGGATTTTCTTTTGGCGCTGGAGGCGGACATATTCCGGCCACTTAACCATGCGAGACAGGTTGCGCTTGGGTTGAATGTCCTGGCCGATACCGAAGTTACGAGAGCGCTTCTCGATCAATGGGTTCTAAAACAAATTAGTATTATAATATCACTTGACCATAGCAATCGACTAACCTTTTGGCCCTTCTTACCAGCACCAGCCTTCCCCTGGGGGAAGGGGGCGGGAGCGACTTTCTTTCCACTCTTTGGGGGCTGTCATTGAGAAAAGAAGATCTGTCAGCGAATCTTGTTCACCAAGGACTGCATCTTCTATTTCTCTAAAGAGATACGACCAAGCTTTCGCTATGATCGAGTATCTCAAGCCATGTCATCACCGAATCACTGCCTCCAGAAGAGCAGATATCGATAGAATTTGCGTTTCAGCTGGACGGTCCATCCATAGCCAGATGATAGAAGATCTCAATAAACACATCAAACAATATATTCCTTACCATAATTGACGATTTTGGTGCTGGATTCTTAACACTAAAGAAGACGAACTGAGGATAAATCCCGAGTGGGAGATAGAGCTTGAATATCTTTTAGCGCAAAATTCATAAGCGAGCTAGGGTTGAGCCCTGAATTTATCACGTGATAAAAACAATAATGAGCTGTAACCATTATGTAATGATATGATATTCCAATGGACTGTCATACCTAGCACGTGACCGGGGTAGCTGGCAAGATGTAGAGTCAGATGCCTATGGACAGGAAGCTGGGAATTGATAATTAATTCTTTCTGCTGATTCTACTACTTTCAAGTATTCCCTAGCATAACCCCCATCTACTCCGTGCTCCTGGGAAGCGTATGAAAGTTCATATAAACTGGAAGGGGCCAACAGCCTCTAGCATCCAAATAAAGATATCTTGGTACTGAGATTTCACGAAAGGGCGTCCAAGTCACCAAGTTATGTAAGGTTAAACAAAAAATGTCGTCTCTATCTCCAGGGGACCCCCAGGCCGGGAATTCCCGTCCGCCCTATTCCGGCACTTGATGCCTCTGTCGCTTTCCTACGGCCTTTTAACCCTTCCTGACTCCTGACTCCTTGCACGATGCGATCCAAATTCGTTTCAATGACCACTCCTCCGACTATCATTTCCCCCAGAACTGCATGCATGGTTTCAAACCCAAAAATTAGGTCCAGTTCGCATACATTTTCAAACAAGCGATCCAGAGCCTCCACAAATACTTGGATTAAATCGATCAAAGCAAGAGGTGACTCGGTCGAGGTAGAAATAAGAATAAATGAGAGCGTAGCGTAGGTTCGATATACTACCTGGGTTGGATTGTCCGAATGACCAGGGGCCGAGCTTGGGGTTACATTTTGAGATAGTAGTGGAGGCAAAGGCAAGAAATTACAAGCGGAGGACGGACGCTGCGAAACGAGGCTGTAAATTTGTGATATTAAGCGCTGTTGGGTTTGTGTATCCTGCGAATGAAAACTGGGTCAGCTCGCGCAGATTTCCCCATGCAAAGTTCCACGTTACCAACTGAGTATAGAACTTTGTCAACCTAGGTTGTCCACTATTATTAAATACAAGAACGGCATTAATCATGGTCGTAAAGAAGTAGATGGAAGGTTTGGGATATTTGTATTCTTGCGACCCCAGGAGTATATTGTTGTTTTACACTTCAAATGGCATGCGCTGTAATCGCTGATAAGGTTGACTAACTATCAGCCTAAAGCTTGTTTGGCATGTTTGCACTCCTTATCTTCACCTTATCAGATTTGATATTCTTCATCCTTTAGCTACTCCCTACTCCGTACTCCGGACACTTCACGCTCCTTGGGTCAGAGGGAATTGTCTTCGATGAAATCTCCTATTCTTCGTTATCGCCATTTACATTTGTGGCGGCATTTATCCACTGGAAGAAACGACGCAACAGCGCCTGGCTTCACGAATATAGGCCCTGAACAGCTTCAATCCTCACCGGACCTATCTATATCAACCCAAGAGCGGCGACGGACACCTTTAACGAATGCTGCCATTGGTAACCCATTCCCAGGAACCTATTGTTTCTACCGGGATACCCGGCCTCCTCAGCAGCTTCAGCTCGAATACTCGGATCGCTTTTTTGCATCTTCCAAACATTCCCCGATCCACCTTTGGGCAAGCAATTTATTTCGCACTATTCCTATCTCATCCTTACCAGAAGTGGTATTCATAGGCCGATCAAATGTTGGCAAAAGCTCACTCATCAATGCCCTTGTCGGGCAAGATATCTGTGCATCTTCGAGCAAACCAGGGAGGACGAAAATTATGACGTCTATTGGCATCGGTGGGACGAAAGGCGGAGACTCTAAGATAGCGCTAGTAGACACGCCAGGATATGGGAAAGGGAGTCATGCAGAATGGGGGCAGGAAATTCAGAAGTATTTAGAAAAAAGAAAACAGTGTGTTTGTTTTGTTCTTTTGAAGACTTGCTCCGTACTAATGCTTGTCGGTAGGCTCCGACGTATTTTCCTCTTAATAGACGCAGCTGTGGGTCTAAAACCTAGAGACCATGATGTATTATCGTTTCTCCGCCGCTTCACTATTCCCTATCAACTTGTCCTCACCAAACTCGACCACGCATTCTTCCGCGATACCCGTAAATTTAAGCCAAAATCTCAAAACTCACAATCTGACTTGACCCTCTACGCACAAAATTCCCAAGTCATATTTGCATCCGCTCAGCCTATCAACCCTAAGATAGATGGTCCGGGACCTCTGGGTGACATGATTGCTTGTAGTGTGCAGGCTAAGAATAACAAGTACAAAACTCCCTCGACTGGTCTGAGTGCTCTTAGGTGGGCAATTCTTCTTGCCACAGGACTCGAACAAATCCCTCCGACGTTTAAATAAGCAAATATTGTATTATTATGACTTGTCCGCGTATCGGGGACAAAGGTAGCCTCATTTATATGCATGTGGGTCACGTCTATACGTATTTTTCAGCAGTATAACTATACCGAACGAGAACATAAAGCATGTATAATATGAAGATGAAACCTACAACTCCAAGATTTTCATCCCGTCTACATTTAGGGGGCCATGCAACTAAGACCATACCGCCGGTACATACATACATACATACAAGTAGTAAGAGGCCCAAAGATCGACATAAAATATACATAGGGAAGAAACAAAGCATCATGCCAAATGCTATGTGGCTGGTATCAAATCCAGATTCATGGCCCGTAATTCATACAGAAAAAAGTCCAATGGTATTCATTTTTCAAATACATCATTCATCGATCCCATTAACTCCACTTCCCGTAAGGTTCTCGATGAATATGGATGAATATAGTATGCATGCCGTCACCGCGCCATACATGACGAATCCTGTCGGAGTGCTGTAATCTCCTGGTAAATCTCTTAAAAAAAGGTTGCCCTGTGCGTTAAAAATAAGTAGGGTATCATGAATATCTAAAAAAAAAAAAAAGCAAAGTCATAGATGCCGCGGAGTCATTCCAACGGCGTAAGCAGCGGCCCCAGTGACGAGGGAGAGGAAACGTGGAAAAACGACTTCGCTAGGGCTGTTCATTCGATCCATCTCCTTCATCACCCTCTTCATTGTTTTCTTGTACTTCTTCACCATATTTATCGACTACGATTCTTTTTCCCAAACGCTCTGCAGGGGCTCGATCTCGCGATGCACCAAAGTCAAGAACCTGTTTGAGCAAACGTTAATATCAAAGCTAACGGCATTGTAGTAATAAACTTGCCTCGATATAAGTAAGCCGATCTCTCTGAACCGCCGCAACGCATCTTCTATCATTGAAACGAACTTGCCACACGCCGCTAAGCCCGGTGAGTAAATCTTTCATCCATTCTCCCGTCTGGATATTCCACATCTTAAGTGTACGATCCGAACCTGAAATAATCTTCTGACCGTCATGTTCGAAGCAGGTAATAGCACCTGTGTGTGCGCTGAGTGTACTTTTGCATTTGCCGGTTTCGGGATCCCAAATTCTGAGTGTCGAATCGGCGGCAGCAGATACTAGTTTGTCTGCCTGTAGGTCAAGAAGGCCGACAAGAGAAGTATGACCTTCCAGGTTATATAAAAGTGACCCATTTTCCAATGACCAAATCTTGACTAAATAATCCATGGAGCCACTGATACATCGGTTCCTCTTATAATCGAGAGCAACGCTGTAGACTTTATAGCTGTGGCCCTCCAGTCTATGGATAGATTCTCCAGTTGAAATTTTCCACACTCGTACTGTACAGTCATAACTTCCACTGACAAGTGTGTCTCCATGTGCTGCTATGGCACGTACGGAGTGGGCGTGTCCAGTCATTACCCGGATGAAATACGGACAAGAGGGGTCATCGGCGACAGACTGAAAGAATTTCTCGTCTCCCGGTTGTGGGAGCTTCCAAACCCGTAGGCTGGCATCCCGTGATCCTGTAATGATTAAGGGCTCCTTTGGCATTATTTCCGGAGATCCATCTGGTAACTGACCAACTTCAGTAGGTAACAGAATCTTTAGACATCGAACTGTTGAGGTATGCCCATGAAATACTTGGGTGCACTCGGCGCGGTCGATATCCCAGACTCTAACAGACCGGTCGGTTGACCCGGAGACTAGGGTGCTGCCATAGTACTCCAAAGCCCAAACGCCGCCTTCATGTCCTTCAAGAGTTCCCCTAAGAGTACCAGTTTTCGTGTCATACACATGAATGTTAGTATCATCACTCCCTGTTAAAATTTTATCCGTATCGAACTGCAAACACGTAACCACATGTCGATCATGGGCACGAAATGCCAGGTGTAATGGGGTAGCATCCGAATCCATCCAAGCATTCCGTATTTGGTGATGTCTCTGGTAAAGGGACTTGTAAAGATGGAGGTTTCGAAGACTTGGAAGGCCAATATCGGGAAAGGGGATGGCTGACGCAGCAGCACTGGCTGCCATCAGAGGACCTTCTATCTTAGAATCACGGGGCCAGTTGACGCATCTGACTTGGTCTGAAACGCAACATTCTAAAGCTTGCTTCTTTGCCGATTTCCGGGAAGGTGAGTGTGATGGGGCTTTTCGTTTGGATTTTCGGTAAAACGCCAATTCTTCGATGTCACTTGAGCGGCGAGCGACCTCGCGATTCGACAAATCGGAGCCTCTCTTCTTCCATCTAGAAGGTGTCCGGAGGTCTCTTTCACAATCATCAGCGTATTGCCAACCCCATCCTTCTAAAATTGCTCTGTCAAGTTCTTCTTGCGGAAGTGTAAAGCCAGCGGCATCAAAATGGTCTCGCCAAGTCTTCTCATCAGAATCAATAATCTGTCTCCACTTTTTGGAAACCTGAGAGGCCCTGCACATAGATCGTACATCAAGGAATTTGACGACGTTGAGGCTAAGTTCTGCGGGCAAGCGAACCAAGAAATCGCATTTCAAGGCAGGGTTTACTACGTCCGCCACAAGATGCAAGGTCGGCTTGGGGCACCGTCTCAGCAGTTGATACATAACGTATGATTTGAGGCCATCAGGTATAGACTCGAAGTAATTCAACATCGTTGGAATGTCCATCAGGGACAGTACAGGCGGGGATGCATCATCGTCCCTTTGTTTCTCAAGTTGCTGCGAGAAGGGAGTTCCACCACGCTCTGCACAGGAAGCTGTATTTCGCGCATTTGCTTCGTTTTCTGCGCCAGAATCTGGGTCATCTGGGTCCGTTTGGTCTTCTACTGAATCAAAGGAGATTTCTTGTTGAGAAGTGTTTAGAGCAGCTACTGGGGATAGCCTTGGACTCGGTAGAGGGATGTCGGCATTATTCTGATCAACAGCTGCCAATCTGGAAATAGCAGGGCGTGGGCGTCGCGGTTGGCCTGGTGAGTCAATACTTGATGGCATGGGTGGTACAAAGCACATACGGCCCAATCCAGCACGCCGGTTTAGCAATGGAGAGTCTACACCGTCACTACCAGAGATTTGTCGATTATCATCTACTGGAGCAGGAGAATCTTCATTCCGTTGGATGTTCACAGAACCCGATTGAGGTACTTTCTTGGACTCCTGTTTTCCTGTATTGAGGCTAAAACTGACGTTTTCCGTTTCTGGTGTAGCCAAACCGGCCACGGACTGGTAAATATGTCCAGGTAGCTGAGAAACAGGAGCGTCATAAATAATGCCCGATTGTGACGGGCCAGATACTGCTCTTCGTTCTGAGGGTGCAAAAGGTATAGGAGAAACCGGGCGTCGTCGTCTAGTATTCAAAGTGGCTGACTGGCGGGGTGCCACCAGTGAAATTGTGTGTGGCTCGGGGCGCAATGAAGGATTATCTATTATAGTTTTAATCGACCTAATAGTTCCATTTGAAGCATTTAAGTCTTCCTGCCGACGTGAAAGCTTGAAATTTAGTTAGTAAAGCTCATGAATATAGTCACAAAACAACAGAGAACCATGTATTCCTACCTCAGCTAGAGTGCTAGCTGCATCACTAGGCTCATGAAAAAGAATGGATTGTCCGTTGAGCTTGAATTTTATGTCTCTGAGCGATGCTGGGGTCGGTGCGCTGGCGAGAGGATACTCTTTCGGGTCAAGACTGTCCACAAGCCTTGGTACTCGCATCACCAAGGGTGGAAAGTTGGTTGTTGTGGTAGTCGTCGTTGTCACGATCGTAGTCTGAGTTGTAGGGGCAAATGAAAACTGCCCGAGTGTTGGCTCTGTATGTGGATCAGCCGGCAGTATAGCATCGTGGTTGACGTGGTCGAAATTGGATGGATATGCTGGACGAAGCTTTGCAGGAGATTTTACCGGGTGTTGGGACGCGTCTCCAGTGGCCATATTAACGCCGGGCAGGCAGGAGAAAAGGTGCCGTAAAAGAGGGCCCGTTAAATGATTTGAGGAATCCCGGAAGGTCGTTGCGAGGACTTTTCAGCCAAAGCCCCAAAGGGAAATTACCCAAAGGCAGACAAATACTCCGTATATTGGTTCGAGGTCGACCAGAAAAACAACGTCGGTCTACCAACAGTGCCGGGTAGCCCTGAGTTCAACGTATAAGAGTCGAGGAGCTAAGCGTGAGAAGAATGCAGAGGCGTAAAAGGGCAAGTCGGCGACTGCCCACGACGGCACCACGACGTCTCAGCTCTCGAAACTTTGCAGAACGGCCAGAATCATATCTAAGGGTGGTGAGACGGCTAGTAGAAGGCAGGAAATTAAAAACAAATAGGGCTATAAGTGAAGGGAGTAAGTAAACAGGTCGAGAAGCCTGATGGAAGAATCGCGGGGATAAGCCAAAAGGTGGATCAAGAGGTGAGGAATGGCGTTCAGGGCTAGGGCGAATACGCTGTTACACGCCTGATACACATCCATACCCCGTAATTTTAACCTTTTGCGCGGCAATCTCCGCCAAGATATTGTACAATCACGGTCATGACACATAACTACTTCAATGCCTGCACGAGTTCTAACAGCTATGGCGGCTGATATAACTACAACCCAGCTTCTCTGGGTTGTTGCTCGATACCCGGAATGTATGGTAGGCTGTTTCTTTATGAGTGGCCGCACGTACATGTGTGTTCTTTATCTGGATCTTTGGGCCCAAGGCTCCTGTATGGATAATCCATGCTGAAGTGCGTTCTTGAAACTAATACGGAGTACATGTCCTAGCCTTCCTGCCGCTGTCATCTCCATGTTTCTGGCCCCTTATGATGTCTCATCACAGTCTTCCTGAGACATCAGCCACTGCTATCCTTTCAATTCAAAAACGTTCTCCTGACAGAGTAGTTGCAGTTGATACGTACAACGCAACTCTCGTCAGTGACATTCAAGGGTATCTAAATTTGCATATATGAAATCAAGGGAATTCAATGCCCATTTCTAGCGCTTATTCGTCTATCGTACGGGTTGCAGTTATTTTATGGTGGAATATATTTCGAATGTGACCTGAGATCCTCGCCTGGGCACTCTATAAAAGGGAAGCCTTGATTAAATACGTTCGCTCAAAGTAGTCAATGTTCCCTAGAACCTAAGCCTACATGGACCCATCAGCCATTTACTCTAATACTCATATTTTCAGCTAGATGGAAATAAATATCATATATTATGTGACGCAAACTCATACAACATGCCACCTGACTTGAGTGGCCGAAAATGGTACTCACATGACGTTGGAAGCTACCTTCCAAACTTGCCTGCGAGCCATCTCCAAATATGAAATGCGAATAAAGAGCCATTGTTACGAATTATCTATATAGCGTCTAAAGATATCCTAGCCTGCACTATGCTCTCGGGCCCGCATCAAAAAAGTGTTGGAGGCACGATTGTCACGCATGCTGTGTCTAAGACGGTGGCTCCAAAGTCAACGCAGAAGGCGGATCTGGAGAAAATTTTCATAGCACAAAGGGAATCAGAGGTGTCGCAAGTCCTGGCATTACGGCAAAAACAGAGCCTGGAATTGGTCCAGATCATGTTGAATGCATCTGTTAGTAGAAACATGCTCCTTTTCTCTGTTATTAAGCCACCTAATTAATATGAAATGATAGATTGGGTCTCTATTCTATTTACGGTACGCTCATCTCATATTCTTCTTTCACATCTGCCTAACTTCTTCTATCAGAGGCTTCCTCCCATCCACCTGTTTCGAGACGCGCTATCTGGAAACTAAATCCGATTTACCCATTGCTTATGGGGATTTTATTGGCCCTGAACCCAAAGCAAAAGTACAGAAAGGTAGCCAACCCCTCAGAGTTCTATTGAGAAACAGAGACGCTATTGCAAATACAGTCTTGGATCTCTTGGTGAGTTTGCCCCTATTGTGGTAGAATTATGTTTAATTGAAATCAAAGGAAGGTGGGGTCTTTGACGCCCTGAGGAAACACGTAGTAGAAGCTATTCAGCTTACTATAAGCCGTGATAAAGAGAAACCACTGCATGTTTTAGAAAGTTACACATTTACCTTCGCGTATAAGTTTGAAGGTCTGGAAAAGGCCCTCACGAGTGTATCATTTTCCAATGGCAATTGCTCTATGGAAATGGGAACATTTAGATCCGCGAAAGTAGGGCTAGAGATGATCATCCGCCGCTTGATAACACTCAGCACCATTCTTCCTAGTCTCCCTTGTACGTATCATATTTGAACATTACTTTCTATTGCTGACTATATTATAAGCTAAACGATTTCTTCATGTTCACCTATTTTACAATGAGAATTGTCAACCAGAATATGAACCACCTGGTTTCGAGAGTACTGAGTTCGAATGCATTTCTTACCCACAAATTGAAAATTGGACCAAAGAAACGCAGTCGTGTGGCAGTATGGATGGCCCTTATCATAGGTGAGCCAAAAGGATCCCACCATTCTTAAAAGATATTGACAGTGTTTGTAGAGTTGGGTTAAGAGTAACTTCTTTAAGGTGGTCTGGGACTGGTGATAACGAAATCCCAGAAAATGTTGAGTATTCTGATCAGGTCTTCCGAGATTGGGATATTGGTATCGACAACAATACCGAATCTGCGGATAAGCTCGATAGGCACTCCAAGTGTGATTTTCAAGGCTTAATGCTCCCGACATTGTCCTTGCATGTTCCAGCTGCCCCTAATAATGACACCGGAAATTTAGACGTACCAGCATCCCCGTGCGAGTTCAGTCAAGCTCTCAAGGATGAAGCAGACAAAATGGCACTGGAAAAGATGGTAAGTAAAAAAGAAAGTATGATCTCTGGAGACCCATCAGTAGCTAATCTTTATTCTGAGCTGGAACCATCGAGTATTGACTCTGGTATGGCACCAACTCAGAAAGTCTTCGACTTGAATTTGAACGATAGCGCTCTTGCTGTAAAACCCCAGCTTTCTCAACTGAAAGCAACTAAAATTAGGAAAGAAAGGAATTTGTCCCCAATAGAGCGAATTGTAGTCGATAACAACAGCCTGACCAGCACAATTGGCGTGGATTGCCAATGCGGATGGGGTGGGGAAGAAGAGCAAATGGTTTGTGTTTTTGAAATCAGATACAACTGCTTTTGTCGAGCTAACCTGCAAGGTTCTAAGATAAGCTGCTACTTTTGCGAAGCTTCACAGCATTTAGGCTGTTACGGTTTTTCCAATAATCAAGATATAAGGATTCCAGATAAACATGCATGTTATAAATGCCTTTTGCTACCAGACGAAAAAGAAATACTGGATGAATTGAACTCATTAGTTCTTCTGCGACGCGCCATGCATATAATCTTGAACGAGGGGTATCAAAATAGCACCAAGGCTTTTGCAGAAAAGTTGCGTAAGTGAATAATGTTCTCTCCGCAGGTTCATTTACCGGAGTACTTATGCCTGGATCAAAGATTGCAATGGCCAAACAATTGTGCAGATAACAGACCTATTAAAAAAGAGGGGATTTTTGAAAGCCACACCAGGATCAAAGAGGAAAGGGTTTGCGGGCAGGGGCCTTCCAAGCTTTGTAATCCCTGAAACTCAAGTTGTTCGTGAACTGATTTACAAGGAAATCCTTGATCCTTTTGCAAAAATATCTCACCATGTAGGCTCTACGATACAAAGAACCCTCAATTCACGGATGTATTATTAACCCAGTCGCTTAGTACACGATCCCTCGTGTTGCGTGGGCGCCACTCGATCGGGGCTTAAACGAGTATAATACAATCCATGCTGAATTTGGATCTTTCCGCGACTTAAGGCGTTGCCATTTGTGGCCTTTGGACGAAAAATTAAATTTTACAAGTGAGGACAGCCCATTGTCCATTGCTGCATCGGTGGATCCGGGCTGCCCTAAGGTGAACAGTCGACAATGCGTGCCCCTGGTCGGATTCAAACTCCGGAGCCAGGGTAAAAAGCGAAAGTTGAGCAATGCCGCGCAAGCTCTTGATATTGGCGAGCGCGCCGACCTAGTGGAAGATGATAGCAGTTAAACAAAGTTTTCATGATAAAGGGGAGTGCGCCGCTTTGTGAGATTCGCTTTACAACTTCGGGAGTAATAATTGCAGGCTTTCAGTATAGCAAAGCCAAGGGCCGTTCTTTTTGATTTCCGCATCCGTCTAACGTCTTTCGATGAGAGAGTAGCCACGTTAATGCCAGTATATATATCTGACAGCTTCTTTAAATAAGTATTATTATATAATTAACTAGAAAAACTGGTGTTATGGCCAGATGTTTATACTCCGTACTAGCAACTGGCTGGTTATATCCTGCGAGCCGTGCAGCCAACATGGCTAACAAACTCTCCATGCAATCCAGCACAGTGGGTTCCACAAGCGTTAGTTACTCAGCTTATAATTACTCTCGGCAGCGTTTCGGAGAGACGGGGGCGCTCCGCATTCTCTCAACTGAGCTGAGGTTGGCCTCGATTTGTGGCCTGTCATGCTTCGGCAGGCTACCGCCTTGTATCGAAGCTGTTGGTGCCAGAGACAGTACCACCAGAAAATTCATTCTTTCGCTTTGGGTACTCCGTATATTTTTACCCCGTATGGAGTACTCTTGCTGCATACGCGACAGCGAACTAACTAGTTACCTAATTATCTTCTATCGCACCCTTGTCACGCAAGGAACAAGCCTTTCCACATCGGTGGAACGGTGGTCTAGGTTATATGTACCTCAACTTCATTTCGACCGATGAGAACTGTTGCCGCAATATCCTTAGCCCCCGTGGAACAGAGCAGTCGGTCAGACGGCAAGACGCTTCCGTTTCCTTGACAGTCAAGCCGTCCGACTTCAGGATGCTGTCGGGGCTAGTCAGCATTTCGACCATGGCCATCCAGCTAGGCAACGTCACATAGCCTAGATCCTTCATTGATGTAGGGCTATTTTTGTGTCGCCTTCTCATGATTCGCTGGACACATCATATCGAATCACTGGGAGGCACCGGCCCGTCGACGGTGTGGATTGTGTGGACTGGCGATACGTGTCGAGTGGCGCCCTCCATGACGTCCAGAAACTGTGGCTGTTCCGACGCGTTGCTGAGAAGCCAGCCTCGCAGCGCAACTATCAGTGCCGATCTTTCAAGCGCCCGGTCGTCTCAAATCGTGGCCAGAGCTTGCGACGCACCACTGCATTTCTTTCCGAATTAAGCGACCACAGGATTGTCCAGCATGTCTCCCAAGCAGGGTGCCCTGGTGTCCTAATGCAGAGCTAAGCCGAAAATATACCTGGCCGCTCCACAGCTTGGGCCTATCTTCCTTTGGTTAACCGAAACCTCGCGGAGAATTACTTCGATGTTCCTTCGGCTTGGGAAATTTTGAACTGGTCTAACTAGTTGGCTACTGAAAGCTCCAGGTCGCACCGGGATATCTGTGTCCAGCCCATCAACCGCACTTTTGGGCTTGCGATGGCGGTTTCACAATGTTTTTGCAAAACAGTTTCATTCGGACGCTTGCGAACGAGAGTACCAAAGAGTCTCGTGTTTTCAGGCTTGCTTCCCGCCGGTTTCTGCAGGTCAATCGCAATCAATGGGCGGATGAATGTACCCGATCTGCATCTCACAGCATACATTTAGGCTGACGGAATTTCCCGGCTTTTTTTCCGTGGGGCCGCGAGGATCTTTCAAAGCTGCTTAGCAGCGCTTGATCTGAAAAAAAAGGAAATACGGAGTACTGAGACAAATACGGGCTCTGGGGTTTTCTCTCTTTTGACAGTCCCGATATCCATGCCTTCTGTGTTGAACAAGTCCGTCATCCTGGACACCTTATGCTAAAGATGGAACTCGTTACGATACCTTAGCAATTGCGGCAGCTGTATATAAGCACGGAGGTCTAGCCGTGTATTTTCTTGATTCCCATCTGTACCATTCTGAACTCTGGATCATTCTCGGCTGTTACATGCAGCTGCCCATGATGCGGTTAGGGATATTCTTGCTAGCAGCAGCAGCTGCCATTGACTTTCCTGCTCTTGCTTATCCCTGGCAGGAGACTCCATTGACACCTAGATCCGCAAGCTTAAGATCCCGGAGTGGGCACCAACGAAGGACCACCGAGAGCCAGGCGACTTGCAGCTACGACAAAGAAGTCAGCGTGAAGGCACCTCGCAAAAACGTTTTCCTCGGTTTGGAAGGCAGTGAAGTCGCTGCGGTGACCAAATTTCTTCATGACCAGCCAACACTTAATCTAACCGCGGCAAGCAATGCTACCAGGTAATCATACCATTTTCTGGATAGCGCAGTGAATGAATTTTGCTGATGACTGAATATGCAGCTGGGACAACATAATTGTGCTTGTTGAGCTATTGCAGCCGAATAAATCAAATGCGTTGCCGTACTTAAATGATAACGGACCTGCTCCGGATCGCTATGCTAGAGCTGGTATACAATTCAGGGCAACTGAAGAACCCTACGTCCAAGATTTTATGGTTGGGCCTCTCCCGGTTTCAAGTCGAACAACGGTGCAGCCGCTCAACTATATCTACAACAAGGGTATAGGGAAACAACGGATATTCCATACTGATTTGGAAGAGGAGATAAAGTTTTATAAAAGAGTCGGTGCTAGTGTTGCTGATATTACTCGTGATCTATGGAATGGCGTGAGAATCCTTTTCTTATTCTCCAATTGACAGTGAATTAGTGCTAACTTGGATGTCAGACCTTCATGGGTTTGCAGAATGATACCCTTTTTATGAAGGGTTTCGAGCCTCTTTGGATCGATGATCGTTCCGTCGTAACGTGGTGCCAGTTCTGGAATTACCCCACTGGCACACCTGATGATCGTGCCGCACTGCTTCCTCTTGGCTTATACGTAAAATTGAACATAGCCGGAAGAGATCCAGCTAAATGGGCAGTACTCGGATGGTTTTATAATGGCATATTTTACAAAAGTACCCAAGCGTTTCGGAGGGCTTACTTCTCTCCTGGATTTGAGAAGCTTTATGCAAACATTGACGGAGCTTGGGCCCAGCTGAGTAGAGATGGTGAGCCTTTTCGACATGACACAATCGCCGCTCCATTGCAGGTTCAGCCAGAAGGGGCGCGATTTGCTGTTGATGTACCTGAAAAATACGTTGAGTGGAGTAAGTTGAGACTATCAAACTTTCTTCCCCTCCGCATACTTAAAGTTTGGAATTAGTGGACTTTTCCTTTTATATCGGATTCAGTAGAGATACTGGGATGCGACTCTTCGACATTAGGTACAGAGGTGAGCGGATAATATATGAATTGGGGCTTGAGGAAGCGCTCTCTCACTATGCCTCAAATGATCCAATGCAGTCGGGTGTTGCGTTCTTGGATTCTTTTGAAGGGTTTGGCCGTGTGGCCTATGAACTCGTGAAAGGCTACGACTGTCCATTCCATGCGAAATTCCTAAACACTTCGTTCTTCACTGACGAGCAAACCCGCATACATAAGAATAGCATTTGCTTGTTTGAGATGGACACTGGCCACCCCCTCCAGCGCTATGCGTCGTCGCATACTATTAGTATTACTAAAAACATGGTCTTCACTGTCCGGAGCGTCAGCGCTGTAGGCAATTATGATTTCATTTTTGATTACGAATTCTACCTCGATGGTTCGATCCATGTGACGGTTCGTCTTTCAGGATATATCCAGGCGGCGTACTGGGCGCATAATGCCGATTATGGAGTCAGGATTCGCGAGAGTCTTTCGGGGTCGATGCATGACCATGTGATCAATTACAAATTGGACATGGACGTTAACGGCACCGCGAACAGTCTAATGAAGGCGACTGTTATTCCCACGAAAGAACAGTGAGCATTTTCTGCCCCTCCAACTTACCCCGTGGCTTCAATATAACAAACTTTGCAGATACCCGTGGTCAGACGGACAATGGCGACATACAATGAAACTAGACAAGTCCTTCATAACAAATGAGCGACATTCGAAGATCAACTGGGATCAAAACCAGGCCACTTCGTATTTCATTGTAAACAAAGATGCACCAAATAAATATGGAGAGTATCGAGGGTATCGGATTGCTCCTGGTATGAAACCTACCTCCTGGCCCCTAACACGTTGGAGAAAAGTAAATACTGACTCCAGATGATTTTGCAGCGACAAGTGCGACATCGTATCTCACAGTGAAAAATTCAGACAATTTGAAGAAAAGCGGTGGCTGGGCTACGCACAATCTTTATGTTCTGAAAAACAAAGACACCGAGCTTCATAGCCATTCTCCATATAATAACCTCGATGCTGGAAAACCAGTCATTGATTTCAACAAATACTTCAATGGAGAGTCATTGGATCAAGAGGATTTGGTTCTGTATGTGTAGCACCGTACCGATGAGACATATATGAACCGCCAGCTGACTGTCGTGATGCTAGCTACTTTAATTTGGGAATGCACCATGTCCCCGACACTAGCGATTTGCCCAACACAGTGACAACAGTGAGTGAAAAGCTAGCCCTGATGTTGATTGCTAGGTGTGCTGATATATACTCCACGGCGTAGAATGCCCATTCTTCCCTGGCCATTGTCCCCCATAATTACCTTCCTTCAAACCCCTCACGAGCTACTCGTCAGCAGGTCCGTGTGACGTTTGGAAACGATAAACCAACGCAAGTGGAAACGTTTGGAAGTGGCCAGGCCAAATGCAGTTTTGACATGGTAGGATCCTCATTTTATCTCGTCTCACATTAGCTCTCTTTCTTGAAGCTTAGCTAATTGCTGTGTTGTATAGCAAAACGCGATCCCCGACCTCTCGGATTATAAGGGTGATGTTGTCATTCCAAAATACCCATTCTACTTGCCTGGGAATGCGACGTACGCGTCCTGAGGACCTGGCGATTTTAGGCGGGGAGGCTGGTGCATTTATTTTCATGGCATGTCTTGCATTTTGTACAATTTATTTAATAGTTTATTTTTTTTTAAAGCTTAGGAGCTTCGCAGCACATGGGTTTGGATGTGAGGATGTCTAAATGGTGAAGGTTTTCTGCATTTGACAAATTTCCTTTTCCAAGCCAGGTATAGCTTGCCAACTTCACATGGGCAGGGACGGGCACAGAAATTCAGTTTGAAACCATGGAGAAAGGAGAATTTCATGTTGCTGGCTGATTGGCAGTAGATAGGATTTCGAGCATATAAAATAGGGGGTGCGAATAATAATGAACAGGTTCATGACAAATAACACCCCTTTTTTTGGATGCTCAGCCAATCTGCTACGTAGTTAGATGGGCCAGCATCGCCTTACCGATTATCTCCACAGAGAGTCGCAACAACACCGGTTTCATCAAAGCTGACCAGCTGGCCACCGGTGGAGTTCTCCGGGCAGAACTACGCTTCAAGCCTACGAGATACTCTTTGGCTGGGTAGGGAGGCCATATTCGGAGTATAGAGTAGGGCTTTACGTCTGAAAAGCGCCATGTGGCGGGCTCAGAAATCCGGAGAGGGACGAGGGCAAGAGAGCAAAGAAGCTAGTTCCAACAAAGCCGCCGTTTCAGGGAGCTGTTTCATCCCCGAGCACGGACTGCCAGGTGTCATGCGGGTGTTTTGCCGGTGAGGTCGCGAGGAGAGTTAGCTAACAAGCTGGCTAGCCCTCTGCGGGGGGGCAACAAGCAGCAAGGCGGGCAAAATCGAGACATTTCCAGGTCCAAACCAGGCCCATTCCCGCCTCCCCCCTTTTGGAGGCTTCAGACGGCGCTATTTGACACACAGTCCCGGCGGCGGCGGGCGGTTCGGCAAAGAAAGTGATGAGCGCCTAGGCCGTGTGTGGCAGTTCTTGGAGGCCGGAGGAGAAGTTTGCCCAATGGTTCTCAGCGCCAGCGGAGCTTGAACGGGTGGACAAGCAGACGATCAGCGCTCTCCCAAGAACGCAGGGCGCGCACATCGCGACTATCCGGCTGGCGGCTGGCGAGTTTGACGACGCGGTCTCGGGAGCGCAGGCGGTGAGCGCATTGGCCCGGGAGCAGTCAGTGTGTGACGGGCGGCACGACCGGGCGGGCTATGCCGTTCTGTCTTGTTCGACCTGAGACGCGCAAAACAACCTTTAATAATAATACGTTAATAATGAACGCGGGCTCGCGCTCCGCCGTCGCTAAAATTAAAGCGCGCTGACGTGAAACACGGGCGTACGGAGTCGATAGTGCGGCGACGGCGGAGGGTGTGCGCAGCGTCTTGGGGGCCAGCAAAGGAGCGCCCCCCGATTGAGTTTTTGGGGTCCACCGCCCGCCAGCAGCGCGTCCATCGCCCGCTTGCGCTGCAGGCGAGGCGGGCCCTCTGTCATTCGCCTTGGCTGGCGCTGCCGGGTTGATCCTCGCCGGCGCAGAGAGAGGGGGTCTTCATTCAGGGCCAAGCAGGCGCAGAGGGCCATCCATGACGGGCTGCAACAAACCAACGACTATCATCAACCTACACGGCCGTTGCTGCGCGGCAGAATAGGGGCGAGGATGCTGCGCTAGACGCCAAACTTTGGGCTGGGGGCGCGTCCTAGTATGTATCTGCGTTTTTGCCCCCGACACATTCACTAAACTACCCGACGAGCACTCGATCCACGGTTGGCGGCCTCGACATCGGCGAGCCGGCCAAAAGCCTAAAAGCCCGCCAGGGCCCGCCGCATGTGCGCGCCGTCATTCTCGCTCGTGGCCTGCCGGTGCTTTCTTTTTCTTTTTCTTTTTCGTCTGTGTCTACTTCGTACTACTGCTGCTGCTTTGTGCCGTGCGACCAATCGTCCCGGCCTGGCTGCTGCTGTTGCGCCGTCGAGCTGTCGCTGATTGGCACCAACACTGCATCCATGCATGCCCGCGCCCGCTCCCATGAAACATGCCCATCTCGCTCTCGATCCCGCGGCCCTCCAGCCTGTCCGCTGCGTCCCACGATGCCGGCCACCACCTGAGTCGCCGTAGCAGCGCCCGATACCACTCGACGCCCGCCGTCGAGCCCGCGCAGCCCAGCCACAAACGCGCCTGGCACCATGCTTCCTTTCGGCGCCAGCATTCCAAGCCATCCCCCGAGGATTCCCTTCATTTTCGCGTGGCGATGCTCGATCCTCCGCGGGAGAGCAGCCCGGCGGCCTTGGGCGCGGCGGATTCGCGCTCCAACGGCGTGTTCTCGGCGCATGTTATGCAGCACCGACCACCATCCCCCCCGCCGCCCGCCCAGGTATATAGGCGAAGCCATGCGGCATTATCATCCTTGAATGCAAGCTCAGAAGACCCTCTGCGCTCGTCCGAGCCTCCGGCTGCACACGAGTCGCCCGCGTCTCACAAAGCGTCATCCGCCAGCGACCACAGTGCCAACGGCAATTTCCCACCTGCGACCCAGCACCAACAGTTGCAGCAGGAGCATGAGAGCCCGGGCCATAAAACCCACCGCAAGTCCTTCCGATTCAAACATCGACCCTCCATGATTGACTTATCGAAGCTGTTCCCTCGCCCGCGGGACACCGCGCCGCCCATGCTGTCTCCTCATCGCCTCACGGCGTCGCCGTCCCCGGTCTCCTTTCTGTCAGAGTCATCTCACAGTAAACTGAATAGACTGGACAGACTTCTGTCCGGCAATAGGCTCACCAAAGTGCCGAGAGCCAAAGATGCGGCGGAGATCTATCAGAAAAAACGAAGGGACCATGAAGACTGGGCGCGGTCCCACCACGTGGAGACGCCAGACTTCTACCAACAGCAGCAGCTGTTGCAAGCCGAACCATTGGTGGGCCCGACGTTATCGCAGCGCCGAAAATACGATGGCTGGCGTGACCCGACTAAGTATCGGCATAAAGCCGGCCCGGATTGGTTTGATGGCCCGGCAGGGCAAGTCAGCGATGACGACAACGAGAGCGCGACGGGCGGCGCGGAGGCTCAGGATACCGTCCCTGCCATGCTGGCGGCTCTTCAGGAAGCCACCCGCCCAAAGCATGGCAGCTTGGGCTCGATGAGCCGTTCGAAGAAGGCCTCCCGGCTTTCAAGGAACTCAAGTCGCTCCGTGCAAGCTTCTTCTAATGGTTCGACCATTAAACCCTCTTCGACTGTGCAAGATCCAGCTTCTCGATCTGCCTACCGTGGAAGTGCAATGCTAGAGGAGAGTCTAGCAGAATGGGAACTAAACCACGGTCCTACTTTCTATGGAAATGGTATAAACAGTGGGAATAAAACCGTCGATATTTCGAAGAAGAACAGCAGGTTGTCGCTCAATGTCGCAAATCTCAACGAAGCTAGTGTTCTCTGTCTGTCGTCGTCGGAAGATGAAGCGGATGATGACGGTGAGGATGCGACGTCTAGTTACGTCAATCGGTCAGTGCTCCGCGACAGCATCATCACGTTCGATGAAAACACCGAAATCTGTACCGCCCAAGCGGTTGAAACGCGACTACGACGGCCTCCCAAGAGAGTGCCGGCGAGCCACCCCGTCCAGAATCGAGCGACTCGGTCTGCAGCACCCTCGAACTACGACCGTTCCACCACATCTAGCGTGCGTTCATTTAATCTCAGTCAGAGCGGCTCTCTAAGGCATTCTCGCTATATTCCAAGTATATCCGAGCCCCCGAATTCACCCCTACCTTCTACTCCAAATCGAGAGAAACCCTTCCCGACTTCTCGCCCTCCGTCCGGTCGACAGCAAACCGGTTCCTCGACTAATCGCCGAAGCAGATACATCGCCGTTACCCGGCAAGAAGAGCATCTCCTCGAAACCATACGGCGCAACAAAGGCAGCATCCCGCCCAGCCTTGCCCTAGACGGGAATTACGAGCGTGAAGGCCGACACACGCGACCGTCGTCGATGTACGCCACGGATGTTTCGTTCCTGAAGCTCAGCCGCAGCGAGACCCCGCGCAAAGTGCTGAAATTCAACGCAGACACCGGCACTTTTTCTGATGTCGGCTCGAGAGCCGTATCCGACGCCGGCGACCTAGCCACCGACTCCGGCAATTCTCCCCGAACCAGCTTGGTCCACTCGGACAACTTCCCATCGCCCTCCACGGGATTGGTCTCCCCTCTCACCCCAACCTTACCGCCTCCCCCCCACTGCCTCTCTCCGGGAAAACCTGTCAGGCACGCCAGATTCCCTCGAGCTGCCCTCCAGGATGATATGCCACGCTCCAGATCCCGCACTGGCAGCGGCAGTGCGATCGTCTTTGACTCCGAGGCCGCTGCCGGAAAGGATGCCGACAGTGAGGATCTGCCCATCTGGGCACTTGGCTGGAACAGCAGCGACACCTCGAGCGTGGCCGTTGTTGTTTAAGTTCTTGCCCTTTCTTTCTTTCTTTTTTTTTTTTTATAAATTTCTCGAGAGTGGAGGATCGGAGATGCTTTCGTGCTGGGCATCGTGTCTCTTATCATTTTCATTAGATTTCTTTTCTTGTCATTTTTTTCTTTTGTGACCTTCCTTGATTTTGGAGATCGGCTCAGGTGGCTCGAATTGGTAATCCCTTGCTTTTCTCCACTGGGGACGGCAACAGTTGTATGGTTATATTTTGTTTAATTGGACATGAGATATCTCATGGGCTTTGGATATGCCTTGATGATTGATGTTTGAATGCGATGGTTTTCTTATATTATACCTGTATCTATACTCTTCTCTTTGCCTCGTCATATTCTATTATTGTTGAACCGAAGTGGTTGTCATCTGTTGTCTGCCTCGACGTGGGGTACGGTGTACATTAACTAGTCATAGGGTCCGGCGCAGATTTGATCAATAATGGCATGACAGCAGAGATAATTAGTCTTAGACAGGCTTGACGACGGACGTCGTATGGATATGAGCATAATTCAGCCATCCCTCGCCACCACTCGACAAGAAACCGTGAATTTCACAAGCTTAGATTGGCGCTGCTTATCCCCCTTTAGTTACCCCGCAGAGCCACAAAGCTGCGCAGCCATTATGGAGAAGAGGTGAGGCGAACAGACACACACAGAAGGCGGGCCATTCCATCAACCGAAGGTGATACACTCGGACGAAAACCGCTCGCGACCATATCGCGAACAGAGCGTGAAGCGTGGCAGTTCGGCCCTCCGTCGGACCTTTGCCCTCAACTTTGGGTTGTCACCCCTGAAGCTACCAGGGAAGCTCCGGAAAATGACCAGGGATGATGCTCTGCACAGCATGGCCCGGTGGAAGGATCTGGAGGCCCTGCAGAAACCCAACGCTAGGGGGGGGCGTCGGGCTTCCAGCCAATGTGCGCCAGCAGATGTCAGCGGTCAGGCATGCGCGATCGCTGAACGTAGTCAAGCGGCCGGGCAAACAAGCCTTTGCCTGGAGAGCCGGGCAGGGGTGCGTGAAGTTCCAAGGCTGAGACCGCTATTTTGCCAGACTGGCGGCCCTGAATAATATGCAGACGCAAAACAGTCCGGTGCCAAAAGCAAAAAAAAGGAAAAATAGTAGTCAGATAAAAAATAAAAAATAAAAACGCGTGCTCGTGGACTGGCCGGCAATTATTGGAAGTGTGAAAATATTAGCCCGGATCTCCCTGCATGTGTGTGGCTTGCATCCCAGTCGCCTCTCCTCATTCTTCTCCCTCTTCCTCTCCATTCGTCTCTCGCGTTTTGACCTACTGCCTGCTTTATTTTTTTTCCACCTTGATTTCTACCTTGCTTCATCAGCTATTCTTTCCAACCCTCCTATCGCCAACTGCTGGCCACAACTCCACCCAATTCCAAACGAACACATGTGTGTCGCCACAGCAACTCTTGGTACAAACACAAATCAAGCGTTTTTGTGTTCCTGACTTCCACACTTCCCCGGACGACATCATTGTCACTTGACAAAGGAAGCTAAACACCAGCCGCGCTGAGTCGTTCAACGAGAACACGGCTCCCTGAGCTGTTCAACATGGGGAGAGACATGCAGAAACAAGCAGCATGGATGGGAGTGCCGGTGAAATATGTTGTGCTGGTTTTGGTATGGTGTTTTTTGGTGAACTGTGCCATGGGTAATGTGCTAACGGGGCATTGGATCTATTGCTAGCTGACAATCCAATGTTCTGCATTTGTTCTGGTATGGGTTTGAATCAAAAAATTTTTCTTGTTGAATTTTTTCCTGTGCATCCTGTGATTTGCTAATGAATATGGCGTTATGGGTTGCAGTTGCTTCATTATTCCAGAGTTATGCCCGTTGTTGGCGGCCGACGATATATCACGTCCACCGCTGTGTTCCTAAGCGAAGTCGCCAAACTTGCAATATGCTTGACCGTTGCCCTTTATGAAGTATCGCGGTCCATTCCTCCTTCCATGCCAGCGACATCTTTGTTCGGTTCTCTATCTGCCGCCATCTTCACCGGTGATAGCTGGAAGCTTGCCTTGCCCGCCGCCTTGTACACCGTAGCTAATTCCCTGCAATACTTGGCCCTATCGAACCTCGAGGCGGCGCAATTCCAAATTACATATCAATCCCAGCTCATCGTTAGCGCGATCTTTGGAGTGGTATTGATGCGTAAGAATATATCATATGGGAGGTGGATAGCGTTATTGTTATTGATTGTGGGCATTGCAATGGTCCAAATCCCTCCGGTCGACCCCCATGAACTGGACCGTCGGACACATTCGTATCTTCCTCGACGCCTGTCGGATCTGCAGCATCTCGCAGCCGCTGCAGCCCCTGTTTTGCGAAAGCGATCTGCTACCTATGAGGGCATCCAAGATGATATAATCCAGGCCCACCCACCGTTCGACACCCGTGTAGGCCTTCTTACTACCTTGGTCGCCTGCCTTTGCTCCGGCCTTGCAGGTGTGTCGTATGAAAAGGTGCTCAAGGAGAGCAACCAGTCCGTCTCCGTCTGGGTCCGAAATGTACAGCTGGGAATATATTCCATCGTCCCAGCCCTCTTTATCGGTGTTATATTCCTCGATGGTGAGCAGATTGCCAAGCGTGGCTTCTTTCACGGATACAATTGGAGCGTCTGGGCCGTCGTCGCCGTTCAGGCTATCGGCGGCATTGCCACGTCTTTCTGTATTAGCTATTCGGAGCTTGGCTTACTACAGGCTTCCGGTGCCATCAGCGTGATGATCGTTTCGATAGCAAGCCCCTTCATTTTTGATAGTCAAATCTCTGTTTATGTGAGTTCTTGGCCTGGCTTCTACATCATTGAGAATTGAAACTAATGATCTCTTTCAGTTTGTTTTCGGAACACTTGTTGTCCTTGCTGCATGCTTTATCTACATTCCCGGCTCGGCGATTTCAAAACTTGAACCTCGACCTCGACCTCCTCCAATTCGAATTCAAGATTTCGAAAAAGCAAAGTCGTCACCAGATACCTCGGATGGATCAGGAGAAGGCTATGCTAGCCCACCGAATGATTTTTCTATCAGGTTACCCACAACCCCGTTCTTGTCGGATGCAGGAGCGCTCACCACTTCGCGCCCCAATTCCCCCTCACCAGCTAGACATCAATCTAAGGCCCAATCAGCTAGAGGTGGTTATTTTGGAAGACCTCGCCATGACGGCTGATATCTAATTGGCGCGTCATTTTCGCATATATGTTTCAGAACCACGATATCCAGGATGTTTTTCTATTCTATTATTTGGTTGGAAAACAGGCATCTTTTTTAATTGAACATATCAGATGCAGCCTTGGGAGAAGGTCATAGGATAATGTAAAAGCTACGATGGAGTTTGGAGTTTGTCTATTTTACACCCCATTTAAGCGAAGCGATACTGCAACTCACAGCTCGTCTTTGAATTTCTCGCAGCCCAAGTTGAGCAATTTACAGTCAGGGGATATCGTATTAGCTATGTCTCTTTTTTAATTTAATATACCCTTTTCTGCATTTTTTTCGGCCTTGTTTTGTGGTTGAAGTGATACCCACGTATTAGGTATCCTGCTCAATGCCCTCAGGAGTCGCCAGGGGTCTTGCCTAAAGGGGATGGAAACGGGTCTAATATCACGTGTTGGAGGGGCTTTGTCGCCTTACTTCCTCATCAGGTAGGCTCACCACATTCGTTTTTCAATCCTTGGGTGTTGGGCCGATGATTCTGTTGTTGCGGCATCTCTGATGGCCAGGTAGGCTAGAACAGTTAAGCTAGGTCTGCTGGAAGCCATCTTCTAGTATACCCGCCATGGGTAGTGACGGAAAGACCGTGCCGCATCTTCTCAGCACTTTCAGATACCCTGCTACTAACCGTAGCAAGATATCCTATGGCATCAACAAGAGAGGGCCTGCTTCTCAAACCGTATCCCCTCGTCGAGCATGGCCGACGCCTGGAAATAAACCAAGTATCCCTGGGGTAGCCTTGATGAAAGCCCCATTTGAAGAAGACGACTTGGCGTTTGATGCTTTTGGTAAGTCATACTTGCCGATGACGCTCTATCATAGCCTATACTAATTGTGATCGTAAAGATAGGGAGCTGTTGGCACAACTGGAGCATGAACAACTGGATGTTCCCGAAAACGGCCCAAATCCATTTTCTTTTCGAGGACAGCCGTATACACCAAACTCGAAGCTTTCTTCTAGTAACCTTCGTAGCTGTAAGTCTGACAAACCCCTTGAGGAAGGCTTTTTGCTAAATCTTTCCTACAGCTGCTACAGCTGCCGCCCCAACAGCTTCCTTTCGGGGAGTAGCTTCAAGTCCTTCGGATGCGGTACCTTTTGGTAGTCCTTTGAACACGTCGAAAACCTACCAAGGGGCCTCGGTTTTTGAGGCAGATTTTTGTGAGGTTGCAAGCCCTCACTGGCCGAAAAGGACAATATTCTCATCTCCACATACACCATGTCCGCCGGGAAGTGCTACTCTTTTCACCAGTGCCTCTCCCTCTAAGATCAATTTGAGTCACGCACCACCTATAATACAAGGAATACAACTTGTGTCTACGCATGACTTACCCGACAGGTTTCGCTCCATATTTCCTTTTTCTGTGTTCAATGCAATTCAGTCAAAGAGTTTTGATACAATATACCACACAGACGACAATTTCGTTCTTTCGGCTCCCACGGGGAGTGGGAAAACGGTGGTCATGGAGCTGGCAATATGCAGGCTACTCTCAACAATTAAGGATAGCAGATTCAAAGTAGTTTACCAAGCACCGACCAAATCGCTCTGCTCTGAACGCTTTCGTGACTGGCGTGCAAAATTCTCTAGTCTTGACCTACAATGTGCCGAACTTACAGGAGATACGGATCAAGCTCAAATGCGCAATGTGCAGCATGCAAGTATCATTATCACCACCCCTGAGAAGTGGGATAGTATGACGAGGAAGTGGAAAGACCATTCTCGCCTGATGCAACTCATAAAACTGTTCCTTATTGACGAGGTCCACATTCTCAAGGAAGCACGGGGGGCAACATTGGAGGCAGTTGTGTCAAGAATGAAATCGGTGGATTCAAACGTTAGGTTTGTCGCCCTCAGCGCGACTGTTCCAAACTCAGAAGATATTGCGGCGTGGTTGGGGAGAGATCCAACAAACCAACACCTTCCTGCGTGTCGTGAAAGATTTGGAGAGGAGTTTCGGCCCGTCAAACTACAGAAATTCGTTTATGGATATCAATCCAACGGCAACGATTTTGTTTTTGATAAAATATGTGATTCGAAGTAAGTACTCGGGTGTAAAAAATGGTATTTCATATACTGACATCTCCCTAGACTCCCAGAAGTCATTTCAAAGCATTCACAAAGGAAACCTATATTGATATTTTGTTGTACCCGTAATTCTGCTATAGCCACTGCGAAAAATCTAACAAAATTGTGGACAAACATGAATGCGCCGCATAGATTATGGAACAGCCCTAAAAAGTCTATTATCGTTCAGAATCAGGAGCTGCAAGGTTAATCTTCTTCTCTTCCCACAATCTATAAATGCTGATATATATTATTAGCAACTGTTTCGGCAGGCGTTGCCTTCCATCATGCTGGTTTGGATGCCAGTGATAGGCATACCGTTGAAAGTGGCTATCTTGAGGGCAATATTAATGTTATTTGCTGCACATCAACATTGGCAGTTGGGGTTAATCTTCCTTGTCATCTGGTAGTTATCAAAAATACAGTGTCATGGCAAGGTAATTGTTGCAAAGAGTATGCGGATTTAGAGATGATGCAAATGCTTGGCCGGGCGGGACGCCCACAGTTCGACGATAGTGCCGTTGCTGTGATTCTGACCAAGAAAGAGAGAGTGAGCTATTATCAAAAGCTAGCAGCTGGGTCAGAACCACTTGAAAGTTGCCTTCATGTCAATCTTATAGATCATCTCAACGCGGAAATCGGCCTGGGAACTGTGAGAGACTTAAATTCTGCCACCCGATGGCTGTCCGGCACTTTCTTTTTCATTCGCCTCCAAAAGAATCCGACTCATTACCAACTGAAAGATGGCTGTGATAAAACAGACGAGGAAGAGCTAATGAGACAAACTTGTGCAAAGGGTGTTGAGCTGTTACAAGAGTGTTCTCTCATCACCCCTCATGAACCTTTCAAATCTACTGAGTTTGGAGATGCTATGGCTCGATACTATGTCAAATTTGAGACGATGAAGCTGCTCATGGCCCTACCTTCTAAAGCTAAAATATCTGAGATTGTAGGTATTGCAACTTAAGCTGCCACCTGAGCTTGACTGACATAAAATAGTTATCTGCCATGACCCAGGCAGATGAATTTAGAGACATTAGGCTTAAAGCCGGCGAAAAGTCTCTCTACAAGGAAATAAATAAAGGAAACGGAATAAAATTTCCCATAAAAATTGACATTGGTGTTTCCGCCCACAAGATTTCTTTGCTTATCCAGTCAGAACTCGGTGGTGTTGAGATACCAACCGGCGAACAATTCCAAAAACATAGACTAACTTTCCAACAAGACAAGAATCTGGTGTTCTCTCATGTTAGTAGGCTAATAAGATGCATAATAGACTGTCAAATATCCCGTGGAGATTCAGTTGCTGCGAGAAACGCTCTTGAGCTTGCCAGAGGCTTTGGGGCAAGGGTTTGGGACAATTCTCCATTGCAAATGAAACAAATTGATCAGATAGGCCTTGTTGCTGTTAGAAAACTTGCGAGTGCAGGCATCACGAGCATTGAATCTTTGGAGGCTGCTGATGCCCAAAGAATTGATATGATACTTAGCAAAAATCCTCCCTTTGGTTTGAAACTTCTTGGTCGACTTGCCGAGTTTCCAAAGCCGAGAGTTTCCTTGAAGATGTTTGGAAAGGTAAATTCTACCTCTGATATAACTACGACATTCTATTGATACTCATGAATACAGGAAACAAAGCCTGGAAAATGCCCTATAGTGAAATTCAAAGCAGACATTGGTTTCATAAATGAGAAGCCTCCAACTTTTTTTCATAGAAAGCCAGTTTTTCTTTGCTTTTTGGCTGAGACGTCAGATGGTCGGATCATCGACTTTCGGCGAATTAGGTATGTAAACTATCCCTCTATGCGGAAAGAGACTAATTAAAAAAAGTGCCAACAAACTGCAATGTGGGCACGAAATTGCTTTGAGTGCCGAATTGTTAAGTTTTCATCAATACATTACATGTTATATTATGTGTGACGAGATAGGTGAGGCAACCCCTCTGGTGAATATCTTTTCCCCATGATTTTAACAAATAAGATAGCGGGAACCCTACGTCAGGCAGAACTAAAGCCAAAGTTACCAGAGTCTCTATTTTCTAGAATCAAAGATGATGTATTAGATTCGGTTGTCTCTACTGAAATCTCAGCGGTACCATTGAAAGTAGACAAAAAGAGAGCACCCAAAGATCTCGATGAGTTTTCGGACGAATGTTTTGACGATCACGATTTCATTGCAGCAGGTTGGCTCTCCGTTATGTTTAGTATGCGTGTATTGGGTAATGCTAACATAAGACAGTTGAGAGTCTGGATATACCAACAGAAAAAAAACAACAAGGCAGTTTTTTGGTTGCTGCAGACCCAGATAAAAGAGCCAGGGTTCAGGGGACTGAGATTTCCTCTCGAAGTAATTCGGAGGCACCTCTCCCGTTAAGCAATGGAAAATGGGAGTGCAATCATCGTTGCAAGGACAAGGCTCAGTGAGACTACCTCGATGCATATATTTCCTACATAAAGCTAATGTTCAACTCAGGTGTAAGCATTTATGTTGCAGAGAAGGTATTGATCGGCCACCAAAGGGGCCCAGAAACGCCATGAATACCAAAACAATAGAAACCAGGAAGGAGCCAAACACTGAAAATGGGGAGCAAATGTTATCTTGGAAGAACTGTCCCAAATTGAATGTCAGACAAAAATCTGGGGTGAAGAATGTCACAAATCCTTATGATGGCATTGATGTGATTGACCTTACAAGTGGAAGTACCACCATAAAACATGCCCCGAGGTACAAGTATGTTAAAAAGAGGAACGAAAAAGATAATGATATTTGCAATCCATTTGCGCCGGCAGATGATCTCCCAACTAAGCCTACCACAACGACCATACGAAGGGAGCCAAATGCCTCCTGTTTTTACTCCGATTCAACTTCAGAAGATGAATTAAATGCGAATACAAGATATTCCAGAAACCATGAGGGTAATGATATGCCTGGTCTTTTCTCGCCGGAAACCACATTTGTTAAAGAAGAAACTCCTATACAAAAATCCGTCCAACCCATTTTATCCGAGCCTTTCGATTATGAAGAATATTATAACCACGGGTTTGGAGACGTTACTGATACACATGAGACGTTTGAGAATGAGTTAACAGACTATGATCAATACGTTTCATCCGCTGATAAGCCAATTCAGAACCACAGCGACGACGGGGCCCTAGCTGTGGAATCTTCAAAATCTGAGACTCATTCCTCCATGACCAACACGGCGACTCTCCCCCCCTCCGGTGCGGACTCGCTATCTGATATTGACAATGGTAGCGAGCCTCTTTTTTGCTGGAACTCTCAGCACGATAAAACGAAGAGGGCCCGAGGGAATGAGGAGTTGAACAAAGATACCTCTGGTCAAGACGCAAAGAGACCAAAACTCTATGCAAATGATAATTCAAAAAGCGACCTTGAGGTTGAGGGATGGGAGGGAATCGACCTGGCACTGCTCGAAGAGTTTAAGGATGTTGTCGAATTGTTCTAGAGCAAGAGCTCGCACATATCTCTTCCATTTTTTTCAAAAGTGTTGAAAGATTTATAGAGAACATGAGCTGTATATGTCTTCTAGGGGGTAGTAGTTTATATGTATGTATGTACATATTTATAGTATATATATATAGAAAAAACAGTAGTGTACTATAAACCTGAGCCCAGGCCATTAGGCTGTAGTAGATTTCACGAAATATCAGGACCATTCCTCTAATCTCTGGGACACTATTATAGATTTATGTGGTTATCACAGTGGACTGCTTTCTTAAGCACTCACGTGCCAAATCCGGGTGCCCATCAACAAAGGAACACAACTGGAGGGAACACCCGTAGGCCAGTTACCTTTTCAAATCATGTACTATATGACTAGTGTCTTCGCACACCAGCATAATTTTGTTTCTCTTCAGCTGGGCCCTTCACACTTCAAGACACTAAATTAGTGAACAGAGTTTCCCTCTGGAAATTGGCCATCCAGCACGCTACTAGACGCGTAACAGGCACAAAAAGGGACTTCTCAATCATCAAACAGGTAAGTATGACACATCACGGAGGCTCCATTGTTTGCAAAACACCATAAAAAGTACAGTTCTGAGGAGAAGTTAAAGATAGGCTCCATCCAGTTTTGTGAATATCTAGGTGTCGAGCATCAAGAATAGTCGAGGGTCGGGATGGTCAAACTTAGCTATGCAGGGGTAGGTCCATAACCACCAACAAAAGAAATGCCATACGGATTAACTATCGAAACCATTCTAACATGGTGAGAATAGCGGAAGACCCAGGGGTTGAAATTGGGTCTAACGGTAGCGAAAGATTTGGTGTGACACCCCCCTTTTTTTCCCCCCTTTTTTTTTGGGAATAGCGGTAAGCTCTGATGAACTAACACTATAATAGAAAAAGCGAATCCCACCTGGAAGCAATGCTCGAACAGCAGCAAGAGATCCTCATATCGAATTGGACCTTGCAGGAAAATTCCTCACCGATGAGGGCATTGTGGCAATCGCAGAGGCCCTTGTCGGCTGTATTCAATTCCGAGATGAGGATCATCCACATGGAGTTGTGAGACTAACTGAGTTATCTCTAAAGGGAAACGATATGACGATGGAAGCAATGGCAAAGCTGTCCAATGTTGTGGCATTAAGCATGGACAGCTTGGCTAGACTGGATATTTCTGATAACAAGATTGTTATCGCAAATAATGAGCAGAAGAGAGAATGGCGGAACTTTCTTAAGTCATTTGAAGGGTGTTATATGTTGAAAATGATTGACTTCAGTGGCAATAACCTTGGTAGTTCAGGATTTGATGCTATAGCTGAAGTATATCTCAAGAGCGATCTCGATTTCGTTGACGTCGGATCAAGCGAGGATCACAACGAGAATTTGCACGGCATTAAACAAGCCTTTAAATCTGTCTCACTAAATTTCAAAGAAAACACATCCTCGGTTTCCATTAGGCAAGACGAAATTCAGTGCGAAGGTGGGAACCATTCCTGTATCTCCACATTGATATTACTGACCTTGCGGTAAAGTTGCCAGATTAGAACACAAAGAATTATTTTCGAGCACAAGAGGCCTTAAATCGGTACCTTACCTGGTATTTTCTGGATGCGGAAATTCGACTGCATGTGCCTTTCATATATGGTGCATGCTTATGATTCATCTCTCGCCTGAAAAGTTGCTCGAGTGCCTGCCCACTGGCAAATCCATAGCGCCAGCTGGAGCCACGACGGGAACTGCAGGTATAATCTATGCTCTAAATGATTTTGGTCCGCTGGGACGTTCTTTGCTTAACCTCGGAGTGCGGTTTCTCAAAGAATTTTCCAAAGTAAATGACGATATCGATTTGATGAATTTTGGAGAACGGTTTGATAGTGGCAAGGCAATTCGAGCGCGAGAGGTGTGCAGGAAAACGCAAATAGAGATGGAACGGGTTAAATATCGAGCAATTCTGGACACCCTTACAACTGATGGTATCCAAGCAGTCGAACTGTGGAATGTTGCATTTAAGACCATGACTGTTGCCCGCGCTCTTCTCCTGGATGACGATGACAAACCAAAATTGATCGGGCAGATTGACGAAACGTGCCAAAATTATGAAATGGACGCAATCCCCGATCCACCACTCAGCTTCTATTATCCCCAAGCAATTTCACCCTGGAGCAATTTTGCAGAAGAATTTCCTTGTCTTCCTGGAACCCCCGAAATTAAAAATAGCGGGATAAATCCCGTAACACCTCAGCCTGTTTGGAAAAACCATGGCCACAGACCTAGTTGGGGATCGAACGACTTTATGGTTCGCAATTCTCCTCGCGCAGAGATGATCAAAATTTCACCACAGACAATTGCAAGGCCCGCTCCGAAGACGGTGTTCAAAGAAACTGGCCGTTTTGGCTTACCACTGCGCCTCTGGGCGAGAATAATCGTCGATGCCATGGATGAAAACCAAATTCTAAGTCCCCAACAGCAAATGCGAATTGTTAGGTATGCGTGCGATTGGGATTCGCTGGAGCAAGAGTTAAAGATAACAGGAGGAACTGAGCCCGAGCAAATCAGAAAAATACTCAACTCAATGGACTGTCTCAACTATTCGAAATTTGAATAGGTCGAGGGAGTGCATCTCTTTGTTTTCTCAAATATTTGGACTTGTTAGTGTAACGCAGCCCAGACAGATAGCAAAAGATTGAATAACGAAAGCACATCAAAACCTTTAAGATCTCTTGAGGAGTAGGTGCCTGTCAGTTCGAGGCTACGTTTGAATTTCCGGTTTTGGCAGTTTGAGGTGGAGCTAGGTATGCCATGTGATTTGAAATTTCTTACCTAATCAGGTCTTATCAGATAAGATTTGATCATTTAGAACAGGACGGAGTAGTGTGGAACAAAGGTCTTCAGCTACTTAATTCTCAATTTGATTCCATATATGTATTTATACTCTGTCCAGAGTAAATAAATAGACCACGTTTTTTTTCCATAACATAAAGACTTTATCGTGTTTAAAAGATTTGCCCACACATGTTCAAAAACAAAAACGAGGGTTTCGCAAAGAACACACCTCCACCATTTAAAATACAGGAAGACAGCACTTCACCTTCTACCTTCAATGATGGGCTCCCTCTACCAAAATTATTCGTGTTTGACTTAGATTACACATTGTGGCCTTTCTGGGTTGATACGCATGTCAGCCCTCCTGTAAAAGCGCGTGATAATAACTCGCGCTGCGTTGACAGGTACGGTATTTTCGACAAGGCTTTCTGAGCTCTATGCCTCTATCACAGAAACTGAGAATTAATCATGTGCAATGCAGATGGGGTGAATCTTTCGCCTTCTATCCAGCTGTGTCTGCGATAATTCATGCTCTGAAGTCTCGTTCGGTTCCGATTGGAGTTGCGTCGCGAACCCATACCCCTGACTTAGCTCGAGACATGCTCAAAGCCCTCCACATTATCCCTTCCTTCTCGGACAACCCTGCTACAGCCAACAGCCGCTCTGTGCGCGCCTTGGACTACTTTGATTATCTCCAAATATTTCCAGGCTCGAAAACCCAGCATTTTGCGCGCATTCAACAAGCAAGTGGGCTTCAATATGAAGATATGCTATTCTTTGACGATGAGGCTCGGAACAGCAACGTCCAAACAGAGCTTGGTGTGACCTTCTGTTTAGTACGAGACGGTATGACTAAAGAAGAGGTTGATAGAGGGGTCTGGGAATGGAGAAGGCGGGCCGGCATATCTTTGGATAGCCAGAAGGTCGAGATACATACTCAAGAATAGACATTCCGAACCACCAGATTTGTTTCTAACCGGGCATCACTGGTATCACCTGTTACCTGTTAACGACTGATCAAAGACAAAGCAAGTTTGTCCATATATTCCATCGTTCGCCTACTTTATAGGCTAATGGTATGACGCTCACCTTGCTAACGATATCATGAGTACTGATGGTTATGGATTCCGTATTCGAGTGCTTTCATAATTTTGTGTGTGTCACACTATTGGTGAATGCGATTCATGCTATTTACATAGATTTATATAAGAAGTTTTATATATTATTTTTGGAAGCGGGTTAATGGGGCAAGTTTTACATGGTTGTGGATAGAGAACACTCCATTGCATACTTAGTCTCCGCTGTTCCTTTATAAACTCAGAAAATAAATGATGTCGAAGACTACTTTCGACAGTTTTATCTGAGATAAGGCTGTATCGTGTTTATTTGGGTTTCACATTGGCCTTTCGTTAACGTAGTTCTTTGCTACTTTACAGAGGAGTACATAGCTAGTTACATCTGTCCTAGAAAATGCTAAAGAAAAGCTCGAACTTTCTGAACTTTCACCCTACAAGTCAACAATCATGTCCGCCAGCCAGAGGCCGACAGCCCCCCAGCCCTCTTCTGCTTCTGCCCCAAGAGCGGGACAATCTACGAACCCTTCGATCTCTAGACCTCCTCTTTCCGTCCACCCGACAGCAACGATCTCAGAGACTGCCTATTTTCAAGGGAAGCACTCGATCAACATCGGCGCTGGCACTGTCATTCATCCTCGCGCAAAGATACTGTCTTTTGAGGGGCCAATAAACCTTGGGGAGGGCTGTATCATCGGCGAGAAGGCCGTGATTGGAGGGCCTCTTCCTGTGGCTTCATTAACCTCGTCAACAACATTTGGTACCGATGTCACAACAATAGAGAATTCGGTCCATATCGGGCCCCTTGCCACCATCAACTCGGGAAGCCATATCCATTCCGCTGCTGTCATCGAATCTTCTGCTATAATTGGAAGACAAGCAAGTATCGGGAGGCACGCCAAAGTATGCGCTTTGTGCGAGATCCCGGATAACGGAAACGTGGGGGATTGGATTGTGGCCTGGGGCGGAGGAGCCGGAGGTATGGGGACGCAGAAACGGAAGAGAGCCAATGGGAGGAACGATGATGAAAATACGACTGGCCTAAACGGAAGAGCTGTCGAGGTAGCGAGGTTAGCTGTCTTGAGCAAGGAGAGAGAGACGTTGGCGAAACTGATCGGGGCTGGAGCAACAGCAACATCTAGGAGAAGATGATTGTTTTTTGACTAAAACTAATGACGCTGCGTTTGTTTTTCTTGTTATTGATGTCTCCAAAGATACCCATAATTTATCACCATCTTCTTGTTTTATATTTGAAGTAGGCTAGCTACTACATGAGGAGTACAGGGAATTTTCTTTAGTGCAATATTAACTAGCTATTGTTTCTAAGTCTAATAATAGCGAAATTTGTGTGGGAATTGATGGCTGTTTGCTTCTTATATATAGTTATTAAATAGGAATAACAGCCGCCTAGCAGTGTATAGCCCTGGTCAGAACCGAATACCATAGATGATCCATTTTGAATAATTTACGATACATATCATTCCACATTCTAAGTATATACATACATCGTTCCATCACGAAGTAGCTAATAATGGAGGATGCATTCATCCCTTTGGAAAATTGTAGAAGATGTAGGGAAATGTGGGAGAGGAAAGCGTGTTAACGGCTTTGAGAGCAAAACTTAGGGATATGCATATAACTAGCCAATAAAAAGTATTAAGGGACAGGTCCGCTTTAAAAAAGTCCAAAGTGTTCATACAGATGGATATAGAAATCTCTACTCCACGAGCCAAAAGAAATTTGTCAGTATATCGAAAAAAGTCAGGCTTACTGGCCAGCTCCACCGCCACGCATTCTCTTCCCAGCACCTGCATCTGCATCACTTCCATCATCCCGGGCGCGTTTCCCATGGGGAACAAATTGGCGAGCTTGAGCATTGAGCCCCCCTCTTCCACCACGAGGGCTCGCTTGTCCGACGCCTTGAGCCAGGTTCCCAGTTTGGATACTTTGGGGGCCACCACGGCCTTGCCCACCACCTCTTATTCCTCTGCTACGAGTGACGGTTGAGCCACGGCTGGCATTTTGCTGCTGCTGTTGAAATTGTTGGTTTTGATCTGGGCTAAGGTGGCTAGTCTGTGCACCACCTTGACTCCCGCGCCCACGGCCACCGCGAGCAACGGGCAAGCCTGATTGAAGGACGCGAAGAACGCCGGTACCACTGGCATGGTGAACAGATTGTGGAGGGCGATTAGGTAGCCCAGTGGTTTGTCGAACCGGGGTTGGAGAAGCTTGATTATCTGCCGGCGGCTGTTCTTGTGAAGGCTGCTGCGACGGTTCTGGTACCTCCTTTTGTTGCTCTTGTTGCTGTTGCTGCGTCCCCGCCGGGGGCTGTAAGGACGCCTGGGATGTCTGTTGTTGTGGCTGGAGTGGCGGTTGGGGGGTTTGGGGAGGGGCTGGTTGGGACGCGGCAGTTGGTGAAGGGGCTGGCGGTGCGACTTTCTGAGGTGCTGGAGTGGCTGGAGTGGCAGAAGCTGGGGGCTGAACAGCGGTGGGAGCTGGTGTAGGCGTAGGCGTAGGGGCTGTAGGCTTTGCTGCTGTTTGCTGCTGTTGGGCCACAACAGGCCGGGCAACTTTTGCAACATCCCAGACTTCAACAACAGGTCGCTGGGGTGTCTCTGTCGCTGCCTTTTGCACGACATCAAGCTTGGCCTGAGCATTTCTTGCTCGACCTTCTGTCATGCTAACTTTTGCTAATAAGCGCTTCTCCGCTAGCTCTACAGCAGAGCTGATTTTCTGATCTCGTTCTTTCAACATGGTCTCCTTTTCTTCGCCGAATTTTTTTTCCAGTTGTTTCAATGCCTCCATGTCTCGCTGCTGCCCTTCCTGATGCGCCATCGCTTCCTTTTCTTTATTAACAGCATTTCTGATATTATTGATGAGAATATTGCGGATGTACGGATTTTTAGAAACGAGTTCACGTGCTGCTGCTTCGGTAATTTCTGCTTTTCCTTCTGCCTTTGAAACGAGCTCTTGTTGATGTTCTGTTTTAAGGGTTTCTATCTCCTGTTGGTGGGATGTCTTATTTTCTGCCAACTTGTTGTTTAGAATCTCTTTCATCCTGTCTATCTTCTCCTTGACCTTCTGCTCCAGTTCGTTTTCTTTTGCAGACAGGGTAGCCTCTAGCTCTTTGATCCTAGCTTCCAGCTCCTTGATTCTTGTTTCGGCAGCACTATCAATGCCATTATTGTCTGTTATTGGAACACTGTTAGCTTCTTCTGCTGGTGCAACGACCGGGGCTTCTAGTGCCACAGTATTCGGTTCTGGGGCCTTCGACTTCAGCATATTCAACTCCTCTCTGGCACGTTCTAGCTCTTGCTGGATTTGCTCTTTCTCTTGGACAACGCCATTCAGCTCAAGCTGCTTAGCGTTAATACGTCCGGTTAGCTCCTTTGATCTCGCCTTGAATTGATCTGTCAACCGGATACGTAATTCTTGGATGCGATCTTCTGCTTGTTTAAGTTGCTCGGGGAATGCCGCTGACTGCGCTTCAAGGGCTTCCTTCGCTGAAATAGCTTCGTCTCGTTGTTTTTCAAGGGAAGACAGATTTTCTTTCATGGCCTCAAGCTCTGCAGGGTCCACTCTATCATATTTCTGGAGAATGTTTTGTGTCCTCTGCTGCCATCGATCCCGGTCCTCCTGAAGAAGTTTCATTTCGCCATCCTTGGATTCCAAGTTATTCTCAAGCTCGCGGGAATGCATCTGCAAGGGCTCGATCTTTTGCTGGAGCTCATCAATAAGTTTGGATTTTTCCTGTACGGATGCTTCCAGTTGTTTGATTTGACTTCGGAGAGTAACACTGCTTTCGCGAAATAGATTTAGCTCGTTAAGTGTTTCGATTAATTTGTTATGGTTGAGTGTATGTCGTTCCGTTTCAGCTTCAGCCCGACGTTGCTGTTCAAGTTTAAGGCGAGTATCTTCGAGTTGAGTTTGAGTATAATCAAGTTGTTGGCGCAATCGTTTGCTTTCTTGTGTTGACAAGTGATATTGAACATCAACAATTTCCTTTTCCCGCCGCAAAAATTTAATAACTTCTTGAAGACCGTCAAGATCAGAGCCGGATGCTATTTCACCATCATCAGGAACATCTGCTCGTCCACGTTGCAGAGAGGAAATCTGTTTCGTGATACTTTCCAATTGGTCATGAAGTAATGCATTCTGTTTTAGTGCCTCTTCACGACGGTGGCTGAGTTCTTCGATTTCTTTTTCATATTTGCCTTTCATTTCATTCCAACTTTCCTCTTCACGACACAGATTGCTCTTAGCGGTTTCGGCTTGGGTCCGAAGATCAACAACTTCCAGCTTCAGTTGGTTAGCCTCAGTTCTTACCACTTGAAGGTGTTTAGCAGCCTCCGCATGTTTCAACAGTTCGTTTTCGTAGTTCTGCTGTGCATTCTGAGCAATCTCTGCTTGCGCCTTTAGGTCTTGCTGATGATACTGAGCAGCAGCCTCGTGTCGTTCCTGTTGTTCCTTGAGTCGTGAAATCTCGTCATCAGATATCGATTTTTGATCATCAAGGCGTCGTTGGAACTGGGTTTCTTGATCACGAAGGCTTGTTAGCTCTTTGTTTGTGGCTGTAAGTTCAGTAGACAAATCTTCAACCCGTCTCTCCAGCTCTGAAATTTTGGAATTCTTTTCTTCAAGAAGGTGATTGGTATCTTCACGGTACTGTTCATTTGTGTCGCTAAGAGCCTGTAGTCTTTCCTCTGTTGCTTGGCTAATTGCTTTGTAGTCCTCAGCCTGTTCTTTGGCATGGGATAATTCGGCCTTTGACAATTCAAGATCGCGTTTGAGTTCCGAAATTTGGATAGCTAATTCTTGTTCTTCCTCGTCTACAGTGGGAGCCTCCTGAGGTACGGCAGTTGAAGGCTTACGTTGAAGAACCACCAATCTTTCTTCGGCACTCTTAAGCTCAACTGAAAGCTCATCAACCCTTGATTGCAAATGATCCTTGCTTGTCTTAGCAGCAACGAGTTCCTCCCGAATGGAACCAAGGGTTGTGACAAGATCTTCAATACGTTTTTGGCTTTTCTCTTGTTCGTATTCCCTTTGATTGGAGAGTTTCTTGGTTTCTTCTGTCTCGTCACCAAGCTTCCGCTTTGTGGACTGGAGCTCTAACTCAAGAGAGTCCACACTTGATTGGAGACGACGTCGATTTTCTGATTCTGCATGTTCTCGCTCGTTAAGAATAGACTGCAGGCTAGCATTGAGCATGTCTAACCGACTACGCTCATTCCTTAGAGTCTCGTTATCCTCTACCAGCCTCTTTTCAATGCTCTTCCACAGTTCCTTCTCAGCCTTAAGATTGGCGATTTCCCTCTGAAGACTATCCACAAGACCTTTGGCTTCGACAAGATCTTCAGCAACTTGTTGTGTCCGAAGATCTTGTTTATTGGCATTTTCCATGAGAGTTGAATGCCGTCTTTGGAGCTCACTGTTCTCATTTTTGAGCATGGCGAAATTAGATTGCAAAAGTTCGGCGCGCTGTACAGCAGTTGCTAACTGACTATTGGACCTGCTAATGTCGCTCTGCAATTCGCTATTCTTCCTTGTTAAATCATTGACCTGTTGTTTTAGGGATGACTGATCAGTGACGGTCTCTTGGCGGAAAGAGTCAAAATGGGCTTGCAAATTTCGAAGTAGCTCCGCGTAATCAGGTGCATCACCCGACTGAGTAGTATCTAAAGAGGGTGGGACGGAGCCCAGGGGCAAAGACTGCGAAAACGGGGCGGTTGTCTCTCGGCGTACCAACATGCTACGGAATGTATCTCGCTCCTTAATATAGCTTTTGGTCTGAGTCACGAGGCTAGCCATTTCATCTCGATATGTTTGAACGCGGGAGCGAAGTTCCTTCAGCTCTTCTTGATCTTTTTGGTGTGACAAATTCCGCTTGCAAGCTTCTTCACCTTCTAATTTATCTCCAAGCTCTCTTAACATTCTTCGCAGGGTTACATTTTGATTCTGGAGCTCATTTAGATTCTTGAAAGTTGTCATGTGTCGTGTAATGAAGCGACTGGTATGGTTCATGTCCTCTGAAGCCTCATCTAGCCCCTCGCGTGCGGCACGTTCGAGTTCATCGCGGCTATAATCCTTTTCGCCTGCGCCAAGGAGGTGAACCTCCATAACAAGGACCTTGACTTGCGCGCTTAGGTCACGAAGCTGTTGGCGCAGAATATTGCCCTCCCTTTCCAAGCCTTCCACTTTGCCCTGCCATTTTCTCGCTTCTTTTGTCGCCTCCTCTCTTTCTTTGTTGGCAGCATCCAGAAGGTTAGACATTTCCATTACCGAAGCCTCAAGGCGTGAGTGGTCAGATCGAAGTTCGTCAATTTCGGGTTTACTGGATTCTAAATCCTGTAACATTTCATCCATCGCTGCCCGCAGCTCTTGACTAGTTTTCTGTTCAGTCGCCAGAAGGGTCCGCATTCTATCATACTCTGTGTACATTTGGGTGAGGGTGAGACCTCCTTTGGTACGTGCAGATCTCGGAGAGAAAGAGCCGATAGGAGTACTAGGTCGCATGGGGGTGCTAACACCGCCATTGAGGCTGTGGAGAGGAGTCGACGGTTGATTTCTGCTCGCGCCAACACCCTGTTCAAATTGCTTTATCACCAGTTCCAGTTCTGCAATACGACGTTCAGCGTTTTCTTTTTCCGAATGTTCTGTTTCAATCTCAGCCCGGAGACGTGACATTTCATGCGCAGCATCGTCTTTGGCTTTTTCAAGCGAAAGCTGGCATTCTTGGACACGTTTTTTAGCAGTCTCTGCGGCGGTTTGCTGCAGCTGAGCCAATCTTGCTGCACTGTCAAGCTCAATACGGAAAGATTCAGTGGTTTTTATGGCCTCTTCTTGCAATTGCGAAACAGTTGTAAGGGATTCCTCGTATTTCTGATCTATGTCGTCCAGGCGTTGTTTGAGGGACGATTCATTTCTTCGCAATGTATCGATATTAGAGTTTGCATCCTCATACTGGCGCTGTAATTCGGAGAGTCGCGCGGCCTTCTCCTTTCTAAATTTCAGGTATTCAGCGGACTTCGTTTGAAGTTCATTTTCAAACCATTCATTGTTCTTTTTTAACAGGTCCAGTTCCTGTTGTAAGCTCTGCTCACGGAAGCGTGTACTAGCAGACGCCGAGTTTGCTGCTTGCAATTTCTGCTCAAGATCAGCAACCTCCCGCCTGAGCGTTACGGTTTTGCGGTGTTGAGTGGAAAGGTCATCAGCGAGTTTATCATAAGCGGTAGATTTGGATTCTAAAAGACCTAAAGTATCTCGGTTGGAAGCCTCAAGCGACGCAATTCGGGATTTAAGCGAATTGAATTCAGCCTCACTCGACGAAGTAGAAGATTTCAAGGATTCAAGTTTCGACTCTAGTTCTGCACGAGAATTCTCTGCAATGAAGTTAGAATAAGTTAGACATCACTGAAGTGAATCCTTGCCTGTTTCCTGAAGTTTACCCCGAAGCTCAGAGATCTCTGAATGGGCCTTTCCAGCAGATGACTTAAGAACTTTGATCTTCGCCTCATTTACACGAACGGTACTCTCAAGTTCTACCTCAAGACGCGTCTTTTCGGATCGAAGTTGTTCTGTTTCGTAGGCCTTCTCTGCAACTCTTTCCAGTAGCTGCCCAACAAGATCTGCGGTAGGATTCTGTGTAAGGGTAGAAAGAGTAGCTTCCGAGATCGAGTAATGTGATGAAAGAAAAGAAATATCCACTGCGGCAGTAGCCATGGCTAAGTCAAACTAATATTTGAGAGGAAGAATGACGCGAGGAATATCGATACATGAACAGAACCATTTCAGGCACACGTTCACGACTTAGATTCCAGAGTGATTCTGACCAAGCCTGGTTACATCCACACTGTCCTAGATGGCTAAAAATATGTCATTACAGCCAATAGGTCAAAAATATGGTTTCCACCAGCGCGTCGTCTCTGTCCTCTGCAGAGTGGCTTTGAGGAGCAACAACCTCAGCTTCGCAGAGTTCGAGCTTCCTTTAGGTCAAAAATTCACTAGCCTTATTAGGACTAACGCGCTCTTAATAATCACGTGCAACACTAACTAGCACCTAAGGTTCAACTCAAGAGCCTCATCACTCTGTATCGTCTATTTCACTGTCGCTTTCGAAGCTTTACACGCCGAGGGTTTCTGGAGATCATATAGTCGAACTATTCTCAGCTATGAGGAAAACATCACTTGACTAAGAATTCTTCGGCCTGGATAGTACCTCCATTCCCCGCTGTTCCTAATAATTTGCTGAACGACCCATAACCTGCCGCCACAATGTCTTACTTTCAGAATCAAATCAGCTCGTTCAGCACGAGTGTTATCTCAGCGGCTAGTCGACTTCCTCAAGAACGACGACCGACCAGCACTGCAGCTACTACGGCCACAGTCCCAACGACCACATCAGCGCCGTCTACATCCAGCTCCGCGCCTTTGACAAACGGGAAACGACAAGATGCAGATATTGTTTACTCCCAACCCGCGAACACGGGAACAGGCAAAGATATTATGACGCAAGTGGTATTCGCAATTGAGCATATGAAGAGCAAAGACTCTCCGCTCAAATTTTCCGATATCCAATCGTATTTGTCCTTGCATCGACAGGGACACGATCAGGCGTACATACATGCCCTGCGGCGTATTCTACAGTCGCACGATAAGGTCGAGTACGACCCGAAAGGGGCACAAGGTGAAGGGACTTTTCGTTTTCGGCCTCCTCACAATATCAGGTCGGCCGATCAGCTTCTTCAGAAGCTTCAGTCCCAACCCACTGCGCAAGGAATGAGTGTTCGAGAGCTCCGCGAAGGTTGGCCAAATATCGTTACCGCAATAAACGAATTGGAAAGAGACGGAAAATTATTAGTGACGAGGAACAAAAAAGATGATAATCCTCGAATGGTGTGGCCAAATGATCCCTCTTTAGTACATCACTTCGACCCCGAGTTCCGGCAGATTTGGGAGAAAGTCAAAATTCCAGATCAGCAGACGGTGGCTGATGAGCTTGAAAAGGCCGGGATTACCCCGACAAGCAAACATAAGCCTGTAAAACAACGTCCAAAAGTCGAGCAAAAGAAAGTAAAGAAACCTCGAAGAAGCGGCAAAACTACCAACACTCATATGGCCGGAATTCTACGAGATTATTCTCATCTTAAAAGATAAGACTGGAGATATTCATGTTTTCGTCTGGTCTGATTGATTGCATAAGTGCGGAGTTTAGAATTTCGTAGTTTTTCTTTATAGGTCGAGTACTCTCATCAGGTGCAATAACTGGAGTTTGCGGGTGGATTATATGGGTACAGTATTTTAATAGACAATGTTGCATTCGAATAGGTTTCAAGGTACCCGGAATACTTGCTTTGCATATTCGCAATTCATATAATTGTTCTAAACTACATTCTAAAAGTCAAAATGTTCCATTCCCATAAATCGAAATAAATCCAAATCTGCTCTTTGTATGTATCATCCGTGAATATAAGGGGGAGGGGCATTTGCATACGCTAACCCCTTGAGAAACAATGGTGAGAAAATTGCAGCCTTTCCAGGTCAATGCTTTCCATTGGATACAGGAAGTGAAGCTTCCGTCTTCTCCAAATACTCAATCAAATCTTCAATTGTGCACACCTTTATACCCCATTTTTTGCCGAATCTCAAACATCCATCCCTCCTCATCATCCCACAATCTGTTCTCTCTGTAGCGTTGGGGCTAATCTCATCCCCTTCCTCAACAAGCTCACAGATGACACCCACTTCAGGCTTCCCAGCCAGCCGGCAGAAATCAATTGCTGCTTCCGTATGGCCTTTGCGTTCGCGGACACCTCCTGGCCGAGCCCGGAGAGGAAGAACATGGCCTGGCCTTCTGAAGTTGCTTTCCTTGGTATCTGGGGAAGCGAGGGTTCGGCAAGTGGTAGAGCGATCGTGGGCTGAGATTCCGGTTGTAATGGAGGGTGCATTAGAGTCAATTGTGACGGTGTATGCGGTCCGGTGGGGGTCAGTGTTGTCCGTAACCATCTGAGGAAGATTAAGGCGAGTAGCAAGATCCGGAAGGATGGGGGCACAAATGTAGCCACTAATGATATGAAAAAGTTAGAGATAGGAATCACAATATCATGTATCTGGAACAGTGGTATAGCCGATAGCCGTCGTACCTAGTATAACGAATCATGAATGCCATTTTCGAAGGTGTGATCGAATCAGCCGCAATTATTAAATCGCCTTCATTTTCTCGATCTTGTGAGTCAAGCACTACTATAAATTCTCCATTTCCTGTTTAAAAGCCGTTAGCAGGCGGAAGTTTCACTGTCTAAAACAATCTTGGGGGAACATGGGCCAGGTCGCGATTCTGTGGGAATACTGTACTCACTGAATGCTTCTATAGTCTCTTGAATGGTATTAAACTGCAGACTTCCGTCTGCTACAACGGAGGGCATTTGGAAGCGGGGACAATATTCCGGACCTAAGTATTCACGTTGGGTGGATGATAAGAACACTAGGTATGTACTGTACAGATAGCAAAAACGTGACGGAGATGTTAGAATAAACTGGGTATCAAACAATACTGTAAACCCCCTAAGCTTCCCCAATAATCTGTAAGGAAAAAGGAATGTCAATGTTGGAGAATTGAGAATGAGTTTGCTTATCGAGCCATCCTTCTGATTTTTCGGGGACGCGGGGAGAAGCCAAACTTTCACCTCGGAGTGGCGGGACGCACCGCAACGACCTTGCTAGTTCAGAATGTGATTTTTTGCACCAGAGGCAGCATTGCTCGGCACCCTCAAAATTGATGATGCTGGGTTTGCATGTGGGGAGCCATTTAATATTGGAGTACGGAGTACGCGGCGGTTTGTCAATGGGTCAGGCCTCGTGCATGCCTTTATGAATCGAGATCCAGTCCAATTAATTAGTTAGTTACGACTGCATCTTCACAAGGCTTTACACAGCACGGCAACACCGCGGAATTTGAAGGGCGGCGTTATTGTGTTCACCTCTCTGCTGGACTTCTAAGGAAGAATTTCACCTCACAGGGAGGCTCATTACACTGCTTAAACTAGCAGAGGGGAGAGTGGCATGCATCCACAGCTAGTATTCATTTACATACTCCGTACATGGCTAGCCAAGGGCCGTAATTCGTGGGTTCTACTCCGTACTCATACTCTCTCTAATTGTAAAGCTGGGTCCAGTCCATCACTTTCTATCCATCTGTTTGCGAAAGGGATGCCTGTTGAAAGATACTGTCCCTGACGAAGATAACCTGCGTCGTAAAGCATTGTAAGAAAGTTTATTTTTTTTTTTTTTTGGGGGGGGGGGGGGGGGGGGGCATCCGTTTCTTAATATTTTGGCTTTATGTGATTTCAACCGGTAAGTGCAAATCAC